TGCTACACGGCGTAAATCACACAAGAGAAAACGAGTACAGCGTGAAGGGATCTTAACAGCTGGAGAGGGTCTACGGTTAGCTACCCTAAGCGAGTCTGCAGTGTGTGATGATGGAAAGAAGGTGAAGAAGAAGGTGCGTGCTGATGAAGGTAAGCCTACACAACGACATTGTACACGCTGCGGTGAGACTGGGCATAATTCACGTACATGTAAGAAAGAAGTATAAATAGATTTTAAAGAGATTGGCTTACTACAACTCTTAAAAATTATTCATAATTGTTTTATACTCTCCTGAGGAGTTTACATTCTGGTGGGGTCTTGGCATAGTGACCGACTCGCCTGTGTGACCGACTCGCCCGTGAGGTACGTTATATAGAATTAAGACTTTATTTATTAGTAACGTGTTACTTTAATTATAATTATGCGTTAATAGGTAGCCTTAGGAATAAGCCCTAGAAAGTAAATTCTAAGGCTAGGATACTACTTTATATTAAAGTTTACCTTGTTATATAGCTACTAGCACCTCCTCTCTACACTTGTACCCTTTGGCGACATATATCGTTGCTCGGGTAATATAGGTAGGCAGCAGCGAGCTTGGCCGTCCTAGATCTATAACGCAGCGAAATCAGTAGATTGCGGCGCAGCTGTTCGGACAGTTACTCGGACCTACCCTACGACAAGCTCTTGCTCACAGACGAAGTGTTAGCACGGCGTCCCTCGTCTCTTCACAACCCCACTCTCTTCGACATGTGCCGGTATACTACAGCAGACATCATCTATCTCCAATGCCAGAGACCGTCTCAGCATAGAATCGTAAAACGTCTCTATCGGAGATGTTTAGCTTCTCCAAAACCGGGACCGCGATGTGAGGACTCTACGTATGATCCATCTCTGGGTACACACCTACCTTCCACCCGAAACGCCCCTTGCAAGTTCTGTCGGGACTCAGGAGCATCGGTCGGAGAGGCGCGTTATGAAGAGGTAAGGCAAACCATATGTCTAACATCAATTGTCTAATTGTATATAGTATGATCTTCATGGTTAACGATGAGTGTATTCTCGACCCAGGGCTCAGCTCCGTATCCTCGCCGGTCATCTGGCTCTTGTAGCAAAGCGGTAGCGCCTAGCTTATTCCATCCAAGGAAGAGAATGAAATGTTATTATACGACACAATGTTATGAGATCTAATCTTAAAAACTGTCCAGTAAACTTCCAAATCATTTAAGAATTTCCAAGCGCTCAACGTGTTCTCCATGATGCTAAGTAGTCAAAGATAGTAGCCATCACACTCTGGACACCAGAATCTGCTTTCCTGGTGACCGGCACGCCAGCAACTTCAAGGTCTTGAAGAACTTCGTCCATGGACGTGAAAGTACCATGCCAACAACCCTGCATCAAACTGCCCAGCGGGATATTTTCGACCTCGGGAAAATGATTGTCGGCATAGAGTTGCTTGATACGGAGCATTCGATCGTCAGATGCTGCAAGTTCCTGGTGTGGCTGTCTACCGGTCATCACCTCGTAGACCGCGCAGCCGAATGCGAAGATATCGGTCTTTCGGCTTATCACTGGTGTCGATTGCCTGTAGCTAAACCACTCATAACAGGCTCCTGCTTCTTCGCCGTCAATGCTGCAACCTTCAAAGTCGATGATCTTCAGACGTCCATGAACTATGATCCAGTTGTTACATCCAACATCAGCATGGATGATGCCCTTCTCATGCAAATATCGCGTTCCCTCTGCAGCTTCCTGTAGCCAGCGAATTCTCTTATCCAAGGGAATCTGCTCTGCTCCGCTTTCTTCGATAACCTTCCGAAGCGATTGTCCGCGCTCCAGGATGATGCCGTTGTCTATGGCACCAAAGCATCTTACGATATTACGGTGCAGTCCTAGGCGTTCAAATGCTCGACGTTCCACGTCAATCCCCTCACTGTGATACTCTTTTAGGACCTTTTCCTCATCAATCGCATAGACGATTCCCGAACTGCCGGCCGCAAGGAATACAAGTTTCTGATAATCTATAGACAGATGCGGTCCGGTTTGGATGCGTTCGTTCGCCATACTTCGGGGCTAGGATTCCATTTTACTTGTGTTTGTGAGGAGAGGGACGAGGGTCCTCTTGTTTTGGGGCGTAGATGGAGCGCGATAGTCCTGAGGGAGCGAGCTCATCAAGCTTTGGGGGTCTGCGTCCTTGAGATGCACAGGCGTAGCGTGTGACGGTGCCAGAGGGACGCTTAAGGGGGGATGGTCGGATGCAGGCGAGACTCTAGATCAGGAACATTGGAACCTCCCTTTCCTTTTTTTGCGCGGGGGTCGGTGGAGAGAGCCAATCGCCTTATAAGTCAGGTCACGTTCAAGTGGGTGGTCTTCTCGAACGGGAGGCCGTTGTCGTGCTGCCTTCTGGCGCAGGAAAAGTTGTGGTGTGGTCAGTGCTTGCATTGAAGGACCCTCGGTCCAACATTATTTGTTCTTGCGCGTGTATGAATATGACCTACAATAACACATAACTAGTCTAACTGCATTGTTGTATTTTCATTAGATAGCTTTTAGATAGCTTCCACTAGAGTTCACCTAGCTTCTTATAATAGTTATAAGTAATATTACTTAATCTTATGTTGTAAATAAAAACAGGTTGTAATAGCTCTAATGCTATAAAAACTCAAAAGACTAATTAACTTCTTTTAATGCCTAGTAGCAATTCTAGAGAGCTTTTAGGTAATTACATGTCAGCAGGGATGCAGCTCGCTAGAGGGGATTGCAGGTACTTAAGAGGTAGGGCAACTATTGATTAGTAGTAGGAGGCTCTTTAACATCTGCTACCTGTTGGCCTCATGGAAGTCATTTGCCAGATGCATGCCGATATGGAGTGTTGGAAGGATCGCGCTTCCAACATTTGCGGTATTTCACGTGCCTCGGTGTTTCGATGACGCGCTCAGAAAGTCCGCGAGCTTCATAACCCCGTCGACAGTTGCATGGAATCAGCTTCGTTAGACTCAGGTGGTTGATTCTCTGCGTTTTCGACATCTGCAAGATGGGTGCCGGGGCGAGCTTCAACCCAGCGAGCGATATCCCAAACCTAACTGGAAGGATCATTCTCGTTACTGGCGGTACGTTTACTTCACAACTTACGGTCCTGATAAGGTCATTGACGTTCAGCGTAGGCAGTGCTGGCCTTGGAAAACAGACCATTCAGTACCTGGCAGCTCACTCGCCTTCACGCATTTACCTGGCAGCGCGTACCCCCTCAAAAGCCGAGTCTGCAATCGCGTCGATCCGCGAAGCCGTTCCCGATGCCCCTGTCGAGTATCTCCCGCTCGACCTCACGTCTTTCTCGTCCATTGCTGATGCGGCGAGGGCTTTCAAAGAGAAGGAGAAGCGCTTGGATATACTCATCAACAATGCGGGCGTCATGGCTATGCCGTACAGCCTGACCAAGGAGGGTTATGAGATCCAATTCGGCACGAACCACATGGGCCACGCCCTGCTCACCAAGCTGCTCCTACCGGTGCTGCTCGAAACCGCAAAGGAGCCAGGTGCCGACGTGCGCATCGTGAATCTCTCCAGCATGGGCCATTGGGGCGCTCCCTCCGGCGGCATCATCTGGGACCAGAAAGTGCTGGAGCAGCAATACACTTTCCGGCGGTACGGGCAATCCAAACTGGCAAATGTCCTGTTTACCAAGGAGCTCGCTGCTCGGTATCCGCAGATTACGTCCGTTGCCGTGCACCCGGGCGTTATCATTACCGATCTGTATGTGTCGTTTCGGGCGAACCCGATTTCGAAGATTGGACTGTGGGTGTATCAGCTTTTGACACCCATACTTCCGGGGCATTTCAAGGACGCGAAGGGTGGGGCGTTGACGCAGACGTGGGCGGCGACGGTGCCGAAGGAGCGGTTGGAGAATGGGGCGTTTTATCGGCCGGTGGGGATCAAGATGAGCGGGAGTAGGTACGCGCAGGATGCAGGGCTGGCGAAGAAGCTTTGGGAGTGGACGGAGGCGGAATTTCAGAAACATGGGTACTAGTGCCCTATGAAGGCAAGTGTTGTGCATGCGTTCGTTTTCTACATTGTTTAATACCCGCTGTTGATAATACCCATTCCTCATACTTCAGCACAAGATCAGACCCACGACCAATGCATAAGCCATTCGTTTGTGGAAATACCGGGCAGAGACCTCAGGAGCCCGACTTCGTCACCACTCGCCACAGAGTCCTCATCGCTCTGTGTCGAGGCGTGGAGTCGCAGCTCTCGGTTTCAGTTCGTTTAGCTCCTTTCCCAGATAAACTACGCATCAGTCTCGCTTCTGCGCTGTGCCATGTTGCTGCGGTATTTCGGACCATGGGCCTGCTGGGGAGTCTAGCACTGCGCGTAGTGCCACTAGAACCTCGAAGATACCACGTGTTGGGCGTGCATGGTGGGGATAATGGGGATATTGGAGATATTGGAGTTGATGAGGGGGACATTTCGAAGAAGCCGGCTGCATTTCTGTGGATGATTCTATCAGGCGAGAGGCGGCTTCTGATGTATTCGTCGTTTTCCTGAGATTGTTGTAATGTCACGGGAGAGTGCGCAAGTGGGTAGTATTGCGGCCTGGTTTCAAGACTTAGTCTGCCGATATGTCCTCCGCTCTCAGTCCACTCTTCAGCCGTGTGCTCAGCTTTTCGAGGCTCTGTTGTGTGACCCTCTATTGTTTGAGCATTCCGGCTTGGTAATAGCGGTTCTTGATCCTCCTCAACTCCCTCGCAGTCTCTCTCAAAGTCAAACCTGGGCAGTACCCCTAATCCTTCACTGACAAGTTGCTCATACGTCGCATGTCTCCTCTCCGCCCTCTCATACCCTGTCAATCCCCTACTATCCCGAATGAAAGATACCTCGTCCTCGTTGGCATACTGGGCATGCACCGGGCCCTCCTCGCTACCACGATCAATCCCATACCTAAATCCCTCCAACACCTCCCTAAACCAATCCCTCCTCTCCCCTTCATGACTCCCCGGCCTCCAGACCCCCTGCTCTGTAGCAGGGTGACGCGCCCATCCCTTTGAGTCCATCCCCCTTGGTAGACCCTGACGAGCACACCGTGCACACTTCTCAAGGGTGGAGTACATGAGCATTGTTCGTTGCACGGAGGCAGGGAGCCGGGGCACGATGGTGTGCATTAAGCGGCCGGAGGAAGGGGAGCGGGAGACGTGGATTATTTCGGAGGGGTGTCCGCAGCGGTAGGTGCGGCTCGTTAGGTAGGGGTAGGACATTGTGAGGAGATAGGTATAGATGGTGCGAAGAAGCTATGACGATTATGCAACCGATGACATTGGTAAATAGGAGTTGAAACAAGTGAATGCACAATTTGACGGTGACTGTTGAGACAGGCTAACGAATGGAAATTCTTGCGGATTAGTGAAGTCTACGGAGCAAACGGCCTGCCCAGGTGGTGTGGATTGGGGTTTGTGCTTGATAGTGGCTTCCATTGTATGCTGTTCGGATGGTGGGTGTTGTCCTGTGTCCTACCCTAGGGTACCTAGTTTGGAAATGCTGGTTATGGTGAGTATTACAATCGCTAGTCGAGAATTAAAGCTACATGCTATGAGTTTCCTAAGTCTTGATGTGCATTGTATTACGTATACAGGAGGGGAATGTTTAATCGGTCGAGGATGTCGATATGATAGACCGCTATCCGGACCACCCTGCTGGACTAGGACCGGCCCCACATCGAGAAACGTTACAACTTCTCCACATCAAGAAATTTCATTTATCTATTTGCCGCAACATACGTGAACGGGAAGGGATACAAGCGCTGGCTTCTGAAAATGTGCGTCAGCGAGGAATTCGGGTTTTGATCCGTCCCAGTTGTGTTCAGCGGCATGTGTTTCCTCCGGACAAGGACTTTTCAAATCTTGAAGGATGAATGGATAGGCATGGGGAATACAGATGAAGTGGAGACGCCAGCGCAAGCACATCTCTTGAACGAACCCAGGAATATGTTGTTTTGGATAGCCTCTCTTGCCATATTTAGCCATGTTAATTGCTTATAAGTATGTGCCAAATGAATGACCCCCTCACTTCTGTCTAGTCCCATTGCCATAAGGGAAGTACATATTCGAGCCATGCTCGCACTATTCTCCTTGATGTAAAGCCATTCGATCTCACTATCACACGCCAGTTGCCCACTTCAAGATGCGGTTCTCTACTCTTCTCGCCCAAGGCCTTCTTGCTATATCATCTGTAGTATCCGCAGTAGCAATTGACAAAAGACAATCAACGACTCAAGTCTACAAATTCTCCGCATCCCCCACTTCAGCGGAAGGCATCGCTGCACGCTCAAACGGCCAACTCCTCGTATCTTTCTTCGACAAGGGCGAACTCTGGGGCGTCGACCCAGCCACGAAGAAAGCCTCCAAAGTCGCCACGTTCACTGATGCCACCTGCGCAGGCGGCATTGCCGAAATTGCTCCGGATGTCTTTGCAGTCGTCGCGGGTCAGTTTTCGTTCGGAGGAGGCCTTAAGACGGGCTCATGGGCAATCTGGAAGGTGGACTTCACTAGCGGGACGGCTCAGACATCTGTTCTGAAAAAGGTGCCGGATTCAGGGTTCTTCAATGGGCTGTCTGCTTTTACTAACGACACCATCCTTATTGGAGATGCTTCGAAGGGTGCGGTTGTGGCGATGAATGTCAATACCGGTGCTTATAGCACGGTAATTCAGGACGCGACGATGGCTCCGCCTGCCAATGCTGGGTAAGTGAACGGCACCCGCAGCCTCCGTCTATTACTCGCGTCGCATATCTTGATTCTACTTCAATCAGTTAAAGTCATTCTCCTCCATTTAGCCACTCACTGACTCCTATCTTAGCATCCCCATGGGCATCGACGGCGTCCGTTATTTCAACGGCACTCTCTACTACACCAACGTTTCCAAAAACACCTTCCACAAAGTGGCCGTCGATGCGACTGGCAAGAAGGTCGGCAACATCGCCACCATCTGGTCCAACACCTTCTCCGACGATCTCTGGGTCGGTCCCGATGGTACTGCTTACGTCGCCACTGGCAGCGCTGGGAAAATCCAGAAGGTGACTCCTGACGGGAGGATCAGTACCTTGGTGAATATTTCTGGAGCGACGTCGGTTACTTTGGGGAAGACGGAGGCGGATAAGAATACGCTGTATATTGCGGGGAATAACGGGGTTATCTCGAGTGTGAAAGTTTAGGTCGGTGCGATGCAGGCTTTGGACATGCTGAGGTCTGACAGTTGAGTGTCCGTTTCACCAGATATGTCGAGGCAATTATTGGCGCTCTGCCCTCTGCCGGTGCATGCCATCGTCCGTTCCTGCTATTTTCTCAATGTCGTTCTCCGGAGGTGCTAAATGTCTCGCTGGTCTGGATTAGGGATTGGTAAAGGGGAAATGTCCAGCTAAATGGTCAGCGCTTTTGAATTGAAATATTCAGAGACATCATTATCCCGATCTACGTCCCGTGGAACATGGACGATGATTCTGTAGAGGTTTTTGTTTTCTTATGGATGATATTTCGATGCAATTGCGCAGGAAACGCTTCCGAGAATGGAAAGGGGGCCGCCTATGTGGCATATTAATACGTTGTCATGCATTGCACAGCAATACGATGCAGGAACGACGCTGGAATTCATTTCAAATGAACCTTAATGTTTGAAGAGGAAGGTGTCTAGTCTGCGCTGTTGTCTCCATTTAACTATGCCTCCTTTCAAACGAAAAATAATCAGCGCTTCAGGTTTGTCGAGCATACAAATGGCCCTGCCAAAGATCGATAATATCTCATACTGATCTCGCTCGTGTATCGTGAGGAGCCTGGCCCGGTTGACTTCATTAGGGTAGGGATCCGCAATACTCCAATAGAAGTGGATAAATGTCTGGATTTGGCTAAATCCATCCACGTCGGTACCCGAACTGAGGGTTGTATAATGTAAAAATGAACTTCCGAGATGTCGGATGCAGCATGGGTCTCTCATATAAGATGCGTCGTTCCTGCGTCAAAAAACTGGTCGCGGCTTTGCTTCCAGGAGAATCTGGCGTTACTATCTCAAGGTCTGTAGAGGCGAATTCAATTTCGCGCTCTGCATCCTCACATCCGGTTTCGAATTTCAAAGGCCAATGTAAGAGTATAGAAGATGGAGCTCACCGCCTTCCTCATCATCGCCGGCTTCATACCTACGTCACTGGCACAGAATTGGCCGAATTCAACTACGGCAGTCGAGCCAACTCCGACACCCATCGCTCCATGGAATGTAACGCACTATGGAGGCGAAGTCAACATTACCAACAACCTCGCCCTGACCCCTCCCATGGGCTGGAGTTCGTGGAATAATTTCGGTCCCGACATCAACGAGACATTGATCAAGGACACGATTGACGCTTTAGAGCGGACCGGTCTGAAGGATGCGGGCTACATCTACGTCAACCTCGACGACGGCTGGCAACGGTACAAAGGCTCTCGAGCGGAACACCCACTGGAGGTTGATCCCGTCAAGTTCCCCAGCGGAATAAAAGCGCTCGCCGATTATGCGCACTCCAAAGGATTCAAACTAGGCATCTATAGCGGGCCAGGCGACACGACTTGCGCAGGATACACGGGATCGGAGGGTCACGCCGAAGACGATGCGAAGATGTTCGCATCCTGGGGGATCGATCATTTGAAATACGATAGTTGCTGTTCGCATCACGACGCTCCTCAATCCGAGGTGCAGCAGGTAATGCTGGACATGAGCCGAGCGCTCATTGCAACGAACCACTCCACGGTCTTCCATGCATGTCACTGCGGCTGGGCGAATGTCTGGGAATGGGCCGGAGAGGAGGGCGCCAATCAGTGGCGAATCGGGCAGGATATCTCGGATGATTTCAACTATCCCGGCAACCGCGAGAAGTACTACTTCGACGTTCTGGACATGCTTGATCGGGGCAACGAACTTGCGCAGTACTCCGGACCTGGCCACTGGAATGACTACGACATGCTGATTGTGGGATTGAATGGCGAGAGCAAGCAACTCGTCGGCACGGGAGCTAGCAACCTCGAATACCGCACTCATTTCAGCCTGTGGTCTATCGTAAATTCTCCGCTGCTTATCGGCGCCAATATCAACAAGTTGGACAAATACGATCTCGAAACTCTCACCAACAAGGAGATCATTGAGCTAAATCAAGACCCTCTCGGCCAGCCAGCGACCTTGCAATGGAAGAATGAGAACAATACTCTTCAGATATACGCGAAGCAAATGAAAGACGAGAGTTTGGCCGTGCTACTACTCAACAGGGGCAGCGATACGGCGTATATCACCGTGGACATGAGACGCGATTTGACTGTGCCATGGGATGTTTACCGCATGAGAGATCTTTGGAAGCACAAAGATCTGGGTCCGTACGATATACCGTATACAACGGAGGTGAGGAGCCATGAGGCGAAGGTATATCGTGTTTGGCAGGTTGCTTGCACAGTTGGGTGTTAAGTTTTGCGGGTTCGTTGGCGTGTTTCAATTCTCCGGTCAACACAAGTAGTGACAGATGACTTCAGTTGCCTAATGGTTTGGAGGTCCTTGCGACTGGACATTAATACGATGCTGGCTTTATCCACGGTTGAGTTCGTTTTTACGCTTATTGATTTGGGAAGACCTGTAACTTTCTTACAATCCGACTTCCCCGTGGTTGTGCGCTGCGAGCAATATTCCTTATTGGCAATGTGCCTAATTTCTATCACAGCAGTGACAGTATGGTTCAATCGTAGGTTTAGGGCCTGAGACTACCCGTCACGGAAGCGCATTAGAGACAAGGAGCTCGAGAACAGCCGTTGGCCTCTTGATCTGATCGCTTCGCTCTTCACTAGGGCTGTACATCAGCATGTTCCAATGAGAATGCACGTAAATTATGTTGCCAGGGTGGTCTGAATGCACCTATAAAAACGTCAATATGGTTGTTGTGGCATTGCATGAAGCCAGAGACTACTTGGTAGTCCTGGTCTTGGTCTATCTTACAGTTTTGTTTCACTGTCATGTCGCAAGAACTATCCGGTCAGAGAAACAATGATTACCTCAGGTCTGAGCTGGGCTTCACATACTCTAACCCAGATGCGGTAGCGACTTTAGCACTTGAAAGACTGTCTGAGTTGTTCCAGCACAGTCGCAAGACAAAAGGTGACGCACGTGACGGTATTCACATAGGCACAAGTGTCATATATAAGCCATACCCCAGAAGTCTGTTGAATTGCAACAAAGATGGCAATGGTCAACATGAATGCCAACAGATTCGCGGCGTTACTCACAGTTGAACCAAACGGCAACACGGCTCGAGGAACTTCTGAACGGACGAATCCCGCTAACAGAGCATCTCGAGAGGTCTTCGTCTTCCTCCTTGGTCCGTCCGAGCCACTCAAAGTCTCTCTATGTCGAAGGATTCAGCAGCAGATACGCAACCTTGATATCATCTCTGCAGAAAGCATTCTCAACGAAATTTTTCAAGACAAGTCAGGTAAGGTAATGCACAAGTACCATCTGACGGAAGAGGAGAATAGAGAAATCGAACAGTATGGGAACAACGGAGTGGCTATCCCCACTGCAACCATGGTCAAGATTATGGAAGAAGCGATCTTTCCTGCTGGCCAGAAAGGGCAAGTCAAGCCTAAATGTCTCATCGAAGGGTTTCCCCGGTCAGTGCAGCAGTGGCGGGAGTTCAAGAAACGCTGCAAGAAGCATGGTAGGTGGCCAGGTCGTCCACGCTGCTTCTTCATCGCCATCGAACCGGAAACTGCAGCATTCGCCCCAAGCTGCCCTGGTGGAGAGCTGGGAAAGTGGAGTAGGGAGCGCAATTGGTCAGACGAAAAGGATGCTCTTTTGGGAGCGGCAGGGGACAGTGCGAACGAAGTTGTAGGACCAATTCGTGTGGATTTGAGCGCTCGTAACGTTCTTGATGTCGCTCAAAGGATTGTCAATGCTTTTGAACGGAATGCCGAGTGGAAAAACATCTCCGGTTCGACGCGGATGGCAAAAGGCTGGTTCCAGACTTGAGGGAAAGTAGCAAACCGCAATAACAGTAGGAGGACATGTGGCAACGGAAAGCGAGGTCAGAGGACATGAAGAATATACAAAGCAGTTGTAGTATCAAGGACTCCCAGATTGATATTATTTCTCATGAATCACTGTAGCTAACCCACCTGTAAAAGCTTTCTGGATGCTGAGCTCTGTCTCCCCGAACCCAGTTTAAATGCAGAGAATTTAGAGCATCTTAACGTTGAAGATAAGCAAAGATAAGCACACAAATAAGAGAAAGGAAGATGATAGTCACCAGATACGTGGTGTTCCTAGTCGATGGTTGTGAAAAAAATAAAAGCAGGCAGAAGTGTGATCTGCGGAGAAATATGGAAAATGAAAAGCCGGAAATCCTCAGATAAGCCCTTCCGCCAGGTGAAGGAGAATGCTGCTCGCTAGATGGCAGACTGCGTAAGTCGTAACTCGTCAGGTCTCCCTCTGCAAGCCACACACAGCGTCTCTGAAGGTCTCAATCCCCTGCTCTAACATTTGTTTGCGCTGTTCGAGGTAGTTACGACGTGCAGTGGTCTCCTTGGCCTCGGCGGCGACGCGTTCCACTTCTTTATCGGTCATCTGGGTGATGACCAGAGGCGACAAAATAATGTCTGGGAGCGGCTCGACGAGGTGACGTTCGATAACTGTCTTGACGACGGCATTGATGAAGTACATGCGCTCATCCTAGCAAAACTGTTAGTAAGGACTGACTGACGATCTGGCATGGTTTGGAGAGCCAATACCTTGTAGTACACTTGCTGATTGTCCAGAGCCTCTTCTGCAGAGAATCTATCCATGTTCTGTTCAATGGATCTTCCAAATGCTTCTTCGAGCTTGACGGGATCGATTTGCTTCGTCGTTCCCCCGCTCGCAGAGACAACGCTCGCTTCGGCCTGCTTGACAGCATCCTGGGTTATTCGAGCGTTCTTCCTCTGACGCTGCTTCTGCAAATCTATTGTGAAGTGCTCGTTATAAGTCATTGGGGTCGGGCCTTGTCCTTTATGAGCTTTGCCAGTTCGTCCTTGCTGGATTCCTTTGCCTTTGCCAACGCTGGATCCACGCACTGAGTCAGGAGTCTGTCGAGGATCTCTTTGGGGGCTTTGTATCCAATGACTTGTGGACAAATTGCTTGCAGACAGATGCGACACTTTCAATGTGCAGGTCGGCAATATCGTTCCGCGGTGCGCTCTGATCCCAGAATAATTGAGCGATCAACGTGGGGTTGAAGTTTCCCGGGAGCTCAGATCCGCGAGAACGTTCCAGGATCTTTTGGACCCAGTCGATTGCTTGTGGACGCGTTGTCTGTTTTGGCTTTGGAAGCTTTGCGCCCAAATCATCGCGGTCCATACTAGCAAGCTCTTTTTTGGCTTTCTCCGCTTCTTTCACGTCTGCTTCGCAGTCTCCGGGACCGCACTCAATAGCATACCGATGCCCTTGTCGTCTCATGGTCTCCGCAAACTTCTTATTACGATGCTGGACGACCGCTCGAAAGCGGCGGATATTCTCACGAGTGTCCACACCAGCATTCATGTCGGGCGGTCCGAAGAAAGGGTTATCATAATATCCAATCACGGCTGACTTTAGGATATTGTGGATATCCAGAGACATTCGGACAAGGACCGATCGTTGTTCTCCAATAGTACTACGGCGTTCGCCAAGTCCATCCAGCTCCGCGATCGTCTGTTTCAGTTTATCTTGGATTTCCACCTTGACCAGTGGCAATTCCTTGGTCAAATGCTCAAGGAGGACTTCGCTCAGGCGCTTCCTGAGTGCCTCAATTCCGAGAAACTCTGGAGACAAGGCTGAAAACCCGGTGTCAGACTTGAAGAAATCCTTCTCCGCTTCGTTCCGCTCCTTGAAGCTGGTGTTCATTTCTCCTGGGCCACGGTTCTTGAGGACATGCCAGCCTCTTTGAAAGTAGATGTGTTTGTTCATTGCAAGGTCGATCCAGTTGGGTTCATCGCTCTTGTGAACTGCGTCAGGCTTTGTGATGATGCCTATGGTGCGCTCTCCGTCGGGATCGATTTTCCGGCAATCTTCAAGGATGACTAGAGAAAGGAAATATCAGCACCCTCCTGTGATCGATGAGTATCCAACAGATTTCGCTCACCTTGGTTTTGCCAATCATTTTTCGCCGAAACGATCGCGAGTATGATTGTGCGTGGGTTCTTCATGTACTCCCTGACTAGTTCAAATACAAGTTTTTCGTCACCCGCACTTTGACCTTTTCCTGTAGTTTGAATAAGACCGGGGAGGTCGACAAGTGTCCTAAGCAAGTTAGAAAAAGAGAAAGCCCTTGATACCGACATAACTCACAGTTGGGTACGGTCCGGTCCGCAAATCTCAATTGATAGGACGTCTCTCGCGAACGCACTTCGCCCTCGAGTTTTCGTCCCAGCGGCCGCCTTGACGCCAATTCCCATGGCAGTTGATGCCTCGTCAATCAATTCCGGCAACTGTTTGAAGTCCTTCAGAACGGCGGTGAACTTGCGGAGGGTTTCTTGCTCTGGCTCAGGCCGGGTCTTGCATGGAGTGATTCGGACGAGTATCGTGCTTTCTGTTGTTCGTCGCAATATTATCTCCGTCGCAAAACGCGTACACAAGTTCTCCTTGCGCGGGAACGGGATCTCGGTGATAGCCTCGAGGACACTGCTCTTCCCGCTCGACTGATCTCCACAAACAACGCTGCAATAGCCATCAGCAAATATTCCATACGACTTCGCGTCAGTTTGCTCACAGTTGGGGCAGTTCAATTGTGCTGTTGAGTCCAGATCGTCGTAACTTGTCCACGATGTCAAGGACGCTCCTCTCGTCGTCGGTCTGGAGAGCCTTGAAGGCGGTAGTGGTAAGCGAATTTCGTTTGATACTTGTCGGCGCCATTAATGGGTCGGCAATGAAGAGACTGTCTGCCGGCTCCGAAGGCCTGGACATTGGAAGTAACACTGAGATGGTAAGTTAGAATGCAGAGGTCTGCGAGTGTGAGAAGGAGAGAAAAGATAATGGTTGAGAGAGGTAGAGAGAAGAAGAGAAGGGAAGGGAAGAAAGAAATGGCGGGGTATATATATGTTCTCTGAAGGATAGACTGCTACGGCTTCAGAGGCGGGCCGCCGCGGGACGATGCTACACCGCCTGTCGATGTGATCAGGAGTAAAACTAACTCAAGCCTCAAGTGAGAGAGATAGCCGTACCTCTAGACTAAGACGGAAGCATATTCGCGACATGTTCTCTTACTTGGCCGATGGTCGCTGTTTGAGTGAATGCTCACCGTAATATCCTCCGGGAAACTGGACATCGCGAATGTTGCTTCTCTAAAGCGCGAATTGACAAAGCCACCTATCGTTTGCTTGCATAGATTATGTCCCTTAATGCTGAAATTTGACTTCCCTGCCAATCACGGGGGCAGCGTTTGATATACTTAATGGGCTCCCGAAGGCAGTTCGTAACACGAGCCTCCCTTGAGCGCCGCAGCAATCAAATTGGCTCTCTATGCGTAAATATCTGGGAACATGAGGAAAAGGCGAGATGTCAAAGACTCTCGACTGACGTCTTCATTTCTGATGTTGACCTCCAGCCGTTCCTGCTTAGTTTGGGCAACTGCTAATTACAAATACTTAGCAAACAACACGCCAAGCCAGGCTGGCTAACCTTAAATCAATGTCATTCCAAAATATGCCTCCTACGAAAATGAGTCTACTCTTCTATCAAATCACTCAGTGCACCTCGAGCTATTGGGGAGACCACCACGGCATCCTTTGTATACCTTATTACAACTTGGCGCCAGGCGCATCCCTCTTCAAACCTTCCCAGTCCTCCATCGTGTACAACACATAACCCTGATCGTCCTCCAAAGCTCCCTTGATACTGCTAAGTGCCTGAGGACGCCAGTACATGGTATCGTACTTGATTTCCTCCTTGCCCAATCCCTTCGCAGCAGCCTCCTTCTCCGTCCTCTCCCTCAGCTTCTTCAGATCGCATCCGTCGTTTCTCAACGGCACCTTGTTCTGCTTGTTATTGTGCATAGTCGTCAGGTTGTTCAGAATACGGATGAAGACAGGGACCGCATATTTGGGTAACCTGGAGCTGCAGTGTTCGAGCAGGGCGTTGAAGTCGAAAGTCGACTGATGCGCGGGGTCAATGTACAGTGCAGCACAACCAGCACGGCCATCGTGTCCCGGAACCTCCACGCCGTAGACGTTCGCTTCGACGACACCGGGGAAGTTTCCGATGACCTCGCTGACTTCAGCCGTGCTCACGTTCTCGGACTTCCAGCGGAAGGTGTCACCGAGACGATCAAGGAAGAACCAGAGTCCATCCGGGGTGCGGCGGAGGGCGTCGCCGGTGCGGTAGAAGAGGTCACCCTTCTTGAAGACGTTGCGTTCGAATTTCTTCTGCGTGGCCTCCGGGTTACCGTAGTAGCCGACAAAGGCCTCCTCATTGGGGATCTGGACGATGATCTCACCGCCCTCTTCGTAGGGCTTCCGTTTGGCAAAACCAGTCTTGGGATCCCGCCAGATAGCGTTCGTCTCGTGGTCGATCTCAACGGGAATATACGTGTTGCGGAGCATGGTGCGGAGGATGAGGCCATGATGACCCACTGCAGTCGCGGTAAATGGGCCTCTACTGACATTGAGAAGACCGAAGACACCCTCCGTGCTGTTGAAGAACTCGGCAACCGTCTGGATACCGAATCGTTCGACAAAGCGATGCCATACGTCCGGACGCATCCCGTTTCCGAACATGACGCGGACCTTATGCTTCTTGTCCAGTTCGCTGGGTGGGTTGGCGAGGAGATATCGTGCTGTCTCTCCGACGTAGACGAAAGCCGTGGAGTTGGAGTCGCGAATGTCGGACCAGAACCTGGAAGTCGAGAACTTCTTGCCAATGCAAAGTGTGACTCCAGAAAGCATGCAGGCGACTGCTGTTGTGCATCCGGTACCGTGATATAGGGGCATGCAGACGTACCAGCGATCTCCCTTGGGGCCGGGTTCGAGATCCAGAGTTCGGACGCGACCGCCTGCTAATGAACCTGCCCTTTGACACTCGAAAGGGCATGCCTTGGGGTGACCCGTCGTACCACTGACGAGGTCAGTTCAGTCTCTCTAAAATGGAGACATCTGACAATGGAAACGACTAACCTGGTGTAGAACAGACACATGGGGAACGCTCCCTTGATGCCAGCCCTATAGTGGTCCCCGGGCCTCTTCGGCTCCATCCTCGATATCTCCCCCTTCAGATTCTTATCCAGAATCCTGATCGTCATGCCAAGCTCGCCTTCGATCCTGTCTCTCACAGCCTCTATCCTCTCAATGCACTCGGCATCCTCATCCACAATCAACAACTTCCCCTTACTGACCTTGAGACAATGGATCAACGCATCTCCGGCAAGATGATGATTGATCATGGCCGGCGCCGACCCAATTGCCCAAGATCCCAGATGCCCAAAAATAAACTCCGGTTGGTTCGTCAGATAAAACGTGACAAGTGTACCGGGCTTGACGCCATTCTCAAGGAAGTAGTTCCCATATCGGCACGCCTGCGCATACGTCTCTTGCCATGTATAGCATCCCGTTCGCGACCAGATCGCCTCCTCGGTTTCGGGTAGTCTGCGCACCTGCGCCTCGAACCAGTACCATAGACTCGCGCGGCCTTTCGCACCTGTTGTTGTCGCGGACAATCGTCAGCTATGCCATGCTGTGGTACCATACCGGATCGCGATGCTGTGGGGCCCACGAGAGGGGTCGGTACTCACCCAGTCTCGCGAAGTCGCGCTCGTTGGCGCGCGTGAGGCGGATGGTGTCAATGTCCTTGGAGATGTGAAATTTGGCATCGAGATAGGCGGCGGCGGCGGCTGCGCCTGCAATGGCGCCGGCGACGGGTACTGTGTGAAGAGGGCGTCAGTGATGAAGTGGGATATGGAGATGCGGAGATATCGGCCAAGTGGACAGCTGAAGTTCTCCATATAGGTACCAGCTGTCTCGATAACAAGAATGGATAAGAGACGAACCAAGAGCCATTGTGCCTCTAGACTTGTGCCTCAACGAACAGGGCCTTCGTAATCCAGCGAGAGGAGAGGGGAACGGTCAGAGCGATCAGTTCGGACGAAACCTCCGGAACAAGGAACGAGGTGTGGTAAAGTAATGAAGAGCCTGCGGATCTCTGCCCGCTGCTCCTCTCCCGCCCGGAGGAGTCCCCATCTCACTTAAAGATGCATGTCAATAACCAATTACCCATTTACCGAGGCTGATGGCTCGGGTAGGGCGAATTTACGGCCCTGGCGCGTCACGTGGGGAGTTACTTCCCCACAATCTGGAACTTGCGGGATCGGGAATCGGGTGCCTTAGTGGGGTTTAGCGTAGGGGCTTAAGTGGACGACAGGTTTGATGCGGATGGGTGAAGGAGTGAATGTTTCATCATGATGGGATATACTTTTCCTTTCGGTTGTACATGTTTTGTGGACAAGAGACTTGCCACGGTCCCTTCTTTCGCATTCCTGTTTCATCCGAGGGGGCGTGGAGTCTACTGTACACGGCGCGAAGATGTCGATTCACCCCTTTTCCATCTCAATCCAATTCGTCCCATCTTCCAGCACACACTGAACGCATTTACCATACCAGCAATCCCGCAAACACAACAGCACTTCCCAGCACCACAGCTCCCGCGAGTTTCACCTCCAACTCACTCGCCGCAGAATCCGTCTGCACAACAGGGGGCCCACTCACAGTCCCCGAAGCTGTTTCGGCCGCACCAGGTGCACTCGGTACCAGCGTTGAAGGCACATCGCCCAGGACCGTTGAAGTGATGGTAGCGATCGGCCGCGCGCGCGAGGTGCCGCTTGAAGCCGGAGCGCTCGTGGATGCGGCTTGTTCTTCATCGCCAGTGGATTGAGAAGTGGCTGTGCTTTGAGCGGCTGAGGGAGATGAAGCTGGCGATGGAGATGGGACTGCTGGTGTTTGTCGTACTGCGGATGTGGAAGTTGGTGCAGCGGATGGCTCTGGCGATCCCGGCGCTGGGGCAGGCGCAGGCGTAGGTTGAGGCCGCGCTCCTCCCGCTGAACTCGTAGGACCCTGAGCAGGAGGTGCAGAAGGAGCCGGAGGAGCCGCCGAGGGAGCAGCAGGAGGAGCATTTCCTCCATTCGATGGCGGCGGCACTGTCTGCCCATCACAGCTCGTCTCGCCGCTAAGTTTAACCACCATTCCCACACCTGCAACTGGATCCGCAAGCCCATTGTCGCTCTTAAACTTCTCTGCATCAAACGCCTGGCCATCGCCCGGTACCTTCAAATCGGTAAGATCCCGGAAACCAGGCTGGTTGTACATCAGGAATGAGTACTGTCTCTGATCGCCTGTCTCGCCGAAAGCGCCGGGAGCCTGGTAAGCCAGCGCAGGAGTGGTTTGCGATTCGATCTTCACGATTTCGAAATTGTAGCGGAAGTTTGCGCGGGCGTAGTGCAAGCGTGGAGAAGAGGCGCAGGTGGTGTCCAGCATGATAACGGTGTAGCGACGTTGAGAAGAGATGCCGGCAGCGTCACCCAGAGCGAATTCGGGGAGTTTCGCCACGGCTGGGGCAAAGTTAGTATCATGCGTGATTCCAGATCATGCTCTGAACGTCTTTTGGACAAGGGCAAGAAGGGGATCGAAGGTAAGACAAAGGCACTTACCATCCTTCTCAAAAACCGTCCCATCCGCGAATCCGTTAACCGCATCCCCCGTATACGAAACTTGCAGCTCGTCGCTGCTGCGCGCGAAGCCCGCCTGTAGGTCTTGAGGGATGATATTGCTTTGGCTCTGTGCGCCGGACAGCCCGTGGAAAATAGAGGATGCCAGGACGGCATGTCTGAAGATCTTCGACAACATCGCGGATGTGCCTACTAGGAGAAGACAATAAAACTAATAAAGGCTGTAGAAATGCAGGGGAAAAGCAGTCGGGCTTGCCGCAAGAACAGAACAGAAAACAATGAGATTCGAAGAGAAAACAACTGAGAAACCTCGAAATCAGTGCCCTTTAAGCGTATACACCACCATGCCTTCAAGCAGTCCTAACACACATTCCCAGCAGGCTTATATACCACATCGTTCTTCTGGCTTCGCCTCGCTAAGCCCGCACAAGATGTGTGATACCCACTGAGTGAAACGTGCAAATTCTTGTATTGCTACAATTAGACTCGTGGCTGGGCTCGGGAGCGACTGTTCCTGTTTCAGACGTGTTTGGGGCTGGATGGTGGTGTTGAAACCGCGAAACCTTGTGGGGACTCTCGGAGGGTTGAAGAGCCGAGCTGTTGGTGTGTCGCTCCCCATCAGATACAAAGGTAGATTTATCACCACGCCACCCGAAATCGAGAATGGTTTTCGATGGACAAACTTTCAAATCGTTGTTGGAAGCTTTTATACTAAGTTGACTGACTATGGCAGCTTGAACTGGCCTGCAGACCAAACTGTCTTGAGATATCGTTCGTTTTTCATCATGTCTTCTCTTTTGGCACGAGAGAAAACGCCTGTTGAAAAATCAAGATATCCCCGTCGTCAAGTTGCGCAACAGATGCTGTCCTACAAAAAGACATTCCCTGCAAGGAAGTCCTTTATTATCCTCGCGAAGTATGCTTGATTGAATAAGTCAAAGTACTACTCTGAGCATTACAGCCCAAGCCATTATACTCCGTACTCGGTATTAATTGACAGGTTTCATATTGCGAATACCACAGTGAAGACATCCTGCGCAGCTCTGGGAATCCCGCGAACGTAACAAACCACCATGTGCCCCTACTAAGTTGCTGAATGAACGGCTTAATACATTTAAGATCGCCGAATAATAGTACGGTAGATGCCGGAAAGATGCGTTTCGAGGCGGGAAGTGCAGGTGAGAGGTGCCTGTTCTAGCAATCACTACATTTTGTTGCAGTCTTGTGCCACTAATCACTTCGGGAGTGGGTGGTAATTCTGTCCACTTTCTTAATGACGTTCACATTTGCAGCAAGCATCAGTATCGCTCGAACCAGTCCCTCCGTCCTCCATCAATCTCCTACTCCGTCTGGAAGATAAACGTACAGCCATCTGCTTCTTCAATTGTGGGTTCTCTCTCGTCATCGTCGACCAAATCAAATGGATCCATTGTCCAAGGCGTCAGCTCGTTGTCCACAAAGAACTCCACTTCATCCCCATCTGCGGTTGATTGCAATTCGCCTCCGCTGGGAGCAGCGTTGGAGCCAAAGCTGCGCCCAGCAAGTTATCCCCATGAAAAACAGCTGAGTATATGTCCGGATCGATTGCATATTTCTTGGCCTAACTCAGCCTCAAGAGATTCCCTTTCGTGGGCAAGTCTTCAGCGGGGGAGGTTCAGCGCCAACCGGTCCAGTCGAGGCGCCACAATTTCAAACATGCTGAACAACTGGCCAGATGCTTGTCAGCTCACGAGGAGGCTTTGAATCGGATTCACTTTCCTTGACGTTCTAATCCTAACTCGGTAGCTTCACAAGGCAGCAGTTCGCGAATCATTCAGTGGCCTGGTTGGTAGCTATTTTGTGGACGAGGTGTTGTTGCGCGTCCGCAAAATAAATGAAAATAGTGCATAGGATATCTATTTATTAGCTGGTAATGGGTTATAAAGCCCCAGCTCAACGCCAACTGGGTGGTTACAGGGGAATCTAAATTGTCGTGGCTAGCTTAATAGCGTCAAGGCACTGGTAGGTTTTGTAAGCCATAAGAGTAATATGTAGGTACTCCTTTCTAGTGGCGTGATTGGACTCTAGCCAATTAAATTGTATGGAATGGTAGTTCAACCTGGAAGGAAAGTGCAGGGGGTTGTTCAGTTGGACGTAGGAAGAGGCAGTCGTGGCCTGACAATATTCCAAGCTGAACAAACGGTAGGCAGCCAGCCACTGCTAACTTCTGAGTTGGGCTTCCGTCCCCAAAATCCCAACACTTGTGCCAGCAGAGCCTTATTTGCTCCTACCGCTGAGGGGAGCTACGATTGCATTAATCTATATACAAGACTATCATGACGGTAATAAAGATTACAAGTCGAAAACCCTCGGCTGAGCCCAAATCAGAGGACGATCACTCGACGTCCGCGAGCCTAACCGTCAGCCTCGCGGACAAGAGAATTGACACCGACTTTATCCATCCCGTGAATGAAGATGAACATGCGCTGATCACCTGGTTCATCGAATCCTTTGCAGCACAGGAGCCATTCAACAGTCTGAGAGCTGCGGATTCGCGCCGTGCCCTACTGAGGTACGGGGCTGATTTGGCCAAATGTCTCCGTCTCGCGCAACTATGCGAAGAAACTGCATTGGCACACATTATCCTCGAAATCCATGGATCAGACGGTTCAAACTCCAAGTTATCTTCACTCCACTGGGAACTTCTGGAAAACGTCGAGCTGTGGCCGTCGCCGAGACCCAAATCCGTTTGCGTTGTCCGGGTCCCATTCAAAGAGCAGGAAGACGGGTCTGTAGCAGAAGCAGCGAAAATATTTCCGCAGCCTGATAAAGTCCTGAATATAATTGTTGTGTCCGCCAGACCTGGGGGCACTGGAGATATACCGCACCGCGTTGTTTCCCGGAAGATTGCAGATATCATTCGCAGGCTTCCGCAGCATGAGGCAGACAGAGTCAGACTGCATCTTGTGCGCCCGGCTACCATAGATGCTCTTGAAGAGACGCTTTCCCAGTTAGACAAGCCCGAGTACCTCAACATTGTCCATTTCGATGTCCATGGAGAATATGACAAGGGTAATCAAGAGTGCGTAGTCCTTGAATGAGTTTCATTCTGATAGATCGCTAATATCTTCTTCTTGTAGCATTTGTCTCGCTTTTATTGAACACTCTGGAACCGGCCTGCAGCCAAGGTTGGTCCCTGTGGATACAGTTGGTAACTTGTTGCGCAAATACAAAATACGGCATGCTGTATTGAATGCCTGCAACTCAGCTCGGGAGTTTGATCAGCAACCGAGTTTTGCTAAACGACTAATGTCGTACGGCCTTGGAGAAGTTGTTGCCATGTCGTTTGAAGCCAGTTCCATATCCGTGGAAACTTTCATGTCAACCTTCTACGCCATGCTACTGCACGGGAAGTCCACGATCCTGGAAGCCACATATGCTGGACGACAAAGACTTACCAGTCAGCCAATGCGTAACACCAAGTATGGTGTCAAAGTCGAAGTCAGCGACTGCATCGTGCCAGTCTACTACTCATCGAAAGGGATCCCTTCGGCAACAAGCCTTGCACATGTAACGCAAGACTACATTGAGCAGGAAGTACCCGAGCCATATCTCGACAAACACGGGGTCGATGGACGCGAATCTGACATATTCCTCTTGGAAACCTTTCTTTTGCTTCGAACGAATATTGCACTTGTACATGGCAGCACCGGAATTGGAAAATCATCGTTGCTCAGACATTTTTGTTGGTGGTGGGAGTATACCGGGCTTGTCAAGCGTTCGATCTTTTACGACATGTTTGCGAAGGATCCAAACCTTGTTGTAGCCCTCAACACAGCCAGTATTTGCAAGAGGATACACCTTGACATGCTAGGTGAACTTGACACCGATGACGAAAGATTGATCAGGACCAAGGCTATCCAGCATCTACGTGCCAGTAACTATGCCCTCATCTTCGACAGCTTCGAAGCAGGATACCTGGAGTCGCTTCGAGATCGCCAACGGTTCATCATCGACTTTCTCGCCAAGTTAGTCGGAGGCAAAACTCTAGTAACCATTGGTTCCAGAGTTCCCGAAAGGATGGGAGCGCTGAAGAGCTTCACGCATCATTTGACAGGAATAGATATGGTGCCGTGCACGGCATTAGCCTCCAAGCTTCTCGCCAGTTATTCGAAAAATCTGCCGGATCTCAACTCCGATACGGTTATTTATTTCGAGAAGATTGTCAGTCTGGCCGCCGGAAATCCACTAGCTATCAAGCTTCTAATGCACGACCTCAGTAGAAAACCAACCATCTCTATCAAAGACTACTACTTTTCACTCATGGAAGGCAATGCCATAGGAATCGACTCTCATTCGCTCGAACAAGATAGCGAGAGCGGCGCCAGAGCTATGCAAGAGCTCCTAGCTCTAGAGGATCCATACCTCCTCCCCATCGGACTCTTCTGGGAATATCTGCCTCGAGCAGCCGTAGCCGTATACATTCTCATGTGGGACTTGGAACAAAAATACCGGACATCAGGACTATACGGTCCTCGTGAAATGAACATGACCATTGCTTTCGGAAAATGGCCGGAGCCTCTCCGTGATTCGGTCAAGACATTGGAAGAACACCTCTCGCCCCATTTCGCCTACCTGACCCAAAACCGCTTCCTCCAACAAACAAGTCATCCGGATAATGCTGATGGACCGGAATTGGGCTATCTGTCGATGAGCCCGCTGCTAACACTCGCGTTCCGCACTAAGCTTCAGGGCCAGGCCCTGGACTCGGCCAAAGATGCATTCGTTTACTTTCAAGATTATACTACAAGCAAGTGGGCATGGCAGCGCCAAACCTGGGAGGAAGGCTTGGACACGATGATCTCCAATGTCGAATTCGCGTTTAACAACTACTTGACTGCGGCGAGCATATTGGTATCTCGAAGACTGCTCGGCACTTCCGTCATACAAAGCTCCAGCCGGCTGATCCTTTTGCTGCAATGGGGCCTTGCTCTTGATTCTGGCAGAACCGAGGTAACTGTCAGTCTGTGGGACAAAGCTCTTGACCGGTATTGGGAGAAGATGGAACGGGAAGGCGATGAGGAGGATCAGCGTCGGTATGAACAGGAACTGACGCAGTTTAGTCAGCCCAGCACTGCCATTGTTTTGAAAGCCGTGGTCGATGCCAATGGGGTAAATATCACCGCCTCAGAGGATGCCAACATTGCTATAAGATACACTCAGACTATCGTCCGACTTGTAACTCAACAGGAGATCCTGAAACTAGCATTGATCCTTTGGTCATACACGGGTTTAGATCCTGTGAGATCCGAAGCATACTTAAACCGCATTCACTGGATCCGAGATCATCGTGTTCAGCTGGACAACCCGCCTTCGGAGCGACAACTTTATGTCTCGGGACTCATAGACCAATCACTACAGTTCCTTGAAGACTTCGAAGAGAACGGGAAACATGGAATGCACATCGTTCGCCCTCGTGGAATGGATATCACAGGGAGTTTCCGAGAAAATGGATGACAAACGCCGATTGGGATCTTCATCTCGCATTCTACACATGCGTGCGCTTCGATCTGAGCTCAAGGAACTGCTGGCAGAGTACAGATTCGACGATATGCGCCACAAACTAGAGTCGGTTTTCGATGCTGAAGTGAATGGCGGCGGCAATGATGCAGAGACGAGAATAAGCATCCATCTGAATCTCTCAGAAGTCGGACTGCTCAGCCGTGACTGGCTGTCTGCGCTCCAGCATCTCGCCTTTGCACTGTCCATCAGATCCGGCATGCTTCGTCGTCCAGCGCTGCATTCCACGATTGCTTTCACCGCCAGGATGGCGACGAGGAGTTTACAGGCCAACGATATGTACAAAGCCTTTGCCTGCATGAGATCACTTCTCGAGATTGCGAATCGCTGTTTCGCAGAGCCGTCGGTCGTGTGCGACGCTCTAGACAACCTAGTCGACATACTCCACGAATACGGACCTCTGAAAAACTGCGAGCTTTCATCAACCTTTTTGCATGCTCGCCGGATGGTATACTCCAAGAACGATGGATCGGAGCTGAAGAACCTGGAAGCACTGGCCGAAACGGAGGTGCGGGTTTCGAAACCTGGAGATAAGAGCGAAATGAGGCACACTGTTACCTCCTTGATTACGGTGCTCTTGATGCGATTGCGATCAGCCTTTGCAAGATTTCGAACTGGCGATGAGGAAACTTGTCGTAAGAAAATGATACAGCTTCAAGATGCCTTCTTATCGGATGCCAAACTCGACGACATGTCAGAGGATGTCCTCCGATACAGTGATACGGTACGTACAAGCGTCCCATTTAACCTACAACACAATCTTCTAACGCGCACATAGCGACTTCTCCTCCAGATAATGCGTCAAGCCGGCAGAGATCTCCTCGAGGGGAAGTCGATTCGCAAACCGGGAATCCAAGATGTCTTCTCCATTGCAGCGAATGGTTCAGGAGAAGAAATATTGCGGTTCAACACGGATTTCGTGGACATCTTGCTTCAGGCAGCAGGATACAAAACAACCACCTTCGACGATTTTCTCGGAATCGCAAAATTGCACGCAGATGCACCTGAGCTGTCGTCGACACGACCTGAGTCTCTTGGGCCGTCTGACGACGTGGAAAGATGCCTGAGGGGTGGATTTATGTTTCGAGTGATGATGTAGACCCAGCCAAGCTAGCAGTTCATCAGTCGTTACGGTGCCTACTACGCTGCTTCTGAGGCACACTGATCTTCTTGGGCCGAGGATAACTAGAGAGAGTCATATTTCGGCGCTTGCACACTTTTCAGACAAAGCAATATGCTCTCGGTGGCTAGTTGTTCGCTCTAACGTACTACTAACAAGCAGAGGGCAGATATACTTCAAGCTACGTTGTAGTCTATGACCATGCAGCGATTTGACTTTCCGCAGACTAGATCAGGAGGATGCCACACTCGGACATGTTTTACGCAGCATTCACATCCACCCATTATAAGAAAACGATGGAGAAAGAAAGGTAATTTTTTTATCCTACAGAAAAATGCTTCCACCAAAGCACCAGTCATAGTACCCATGATCATCGTAATCATCTAATTCTTGACATACAGATCCACATACTTATCCACATCCATATTATCCAACTCAGCTCCATTCTGCGCCAGCGCCACCAACTTCTCTACATGCTCCGCCGGATAGTGAGGACCCAAATGCCTCTTGTACTTCTTGAGGATCTCGGGCTTGGCCTCCTCGCGGCGGAGACGGTGGCCGAGAGGCGCCTCGACGACCTCCTCGGGCAGGACGGTGCCGTCCTTGAGCTTGACGGTCAGTGCATTGGAGATGGTGCGCTTCTCCGGGTCATGGTAGTCCTTGGTGAATTGCGGGTCCTCGACGCACGAGATGCGCTGGCGGAGGGACTCGACCAGCTCGGAGGTGGCCGCTTCGCTGCCGTCGGGGTAGTCGGTGGCTTCGAGGCGGTTGAAGACGAACATGGTGGCGACCATGTACTGCTATTTATTAGTTGAGAATTGTGAAAGGAAAATGAGCTGAACGAACCTGGACGCAGTGGTCACGGTCGGCGAAGTTCTCCATGGGCTTGAACTGCTTGTCAATGATGCGGATGCAGGCCTCGTGGGTCCTGTTTACAACGCTCTCAATGTCCTCGGCGGTCTTGCCCATGGCGGCGAGCTTCTTGTTCAGGCGCTGCGCAGCCTCAACAGCGGTTTGGGAGTGGAATTCCGCTGGATCGAAGTTAGCCATTGTCGGTAGAACTACGACAAGCCCAACATACCAGGATAGGAAACCTTGAAAAGAACGTTCTCCATAACGTAGCTGCCATAGGGCCTCTGGAACTGGAACTTCTTGCCGCCGAAGTTGACGTCGTAGAAACCCCATGTGGGGGCAGAGAGGACGGTGGGGAGACCAGGCTCGCCCCTGAGGACCTTGAGGCAAAGGTCGACGGCCTTCTGGCAGGCATCACCAGCAGCCCACGACTTGCGGGACATGGTGTTGGGAGAGTGACGGTAAGTGCGCATGGCCTGGCCATCCACCCAAGCTTGAGAGATGGCATCGCGGGTCTGAGCCTCAGTGAGGCCCAGCATCTTCGAGACGACGGCCGTGGAGGCGACCTTGACGAGGACCACGTGGTCGAGGCCGACCTTGTTGAAGGAGTTCTCAAGAGCCATAACACCCTGGATTTCGTGTGCGCGGATCATGGCCTCGAGAACATCCCTGACCTTGAGAATCTTGCCGTTACCCAGCTTGCCTCCAGCCCTGTTGGTCCGCGAGATCCAGTCGGCAACGGCGAGAATGGCACCCAAGTTATCAGAAGGGTGGCCCCACTCAGCGGCCAGCCAGCAGTCGTTGAAGTCGAGCCATCGGATCATGGCACCAATGTTGAAAGCACCGAGCACAGGGTCGAGCTGGTAGTTGGTTCCGGGGACCTTGGTGCCATTGGGCACGACAGTTCCCTCTACAACGGGGCCGAGAATGTTCCTGCACTGCTCGAACCGGAGACCTTCCAGACCACAGCCAAGGGTGTCCACGAAGACCCAGCGGGCGGTATCGAACTAGGAGAATAGCATATCAGCACCCCCTCGATCCCAAGAATAGCACCACGGGTAATGCTTACAGCAAGCTCCGAGTCAATGGGCTTGTTGTGGACATAGTTGGCCATGTCCACAATCTCGGGGTCGTACTCGCGGTTGGAGGGGACGGGCGGGGCAACGCCCGATCTGAGGGCCGACATGGTCGAGAATGAAGCTGGACGGGCTGCGCGGGCAGTGAAGGGAGATGCAGCAGCTGCGCGGAGGGCAATTGGCCTGACTGCTCTGCTGGCGAGGGAGGACCGCTGGCGGAGGGTGCGGGAAGCGGTGGTGCACAAGTTGCGACTGAAGGACGACATTCTCAGATTAGCCTCTGCCGTGCTCTGACGACGTCAATGGAGCTGAGAAGAGGAAGAGAGAAGTGTCGTACACGAGTGTATCAACGAAGGCGACGGCGCTGGAGTTGGCAACTGGCGAAGAAATTAATAGATGGAGCTCTGCCGCTGGTGCTGGTGCTGGTGGTCGGGCAGGTGGGTTCGACTATCCCGCGTCGTCAGAGCCGAGGTCGCCAAAACCCATGGCATGCTCGGCCCTCCGCGGCGAAGCGCGGCCGTCGACGTCGACCCGTTGGCGTTGTAGCGGGCCGTCGTGTGCGCTTTCTGAGCTTCATCCCGTTGTCTTTGTCTGAAGCGTCGATGGTGTTGTGCTTTTCTCGGCCGGGGAGCTCCAAATTTCACCAACGGCCGCTCACATATTTACATGTGCACTCGGTAAACTTGGAACCGTGGTTCGGCTTAAAACAAAAGCTGTGAAAAGTAGCCTCGAAAGTACATTTATTATATTCCGTATCTTCATCTGGTCACACCATTTTGAGGATGACTAGCAGTTCCTTACACCTGAGGATCGCTCGTCCTGCAAGGTCGTCGTGGAAAACGTGGAATATATACTTCGGCAGGCAGTGACATCAAAAAACCGTACAAGAGTACTGCGATAGGCGCTCGCCTTGAGTGGGTACTCCGGTCTAACCATTACAAACTCCGTTTTGATAGGCCATAGGACGGTCGAGTGCATACTATGAAACACGAATTAGTTTCTCCTGGCATCATTATTTCCATAACGAGATCGCAGTTCCACGAGTTGCAATCAAATGCTTCTCTGACGGATGAGGTCTCAGGAACATCAGACGAATACCCTGTTGTGCAAGTAAGAGCCCCTTGTCCGCCGGCGGTTAGTTCTTCCCGTCCGCACTTTACGCTAACTGCTTTAGGAGTCTAGCTGTGCATTGCCTACTCATACATATACGAAAGCGGCACTACAATGTAGCCAGCGGTTCATTCTGTCCCTATATGCGCAAAGTAAGCCTACATGATCAGTTGCAGCATGACAGCGCACGAGGACCAAAGTACTGGAAGTTCTGGATTGTTGTCCCCAAGTGCACCAGAAGCGCAGCACTCCTGGTGCTATTTCACTATCCCATTCCGAACATGCCCACAATGTTCCCTACTGTCTATACGTCTGCTTCCGATAGACGCAGCTCTCCGCATGGCGCCCGCTATATTTCAAGACTATACACGCCATGCTCTCGGTAAAGTCGAACCCACGACACAATTGTCTCTCGCTCAATCAAACTACGGGGCCGTTAGCATTACAGCAACCTCAAACCAAACTCTCAACTTACAGGTGTCAAGAAAGATTCCGCAACAAATCGAGCTCGTGCATTCAGCTGTGCCAACTGTGTAAGCCCGATCCGACTTACATGTCTCGAATGAACTTACGAAAAGCTTCATTTCCGAAATCTCCTTGTCCACCTCCTCCATGAATTGAATGATAAAGTCCACCAGTTTGTGCTTCAGCATCTCCTCGGTGTGGAAGTTTGTTATTAGGAATGAAATGTCATAACCCTAGTTGCATTCAGTACGCCCGCATTCCCATCAGCCCTGTTTGTACCCATACCTTGATAGGCTTTCTCCGCAAGATGAAGAAGGATTCCGCACGCTGTGTTAGGAACCGCGTGAACTTGTGTACCAGAATGTGTTCTATCTCATCTGCCTGCTTGATTCTTATGCTGATCCGCACGCTATTTATACTCGGCTCGATGTACACCTTTTCGTTTTCATTTCTCGACACAGTCAAAGGATTCAGGAGGACTTCCGGCGAGCTTGCTGCTTCAATCTCGGGTACATTGTGACGCTCGGAGGTCTGCGACGCGAAGTTGGACAGCGAAAGGGCGGCGGTGAGCGATGACCGCACACATTGGAGGTATGGTCGTAGCGATTGAGACTGCAGGCGTCAGCTTTGGCTCTTGCTTTCGATAAGACTCGAGAAGGAATTTACCATGGTCACCAGAACTCTGGACCTCTCGATGTTCAGCGACACAAAGGGTGCCTGAATTCCACTATTGCAGACCAAGATCCAGCAATGGCGGTGCCTCTCGCGGGGTTGATGGATCCGTCACCACACGGCAGGGGTCTCCCCTAGTGTCTTGGCGCTGGTGTTTCCACAGTCCGGAGCTTCCAAACACTTCTTACACATCAGATTACAATTCGCCCCACGACTCATACTTGCCTCTGATATTTCTCCTGTGCGACTTCCACACGCCACGTTTCTGCCCCGACTCATACTTCACATACGGGAAATATGGACCCCATACCAGGTATGTAAACATGCCGTCTTGCCCCTCCAAGCCCACCGGCCTGCTACAGCAGCTGTGGCGGTGACGGAGAGCTCTCATGGGCATTGGCCGCAGCGTCGCTCGTGAACACCAGCTAATCTCACGGTAGTTATCGTCAAACATCAAGGCAAAAAATATGAAGTGGAGGTAGATCCCACCTCCAACGGCGAAACGTTCAAGTTCCAGCTTTACTCGATTACCGGTGTCGAACCAGAACGCCAGAAGGTCCTGGTCAAGGGTGGACAACTCAAAGATGACGCCGATATGTCGAAACTAGGGCTCAAGCCAAACCAGGTCATTATGATGATGGGCACGCCATCTGGAGACAAGGCGAATGTGATCGAGAAGCCAAAGGAAGCGGTCAAGTTTCTGGAGGACATGACAGAAGCCGAAGCCGCAAAACAAGAGGGTGCCACACCTGCCGGGTTGACCAACCTTGGGAATACATGCTACATGAATGCCACTCTCCAGACTTTGCGGGCCATACCTGAATTGCAACAGGAACTGGCGCACTACAATGCTGGGTGAGTTCTTGCCACCGCTCCGATTCTGCTTCTAGGCTCCATGTCCCCTTTCTTTCTCTCGAGCCAAGAACCTGAGCTAATCATTCTGATAGATCTGGTCCCAGTTCAACAAGCCAGCTGAGCCAGCTCAGCCAATTCGGCCTGGGCGGCCTTAGCTCTTCTGCAGATTTGACCGCATCACTGCGGGATCTCTTCAAGCAGATGTCCGAAACCCAGCAAGGCTTTCCCCCGTTGATGTTTCTGAACGCATTACGAACGGCATTTCCCCAATTCGCACAAAAGGCCAAGGATGGACATGGCTATGCGCAGCAGGACGCAGAAGAAGCATGGTCTCAGATTGTATCTCAGCTCCGCCAGAAGCTGAAGATCCAGGACACGGGCTCCGGGTCCGAGGAGAACAAGGCCAAAGATCTCTCTTTCGTTGACAAGTACCTAGCTGGCAAGTTTGAGACAGTGATGGAGTGTGATGAGCCCGCCGCAAAGGAGGCCGGTGAAGAGCCTGTGCGTGGGGAAGACACGTTCTTCAAGCTCAACTGCCATATCAATGCGGAGATTAATCATCTGAGGGACGGACTTCTGGCAGGGCTGAAGGAGCAGATTGAGAAGCGATCAGAAGTGCTTGGCAGGGACGCAATCTACACGAAGACGTCGCGCATCTCGCGGTTGCCCAAATACCTCCCGGTACACTTCATGCGATTTGACTGGCGAAGGACGACCAACAAGAAGGCGAAGATTATGCGCAAGGTAACCTTCCCCCAAGAGCTGGATGCTGTCGAGTTCTGCACGGAGGACCTGAAGAAGCTACTTATCCCCGTGAGGGACAAGATCCGTGACATCCGGAAAGAGGAAGAGGATGTCGAGCGAGCGCGGAAGCGACAGAAGCGCATCCGAGCCGGTGAAGAGAATGACATTGGATCATCCAAGGAGCCCCTTCAGAAGAAGAAGGAGAAGGAGAAAGAGGCGGAAGAAAAGAAGGCTGCCGAGGACACTGACATGAAGGATGTAGAGTACAAGACGGAGGAGCAAATAGAGGCGGAGCGAGCTGCCTCAATACTCGCGGCGAAGAAGGAGCTACTCACCCTCGTTGATCCCAAGCTTGCGGCAGATGATGGTGCAAACCATACTGGACTCTATGAGTTGCGCGGAGTCATTACCCACCAAGGTGCTAGCGCCGACAGCGGCCATTACACCTCCTTCATCAAGAAGGAAGGGAGCAGAGACCCTGTCACTGGCAAGCGAAAAGCGGAGGACGGGAATTGGTGGTGGTTCAATGACGACAAGGTCAGCGAGGTTGAGCCTGAAAGAATCGAGACCCTCGCAGGTGGTGGTAAGTCCTAGCACGATCCACAGCTCATTCTCAGGGCCTGACACAAGACAGGACAAAGTCACTCCGCTCTCATCCTTCTCTATCGCGCGGTACCCCTGACATCCATCGACGAAGAAGACAACAAGGCCTAGCTGTAGGGGAAGCGGACACGCATCATCCTACTTTATACCATGTCCCCGGGTACTGTCACATGTTGTCGAATTGCGTGGAGCTAGAGGTGTCCGATAGTTGCATAAGAGGTTGGGATTTTGGCATGACTTGCATACGCAGTTAGTAATGGACGATACATGCACTGGTCAATAGACGGATAATATCTCCCTTAGGTTTGCATCTCCCCGTTCACATACTTGTAGTCAATCAGACGGTGCGTGACCCTCTCATACTGCAGCGAACTACCTAGGTAGGCTTCAGTGTCAAGTCAGGCCGTTGAGATCATAAGCTCTCAAAGATGGGTTATATGATATCCTCAGATCTCTCTGCCAGCAGCACTGGACACCTGGTCACGTCGCCGGTAGCGTGGCCTCGAGGCGTTTGCCAAGACATGTTCTGCTACTCTTCACCGCGCGTCGACGCTCGCGTCACAGACACCTCACTGTCATCTTATTCCTCATGTTCTTCTACGCTGTGTCTCTGTCGCGTATTTCTGTTGTGTAGTCTATTCCTTAGTATCTCCGTCTCGCCATGTTCTACAGCCACGAGGGTAAGCTCGATTCACCTACATCTACAGCGCAATGTGGCTGACCACTGCAGTCCTCACCTCGCGGAAATATGGCGTGGCTACTGTCTGGTAAGCCAACCGCATCTTATACAGCTCGATAGCAGGATCTAATCCACGTCTCAGGCTTGTTGCCACCCTCGGGTCCTCCTCGAAGCTCAAGAAGATCAAGCGCAAGGCGATCCGTGAGGTGGACGTACCGAAGGCATGCCGGACAATTCTAGATCCCGGAGCGCCAATGGCGCTGCGGCTTCAGGGCAGCTTGTTGTAAGTGTTGATATTTGGCGATAGTACGTCAGTGTTACCAGTGGTTGTGCTGACACCGGCAGGTATGGTGTTTCACGAGTATACCTAGAGCAGTGCAGCTATGTGTTGTCTGATGCGGAGAATGCGCACAATTCAATGCGCTTAATGATGAAGATTATGAAGAATGCGGCGATTGATCCTGAGGCTGGGAGGGCGAGGTATGTACGACATATTTCATACCGAACGACCGGTCCTCGGATCAGCTATTCCACATGTATCACGATTGGGAACGAAAAAGTAGTCAGATCAAATGGCCGTCTACTTATTCCTTCCCGTTATATGGCATGACCTCATCTTATTGACAGCATGTACTGACATCAATCAGACCCGAGCAGCTAATCCTTCCCGATGATCCCGCCTTTTTGCCAGATTTCACGCTTCCTCCCGCGGACCTCCTTGTGGAGCTGAACTTTCCGATACCTCCTCCAGTCCAACGTTTCGACGAGTCCCAGACGTATACCCCCGGCGGCTCTCAGAGCAGCCATCGGAGCCCGACAGCTCCTCTTGGAAATCTTCTCATTCCCAGTTCGTCTCCAGTGGCTGCAGGCGATTTTCAAATTGCGGGTGACTATGGTATCGGCAGTGTAGGAGAATCCGGCGGCCTGATGGGCGTGGAAGATGTGGCACAGCCCCTAGAGGAAGACTTCAGCTTCGATGCTGATGGCAACCTCATAGATTTCGCTGCCGGCGAGGGGGGTTTCAGCACACCGCTTAACCAAAGAGGATCAACGATGATGAGCGATGCTGGGGCGAGTGCGCGGGTGAGAGAAGAGCATTTGGAAGGACAACAAACTGCAGCCGAGGTGAGTTTGCCTACAACTCACTGCTATATCCGTATCTTCGGTCTCACCTTCTTGTCTTACTTGCTCCGCTTCCGCATATCCCCTACCATTGCTTCACTCTTACAACATCTATTAACCTCTACCAGAGAGTCGGCGACCAAATGGAGCTCGATTTCCCCAACATCGGCGAAGACTTCCCCATGGACGATGCCGCCGCCATCTCACCCGACCAACAACAGCAGAGCAGTTCCCGTGTCCAATCCGACGGGACTTTCCCGTCTTCTGCATCAGCCCCAATGCAACGCAGAACACGAAAACCCAAAGTCATCCCTGCGGACCGCACCATGGAACTTCGAAACAAGGACCTCGCAAACTGGAACAACAACTACCTCCACAACATGGCCGAAGCCACCCGTCTGAAGAATGCACATCGTGCTCCCGCCCAAGCGAAGAAGAACGCAGAGTACTTCGTCTGGGGCGCCGGCGTTGGAGGCATCGGACGTCGACCCGCAGGCGCCACTGCACCGAGCCCATTGGATATGTACTGCGGCGACAACCTCTTCGCACTGTTCACAGGCATCGATCGGCGTGCTCTGCGTGCGGGAAAGAAACATGACCGTGACAGCGGGATCGATGAAGCCATGGCCGAAGAAGGGCGGCGCGTTCGGCCTCGCCGGAGTGTTGAAGACAATCAGCAACAAGTGGGTCGTGGCCAGGAGGACGAGGGGATTATTCTTGCTGAGGACGACGAACTCGCCATCGCTGATAAGGACGACGTTGAACTCCCGCGCTCTGCGCCCTCCGCGCTCGATGACCAGCAAATCTTCTCCTCCATGCCTTGGAACATGAGCGCCTCCGTCCGCGGCTCTTCCGCCGTGCCTCACAGTGCCCGGGTCGGCTCCGTGGGCACGTCGACAGGTGTCCTGGGCTCCGCAAGACTGCGCGGTTCGAGGATGGTGTCGGCGTCTCCGCTGCAGAGGCGTGCCCTGATGCGCGGTTCTGCTGCCGACCTCGAAGCTCTAGGTCTGGGAGGTCTCGGTTCAGAGCTCGATGTCGAGGGATTCGGGCTACCGGAGCAGATGACTTCGGATGGGTTTGGCGAGATGTTGCTAGCATCGCCTGGGAAGGGAGATGGAGGAAGTCCGGAGCGAGTGAGGGTGCAGGAGGCACTGTCGGCTGAGGGGAGCAATTTTCTCGAGTTCATTAATGATGCTTTGTTCGAGAAGCAGCAACGTGTGAGAGAGATGCAGGGGACGGAGGACGAGACGGAACAGGCTGACGAGGTGCTATTTGAGGAAGTGCTACCGCCTGCAAAGAATAGCAGGGTGGTGGCTTGTCAGGGGTTGATGATGGTTCTGGCCCTTGGGTCGAAGGGGTTGCTGGAGGTCAGGCAGGACGAGCCTTTTGCGGAGATTGGGCTTAAGGTTACGGAGAAGGCGAAAGAGATGGGACTGGGTGTGGTGTTCCAGCCCGAAGGTGAGGGTGACGCAGGTGAGGGCGGCGCGGATGCGGGCGAAGATGCAGAAATGCTTAAGGAAGAAGGCCAGTTCGACGAGGAGCAAGTGGCTGCTGGTGCTGGTGACGCTGCTGGCGCACCGAAACATGATGTACACGGCTCGGACAACGATAGCGCCAGCGAAGACAATGGAGGCGAAAACGAAGTCATCGAAATCAGTGACGGCGGCGACGACGATGACGATGACGGCCATGGAAGCAACAACGGAAATGACAATGACAGTCTCTACGCGGATTAAGGTAATTGCCTCTACGATCATGCGTTTTCACGTATACGGGAACTCTACAGGGTTTCCTCTCACACAACAGCGGGAGTCGGGACAAAGGTGTACGTGGCGGCGCAATCTGTGTTTCATCTTCCAACGATACCCATGGGATGGCTCGCATATGGGCGGATACTTTCACGGGTTATGATTTTTCGGAGACCTTTGTCTTTTCCATTTTCTTTCCATATATAGTGCAGAGCGGGTCATATAGTTCACGGGTAAAGGAAACGGAATTTCGGGCATATGTAGCGATCTGTGATATTAAAGCACACGCGTACAATCGATAGCAAATCATCTAGGGATGCTTAGAACAAGCAACATGAATGGCACTAGATGTCCCTGAGCATAAAGCTAAAGTGAGCGTCTCTAACTTGACATGAATGAGTATTACATCCCATTTTCGGAGCATTGGAGCGCTTAGAAGCAGTATGTCGGTTTGATGACGGTTACCCAAAGGCCGTATAACGGTCGAAAAGCCAAAAAAGTAAAAAAGCAAAAAAGAAGTGATTCTGGAAAGCTGACAAACCCAGAATCGAACCTGAGGCTTCAAGTGTCGGATGACTCAGCATGCTGGCCCTTATAGATGCGCATTCTTGCGCACCGGGGCTACTCGTCACTTCTTCCAGGAACGTTTTTGAGTATTGTTGAGAAAAGTGTGGTTGTGGTGTTTATATAGTGCTTGTATTTGGTTGTTGTGGTCCTTTCGCTATGACGTGGATGGAGTAGGGCATTCGGCGGTGAAGCGCGTCTATCCGGGGCAGCCACACCACCTAAGAACATTGATAAGAGAGAACACATTTCCGCTACGATCCTAGCTACTCCTGTAACAGTGCGTTTATCTGATCCGTGGACTGGACAGTTTGCAGCTTGTCTCCTTGAGAGCTCCTTCCTATTTTACTTTGGCTGGCAGCAGGAACGAAGACAGCACTAGAACTAACTACTGGACGGCCTTTAGAGCATGTCACCTATACATCTATCACTAAAGGCCCTCGCAAATATGCGTCATGCGCCGACCCAGTTGGGCTGGAACAGAATGAGGTATTTTGCGAGAGTGATGTTTGGTTTGCGGTTTGCTACGCGGACGTCTTTCACTGGCATCGGAAGAGTTTTCTCCGCAGCAGCGACCATCAATCTCCTCCTTCCTAGATACCATCTCTACAACTTCCACCTACCTGCCAATGTCGTTTGTCAACCGATTGGCCAATACCAACTGATACGATGCTGCTCATCCGCACACCTTTTGGACTCCCCTTCACGACGCCGGAACGCAAACTCCTGACGCATCCGCCGCGTGCACTGAGATACAAGACCACAACAGCCGGCGGAATCCTCCTCTGGGCCGAACGTAATTTCATCCCTAGCCCCGCCTCCCTCAATCAACTCCGCAAGAACACGGGCAAGCCTCCTTTCCAAGACTGGAAGTTCCTGGGCCTACAGCGCGATATCAGATACACCTACTTCGACCTGAGCACACGAAAGCAGCTTCCGCTTACTAAGGCGGGAATTTACTTGCGCTTAGAGCCACCTTTCGACTTGCGAGTCAAAGTACGCCAGGACGGTGACGCTATCAATGGACGGTTTAGGAAATACGAAGGAAGGGTCGGGACACAGACTGTGATGACCCAGTGGATAGAGAAGCGCAAGAGAGGTTCAAGGCCAAATATCGCCCCGATAGCAGACTTCAAATTCGACAGAGAAGAATGGGCAGTAGGGAAGTTCAGAATCGTGCTGGACGAAGCGCAATTCCACCATCCGATATTCGGTCGCTCCGTTGACCATATCATAGGAAAGGTGGAATTGTGTCAGAAAGTCGAAGATGGGAAGGAGAAGGTGATTGGAAGGCATATGGACTCGAGGATCAAAGAATTCATGAAAAAGCATCGTTGGGCTTTCCCTTACACTGAGAATGTACCGCGGACGGCGGGATTTGCTAAAGATTGGGACCTGGGCAAGGAGCTGGAGTGGTTCAATTGGGAGAAGCGGTGGCAACGGAACCCAGAGACTCTCCTGAGCTTGAGGCCGTTGCAGATTCAGGGAAAATTGAGGGCCTTTCACCAGTGGAATGGCTGGAGTGATTGGACGGTCGAGTCAGACCAATGAATTCGACGTGTGGTTTCTGCAAGAGCACTATGTGAAAGATACCGTGATTAATCAGCCAGCGCACGGTCTCACTCCGCGCACGATTTTCCGGTAATCGAGCGATCAACTTTTGAAGCTCTGCAGCCTTATATATAATAGATTTTGATCAGAATTTTTGGTGTAGCAATCAGAAGGGTATAAAAATTTGACTGATACTGATAAACTACATGCAAAACCTCTGTGGGAGGTGGATTTGCCTACCAGATCGTGATCGCGTTAATGAGGGCTCCTTATCAACATCTGATGCTTGATCATCAACAACATCCTCTTGATCAATTGTTATAGACGCAATAACCTTCTGCTTGCCTTTCTTCACCTTTTTAATATCATTTTTAAGCTGTTCATCAACTTGCCGAGCGATTTTTGCCTCCTCACGTTGGGCCTTTTTCAACTGCTGCTCCTGTAGCCGAAGCTCCTTCGTAGCAGCCTTTGTACGCCATCTTTCCTCAAGCATACATGCCTTTTCAGCCTTCTTGGCCTCTCTTGCCTTGATCTTCTCATCTTTTTGAAGGCGTAGAGCCTCTTCCTCAGCCTCTTTCTTAGCTAGTTGGTCCCGTGCCTCCTGAACCTTATTCGGTGACCAAAAGACCGCTCCACTATTGTAGTCCTTAGGCATCTCAAGGAGAAGAGGCTTACCTCGCTGCCGACGCTTCTTCTCATTAACAAGGGCTCCTTTAAGGTGTGTAACCTCATGGTTGAGTAGTTGATTACGTACGGAAACCGTGTGGATCATGTCACGGAGCTGACGGGCCTCGGTACTATAGATATCGATTACTACCTTCCGTAGAAGCCGCTCTATCTTTCTCCAATCTGAAGTGCTGAGTACCGAGGTTCTACTATCGCTTGAAGAAGGCCGATCAGGCTCCTGGGTGTTGAATCGATTCAGTATCGCTTGAGGATCAAAAGGTGATAACCCGGTAGTTTTAAAGGCCTTTAGAATAGTCTCAGGTTTAAAAAAGGCATTCCAGGCCTTGCGGAACAGTGGATAGAAGTCTCTTTTTGTGATCCTTGATAGCCCTTGGCAATTGTATAGGAAGTCGGCCAGTTCCGAGGAGTACGTGGTTGATAGAGGCTTGAACAGGCAGACATCAAGCGGTTGCAGGGTATGAGTCGAATGCGGTGGATATATGGCTAGTAGGATCTTATTACGATCGCAATACGATATAAACTCCATCATAACGTGCGATCCATGTCCGTCCAGGAGAAGAAGATGCCATGACCGCCGGGCTTTTGACTTTGTTTCGCGATCAAACACGTTTTTAAGCCATGCGAGGCCGATCTGATTATTCGTCCATCCACTGGGTGATGACGAAAAGAAGGCTTTGTGCTCTGATGGGTCAAAATCCTGCAACCAAGTATCCTGTATTTGGCCAGAAGCTGCCTGGTAGATCAGTACAGGTGTAAGCGAAGTCCTGTCGGCACAAATACAAGCTATCGTCGTAATCCACTCGCGATTACCATCCTGGAGAAGTTGCTTGATAGCTCTGGTCTCGTATTGATGTCGGGAGAAGATCCTCTTCATTTTTGATAATATCCCAATTAGGAAGCCCTTCTCATCCATATTGTATGTATGTTCAGGTTGGATATTGTATTGCTCGAATTTTTTCTGTAGAAGCTCAAAATATAATGAGTATTTAAAGGGTGAATCGGCTCTGTGGCGGGAAGAGTCTATACCAGAGGTCCATTTTGATAAAAGTTCGATTGAGTGTCGGCTGATGAAGCGATCAACCCAGCATCTGCCTGGTTCTTTACCAGCAATTTCTGTCGCAAAATTTCGAATCATTTGCTTTGAAGGAGGTAGGCCTCTTACGCAGAGCCCCTCTATATATTTGACAAGTTCCTTCTCCTGCAATGTACTGAGTAGCTGTCGGTTTTTGACATCCTTAGCGCGAGAGCCCTGGATGCCTCGGTGTCGTTTTGAAAGGGTTGTATGATTAACGCCATACTACGCAGCAATCTGAGTATAATTTGGTTTTTCTCCAATATCCAGCGACTCTAATGCAGCAAGCGCAGCTTCAATATCTCCCATATTGATGGAGTTATGTGGTGTTGAAATTTCGATCAATTTACGCCGAAGTGTGCACGGGGTGAGACCGTGCGTTGGCTGATTAATCACGGTACAGAGAACCCCAGATTTCAGTTTGAATCAAGGGTTTGTCGATGTTCAGGCCATGCTGGGATGATAGAGAAGTACTGCAGGGTCGGTCTGAGCAACTTATTATAATATCTGCTGTTCAATGTGCCACATTGGGAAAAGCTCTCGGTAAAACGATCTCCCGAGACCGACATCATCCCTTTTAAATCTATTGTATGCGTTAATCCGAAACTTCTTGGCGCTTTGTTTCGCGTTTGCTCTCCTCTCTGTTTTTGTGCACCTACCTGCGCCGCAACAATAACGCAATAAGACAGGCTAAAACTTATAAAATATTGTCTTCTTATAAAACTAAACTTATATTATAAGTTTAAGCCTGTCTTATTGCGCTGTTGTTGTTGCAGCGCAGGTAGGTATAAAGTTACTCTTTCGCGAATCCTTGCGTTGCTACACGCCAAGAATTCTACTTCCGCGAAAGGCAAGATAGGACCAAGGGAAACACCTACCTGCGCTGCAACAACAACGTAATAAGGCAGGCTAAAACTAATAAAATATTGTCTTCTTATAGAATCAAGCCTATTCTATAAGTTTTAGCCTGTCTTATTACGTCGTTGTTGCGGCGCAGGTAGGTAGATAAAAACGCTCCAAGAGAATGAGGTGTACCAAGAGCGACACACAGTTGCCAAGACGTGTCGGATTAACGCATACAACAGATACTGTACGTGTTCGAAAGGACAACCTTCAACTCTTACTATTCTGGTGCAGTAATAGCGACAGTGATACTACCAGAATGGTTTATAAACTAAGCACTCTGACATGCGGGATATGTGAATTTCTGCTTACGTGCCCTGGCGCCTCAACTCCGTAACGGACAGGGATTTCCCAAAGGCTTACCCTATCTCCACCATTGGCCAGCACAAACACTCCTACAACAATCGCCTCCGCAGTGCGGACACTGTCATACGTGCTGTGGAACAGAGATCGGCCTGCAGTACTGAAGAAAATTTCCTCCCCTTCTGCTCTCTATTTACTTCAATCATTATCACTGGGCATTCCAATTTGATCACAAAGTCATTACATCATGCCTGCAAACCTAGTCTCACCGACTGTGCAAAGCACAGCGCTGAGCATATTTTCCAACCTACTGGCTCAGATAATATCATCTTACAAGAACGATGTCAGACCTTCGCCCCCTGAAATATCATGATGCGAGAGCAAAACTAACGAAAATGTTGTGCAGACACCCATCTCCTTCAACCTCGCCGCCGTCTTCAACTTCGCCGTATACACGATCATAAGCACGCCTCCCAACATCCTCTGGCAGAGCTTCCTCGAAGACGTCTTCCCCACCAATGTCCCCGCTGCGCATCCCACACCTGCCTCTAAACCCGCATCCGCAAATGGCAAGGAGAAACCCGCTTCACAGAAGACCGGAACACGAACGAGCAAGACGAATGTCATAATGAAGTTCCTCTTAGACATGACATTGGGCGCCGTACTCAACAACCTCATGTTCCTCGTCTTCATGGGCTATGCGAATGCGCCAGCCACGGCAACCTCGGCGCAAGCGTCGTGGGCCGCCGTGCAGCACGAAGTGAAGGAGAAATTCTGGGTGCTGATGAAGGACGGATTGAAACTCTGGCCATTTGTATCGCTGGTCAGTTTTCTGTTCGTGCCGGTGGAGAGGAGAGTGCTGTTGGGGAGTTTGGTGGGTGTGGGGTGGAATATCTATTTGAGTCTTTTGGCGGGGTAGTTTATTGGGATGCATCTGGACCCGGTGTGTAAGCTACGTATCTAAGCATTTTGCGTTTTCCAAGGTTGTTTCATCATGGAAAGTTTGGTTATGACCATGCCAACTGCATCCAGATTGTTGTACAGCGTTACTAGCAAGCAGAGACAGTTCATCAACCAATACATCATTCAACAACTCACGTACGATTCCCAATGACTTTCCACCCCACTGCGATTCAAGGTCGCAACTCCCCTTACACTTCATCAGCAGCCCTCTACACCGTATAGAACGCAACCCGTACTCCTGGTAGGCGCTTTGGGAAATGATGCACGTTGGAATGGTAAGACCGGGATGCATTCGCTGAATCTGGGAAAATTTGATATATCAGACCAACTTAGAGATATTCGGGATCAAAACGTATGCAGTCAATGGTTGCCATTGAGAGGGTGGTCTGGATTGTTTGCGGGTTGATAATAACCACCCACTCCTCTGGTACAGGTAAGTATGACCGCATTCGGACTAGCGCGCGCGCAAGTGGATTGCTAGCAGTCTACCTCTCTACCTAGGTGTATAAGCCTAGAAAATGGTACTACTATGAGCTGGAGACATCTCAATGTGAACGCATCCAAAGAAACTACCTTTAAATGTGGAATGAAATATCTGAAGATGCAGGCTGCCGGCGCTTCATTCGCTAAGTGTGTCAAGTATGCTACACGCTCCCATGATTGATCTCCGAAGTAGACGTGGCTTCGATCGCAATCTATCGGATAAGGTCGCTTGATAATCACCGTATCCTTACGCACACTACTGCCCTATGTTGTAGGCATGCCGCTTCATGGACGTGGTACCTTCCCTAAAATCCAGGCCGCTCAATCATGGAATTTGCGATTCTTGTTGTCCCCAAATAGTAACACCCTGATCGAGGGCAGAGCATCTGTCTCGAGGAGTCTCAAACGCTCTTCGAAAGTGTTGTTTATGTCAATCTTTCCTCCGGTACCGACTACAACTACACCACCAGCGCTTGGTCCGAGTCAGTCCACAAAGTTTAGTAGGGGACGTGTCAAGCACTCACGAGCCATCGGGTAAAGGATCGCTCTCATCGATCGATATAGACACGTCCTTTCCCACTTTGCTCTTGTACTCTGCCTGTGCCTCCTCGATTGCCTTCCTCACGGTATCGTAATCCGCCTTTCGTGCCTTTACTTGTATGTTCTCTTCATTCAGCGCATATGTGCCTTCCAGTATCAAGTTCTTCAAGATGTCCTGGTATTTCTTCTTGTCCTTGGACACACCCTTCAACTTCTTGCTTGCCTCATCAAACAGCTTGTCGAGCAACTCCTGGCGTGCAGATAGGATCCTTATTCGCGACTTGTTTGCAACGGTAGATCTGGTGATTTGCTGGGACATGCTGGCCTGCTTGAATTTCTTCTCGTACTCGGAATCGATCGCGGCCGTCTCTTGGCGCACCAGCTTGGACTTCTCGATCGCGAACTCTTCGTCGGCCTTGATATGTATTTCGTTGGCTTTCTCGATGGCTTCCTGCCGGATAAAGGCAGTCATCTTCTTCAACTCGTTCGACACCTGGAGTAACCCATGGTTAGTTGCTTGCTGCATCTGACGTAGATCGACACTGATGTATGGCGGGGAACTATCAGCTGCCTGGAGGCTCCTCACCTGGTCGTCCGACATGGCGTGGACGTGCGACATGTTGCCGGTATGTGACTGTACTCTATAGGGACAAGAGAATCAGTGGTGTCTGGGACGAATGAGGTTGGTAGAGATGCAAGTTGGAGTTGAGCTTGGGAATGAGGTCAATCAACCAGCCAGAGCTCGGAGCATCTTTGGCCAACCAGGGTCCAGTCGAGCAGCTGCGGCGGATTATGTCATCAGGAGTCTCAGGAACCAGCTCCATCACAGCTACTCTGGAGCATCCCTTCTGTTGCTACTCAACTACGTCTATACTGTCTATTCTCGCCGCCATATAGCCGCTTGACACTGCGCAGCTGTCCCCGGAGCTCCGACTCCGCTCGCCGCGTCCTTCATTCACACGACATCATCACGCCGATGACCCCCTGCTCGCCTCGGCTGACCTGCCCTCATTCGTGGTCGTTGATCAAGTTGTCGCTCAGAAGACCGAACACCACGCTGAGAATCGACAACTAGAGACCAGTTCTCCTCTTCCAAAGCCCTTCTCTAACACAACATGAACGCCCCTCTGAGGTAGCAACATCGCCCCGTCGGGAACGACATATAGCCCGCCCATAATGATGGACCTATCGCCTGGAGCGAGCATCGCTGTACGTTTCATACGAAACATAAGTCCACTGTCTTGCAGGGTGTTCAACTGGGCTGACCGTTATGTTTTGAGCTCGGAGTGATTGTTGGCCTAGTCTCCACGAGCGTACAGAGCATAGGCCTGACCTTGCAGCGGAAATCGCACCTCCTCGAGGAAGAAAAAGAAGAGGACCACGAGCGGCGGCCTCCATATAAACGGCGACGATGGCAGGTTAGAGCGGTCCGCATCGGCGGGAGGAGCTAGACTGACTGGAATCAGCTTGGAATGCTTATGTTCATCGTGGCGAACCTGGTGGGCAGCACCATTCAGATCACAACCCTGCCGCTACCAGTTCTCTCAACACTGCAGGCAGTACGTTTCTCGACTCTAGTGTTGCGGGGTTTGCTAACGGGCGTAGTCTGGACTCGTGTTCAATTCCATATGCGCCTCCATAATCCTGAGCGAACCTTTCACTCGCTACTCCCTTGCCGGTACCGTTCTAGTGGCAGCTGGCGCAGGACTTATTGGAACGTTTGGTGCCATTCCGGAACCTTCCCACAATCTTGACCAGCTCCTCCGACTTCTTAGGCGTTATCAATTCATAATATGGATGATCGGGACTTTGGTCGGCGTCTTGCTCCTCCTGGTTGCTAACTGGATCCTCAAACGCTTACATCCACGCGGGACGCCTCGACTCCGACTTATTCGAGGAATGGTGTTTGGCTCCATTAGCGGCATCCTCTCCGCCCATTCGCTGCTCATCGCCAAGAGCGCAGTGGAACTCCTGGTACGCACCATCATAGACCGGCATAATGAGTTCAAGAGGTGGCAGTCCTGGATGATCCTTATTGGTCTCGTTGTTTTTGCCTTGACCCAGCTTTATTACATGCACCGCGGCCTGAAGCTGTGCAGTACCAGCGTTTTATATCCACTGGTGTTTTGCGTCTACAACATCATCGCGATAATCGACGGTCTCATCTACTTCCATCAGTCATCCAGACTATCAAACTTGCAGGCTGGCCTGATAGCTCTTGGAACCATAATTCTCCTTGCTGGAGTCGTCTCGCTCAGCTGGCGGCTCGAAGAACATGAAGAGGAACCTACTACCCCTCTGGCACACAAACGCTTTGGCGTGCCTCCTCCACAGAATGTCCTGACGCCTGGCATGGCTTTGGTACATGGCACGATGGACGAAGAATTCGAATCACCAATCGATATAGAAGATCTAGAACCCGGGATGCACGGCGCATTGACCGACCGGCGGCAGCGCCAGGCTGCCGATGAGCGGACCCCGCTACTCGCCCGCGCTCCTACAGGCCCTGCTGTTGTGGTCTCACGACGCAAGAGGAAACACCCTGTCATCGACACAGGTGGGCATCTCAGTCCCCGAGCTACGCTCTCCCCGGGCCGACCACCGAGACAGCGGCGCATGACCATTGCGCAAGGCACGGACGAGATATGGGATGCGCTCAATGATCGAGAGCATTTGTCCCCAGGAATCCCATCCCCGGGCACGGATCGCAAACCGCGATCCGGGACACTCCCGCCACGGAGAATCGGCTCGTCATCTAGCTGGCTCCAACAGATGCGCAGACGCTCTTGGTGGGAATCCACAGGCGGTGGCAAGCAAAGGAACACAGGTCTACCACATGCCGAGCGAAACGGGCAAAGCAATGACAATGGCCACCAAACTCCCGAACCTGATGATACTCAGTCCGACACAGACGTAGAATCAGGTCCTATGTTAGGCAGAACGCGCAATAGTCGGAATAGAGGGAGTACTGACTACGTGGAGAACCAAGGGTCTAGTGGGGATTGGTTCAAGCTGAGGTGGTGGCGGAAGAGGTGGAAGGATAGAGAGGGAGATGAAGACGAACATGATCATGACGCTACCATTTGATATCCGAATCCTATGTCTTTTGACTAATTCATATGAAGTCCAACTTTACAAGCATGGCGCTTGCTTTAACCACCCATTATATCGGTGCCGTATAGTGCATCTCTGTTTATGAAGTGACGAGCTCTAAGTTATCAAAATGGAGGAATCTACGGTGCAAAACTCGTCGATACTTGCAGTTCGTTCTGCCCTCAGCAGGAGTGCTGGTGCTTCTACCTATTGATGTAACAAAAGCGCAGCATCCAACCCAATGGGGAAACTTCGGCTACCCAACATGAGCTCCAGGTCTCCTACAACAACACCACATCCGATTATACAACATAAACACACTTGTCGCTCATCATGCTGGTCTCTTTGACCGTCGGGAAGGTAGATGCCGGGGTAGCCGTGCTTCTGACTGAAGACAAACGCCTGGTATGTATTCAAACGTGGGCAATCTACAAAGACTACAGCGGATATCCCGCGCTCGAGAAACGACAACCCCTGCGGGACATCCATGAGGACTAAGCATGCCTACAGATTGAATTCCCTTCAATCCTCCTTCCACCAGACATATCCTCCGGTAGCATCGTGGACATCACTGTTGCCCGTAATCACAAGAAAGAGAACGATGCCGCCCAAGCCTTCCACGCCCTCCAGACCACCATCTTCCGCACCTTCGGCCAGCGAACGCCCTCTCCGCCCGTTCTACGCTGTCGCAATGCCACCCAGACATCTGTCGTTCTCGAATGGGACCCCATTGATATTGCTACGGCAGAGCTGCGCAGTCTGACGCTTTATCGCAATGGAAGCAAGGCAGGCACGATCCCCAGGCCGATGGAGCAACATAGTACAAAGTTGAGCGGTCTAGCGGTGGACACGGAATACGTATTCCATCTCGTGCTCAGGACAAGCGCGGGAACATACAGCAGTGAGAAGCTCAAGGTGCAGACACACAAGATGACAGATCTATCTGGTATCACGATCACGCCCGGCCATATGCCGGCTGCACTACGCGAATCTCTGCAGAAAACTGCGGAAAGAATCGGCGCGAAGATCGTGGACAACGTGCGCATTGATACGACCCATTTCGTATGCACAGAAGGACGTGGACCCGCTTGGGAGAAGGCTGTGGAGCAGAACATTCCCGTTGTGGTACCAGATTGGGTCAAGGGTTGCGAGCGGGAGGGAAGGATAGTGGGTGTTAGGGGCTACTACCTGAATGCGGATCCGAGATTGCGACAGATAGGTCCTGGCCCGACACCACAGCAGCAACATCAATCCCCGCAGATTCAGCAACAGCAAGTCAGAAGTCCCCCGCTACCGAGTCCACGGACGGAAGTTACGCCGCCTACCCCTGAGAGACCTACGCATGACGGACGGGATTCAGATGCTGAGAGTGCGGCACCACCTCCTCCGCCGAAGGATGATCAGGTGGATGGGAAGAAAGAAGTAGTGGAGACTCCAGAACCGAAGACACAGACGGAAGAGCAGAAGGTCCGAACTGAAGATTTGAAACCGAGTCAGGAGAAGGAGAAGTCGCAGGCGGAGGCGGAAGAGAGTGAAGAAGAGGAAGAGGACAGGGGTGACGCCAAAGCCGCAGAAACAGTCCTGCCTACTGCGAACAAACCACGACAGCCAACAGTGGAAGACGAAGATGATGGAGCAAGCTTTCAAGAAGTGGACCTTTGAGCGTCTGATTCCTTGGCCACGTTACCAATGTCGACAAGAATCCTCATGCGAAGCTCGGTGTCAGGCGCGGGGTGTTGCTTGCAGGTTTGTATTGAAACTCGATGCGACTAGTTTAATGGTTTCCGGCTCCTAGCGCTCGATGATCGACTACCCAATACAAGCCGTATGATTTTGCTGTAATATACTACCGAATTTTTGTGGCAGTTTCCCGCTGACCGGACGGTATCGAGAGTGTTCACGTTCAAGTTTCTTCTTCTATTTCGCCTCTGTGCCTCTATCTGATTCTAACCTATAGCTTGGACATTTCTCCCAAGACCCTGAGATCGTCACGAGTGATCTCTGACAGGGACTTCTTCCCTAGATTTGCCATGGAGCTGTCAGTGTCTGCAAGAATGCAGTCCAGGACATGCTTGACTCCTTCCTCTCCTCCCATCGCCAAACCGTAGACGTAGGGTCTGCCAATCAGGACGGCTTTCGCTCCCAGAGCAATCGCCTTGAGCACATCGGACCCGGTACGAATACCACTATCGAAGAGAAGCGTCAAACCGGACTCGACGACCTTCTGATCAGCGCCAATCTCCGCCAACGCATCTAGCGACGAAATCGCCCCGTTGAGCTGCCTTCCCCCGTGATTCGACACCACAATCCCATCCATCCCGTGCTCAATCGCCCTATGCGCATCCTCGACCGTCTGGATCCCCTTCAACACAATCGGGCCATCCCAATACTTTCTCAAAATATACAAATCGCTCCATTCCCTATACGTTCCCGAGGACAACGCGCTCACAAACAGCTGCGCCTTCTTCATCGCCGTCGCACTCGTCAACACCTTGAGTGCGCCCGTCACACTGCCCGGTCTCTTGAGAATCTGCCACACCTCTGTGACTTTCTCCGCAATACTCCGCTGGTCCTCGGCTTGTAGCTGTTCGTACATGCGATTGAACACGGGGTCCGAGAAGGCTACTTGACAGCCCTGACCCCATATAAACGGCAAATACGCTTCATCCAGGTCCTTAGGCCGCCACCCAATCATGAACGTATCCAGCGTCACGACCAACACCTGATATCCCTCCCTCTTCGCCCTGGCCAGGAAACTCGCCGTCAATTCCTCCGCCTGAGGTTTCGGCCAGTAGAGCTGGAACCAGCGATCCCCGCCCTCACCATTCGCCTTCGCGACCTGCTCGATCGACCGCGTCGCCGCCGTGGACAGAATCATGGGGACCTTGGCCGCAGCGCAGGCCCTAGCCGTCGCTTCCTCGGCATCCGGATGCGCAATCTCCTGCACGCCAATTGGCGCCACTAACAGCGGACTCTTGTACTTCCGCCCGAATAACTCGACGCTCATGTCTCGCCTCGTCGCCTGCGTCAGCATCCAGGGCCGCAGTCGGTAGCGGTCGAAGGCGGAGAGGTTGGCGGCGGCGGTTTGCTCGTTGCTGGCGGAGCCTTGGATATAGTGGAAGTTTGGTAAGAGGATGGCGGCGCGGGCTTGGGCTTCCCATTCCGAGGGTTTTGTGGAGAATTTGGGGGCTCGCAGGGAGGAGTAGAGGGTTCGTTGGAATTGGACGAAGGAGTCCGGGTCGGGTTCGAGGGGGTTGGGGGGTTTGGTGGTCATTTTGCCGCTTGTCTTTTGGATAATGGAGGAGGGGGAGGGAGGAGGAGGGTTGAGAGTTTCTGTGAGAGGAGAGGGGTTATTCGGTTTGGTATAGAAGTGTTGTTGCTGGGAGAGCTTACACAGTACAGCTGACTGAGATGTTTAGACTAACGTACCGAGGTTGAGAAGAGTGGAGGTGTTGATTGGCTGGTAGATCCATTCTAATTGGTCGAGTCATTGTAGCATCGCTAAAATAGTTGATCCAACAAGTTAATCAACGAAGTGCCACAGACATAGCCTGTACTTCTCATCAAATAAGACATCTTGTGCTTTGTGTAATGCCCATTTGGGAGAGTGCATAGGCTCGGCAAGTGAGCAAGTTGAAGTTGTCTGGGGGCCGAAAAAGGAAACTGGGAGACGAATGAACATTCCACGGTGCTTTCAAACGTTATACAAGTACAAGCAGTGCGAGTTCATGTCTAGCTCGCAACAGAGCAACTATCGGACCTACAGCAGAACTGCAGCATCAATTGGTAGCTTCAGCGCTTCCTTCGCCGTTGATATAGACATTGCCCAATCAAGCAAAGCGCCTTGGCCGCAATCTACCTTCCCAAAACGTACAAACGCCCGCCATAGAAACCTCCATATCCTCCCTCCCATGCTGGCTCCTGTAAACCACAACTTTTCTCATGCCCTCCTCCACCTCCCCCCTGACGCTCGAGCGCATTCTGCTCGCCGTCGCAGCCATAGTCATATCCTTCCTATGGCGCACTTCCCAACCTACCCCTGAAACCTCGTCACTCACGTGCCCAGAGCCTCCCAGGAGCACCATACAAAGTGCTCCAAATTCCCAGCAGCACGAAAGCTCCCTCGATTCCGAGTGCGCCGGGAAGCCTCACCATGCGAGTTGGACGTCGTGGTGGCATCCAGAGCGCGTGTTACATAGCCCGAAGCATGTCTCGGAGCTGAGCGCAGGGACGCGGACGAAAGATTGGAATATTTTGTATCATTTGGGAGGGTATGGGCCGTGGATTGGGAAAGTGGATAATGTGGTTGAGGGGGGAGTGGCGCCGCCGGAGGGGTGTAGGGTTGAGCAGGTGCATATGGTATGATTGACTTGATCATTTGTTTAAGAATACCTCAGTGCTTTGATGTTCTTTCATCGTATACCTGAGACTAAGCTTTGGTATGGCCTTGGGGATCGGACTGAAGGCTGATTGGGAACTGTAGATGTCTAGGCATGCAGAAAGGTATCCTACTGTGAAGGCTGCTACAAGTGCGTTCTATGCCGTTTTCTGTGTAGAATGATAAGCTTACCAAGTTCCCAAGGAATGAGACGCATGGTCGAGAAGATGAAGAGCAGTGATGTCAGATTCACCGGCAGTCTGGCCTTCGTCCACGACTGGGAATTGTTCTGGTCCGGTGCGTTTGTTATTCCTCCCTGTGAATTCAAGCAATTTTTGTCAAAGAAATCATGCATTCGAGACTGAGGTCAACCTCTTCTATGCGACATCATACCCCTTCCACCATCCCCATCCCTCACCCATTCAATCTTCCCACAGTTCCGAACTTTCGACTGATCCACCCCAGACGACGCCCAACTCGCCCACCTCACCACCACAGGCCCATTCTCCGGCACCCTCGGCGCCTTCACCACCGGCGTCCGCCTCCGCACACGCTACTCCCACCTCCTCCCCAAATCCCCCTCTCGTCCCACCAAGCTCTGGGCCAGCGACTCCCCGCGCGTCATCGACACGGCGCGCTACTTCTCCGCCGGCTTCTTCGGCCTCGATTCTCAGAATTCCTCATTAGCAAAAATTGAAGTGATTTCCGAGGGCCCCGAGCGTGGCGCCGACACCCTTACTCCCGGTGATACTTGTCCCAAGTACATCGAGGACGAAGAGGAAGGGTGGGCTAAAGGGTGGAAAAGCATGCACGCGTACCGCCGTACCTATTTCCCCGTCATCCGCTCGCGACTCCGGCAGCAGAATCCGGGGATGGCGATAGAGTTCGACGACGATGAATTGTATGCCATGCAGGAGATGTGCGGGTTCGAGACGACGGTCAGGGGAAGTAGTCTGTGGTGCGATGTCTTCACGCAGCAGGATTTCCTGCACTTCGAGTACGCGAGGGATGTGCATCATTACTATCGGGCGGGGCCGGGGACGAAGTATGGTGCGGGTTTGGGGTGGTTGTGGTTGAATGCTACGGCGAATTTGATGCTCGAGGGGAAGGAGGTTGGGAGGTTGTTTTTCAGTTTGTACGTTGCAGATCTATCTACTCGACGGCTGCTGGGTTGGTGTTGGTGGCAGGGAAAACTAACAGTGGAGCAGTGTCCACGACGACGACATGGCGCCCATGATCGCCGCTCTCGACATCATCACTCCCAAGGAACATCTCCCGCTTACACACATACCCAAGGATAGGATCTGGCGCAAGTCGCAGGTCTCGCCCATGGGCGGACGTATCATCTTTGAAGTGATATCTTGCGACTCCGAGTCCCGAGGGTGGCTAGGGGGCCGAGACCGTTTCGTCAGAGTCAATATCAATGACGGCATCACTGCGCTGCCGGGATGTGACACTGGGCCTGGAATGAGCTGCAGACTGTCTGCCTTTGCGGCGAGGGTGGCGAGGAAGGGGGTTGAGGTGGGGAACTTTCGGGAGATGTGTGGGTTAGGGCGCGATGCTCCTGAGAGGATTACCTTCCTGCGACAGTGAGGACTGGACGGGATGCCAGAAGAACACGACCAAGTCAGGTGGCTAAGCGTTCGTTATGAGTACCTGTTTACTGCTCCATGGTGATGCCCTAATTCGCGTGTCCCTCCAGCCATCATCCCATGCCACATTCGGGGTTTCGCAGTCCAACGGGGGGCCCAGGTGGTATGGCACCGCCTGCCCGCTCCTAACCCTCAAGGCGACGGCCATCTCTCTCGAAACGGCTCACCTCCGCCATCCAACCGGAGTTGGACCTCGATATGCTGGAATCCACACTCCAGGTTCTCGATCTCAATCTCCATCTACTGTTACATGTTCACGGCTTTCACTACACTCGACTGGGCAGTCCAATAAATACCCTGAAGTTCCCCCGGACGCGCTCTCCGCTCCTCAGACGGCGATTACCTGTTGAACGTATGTAGGCGCTCCAACAGCGGTATCTGTCTAGTCGCGTTCGATACTCCAGTTGACGGCAGTTGCCGAGTCGCATAGATTAAGCCGACTGGCTCCCTGGGCGTGCTCAGCAAAAGGGAAGAAACTGCGAGATAGGCGCGGTTGCGTGCATTCGAAAGCATATACGAGGGCGGTATGTTGGGAGGTGACGAACCAGTCATTTCCCATAAACTGGTTATCCATGACTGGAATGCTAGACCAAAGCAAGCTGGATTACACCTTGTAGACGGTGGTAACTTTAGGGTCGTCCAGTTCTATCTGCCGGAAAAGTTGAGGGGTAACCGCTACATCATCGGAGGAAGAACACTGGACCCGTAACTTCAGGATATGCCTCACAACAGAACCTCTGGGAGCGGATCCTTGGTGTCCATCTCTTCCTCCCAATTTCTCTCTGGATAATACTCAGCCATGTCGGGCAGGGGACGCGGTGACGCATGTTCCGTATGGTGTGTGGTGCTGATAAGGTCCAATCGACATCGGTTCGGATACCACCGACCAACGTCCAGAATCCTTAGCGGCAACAGTTGCTGCTGTCCGCGTTCATTGAACTCGCCAGAAGCTCTCAAGGGGTTTCCTACGTCGGAATAGGTCGTGGGATGATCGCGATGTTGAGGTCGCCTTGCGATTTGGGTAGGGCCAATTCATTTCTCTTGACTCAGGCCCTTCTCCTTCGCCAGACGCCGCGCCGAAACCTCCTTCAATTTCCTCTCGAGTTCATTCTTCCTTGATACCAGTTCTGATCGTGCTACCTCAAGTTGTGCTATGCGTTCTTCAGGGGTCGCTTGCAGGACACGCTTTTTCACCTGGCAAAAGTCAGCTTCGACACTGCATTGTCGTCGACGGCAATGCCACTGTGAGACGCACCTCATGGGCTTGTTGGTCGCTTCTCAAGGTTGCGCCGTAGATTGACCCAGTTACGGTGATTGCAGTGACGGCACCAGTAATGACCCAGCGACGTACAGCTTGTGGTGACACCATCTCCTGCACCGACAATTATTTAGTGAGAGTCGTGCTGGTTAGGATGAGAAGGAGTAGTTATCTGAAGGAGATCATTTTTTGCGGAAACTTTCGAGATGATGTGGGTTTGGAGCTTGGACGAGATCTATCGCGCAATGTCCATAACGCCAAGACTTATGCTCTTGGCGGATCGATCGATCTCTATCAAAACAGTCCCGCTTTCTCAACGACAAGCAACAAACAACACCTTTACCAGCTCAAGACTCACCATCATCAATTATGTCTAACGTCCCACGTCCGCAAACTAGCACCTCCTCACGGCTCAGCACAGTGCCGTCTCAGAAACCCCGGCAGCTTTCCCACCTACAAGCACAGCTTGCCCAATTGACAGCCAATATGGCCGACCTCGAAAATCTGATGCGTACAACTGCTTTCCAAGCACAGAAAATACGCGGGTTAGGAGGGTATGCTGGCGGCATGTAAGTGTTCAGATTCAGAGCAGTTGTGAGATGAAGGATCTAATAATGCTTTCTTGCTAGGTTCATGGCTGCAAGCAAGGTGCTCGGAGAGGAAACAGTCAGAGGAGGCGATGCAAACTCCAATGCCGCCCAAACCGGAGAGTCTCGAGACCGGAAACCGTAGCTTGTTTCATGCCCCGTGCTACTTTGGCTCTCTACGCAGAGCCATTGTTCTTGAAGGGATCGTCCCGTGGACCGATGCATACCACACGCTATAAGCGACCGCCTTCATATTCCGAGCAGCAGAACAGCCGGGTTTCCAACCACCAAACTTCGTCTATTTTCAAGCGGATATTGAGCGTCTGGATTTAGGAACCGTCAAAGGGTTCAAACCCACATGTCCGCTCAACTCTGCCGAGATTGGACAGATAACAGCAGAGAAGCTTTCCGTTCGGATAGGAAGATGAAAAAGGGCGCGTGAGAAAGAACCAAGGCCAATGAGAAACGCAAACGGTTATGGCGCACTTTTGGAGAGTGATTCGCACAACGATGGCCGGGTCGCCGAATAAACGTCGAGATTACAGCACAATCGTTCCTGGCAGTTCACAGTTTCCACCACCCAAGGGCGCTTTTGGAGGGTTCTCTGGAGCTTTCCCCGATATGCGGAGTCTAAGGCGTTATCATTCAATTCGTTCCCTCAGTGGTCCGTCCTCTATGAAGCTTCGATACGGAAATGCAAGAAGTCTCATGTCAGATAAGCCTGGTGAGGGACCGTGATAGGAAGCTGACGGAGCATGTACACCCAAGAGGCGTGATAGTGATCGACAAACCCTGTACACAGTATTACGGTGCGTCTCAGATCAGATACTGTCCAATGGTGTCAACATCAGGCCCAACCAATTGACAGCGGAGGTGGAAATCCGGGGAAGCCGTTATCAACCACGCAAGACGCACAGGTGATAAGCCATCATTTTCTTGTCCGGCCGCGCAGCTGTCCTTTGTATAAAGCAGAGCCGCTCACCCGACGTGACGGGATACTCTCGCTGCATTCCTCCGCCGGCATCCGCTGCGGCTCCGCTCCGCCTTCGGTCGATCGGTACCTGCATCTACACGGCCAAGCGTCCTGTCCTTCAGACCCAAACGAGCACACTATACGGAGTATCAAGTCTGCTACGGAAAACGACTGCTTGGCCTCAACACACACCAGTACCCTTCGATGACGGCAATGCCTCCACTGTACGCTCAGTGCACCGTACTTGACTCTTTGTCTGCCAATGGGAGTTGAGTGGTGATCAGCGGCATTCACATCCACCGTCTCCCTCTTCATCCATGCCTGCAGGGTGACCTAAGGACTATACTACCGAAGACGAAACTCGTCCACGACAAGCCAGAGCAATAATGTTGGTTGCTTTCTGTCCTCTCTTTGGGCCGGGAGGACGAATGTTCGAGGCATGCCTGTTGGTGTGTGTTTATATTGCCTGTTATCAGGGTCAGGCCCGATAAATGAAATCCTGCAACACCCCACGCCAAGCACTAGTGCTGCCGGTGCCCTTCCAGGCCGCCCAGCAAACGATCGAGTCTGGCCTCGCTGAACCGGTTCTCAAGGCGTCTCTCTGCCGCATCGAAGGGGCCACTTTACAGCTTCATCTTCAGCGACCGAGCTTCCCCGTTGTTTACCTATCTACGGCTATTTCTGGCCCAATTCCAGGTTTCTTCCGACTTCTGTAACCTGCTCCATCCTTGCCAATCGACGAAGCCCGCTACACCCGCTCGATTCGCGGATTCCATCGGCCCCTCTATCCTTGTTGGTGCATCTTACGTGCAGATATTGTGGCTTGTGAACCCCCACACATGTCCGCAGGGGAAGGGTCAGACGAGCATGAGACAGCTGGAAAGTCTACGGGACCCTGCATTCATTGAAAGCCAATTCGTCTGCTTGATCTCACTGGAGAGGTATCCTTGCGGTTCTGCACTCTGGAGAGTGAGGCACATTGCTCATTCATCCGAAGACAATGTAGACTATACAGTACGTATTGCCCTGAATCTGTGCTCTCTTCTGGATTGGGACGCCATGTGTTCACATGTGAATGCATGGTCGACCGACCGCGGGCGGCGAGACCAGGGACCGACGCTAACTTTGTTCGGTAAAGGGCTATACCCTTCCGGGACCACGATGGTATACATTGTCTGTCGCTGACTTCTGGAACAAAAAGGTCGGAGGCATGAAAGCGTTCCCTCCAGGGCTTGAAGGAATCTGCACGGCCCTATCATAGCCTTTACTGCAGCAGTTTGGACCTGGGACGTGAGGCTATTCCACAGAATCTGGGGCGGAAAAGGCAAACCAGATGCATGCAGGACGTACGGAGGCTCTCCACATAAGTAAGGGCCGCGCTAAGAAGCGCCAAGAGACGCTAAAACCAAGGAACACCAAAACTCCAATCCTCTGCCTGTTTACCTAGCTCTAGCGCAACACTACAATACTCTTTTTTTACAAAACTTGTAAGTATAAGAAGCTTAAGCTAAGGAGAATATTTCTATAATAATTATATCTACAGAATATGTTGTTGTTGTGAAGTTGTTTTGTGTCATACCTTGGCATTTCTTGGCATCCTTTCGTGAGCGGCCCTTACTTATGTGGAAAGCCTCCGTATAAGCAGCATGTTTTCGACCTCTGGCTGGTTGCACTGTTGCCACCTGCGAATACCTGCTGTTGGACATGTAGGGACGGGTTAAAGTGGTTGTTGGGCCCAACCACGTCAGCATGGCGACGAATTGGGCATTCTTCCAGAACATGGACTTTTGCACAATCGGAAATGGAGCGTCGTTTGTTCAATCTCCATGGAAATGCGATCTTAAACTGCAAGTGCTGAAGAACCAGTTATGAGAGGGACAGACGGGCATACATGGGCGAGCCCGGATATATGCCGGCAGTCGAGGAAACCTGTCCAGGTTAGCGTGAGCACTTATCGATATGTACTCCGTATCCGTACTTTGGCATGTTTCTCTTGAGAGTAACGGGGCAACTGGCTCCAGCAGCCTCTGTTACGGGAATCCATCAGCCACGTTTGCTGGTATCAAAAGGCCACAAAAAGAATCTCGCAATGCTATCTTGGAGATGGGAAGCGTCAGCAGGTTCTACACCAGAAGAAGGCTAAAGGCCAAGGCGCCGTCGAACACAAGCAAACCTGGAATGCCTAAATAGTGGAGACGGCCCTTTTTAAAGTAGACCACGCTGGGCCAACACGTTGTTAGGCGCGGGAGCAACAACCGGTAGAACCGTGGAAACGCTAGCCTACCGCCCTAGCAGTAGTCGCTAGAGTTATCGTCGGGAGATGTAGGAACGGGCGATTCTGACGACTGTGGCTGTCGGCGGATAGGTACCAACGACATCAACTGAGGGAATCATGGCCGCTGTTCATCAAGCGGTGAAGTGCAGGACGAAGACGTGATGGAATCTCAGGTACGGGGGTGCGGCGGACCGAGGAGAGGATTCACATGAAGGGTGTTACTATGTACACCAACCAATAAGACGCTACATATTATGCGGTATATTGTCCTTACAGGCTGCTTCATTGTTGATCTTCACAGCAAGAGCAGCATCGACTGTGTAGCGAAGCACCATGGTTTGACATTCCGACACTCAGCCATTGAAAGCGCGCTTGCCGCTTGATGGTCTCTGAAGCCGCAATAGTAGGCACAGGGAATAACATCGAACTGGCCTGAATTGAGGCTTGTGCTGTTGCTCCTTTCATAGGACTTGTATTTTAGTCGGTGCAGCCCACGCGACCCCCATTGTTCAGTTTGCTCAGTTGCTGCCAGTTCGCTGCACCCCACCTGGGCACCTATCTTCAGGGCTTCAAAAAAAGGCCAGGCACGCTCTCGTCACCCGAAGGAGGTTCAGGGTCTGGCAATCTTCCCGCTCCGCTGCTGGGGGAGGCGACACAGACAGCAGCTACCATCCCACCTGTTCCCCGCTCCAAGACTGAGCGAGGGGTGGTGAGGTTCCAAGGTTGGAGAGGTCGTGAGCTGGTTGTGGTGGTGGTCGCGCCTTCCGCGCCTGGCTGGGAGAGCCGCAGCGCCTTCCTTTCCCCAAAAAGTTCCTTCCTTTGTGAGAAGACAGCAAGCACGTCAAAAACAATCTCCCGCACCATCACTCTCTTCTTCTCCTCTCCTCTCCATCTCCATTGCTCCATCTTCAACACCATCTTTTTTTGCTTCGCAGCCCCGCCAGCTCTCCCTCCGACCTCCGTCTTCTGCAAAGCTCTGCAAGCTCAGCAAGCTGGGCATCGATCCCATAGCAGCCGCGGGGTGCCCCGGGTCGTGCAGTCAATCCCTGGTTGCGCCACAGGGTGCGTCTGCAAGCTGTGAATGGGCCGACCCCCACTGACGACGGTTAGACCACACCCCTCCAATCCTGCTCTTGTCTGGCAGTCGGTTCTCCCCCCTCCAGCAAACGCCTCCCTCACGGTACTCCATATCCAGCGTGCGAACCCGCCTCGAGACGTGCACCGTCGCTCGACTGTGATGCCGCGCTGCTGGTCGTTGAGACGCGCTGCCAGGCGCCAGACGTCACGGATATCGCCCAGTGGACCTTTGGTGCGCTGCTAGAACTTGTGTCTGCAAACTGCCCTGCCCCAGAGCGAGGCCCGGCCTACTTACTTTGGCTGCTACTGCTACTAGTAGGGGTACTATTGAGGGTCTGTAAAGTGCCGCCCACCGCCGATTGCTGGGAACCGCTCGCACCGCAACCCGCCCGCCGTGACTCGTGTCAGTGACGACTTCCATCCAGCCTATTTTTTCTCCCCTCCTCAGCCCTTCCTTCACCGTTTCACTGGGCTCACTGCCCGAAAAGCAACCCTCAACTCTTCGCTGTCGACTGTCGACCCTCCCTCATCTACGCCGCCCGTCAGACCCCCCAGCCGTACAGCTCCTGCGCCTTGCCGCATCTCAGGGCCCCCCGGAATTTGGCGCACCTCCTGCTCGGCAATGTCTGGGGCGCAACACACCTACCCGTTCGACGGGCGTGGGGGGGATCGCTTCGACGCCTTCTTTGGACTGCCCGCAGACCCCTCGACGTCGCCCTCCAGACCCAGACTGACTGGCCTCTCCCCACCAGCCTTCCCCGACTACTCGTCCACCGTCACTTCCGCCGCTCACTCCCTCTCCTCGGACAGTACCTTGGGTACCAACCTGGATTCCCCGACACGGACCCCAGCTGCTCGCCCGAGTATGCTGCAAAAGCCCATATTTCCCATCCTCGAGAATGCTGCCGGAGGTGCCACCGCCGACAACGTCGAGGAAATGCAGAGCAACGATCCTCTGGCCACCCAGATATGGAAGCTGTACTCGAAGCAGAAGTCGCAGCTCCCCAATGCGGAGCGCATGGAGAATTTGACTTGGCGGATGATGGCCATGAAGATGCGCGAACGCAATAAAGGGTACGGAAGACGCCATTGCTGCAACATCCGCACGTTTGGTGCGGCTCTTCAAATCCATCGCTAACGTTTCGTCACGTCGTCCAGGCAAGCCCAGAACAGCGAAATGCGCCCGCCATCATCAACACCCCGCACCACCTTCACCACCCCTCCCAAGAGCGCACCGAGTGGAATCGCGCAATTGCGAAAGTCCGTGGACCAGCAAGCCCAGACGACGCGCCAGCCCGATGCCATGAATCTCGACGACTTTATCTTCCCCTCTTCCGTAGCTTCACCAGCCGGTCTGCCTCCCTCGCCGTCGAATGAGGTGACACCCGCCGCTTCGAATGCAACCGCGCCAGCGATACCGATAAGGAAGCCCAACCACTCCCACGACCATGACTTTTCCCTCGCTCACGCCTCCGCTCCCCCTGTTCCTCCCGTCCAAAGGGAGCAAGAATTCGGTTATGTCCAGCGTCACGTTCGCAAGACCAGCATTGACGAACGAAGGGTAAGTTGACTCTCCTGTCACAGGCCGTATCGTGCACCTCTAACCCCGTTCTATCAGCCTCCCAAGCGGCGGGCAGAGACATCGCCCCAAGTGCCCGCCGTCAACAGTATCATGATACCCACCGACCCAGAGTCAGAGGCAGCGCTCCACTCGTACTCGCTCGATCAATCGATGCCACCCCCCAACTTCCAAAACAGCCAGCCGCAAGTGCCTTATACCATTGACACCTTCCAGTTAAACGAAGACGCGGCCATTACATCCGCTGGCCCTTTCCAGCAGGATTTCGGTTTCTCGCCCGTTGGCTCCCCTCTGATCAACCAAAGCCATGGCTTTAGCAGCATGTATAACCCGAACTCGATCGCGTCGTCCCTGAACTCTACAGACTTCTATTCTCCTCCTGGATCCGCGTTCCATTCCACCGTGTCCACACCGCAACCCATCGCCGAAGACTCTACAATGTACTTCGATCGTAACGGGATGGATATCCGTGGAGGTGGCGCTACATATGGCTCACATCGACCGTCCAACCTATCCATGTCGATGCAGCCGCAGTACGTCTTCAACCCAAATGGCACGGGCGACTCCATGTTCAGCGGTGTGGCAAATGCAAACACGAGTGCATCATTTTCTGCGTCGAATATGCTTGCTCAACAAGGTCATGTCAATCCGTCCCAGGTGCTCCACAACAACCTGCCTTTCCGCCAGCAGGAGAATCCTCCTGTGCCTCGACATGAGAACATGTTTACGTTCGGCGCCGATTCTGACAATGAGGAGGAAGACGGCGGCGCATTCCCCGACAGGACCATGCCGCCCCAGGCTGACTATTCGCCCATGGAGGAGTCGTCGCTGGAATTCCCTTCCAGCTTCCAATGGGAGACCAACCTCTCAAATCAGTTCAACCCCACCCCAGCACGCTACCCAGCAGGACCTCCACGGAAAACCGTAACGATTGGTGGCACTGAAATGCTACCCTCACCGCAAGATCACTGGAACCAGCTCGGAAGCCTTGGCCGGACGCATGGTTCAGCTGCGTCTGTCAGCGAAATACGGAATCGTGGGAACGACCCCCGACGGCAAAAAATACCCCGCACAGCCTCGACCCCCAACGCTGCTGCGCTCGCCCAGCAAGGCCTGCATGGACGCCCGCAGTCGTCGGCAAGTACCCCTCCTGAATCTGGCTTCAACTCCGCCGCGCCGTCCCGGCCACAAAGTCCTGGTGGAACCAAGCCGAGCGAGCAGAATGCTCAACCGACCACTTGCACGAATTGCTTTACTCAAACAACGCCGCTTTGGCGGCGCAATCCGGAAGGCGCGCCTCTCTGCAATGCATGCGGCTTGTTCCTCAAGCTACATGGTGTGGTGCGTCCGCTGTCGTTGAAGACGGATGTGATCAAGAAGCGGAATCGTAACAACGGCTCCGGCGCCGTCGGTTCGACATCTACGCGGTCATCAAAGAAGTCATCCAGGAAGAATTCTCTGGCGCAAACCCCGGTTACTACGCCCACCTCTGGCAAGACCAGTCACGCGGACTCGGAGTCTCCCAAATCGACAGGCTCAGTTAGTGTGGGACTTGCAAGTGCTCTTGCAGCGTCCGGTGCTGCAAAGAGCGGAGGCGTAGTTGCAATCGCGCCTGGGCCTCCGAAATCCCAACCCGCCACAACCGTCCATGCCTCTCAGAATCGCACACCAACAGCCTCTCTACCGAAACGCAACAGGGGCCAGAGCAAGAGCGGAGTTCCCGAGTTCGAGATGGCCGATGCCGAAGACACCAGTGGCAGGTTGTCGACGCCTGCCAGGAGCAAAGTGGACCCGAGGGTGCCAACAACCAACACCAACACTGTGCAGAACCTGAATCTGGGCCCTCTCCCCATGGGCGCAATGGGGCAAGGTCTGCAGTCGGGCGGGCCCCAAGAGTGGGAGTGGTTGACGATGAGTTTGTAGGCGGACATGGTGGCGAGACGATTATGGATCTATCTGATTTTTGCTCGGTCATGTGTTTTGCATTTGCCTTGATACCTATCTGATTTTGTTGGGCGGTTCGGATCTGCGAATAATGGTTAGACATGGTTTTTTATCACCCTTTGTTTTCTTGTCTTTGCTGCCTCTGTCCCGCATACAAGCAGCCATCTCTTTTTAACGGTTTCTCCTTCATGGCCAGCGGCGAGCCGGTTACACCAGCAGAAGAATGGAGGAGATAGGGCGCTCCATTGGCTTGCCGTGCACAGCGCTAAGTAATTCACGATACCACTGACGTTTTCCTTCGTTCCTTGGGACCCCCGACTTTTCCTCTAGGCAGGACTCCCTTCCGGCTCCCGGTTCGTTGGTGTCCGGGCGATGAGATGACGAGGAATATCCGTCGTTCAATTCTTATTTGGGTTTGGAAGGATAGGGTTGGAATGTGGGTTCCGGAAGCCGTGAACGAGTGGAGGAAGAAGGGATGTGTAAGGGGAATGAAGCGTATGTTCGAGGAGCCGGAGGAGTTGTGAGTTTTGACGGCGAGGGGAGGAGGAGCAACTCAGTCTGATGCAAGGAGGGGTTAAATATTCAGGCGTTTTTATAGGAGTGCGAGTACATAGAGATGGATATATTGGCCTTGGGGCTTTGGAGGTAGTGGATCTATTGGTCCGGCTGTTCTTTCGGGCTGGAATTATTATGTTTATGCTCATGTTTATAAAGTTGCTACATGGGCTATTGAGCTATGGTACATGCCCTGCTCTTGATTTTCACGTGCATCCACGGGAGCACCCATGCACGTGGTCACTCTGCGTAGGGTTTGTAAGGGTTGTGTTCTAAACCCCGCAGTTGTTGAATGAGGTGTGTTGTGCTGGTTGGGCGGGGTAGCTCTTTCACCCAACGCAAGACGTCATTGCATGGGCGGCACTGTGAACAGTCTACCTAGGTACCCGTCGACTGCTGAGCTTGCTCCCTTGGGATAGCTGAAGAGAAAATAAAGCGTTCCCACCCCCGCTTTTCCGGCCTTCGCTTTGCTTTACCCTATATACAGAAGAATCTGTGGGTATCATCCTTTGGGTTTGTTTCATTGTCGTCCTCTCCGTGTCTGCTGCTGCTGCTGCTGCTGGATTCTCGTACCGGGGACGTTTGAGACGGAAGTTTCCTTGTTTGAAATATCTAGGAACTGGGGGTTGTTGAAGCTGAAGCGCCCTGTGATAGAGGGTATTGGAATACGAAACTTGGGGGGAAAACCGGCAAGCCGGAATATCCCGGGAAGTTTGTTTGTGGTTGCGTGCTTCGTGATTTGGTTGTTCGGTGGGGATACGGGTGTTTTGAGGAAGTGCAAGAGTGTTGAGCGAAAGGGAAAGAAGACAGAAAAAGAGAGGTGGTGAGTGGGTAACCTGACAAACGGGCAACGGGAAAAAAAAGGAAAGGATGACGAAGCCAAAGGTGTTGATGTTGGTGGCGGATGGAAGCGAGGAGATTGAGTTTGTCACGACTTATGATGGTGCGTTTTCTTCTTTCTCTTCTTCGCAGGGATGGAAGGGAGGAGAATGAGGAAGGGGAGAGGGAGAGGGAGAGAGAGAGGCAGAGAAACTGTACTGAACTAAAGGTTAACACTCTCGGCAGTGCTCACGCGAGCGGGCTTCGAAGTCAAATCGGCGGGCGTGGATCTGAAGCATGAGTTTGCGCAGTACGTTTATCCTCTCTTCTTCTTCTCTTCTATATCCCTTTCCTCCTATCATTCATTCCCCGAAGCTTCCCTTGTCCCTTGGTTTTCTAGCTCCCATGCTCCCTCACTCTCCCATCCCCTTCCCCCTCCGGCCATTCATCCTTCCCCTCTCTGCCAATGCCAATGCTAATACTGTAAACCCCCAGCATGTCCCGCAACATCCGCCTCCTCCCCGACTCGCCCACCCTCCTCGCCCTCCCCCACCAATCCGCCCACCAGACGTACGACATGCTCGTCCTCCCGGGGGGCATGCCGGGCGCCAAGACGTTCGCCCACAACGACGCCGTCCTGGCCATGATAGCCAATTTCCGCACCGAGGGCAAGTACGTGGCGGCCATTTGCGCGGCGACGATTGCGCTGGTCGAGAGCGAGAGGAGGTATGGCGGGGAAGGGAGGAAGGGGAAGCTGAGGGTTACGAGTCATCCGAGTGTGAGGGGGAAGGTGGAGAAGGAGGAGGGGGCGTGGGAGTATAGTGAGGAGAGGGTTGTCGTGGATGCGGGGGTGGTGACTAGTAGGGGGTAAGCCCTTCTTTTCCTTTACTCTTTTCTTATAGGTGGAGGGGTATTGTAAGGAGTGGAATGATGCTGATGGAGTGCTTAGACCTGGGACCGCGCTCCTCTTCGCCTTGACGATCGTCGAGTTGTTGGCCGGGAAGGAGAAGAGGGATGAAGTTGCGGGGCCGATGATTGTTGCTGAGACGCTATGAGGGCTTCCGGCTGAGAAGGAGATGGAAATGCCAGACATGGAGAAATTGATTTGAGTTTCCGCGCTGTTCACGATATGTGAGTAGTCTAGTCTTTTTTATTTTCAGCCGTTAGGTATGCAGAGCTCAAAGTGCTGGGTTTTCGGTTCCGGATCTAGGTCGCTGCCTTTAGAGGCTTGAACCTGCGTTGTAAACATCGTAGTCGAGGCATTGTGCAGTTGTCCTTTTGTCTGGATGCAGGCTGTCTGTTGTCTTACACCACTCTCCTTGCGACGGTACGCACCTGTGGCCTGTTGTTGGTAGCATATCACGATCACACATTCGTTCCCCCAGTGTAAACAACACAGTCGTCAGGGATGAAATTTGTAAACTAGCAATGGCAGATGTTGTATTACCAATCCAGCACTCCATGACAATGGCGATCCTGTATTACCAATGTTGTATTTCCAATCGAGCATTTACATGAAGGCCTCCCTACGCTAGACATTATTACTAGATCCGGTTAGCGCAGGATTAGAGGGTTTGCAAAATGTTTTGGTCCTACGGCCGCAGGTAGGTCTGTGGTTCAGCAACTCATGAAGGAGGGAATGGTCCGTGCAAAGAGTCGAGAACCTCTGTCGTACGGGATATCTCCACATGTCGAAAGCATGAACGTCACGGTATACCTCGAGAGACGGATAGCGCTAGGTGTACTAACGCTGCTCGAGAGATGCGGAACAGTCTAGCTAGGCTCCTATCTAACTCGTATTCTCTGTGTTATTAAACGGAAAGGGATTAGAGTTGCAGTTTCTCGCCTCGCATTGATTCGGTACGAAATACGAAGTACAATTAACTCTTCTTTCCGCCTTTCCTGAGCGCAATATGCATGGATGATTGAAAACTAGACCGGGGGCCAACAAACTATGTTGACCACCCGTGCGACTTCTGTTGGTTTTCTTCCTTCTAACCTACTCTCATTTCGCGGTCGTCCACCTGAAAATAGCGCTCTTCCAGCACAGAGCAATAGATGGGTACAAGGCCTCATACGCTTTTTAGTAAGTTACCCTAGGGCAGCCAATGCGTCAATCAATTCATTCCGGACTTTAGGTTTTATAATCCGTGAATACGGAGTACAAAAATGAGTAAATAAATAGGTGGAGGTTTTGCAGGACTGTAGATATCGTTCATCACTTCCCTCTCTCACCACTCGTAACCCAGCAATCTTCGAACCGGCGAATCCAATGCATCTCCCCACCCTCCCCTCCCTTTCCCTCCTCCCCCTCCTCCTCCTCCCACATGCATCCGCACACGGAACCCCCCACCCCTCCCCAGCACCCCAAACAACAACAAAAACCCTCTTCACCTTCCCCAACTCAACCTGGCTCGAAAACATCCATGTAACACCACACAACACGCTCCTCGTCAGCGTCATCGAAACCCCCGAACTGCACCTGCTCGACCCGGCCACGGGGTCCCGCTCTTTGGTAACCACATTCCAGGGCAAGTCCGTCGTCATGGGCATCACGGAGTACGGCGATGAAAACGAGGAGAACTACGCGGTACTCACGGGCAACTACTCGCAAGCCGGGGGCGGCGTGCAAGGGACATGGGAGGTCTGGGGCGTCAAATTCCTGCGCGATGCTCATATCCGTCCTTACGATACCGACCACGACCAAGTCCAGGAAATCCAGGATCCCTCCGACCCAAGCAAAAAGAGACGTCTTGCCATCCGCAAATCCCTCCTCGGCACCCTGCCCACGGCAAAACTCCCCAACGGCTTCGCAGCCCTCAACGAGCACACACTCCTGATATCCGAGTCCACGGGCGGGAAACTGCTCTCCCTCGACATCCGTTCCAAATCCAACACCACGGTGCTCGCGGACGACACCACGGTCTGGGATCCCAAGACTGCGACTTTGCCCATCGGCATCAATGGGCTCAAGGTCTTCAAGTCCAGAGATTCGTCGTCGGCGTGGGTGTACTACACAAACACGTTCCTGGACGCCGTGTACCGCGTCCGCGTCTCTGCTGCTGGCCCACAACCAAAAGTACAGGCGAAGCCGCAGTTGGTGGCCAAGGGGGAGATCCTCGATACCCCGGATGACCTCGCCGTGTCGGTGGATGGGAAGAGTTTGCTCGTGGCGCGACCGTTGGGCAATGCGATTGAGAGGGTGCATGTTGAGACGGGCAAGGTGGAGACGGTGGTGAGTGGTGCGGCTGTCGAGGGGGCGACGAGTGTGAGCCTGGGTCGTGGCGAGAAAGGGAAGGGGTGGGTGTATGTGAGTTCGAGTGTTGGCAAAGTGTTTGGCGTGAAGTTGAATGGGAAGGCCTAAGTAGGAAGGACGAAAGGAAAGGGCGGAAATAGCGATTCAGATGATGAGAAAGAAAAGGGGACATTAACGGGGGAGGAAGGTAGGAGTTGAGAAAGTGCTTTGAGGGGGGAGGGGGGAATCAGCAGTTTAGATGGAGAGGAAGAAAAGGGGACATCAGCGGAGGAGGTATACATTAATACATCCAAACTAATCCTTTTCTTTGGCATTTCGAAATGCCCTTCGTTTCCAAGACTTCTGCTCTACCGCAGGCTTTCTTCTTCCATTCTCGTCCTTTGCATTACCGCGACGCCTCCGTTCACATATGTCTAGCTCTTAGAATCCAACCATCCGAAATCACGCCGGTATATATGTATGCGTACGCCAGAGCAAAAGAGCCCCAGCATGACATGTTGGTACAAGAAGACTCTCAATGGCGCCGTTGGAAAGGACAAAAGTTGGCATGACTCCGTATGTATATGCCGGTCAAACATTAAGAAAGCACGTATTGGACAGAAAACTGCAAGTGCTAGACGGGATCCACGCAATCGAGAAAGGAGAAAAGAAAAAAGGCGACCAAAAGGTAGGGTGAAGGAGAAGGGAAGGGAAAAGGATGACGGGCTCTACTCCTCCAGACTAGAAGCCCGCCGCGAGCATAAGCCCATACCCCACGGTTATAATCACCAGGAACGACAAAAATGTCGCCGGCACACCCCTCGTCAGGAAGTGCTTAACCTCCAGGTATCGTTGTCCAGTGCGCTGGTCTTCCATCATAATGGCCGCTGCGACCGAGATGTCAGCATTCCTCCCCATCGTACAAAGTCAAGAATAAGCAGACTTACTCATGTTCGGAAACCCGCTCGTCGGCAGTCCCATTGCCGCACTCGCCATCAACACGCTCCCCATCACCAGCAAATTCGGATGCGGCTCCGACATGCTCTGCCCGACCTCCCTAACCAGGGGGAGCACAATCAATGCCGCCACCGTATGGCTGATAAACGTCGCCACCACCATGATCAACGAGGCAAACACGACAAGAACGCCGTATAAGCTCAGTCCCTCAACGTGTGAAGCAATACTGCCTGCGACAGAGTGCAAAAGGCCGGAGGAATTGACGGCTTTGCCCAGAGACAGGCCGCCGGCAGCAAGGATAATGATGGTCCAGAGAAAGTTATTGAAGTCTTCCTTTGTGAGGATGCCGGTGCCGAAGAAGGCGATGAGGGGAATGATGGCTACGACACCCATGTCTCCGAAGACAGGTTCGAGTTGGTGGCTCACGCACCAGAGGGCAATGGTCACGAGCGTGACGATGCTGATGAACCACTGGGTGGTGGAGAATTTGTCCTTGAGGGGTCGGATGGGGACGATGGTCGTGTTGCGGCCGGGTTTGAAGGATACGAGAAGGAGCAGCCAGATGACGATGATGGAGATGATGCAGACGGGAAGGGCGATGAAGAACCAGATGCCCCACGAGGGTTCGGGAGCCATGTTCTGCAACGCGATGAGGTTTTGTGGGGAGGCGATGGGGGAAGCAGCACCGCCAATATTGGAGGAGAGGGCAATGCCCAAAAGGAGGGCTTTGGTCATGTCGGAGTCGGCCGGAAGGTTGCGAAGGATGGGCTGGGTGTGTAAGTGACTGTAAGATAAAGGTGTTAAAATGACATACCTGTATAATGGAATAGCACAACACGGGCGCGGCGACGTTACTGATCCACATACTCGCAAACATGGCGACGAACATGTTGGTAACGAGGACGGTCCGCGGTTTCGTGCCTGCTTTGCTGAGGACAAACGTGGCCATCATCTTGGCGATGTTGTACTTTGAAAGAGCGGCCGCAATGGTGAAGCCTCCCAACAGAAGCATAATCACCGGCGTCCACATAGCCGCGAAGATGTAGCTAGCCGCTGCCTTGGACTCCAGTCGTTGATGAGTGGAGTCGCTTCTAACAACGCGGAGAATGACCGCTAGGAAGGGTACAAGGAGTGAGGTGACGAATAGGGGTATTGCCTAGCACAGTCAGTCCATAATCGCATGTAGCTGATCGGGGATACTCACCTCAGTAGCCCATAGCAAACTGACGAAGACAACCAGCGCCAGACAATTCTGCTGCTCCGGCTTGTCCATCAAAGGCACAAACAGGAGGACGAAGAAGACGGCCACAATGGCCACCAGGACGTAAAAAGCACTGCTGAGCAGCCACGCAGGACATTTATACTTCCCTATCGGCGTTTCCACCTCCTTCATCTCGGGCTCCGCCATATCACCTTGCAACCGCATATGGCTTGTATCGTGCTTGCGTCCCAGCAACTGTCCAACGCCGACATTGGCGGCTTGTGCCTTTCTCTCGATGCCAATCATTTCTCTCCAGACCGTATTGCGTTCCCACACAACATGTTCCCGGAGTTGAAGTCTTAGCTCTCGTTTTGCTTCGACGACATCCCCTTTTGTGCATATCCGCGAGTAGACGACTTCGACTTGGGAGATATTTTGGCTGAGGGTGTCCAAAGTGCTTTGCTTGAAGGCGTAGGCGGTGGATACGTAGTTTTCCATGTACCAGTCCTTCAGTTTGCGATCCAGAATCTTGTCGTACTTCTTCAGTACCTTGCTAAACCCGGTCTTGTTGAGTTGGATGAAGGACCGTAGTTCGCATAGCGAGACGTAGATACTGGCCGTCCTCTTCTTTAACGAGACTCCCTCGTCATATAGCGCCGAGAAGGACATGTCGTTGTAGTCGTCGAAAGCGAGGCTCGATCGTCGTTTCGGAGGGCCAAAATCCACAGACCGCGTTCGACCCTCTCTTCTCCCGTCTGGGCTTCTGGTCTCCACCAAACTCTTGGTTCTCCTTAGCGCCGACGTCTCATTCGCTTCTTCATCTGACGACGCGCCAATTTCGTCGGAGTGCCTGCTTGCCGTACTTATGGATCGATGCAAGTCATTCCCAATCTGCTTGAATATGCTCGCGCTCCTGGCTCTCCGGCCCGGTGGCATATTCTGCTGTTCGTTTTCGAAAACCTGCTGCTCGTCCTCGTAGGCCTTTTCATCTTCTAACAGCTGTTCCAGCTCGTCGTATAAATCCCGCTCCTTGATGTGATAAAACGACACGACCTTCTCGAGCTCTGCATCCAACGCACGCGAGAAGACCTTATCCGGATCTTCGGCTTGTCCGGCCAACAAGGGCGAGGCTTCCGCATCCGTGGGCTGTGGTTGTCGCTGGTTGACACGTTGCTCGAGCGTGTATATTCTGTCCGACGTTGCACCCGTTAGCTTCGGTTCTGCAAACGAGCGGGCTCACCCAACCCTTCATGGAGGAGACTAGGGATTCTTACAGTTTCTTAAGGTTGGAATAGGCAATATAATGACTACTCCAATCCGGCACCGAGTTGAACTGCAGGCTATGTGAGAACTTCATCTCGTCGGCCTCCAGAAGCCTCTGAAGCTTCTCCTTCCTCTTCTTCTCTCTTTCCTTCTCAGCCCAGCGGCGGCTTGCCTCTCCCTTGCTAGCAAACTTGTCGTAGTCCTGGAGTTCGAAGACGTCGGCGCGAGCGTCGTCCTCGTCGTCCTCGTCGGCAGTGTGGGGCGTGCCACGAAGTGAAGAGAAGAGGTCCAGGGTGAATGTTGGCAACCACAACCGCACCCGCGAGCGCTAGAAGGGAGCGAGCGAGAGCGAAAGTGGGAGCCCGAAGCGAGGTTCGACAATGACGGAACGGGTCGTGGGGTCAACGGGGTGTGAGAGTTGCTTTTCCGCATTGGAAAATAGACTAGACTAGACTTCCTGGGGAGAGGTTGGAGTGAGCGAGTGACGTCTCTCCCGGCGCAAAAGCGGCAGAGGAAGGGCCAAGAGCCGAGACACATGGCGCAGCGGTTGGACCTGCGAGCTCCTGGAAAGGAGGTTTCACGCGATCACGAGCCAACAGTGCAACATGTGTTACCTCTGCTTCTGGGCTTCGGGCATTTTGCAAAAGAGCAGCGAATAAATGGCTTTGCTGTGACATATTGTGCCCGCTCCAACTGGAGAGAATCCGCCATAAGGTTTATCGCTATCGGCGCCAAGCGGCAGAGCACAACGCTAGTCCCTTTTCGTGATGAAACTGGCGAACCAATCAAACATCACTGTGTACTCCAACTGGCAAACCCCTACGATGTTACTAATCACTCAGAGCGTACCGCCTCCTCCCACGTCCGACCGAACAACCCCCAGTACTTCCAACCCAAGTTAGAATACGTATTTTAAGAAATCTAATTAGCTATATTCTAGTTACGCTACGAGGGCACGGTGTTTAAGGCTGGTTATACTTGGAGGGAGGCGCAGAAAGGGCCAATCAGGTCAATAACCCCTACGCGCACAGTCGTGTTCAGTCGGACATGAAAAGAGGCAGTAAGACAACTCTTGTTGCTGGAATGCTGTCCATCTAACTACTGCGTTATATGCTCGCTTGTCCGAATCAACGCTCGTATAGGAGTGCAGTGCATCTAAAATCGCAAATCCCATCCAATCTGGGGTCCCAGCTTCGGCAATTCATCAGCCACGCTCTGGACGTCCTTGTCACCTCTGCCAGAGAGGCAGATGACGATATCCTGGTCCTTGTTCATCGTCTTCGCAAGCTCAACGGCGCCGTAGATGGCATGCGACGTCTCCAGAGCGGGGATGATACCCTCAAGCTGGGAGAGCAGCCGGAACCCGATGAAAGCCTGGGCATCCGTAGCAGCGATGAACTTGGCTCGATCGCTATCCTTCCAGTTGGACAGCTCAGGACCAACACCGGGGTAATCGAGGCCGGCCGAGACCGAGTGCGTGTCGCTGATCTGGCCGTGCTTGTCCTGGAGCACGTAGGTGCGCACCCCGTGAAGCACGCCCTTGGTGCCTCCCGTGAGAGTAGCGCTGTGGCGAGCAGTATCCACGCCGTCACCTCCCGCCTCCACCCCCAGAAGCTTGACGGACGGGTCGTTGGCAAAGGGGTAGAACATGCCAACAGCATTGCTACCACCGCCCACACAGGCAACCACCGCATCCGGAAGTTTGCCACGTTTCTCCTGCATCTGCTGCTTCGTCTCGTTTCCGATGATGGACTGGAAGGTGCGCACAATGGTCGGGAACGGATGAGGTCCAATGGCAGAGCCGATAATGTAGTGCGTCGTGGACAGGTTGACCACCCAAGCACGCAGAGCCTCGTTGACGGCATCGCGAAGCGTCTTGGAGCCCGCCTCAACCGCGATGACCTGAGCGCCCAAGAGCTTGATGCGGAAGACGTTGAGGGCTTGACGTCTCACATCCTCGGCGCCCATGTAGATGGTACACTTCATGCCGAACTTGGCACAGACGGTGGCGGTTGCGACACCATGCTGCCCAGCTCCAGTTTCCGCAATAATCTCCGTCTTGCCCAGTCTTCTGGCGATCAGGATCTGACCGAGGGCGTTGTTGATTTTGTGACTTCCCGTATGATTGAGATCCTCACGCTTCAACCAGATGTTCGCTCCACCAGCATGTTCCGTGAGTCGCTCGGCAAGATGTAGATGACCCGGGCGTCCCATGTAATCGTAATAGGACCGGTACTCCTCCCAGAACTTTGGGTCCGAATTGGCCTCATTGAAACCTCTTTCGAGCTCGGCGAGACAGTCCATGAGCGATTCGGGCACATACTGTCCTCCAAACTCGCCAAAACGGGCGGGAAGAACATGCTCGTCACTGAAGCCATCGGTGTTCAAGGCCTCAATCTGGTCCGCCAGTCCGGCCCCGTTGGTGTCTGCATCGGTGATGACTTTGTCAACACTCACGCCACTAGGCTCCTTAGCATCGGACAGAGTCTCCACAATGCCAACCTCGCGAGTCTGGCTCCAGGAGCTCTTGCCAGAGATCATGTCGCAGTACTTCTCCACGGCCTTGGCACCCTCACCGGGGGCAGCCTCCGCGAGGACATTGACAATTTGGCTGCCAATGACCACACCTTCCGCAATCTTTCCAACGCTCAGGAAATGGTCCCTCGTGCTAACACCGAAGCCGACGGCAGCCGGAATGTTGCCAGAGTACTTGTGGACGCGTTCGAGCAACTGGGGAAGCGCGGCATTCAGGGTTCCGGTAGCGCCAGTCACGCCCATGCGGGAAACGACGTAGATGAAGGAATCGGCAATCTTGCAGAGGACGCGCATACGGTGGTCCGAGGTGGCAGGAGCAATGAGGGGAACATAGGAGAGACTGGCGTATCGGTTAGCAGATATTCAGTGACAGGAGCCAAAGAGAAACTCACCCATAGCTGGCACAGAAGTTCCTGAAGCGCACAGCCTCCTCCGGGGGTAGATCAACGATGATGAAGCCATTGACGCCCGCCTCCTTCGCATCCTGCAGCATGCGCTCCTCGCCGTAGCTCAACAGCGGGTTGTAGTATCCCATAAGGAGAACGGGAGCCTTGAGACCCCGCTTTCTCGCATCCCGAACCATCTGAAGACATCCTTCAGTGTTGACTCCGTTCAAGAGTGCTTGCTGTAGGGTTTGTTAGGTCGAAGTATTCTCGCCGCCTCTGTATGAGTCACGTACGGTATTGGACTTCTGGATCGTCGGTCCGTCAGCAATTGGGTCGGTGAAGGGCATTCCCAATTCAATGAGGTCTGAGAAAGTTAGAGATTTGTACTGAACAAAGCCGTAGCTCAACTTGTGTACACACCTGCACCTCCGGCCTCCATGCCGAGCATGATATCTGGAGTCTCCTGGGCAGTAGGATAGCCCGCAGTCACATACGTGACAAGTGCAGACTGCAAGTCTCCTCAGAATTCTATTCATCCGCACAATGGAGAAATATGTACTTACCCTGCCCTCCTTCTTGCATTGCGCAAAGGTCTTCCTAATCGCCTCCATATTGTTGCGTCGCAATTGGTAATGCCAGAAGAGAGAAAATGATCAGGCGGAAGAGCAACAGCAAAATGTGCCTGGAGTGTGAGGAGACAGTTGGTGATAGAGGAAAAGAGAGGGGAGAGGCGAGCCGATATCGTTCTGACTCTCCAAGCCGCATGGTCGTCGAATTCGGTCGCCGACCCTCGGGAGTGGCGGGGCACTCGGGCGAGTACGGTGGACTATTGACCACCCCTCACTATGACTGTATACTAAATACTAGCCACCCGAAAGACGACCACTTGTCAATAAAGGATCCATGGTTTCTCTGACTCACCTGCTGGAGGGCATCTCGAATGTATTTCCATTGCAGATTTTTCCAATGTTTGATGACAACTCTGACTCGCCTGATGTCACCAATGGCTTCCGTGAACTGTTTCCCCTACCATGTTCTACGTGGACTTTCCTCTCGGACTAAGACAACTTAATGGTCGTTCAAGTGCCCATTCGACATCCTTAATGAGTCACGAATCGTTTCTTCCGTTCTAGGGAATCGGAAGATTGAGACCGTAAGAGAAATAACCGAATGGTTTGCAGGTGCGCAACCGATCTACAGGCGCCTCCGTGACATTATATTGCAATGCCCCTAAAGTTCTATATAGTCATGAGAACCCAGTTTTGCAAAAATCACAGGTATTGGCCAGAATGGTGGCAGAGCCTTGAATTTTGGTCCACTGAATTGGCGACGCGGACAAGATGTTGTATATCAAGACAAGCGCTTCCTAGACGTTTCTTCGATTTGGTTCGTTAACCTGTAAGGGTAACAGATGCATCGAAGCCGGCCCCGGCCCTGGTGACCCGATCCACTCTCTCTGTGCATACCACGATATGACCGTCTTAGAGAGATTGCCTTGCGTACATCCCAAGTGGCCATGCCCGCCGGTGGTGTCGCGACGGCACAAATCCTGAACTGGTCGGCCGCTTTCACCGGGTCGAGTCCACTTCTAACTCGCACCCATGACGGAAACGCAGTTCTAAAATGCAGTTGCTGCTGGAACCGCGACGGATGCCTTCATTCACCGTCAACAACTTCCTCGCCATAGTTCTCCTCTGCTTCAACATCCTCTTTTTTCTCCCCACTGGCTTTTTCTTCGGCCATTTTCTCCGTTAGGAACTTGTTTAAGTTTTCCTGCAAAGTCTTGATGCCGGATTGCATTGCACGGAGATAATCGACACGCTCATCGGTGGATGGTGAAGAGGATATTGCTGGAAGTTCAACTGCATGGTCGTAACTTTGGCAAGTCGGTGACGTATATTCGGCTTTGAGTGCAGGCATGCTGGCGATGTTTGGCTTGTCGTTTTTGGTTGATGGGAGAAAACCTTGGAGAGGTAGAGGTGAGAATTCTTGGCAAGCCTCATTGTGGCGTGTGGGCATCAGCCACATCTGGCAACTATGTTCACAGTTCCAACAGCAGCGCCTCAGCTCTCACACTTCAACGCCATTTGCCTTCATTCATTCTCGCGCACTTCCATGCTGGTCATGGGCCAATATAACACGATGTACGATTTCTAAACAGTCAGGCGACAGTACCACCTTTCCAGCGGGCCTTGTCATATAGACGTCGTAGCACACTCGATGAATCGCCCGCCATCATGTCTCCCTCCTCACCACCACCGCATACACCGACGGGGCCGCGGTCGGATCCGCTAGACCACTCCGACTCCGAGTCCGACTCTTCTCAGGTCACACTGCAGCAGCGCCGCTCTCCCTTGCCTGCCCGTGTGCCTGATTCACAGGCAGCGCACAACTACTCGCGCCCTACCCCTCCCCGCGGTGAAGCTCACCGGGGAGAGGCCCATGGCAACCAGGGCGACTTAGGTGCGCGACTTGGACACCGGCCGCGACAGCGTTCCCAGGGCTACTTCGAGCCTAACCTACCATCCAGCAGCCAGGCCAGCATGTCCAGCAACGCCCACCTCAACGCATCGCAGATTGCCGCGCAAACCGCCATGCACGGTCAGGATCGACAGCATAACAGAAAGCGCTCCACCACGATCCCGGAGCCTGGTAGTACTGGTCCGTCTGGTCAACGACAACCATCAAGCCCCCCACCGCTGCCGAGCACCCATACAGTGACATTCAAAACCAACGGCATGACATATTCCAATGGTATCGTGGGAGGAAACAGGATAGCTGCGACAACTGCAGCAAACTTGGTCTTCCCAAGAAGTCCTCTGCACTCTCCCGGTTTACCCTCTACGCAAGATCATGGTTCACCCAAGCCGGCTCAGACGGGGAACTTTGAGCCTCAGCGGCCAGTAAAAGATAAGAGCAGGCTGAATTTGTTCTCGAAGCCAAAAGCCATCAGAGTGGACAGCAAGGAAGGGGAAAAGAAAGGCTCAACACTGCCCTCTCCCGGGAAGATGGGCATTGGCATTCACAGTTCCCAGGCGCTCAATCGCATGATGATGAATCAATCCACCACCAGCTTGATTGATCCCAGCGTCAGTAGCACTCCAACGCTGTATTCCAGTGCAAATGCTTCAACATCCACTCTTGTACCAAGTCTGCCGGAGAAAGAGAAGGAGAAACACAAACACCACTTCCTCTCGCGGAAAACGCATAAACTCAAGGACAAGGACGATCACCCTCTGCCTCTTTCTTCCGCAAGCAGCACCTCTCGTCCAACAGACCCGAGTGCTCCACAACCCCTTTATTCATTTACGGTGCCAGCGTCTCCTGGGCATGCGAGTTCGTTCGCGAGCTCTGTCACCGGCTTGGACCTTCGACATGGTGCCCGCCACCTCAGGCAGAAGAAAAAGGAAGAGAAGTCTGCGGCGTACCTGGACACCACACTGGAGGCGCCATTCCGCGAAAGGAATCATTCTTTCAGCACTGAAAGGACAGAACGGCCCGCCATGTCGGGGAGTTTAGGCAGCACGACTACCGCCAGTCTTGGCCAGCCTCCCGCAACTGCGTTAACGTATTCGACCGACACTATGGCAACCATCGGCCATGCCTTCGGGATATCTGGTCTTACGCCAGATGATGCATGGCCTCTCCTCAAGGCTCGACTGTTGCATATCTTCGAAGGCGAGGATCCGCGTCCGCCGATCGAAGATTTCAATGCTCTAGTAACGGTACACATCAAACGCTGCATCCAGAAGCGCTCCCCTATCCTCATTATTGACGACTTGAACGAGCTTCTTTCGACTGGTTTCTCCTCCCTTGACCAGACGTTGCGGCATATCCCTGACGACAGACTTATTCCGCATTTGGTCGAGATGTGGCTTGTTGTCTTCACCACTATTTTACCCTTTTTACAAGCAGTCTTCCTGCCGCTCGATCTCGAGTTCAGAGGGAAAGGTATAATGCCGAGCACCGCTGCGGCGGACTTTTGGGGCGTTTTGCTTCCCGATGAGATGAACACGAAATCTCCGGAAAATAAAAATATACCCATTCTCGGTGAATTGGACGTTCGGCGGATTATTTTACTCACATTCAGAGACACCGTCATCCTGCCGCGGCACGACACTCTCATGACCATCTTCTCTCGATTATCGCTTGAGAACCTCAATGCGGGCCTTGAGTCGCCTTTACCCACTTCGCTGGACTCTGGAGCGCGTCCTGGTACGGCAGGAAGCGTGCAGGACGCGATGGGTAGCTTGAACTCCACATCGCACGGCTCCTCGGGTGGTTATCTCGAGAGCGCCATTAGCATCAACTCTTCGAGCTTCAACTCCACATCTCGCTCCCGCGCTACGTCCAATACCTCTGCTGGCTCGTTTTCTGCCCACTCGTTGCACTCGAATCCAAGCCATGGCCACAACCTTCTCCATCCGAACGCGCCGATCCCACCGGCTTTGCGTCCTCAGCCTATGGACTCGGCTAAGGTGACGGAGACTGTGGGTCGCATGTTGCAGTGCGTCAGCGTGCTGGTGAGCCTGCAGTCGGGCGATGAAGCGCAGGAGAAGATGGGCAGGTTGAACAAGGAACTCAAGTACAATTGGCTAGGACGCGGGCGGACGGGAAGACAGCGAAGAGGATTCGTGGGACCGAGGAGGGGTGGAGGGATTACGATTCCTGCGGGTGTGCCGGGCGTTGGGACATGACCGTATTTTGATAGGGTTCGGTAGCTTGGACATGGGATATAGGCGTTTGGTGGTGTCTTTGCGTTTGCAAGGCTGCTGGGAATGCGGGAATACGTTCATGTTACGCAATGTGGGATTGATATCAGGAATGGTTGGCAAGGCTAGGGAACGGTTCATGGTAGGCAACGAATTTAGGAATACCCTTTTTGCGCGCTTGGAGGTTGTTGCATTTGCTCAAGAATACTGTCCTCCTGCTGGCACTGAGTCCTACATGCCTATGACACTCACCTCTTTGCAAATGGACGCACTCTGGACTTTGTATACTCCTCTTCCCCAACACCCAAGGTGCTTCTTGAAGCCGGACAATTCCGTGACTTTACTTCGTCACGTCATACTGTGGTACATCTTCATCTTATTAACGGTCTTTAATCTCGGCCGCCAGGTGAAACACGCAATCAGGGGTTTGACATCCTTGATCAATTCCGTCCCGCGTCCCTGCATCTCCAAACGACGGATCAACGCTGAAAAGCGGGTCCATCCACCGTCAAAACGACCAACAAAGTGCGAGAACGCAAATGAGATCCGCGGAGATTTGCGGTTGGCACTGAGCCTTCCCGCTTCGCCAAAGGAAATTATTTAAATACAAAAGTACGGTAGTGGGGAAGGAGCTGTCACCGAGATGAGGCTGAGCATGCTTGTGGGTCGAAAGTTGGAAGATTGAAACATGCGAGTAGGGGAAGGGTAAGTCAATCTTAGAGAGATGACGAGAGCTTTTGTAGGATATGAGTTGTGTACGTCGAATTCGAAGGGAACCTTGGAAGACCGTCAGTTGCTATGCTGAAAAGTACACAGTATCCCTCTTCTACGGACCGAAATCACATTACTCCTTCCTCCTGCAGAAAGGGGAACTCGGATGAAGACGAGGGAATCCTGAAATGCAGCCTTTGATAGACGGTAATATATTCCAGGGTCTCTGGGCCCAATCTTCCCTTTCATGAGTCTTATCAACGCATCCCCACTTCGACCACGCCCGAATAAATAACAACTCTACTACTTGTAAAATCAAGCTTTTCCCATGACCTTGGAATCGAAATCAAACTCGGCGGCCACCCAGACTGGCAAAACCGCCTAGTCGCACGTCATACCAACAGAAGCACAAGCGTATTCCTAGGTGGATCTGCAGAGATGCGAGATTACACCCAGCACGGGTCCAGTAGTGAAGATATAAATCGTTTACCCTGCGTACTTCGCGCGCTTTCCCTTCTCTCCTCTCCTCTCCATCAGTTTATCCTACGTTGATCACAGTAGTTCACAGTGCTTTCACTGTAGTCATTCATTTATATCAACCACAAACGACCAACCCACACACTCTCTCTCCATCCATTCGAGCACGAATTCTACTTCGAATACTCTCATTACCTCAATCCCACCATCAAAATGAAATTCATCGCCCTCGCCCTCGCAACCCTCGCCGCCGGCGTCTCGGCCCATACTTCCGGTCCGTCCTTCTTCCCTCTTCCCGCTTTACTACAACTAACACCCCCCACCCCACAGAAACCTGCTCCATCGTCACCGTCACCGAAACCGAAACCTCAGGCCACACGGTCCCCGTCCCCAGTACCCCCGCCACCAGTCTCCCTCCCTATCCCATCTCCTCCTCCCCTGCTACCTCCGCTCCTTACCCCTACGTCCCTGTTCCCAGCGGCACGGGTGTGCCTCCCCTGCAGGGAACGCCGGCTCCGTCGGGCACGGGCGCGTATACGCCTGCGCCGCCGGAGTTTACGGGCGCGGCGGGGAGCGTCAAGGTGGGTGGGGTGTTGGCGGGCGTGGGTGCTGTTGCGGCGCTTTTCTTGTAGGGGGAGAGACGTCAAGGCTATGGGATGAAGTTAGCGATCGAAGAGGAGAGAAGAGGAGAGAAGAGGAGAGAAGAGGAGAGAAGAGGAGAGAAGAGGAGAGAAGAGGAGAGGCTGGCGTTTTGGTCGGGTTATGTAACCGGGATTTCGATGTGATGTAGTTAATCCCGGGAACAAGATTTCTTCAACCGAGTAACCTTATTTTCCTTCCAACATTGACGTGATCGGTTTCTCATGGTGAGATGGCCTATGCTTTTACTGTGTAACAGGTTCGAAAGAAGTTTTGCTTTCGTGTGTCCAGAGCCGAAGCCGTCCAATAACAATGATGGAAGAAGAATAATGCGGACGGTATTCACAATCCCTCTCGCATGAAGACATGAACTAGTACTCCTACATCTCGAAAATCAGCCCGGGGTATTATTACACACGTTGAACGAACTCCATGCATGAATCCACCATGTCCAGCAGAAAGCTCGACCCAACCAAACACCTTCAGCGCCAAAACAATTGCTCATGAACCCTCATTACCGGCTAACAGCGTGTTCACTTAACCTTGCTGAAGATAGTCTCAGATCCACTCTGCACGCTGATTTCCGCCGCCTTCGCCTTCACCGCATTCAGCATACTCCGCTCAAAGTCATCCCTCGCCCTGAGCACCGCTTCCACCCAACTGATCTGAACATCCGGATATTGCATCTTAACCTCTTCATACACAAACGGCACTTGACTCTTATCCGCCTCGATCAGGCGCACCAGCTCATTCACAGCGCGCCACTTATTGCGAATATCGTTGTACGCGTCCTTGAAGAACTGCCGTCGCTGCTCATCGGGCACTTCCACGGCATCGGTATACGAGTTGAAGAAATCAAAGACCGTCATGACGTCTTCCTTGATCTTGCCCGTGAAGGGATCTGCGCGACGGAACTTGGCGCCTTTGTTGCGGACGGACGAGAGGTAGTGTATGAGGAGTTCGTCGGAGAGCTCTGTGAGCAGGATCTCCTGCAAACTAGGATGAACCACTTTCATATAATCTTGCAGGTAGTCTTTGTACGTGGTTGTGATGGCGCTCATGCGTTTCTGGCTGTACCAGTGGGCTGTGAAGAATTCGCCTAGGATGGGTTTGAAGTCGGTGAGGAAGATGAGGGAGACGAAGGCGTGGATGCATGCTATGGCGAGGCCCAGGTATTCGTCTCGCAAGTTTGTGATTTGAGCGTCGATGATTTTGGTGTAGGCGGGGGAGACTTCTGGGATGATGGCGCGTTCTAAGACCGCGAGGTACGAGGGATGGTCTTCGTCGTCGTCGGCTATACAATTGATTTGGTCGTTGGCGATGGTGATAATCCAATCCTGCAAGCTTTGGAGATTGTCCTGGTCGGCGCTTGAATTGTATTTTGCTATTTCGGCGTCGAGGAGGGAATGCCACATTCGTTGGCGAGACGAGAGGACACGGAACATTGCGTCCACGACGCCCTCCACGACGTCTGTTCGTTGGCTGCTAGCAGCAACTGTGAGGTTCTCCATCAAGACTCGCCAGGAATCGCCAAGGGTCTTAGTACGGAACACGCCATTTTCGTCCGTTTCGAGCGCGCTCTCGTCTCGCTCGAGGAACTGCTTCTTGTCGTTGACTCCTATCCGGTCCATCCATTCTTCCACTGCCCTAACGATGTTCTGGCGGTACTCGCGGACAAGGTCGCTTGATCGGTTGTCAATGACATGAGGGGTGAGATCCTCTTCAGGCACTCCAAGCTTTTGCATCTTCTCGTAGTACTTGTCCGCCCAACTGATGATCGCCAGCATCTGTTGCGGCAGTAGACCCTCATCCTCAACTTGCGCGATGAGCCAGTCGTGCATCTGTTTGTGGTATATGTCGCAGTAGGTGCGGAAGATCTTCCACTTTTTCGGCATGAGTGTTTGCATGCCTACCTTGACAGTATGCAGGTTGTTGAAGAACCACTTGAAGCTCTTCTCCAGCCTGTCCGGATTCTCATGGAACTTTTCCTTGACTTCCTCAAAACGCGCCTGGCATACGTATTCAATAGCCTTGAGGAACTTCTCCTTGTACCCTCGCAGCTCCTTCGGCCCTGTTGCAATCGATTTGAACCGTGATGCTAGGTCTTTGTATTCGCGTTGTGCATCTTGTAGCGCTTTTACTTTCTTGTCTTGCTTCTCCTCCTCCTCAATGACAAGCGCCAACCTGACAACCATACCGTCGTTCCCTGACTGTACGAGTTCGATAAGGTTTATGCATGCTTCCCCAATGTGCTTGTCGAACCACTCTATTATATCGTCCAGGCGGGCGAAGTAATCCTGTACTGTAGCACCGGAGTCCAGTGTCAAGTTCTCAACGAGCTCCATGGAGCCTTCTTCAGAGTTCTTTATCTGATCCATGGCCTGGTCTCGGATATCCCGCAACTCCGTCAACCCCAAATGAATCTGCAGCAGGTTCGGCTGATTCGCCGGATCCTCGTCGTCCTGCGCGAGGAGGTATTCCAGATTCTCCAGCCGCTGAGGAAAGGCGTCGATATCCTTCTTCATCTTCTCCACCTGCTCGAAGTTCCGATGCGTTTGCGCGACCAGATTGATATGCGGGAAATCCTGTATCATGTTCTGCGCCTCGGCGCAGAGCTTGTCAATCTTCATCATCTCCTCCTTGATCTGGTTGACCGTCCTCTGCCCATCCATGATACTGTTCATGCCCGCCTGGGTCACTTCGAGCTGCTCCTTCAAGCCATGGCGCAGCTGGCTGTCAATGGCGTTCTTCTTGCGCGTGAACTCGGCTTTGAGGGCGGGGATCTTGTCCAGGTCCTCCGGATGCCGCAGCAGCTCGGCGAGCTTTGCCCTGGCGGACTCGACATCGTTCATCGTGTTCTCGGGGGTCCGGTCAAGAGGTCTGCTGCAGGAACGCTTTCAGTTTGTAGGTTGAGCTGTGGGGCTTGGCGCTCCGGCGCTTCCGCTGTTGTTCCCGCCACTTCGTCTCGAGACTCTCATTTCTTCACAAGTACCTACACCGCTGTCCTTTGAGTAGATATCGCGATCACCATGGCGGACGAGGACGTTGCCATCTACGACGAGATTGAAATCGAAGACTGCACATACGACGAAACGCTCCAGATATACCACCACCCATGTCCTTGCGGCGACCGCTTTGAAATTTCCCTGGCGGACATGCGCGACGGCGAGGATATTGCACGCTGTCCAAGTTGCAGTTTGATGATCAGGATAATATTCGATCCGGTGCGCTCACCGAGGTTTCTATTAAAACGCCTTGCTGACTTTATAATCCAGTCCGATCTCCCTGAGGAGAAGCAAGACTCGGCGCAAGGCATTGCCATCACTGCTTAGATTTGCTTCCTGGCCTTGCTTCAAATCGTACATTTTCGGACTTATGGTGGCGATCTATACTTCAGGATAGCGCAAAAGAGCATTTCATCGGCGTACGGACGGCGGGAAGAGGAATGTTTCGGGCAGGCGTAGGAAGGGGCACACAAACATGCAATATACCAATGAGTCTTTGATTGTTGTTATTGGGACAATAAAAGTGCTATATCGCGCCGTGGATTGGGACATGCCTGCCCTGCCTAGACAGATCATGTCCAACGCCTTTATGACCCCCATAATTATACAGTAGAATACCTACGAACCCGCTTCGGAAAATCACTGCGGCGCTTCATCATCCAGATCCAGGTCCACACCAAGCTCCTTCCTGATGATCTCCGTCAGGGAGGTTCCATCTCGCAGGTATATCCATTCACCCTTGCCAGCATCCTGCTTCTGGTGCAGTCCCTCGCCAACGACAACCCAGTCATACCGTTTAGGTCCGGATACAGGAGAGCTGAGCCAGATCTGCTTGTTCGGGGGTTGCTTGTTCAGGACGTAGGTGCCGGTGCCTTGCAGGGAGATTTCCATAACTCCTGCCTATACAGTACGTTAGCTGGGATTTCGTGGGTACCGTATACAGCAATCCATACCGAGTACTCTACGTCTATCTCAGGGCGAGTCTCCTGCATTTGTTCGATCTTTGCGAGGAGAGCGTCCAGGAACTCATCGGCGCGCTGGTTGTATTCGGCGCTGGAGATGTCCGTAGGAACTGTTGGGCGCTCTGAGGGTTCGCTCTCCTTCGGAACCTCGGTACCTGAAAGGACATGCGTATTCAGGTTCCGAGAGGCATGGAAGGCTCTGTATGTACCGCGCTGCCCTGGGTGAAACGGCTGTAATCTGCGGGTGATCGCTACGCTGGATGTGAAACCATTGAGCCGGCTCTGAGGTCGTATCGACTGCAATGAGCGACGGATGGCGGACGAGCCTAGACGAGATACTGATTTCGCTGACATTGTTCGTGTATGTGATGGAGATGTGAGAAACGAGGGTTGAGTTACCAGGTGGAGAGGGAGGAGCTAGGGCCAAGCCTGTGACGTCCTCTTGCTAGGGCACGTCCAGCACTCACATGCAGACCATCCGTACGAAACATCCGCCATGATAAACGCCGTTCTTGTCTTCAACAATGCCGGCCAGCCTCGGCTCACCAAATTCTATACACAGCTTGTATGCTTGGTACTCTGACTCGCTTCAGAAGGATGCTTACTCCCCTCAGGAAACCAGCGTGCAACAACGCCTAATCTCGGAGATCTTCACCCTTGTGTCGAACCGTCCGAACTCGGCATGTAACTTTCTTCCGTGAGTTTCTCCCATCGATCTGGTTCTTCAGACTGACTTCTCCAGTCTTCCGCCTCTACTCGCGAGCAGCAGCAAGTCCTCCACGCCTACCACGCCTCACAATGACACCCCATCGCTCGTCACCTATCGCCACTATGCTACGCTATACTTCATCATAATATCAACTTCTACCGAATCACCGCTCGCCCTCTTGGACCTGATCCAAGTCTTTGTGCAAGCGTTAGACGGCCTCTTCGAAAACGTTTGCGAGCTGGATCTCATCTTCAATTTCGAGACCCTACATGCGACGCTTGGCGAGCTAATCGTAGGAGGCGTGGTCGTCGAGACGCAGCTTGATAAAGTGATAGAAGGAGTAAAGGCGCAAGGACGAGTTGCAAAGAGGCCAGTTAATGAGGGCAAGTCTGGCTTAGGTTTGGGAGGATTTGGACGGGGAGAAGGGGTCTGGGCTGGAAGATGAAGTCATCGCAAAGGCCATCGTAGAGAGACGGCCAATATCTGTTTCTGGTTCACCTTTTCGGTTTCACCCAGGCATACCCAACCGCATGAAAGACAGCGTACCCATCATCGACGCGAACATCGGGCACCGTTGGTCACCCGAAGGAAGACTCCAACCCTGAAGTTGGAGGTAAGTAGAGGCCCGCCTGAACGAACAATTGTCTATACGGCGAGATATCCGACGACGTCCTTTACATGGTCGTCTCTGGTTGCTGCAAGCCATCCGCTTCCGACCCTGGCTTTCTTCTCTGCGGAAATATTACTTACTGGCGCGAATGTGGCTGAAGCGCCGCCAGAACCGGCAACCCCTACTCTATCTTGTAGCTTCATTCAATCTGCAATACAGGCGACGAAGCTTTTATGGAGTCCAAGCCGCCTGTTTTCCCTGATGTGATAGAAAACCCATCGACCCTAGATAGGAGAGGACCGCTCTTCGGCCAATCAGCGGGCTCCGGTCCGCATTACCGTGGACCCAGTAGCACCTTCGTGACCCTGTACTTGACGACCTTCCTTGAGCAATCCCACCAACGCTTTAAACCATCCGACGACTCAAAAAGCTGTACGTCCCAATGCTTCGGCGGAAAGAACACATCACTTGTCGAGGAACTCTTCGATTCTAATATCTAGCGCCCTCTAACATTCTGCAAATCCCCGTCATTCGCCAGATCGCCGCGGCAATTAATCAATCTGAACAGCCTCAATATGGAGAGCAAAGCAACCAGCCCTTCTCTGGGTTGCTTAAGGTAGATCTGGCTATACCTCACCATCTACACGTGGCCACATGCATTCGCGCAGTCTTAAACATGGTCTTCTGGAAGCCTGCAGAAGCCATCCGTGGCTTTCGACAGTTCTCAGATCACCATGCGCTTTCTTGACGTTTTTGCTTCGTTGTTGGGCGTGGCGTCCCTGACGGGCTATGTTGCTGCTGATCTGAGGATAACTGCGGATCATTTTTCTTTCGGAGGCGTCAACTATCCCGGTCTACAGACTCTGAATCCAAAAGAACGTGACACGGTCATTCGAGCCATTGTGAAGAGCGGTGCTCGCGTCATTCGGTTATTCAGTATGTCTCGTCACTATGCGACCAAGAAGCAAGCAGCTAACGTCTTCGAGTTCGACAATATGGCGATTATCCAGATGTGAGAAATGCCACTAAACACCTACTCACCCCTTCTTCTAATGGAGCATAGCCCGAACCAGAGGTTGGATCCTTTGATCGATCGATCCTAGACATGTTCGACGACACTCTAGCTGCCATTCATCATATTTCGAAAGGTAAGAGATTATCGTCCATTGCGCGTTAGTCTTTTCTGATGGCTCTGTAGGCAAAGTGAAGGTTATTATTGCGCCACACGATGCGCATGCGCTCCGTGAAACGAATGATGTGCCATGTGATGCATATTGCAAGCGGCTCGAAGGGGCCTTCCTAGACTTCTACAGCAATGAACAGGGCGAGTATCCGGTGGCCGGTCTGTCCTTGGATTCTACTGACCGTTCCTAGTTCGAGAGCACTACAAGACTCGCCTACAGGTTCTCTTCAAGGAGTACACATCGCGGAACTTCGGTGACAGGCCATGGAGCGAGTTGAACGAGGTCATATTGGTGAGTCACGTGCTCATAAGTTGTGCCACGATATTGACAGTATGTACAGGGGGTTGATGTCCAAAACGAGCCATGGTCGAGCATATCGCCCATTCCTTCCGGTGAGCCATGGCTCTGTGAAATTGCCACTCATTTGAAAGACACGCTCGGCTTGGGCAAGAGCAACATCGCTGTCATCAGTGGAGGCATTTCAGGAGCCCAGAGTCCTGATGGTGATGAAAACTTTCCCGATTCCGCTTTCAATTGCGACGCGATTGATGTGATTGGTATCCATGGATATTACGCAATGGACGAGAATGGCGAAGCAACAGCTGGCACGAACTGGGCTAAGATGTTCATCCCTGGTAACACGCTTACTGCTCGCGCTGAAGAGAAGAAGAAGCTGCTGCTCGTTGAGGAGATGGCATATATACACACCGAGCTGGGCCTTACTTACAAACAGCAAGCCATCTGGGATCAAGGAAACGCACTGAACTATCGAGGAATCCCTTGGGTACGACCCTCACGATATTATGATCACTTACGCAATGCTGACATCGTGCCTAGATTTACTCCAAGATCAATAATGGTGGTGAGGGAACCACATCGACTGTTAGCATTCTCCGGGATGATACGGCGGCCATTGGCGCTTTAAAGGATGTCCTAAAGCGTGCCTATGGCTCACGCAGCAAATTTAACTGGTCGAAGTTCCTTTCCCCACCTCCAGCTCTCTCCAACTCCACATACGTTGCCCTGAATCCTTACATCCCCGAACAATCCGACTGCACCTTTGGCTGCCCTGGCTATCTCTGTGACGCACCTGACGGCTGCAAACCCGACCTCATCTGCAAGAACAGCATCTGCGCCAAGCCCGACGAAAAGCAACCCGGTAAGATGGGCGACGACTGCAACTCCAAACAACCTTGCCTGGAGCACCTAAAATGCGAAGACGGCCTCTGCCAAGAATGCATCGTCCGGCCAAGCATCCAACCCAAAGATCCTCGCAAGACCACCGTCGACGGTGACCCCAACGCCCAGTGCCAGCCCGATTCTACCTCAACGTTCACCATGCGACCATTCTGCCTCAAACCCTCCGCATTCACCTCGCCCTCCCGCCTTGGGAACCCGTGCCAAAACGCCGCTCACTGCGACGCCAACGAGTTCTGCGACTGGGGTTTCTGCAAAGTATGCACGGAAGGCTGTCTGGGTATGAAGTGTAAGGGCAATAACAAGTGTAAGACGGGGTTCTGTAATAGCTACGGAAGATGTGATTACCCAGGCCAAAAGAAGCGGGCACATGGGCCGGGAGCGAGGGCTAGGGGGAGGAGTGGCCCTAGGGGCCCTGGGGCAGGACCGAAGGGGCAGAGTGGACCGAATAAGGTACGAAGTGAGGCTATGAGGATCAATACTCCGAATGAGACGCCTGTGGCAACAGGTGCAGCGTGATCAGAAAAAGATAGCATTAGGTTCTGGGTAGTCAAGGCGTTGTGTATCAATAGGGTTTCCGTTGGTTATTGCTCAGTTTACAAAGATTTGGAGTTTTATCTCCTAGCTCCTTCAATTGCTGACGAGTGTACGTGTAAACGCATGCGTTGCATGAAGACTACAGAAAACGAAAGAAGGCAGATATACTTTCCCAGATTCTGTGAAGGATGCGAACAAGTGAGCTTCGGAGAGTACTGTATAGAAGGTCGTGATATAGGAGGTCCCTCTACGGCTGACGCTAATATCAAAATAGCTAGTAGCTTGGCACAACGCCGTTCCTCCTCCTGAGCTCCAAAAACTTGACGTCTCATTCCTCCGTCTTTTGCAGCAGCAGCCACATTTTGACTCTGTACATCAACTCTTCGCTAATCCCACTTGCCATCACCGCCTGATGGATTTTCTGGATAACAGGTCGTAGCAGGATGGGCAGCAAGCCATGTCAGCCTTCAAGCACGAGCAGACAACCGGATGAGGCTGGGGGACTCTATTTCTCTTACTCATGAATTGCTTCTCTCCGTTTCTCTTTCCGCCTCAGTCACCGGTTTCTCTCCACTCATTCGCCAAAGACTTGTGAATTCCTACGCGTATGCATGGCTCCGGTGAGCTGAAAGCTGCCCAAAGAGACTGCCTAACCACGCGTTCACGTCCGGAAGACGCAGCATCGGACGTACCTAGCAGCCTCACTTCCTGGTGGTTGGTTAGACAGGCTATGCTAAAAAATGCGAAACCTGTGGCGCTGGAGGCGTCCTTGAGATGCAGTACCCCGCATCTACACCTCCACCGGACGCAGAGGGCTTCAGCTTCGTGTTAGGCTATGAAATGTCAGCACGGCTTAATTTTCTGCTCGCAAACTGCTGGCCTCAGTTGAGGTCCTTCGAAAATGCCTCGCCAGGCTCGACGCCTACGTGGCGGTGCCCGTCAGTGGCGCATGATCCCGATACCTTCGGTGTCGAGTGTTACAGGAAACTCAGCCTTCGGTGATTGATTCAGCAGACACGCAGTCCTTGGCTTAAGGTACTTAAGAATGGTATCCCACATTAGGTAGGTGAGCACGAGACGGTTCGAATCTGGAATCGCATCCATCTGGAGAACCACCATCTGCTTGTTTGAAAGACGACACTGGCTATGACCACCTTTTCGGGCGTGACAATGTCCAACTATGGTGAAGGGCTCCATAGGCTCGGTTTACTGACTGATCTGCTGTAACAACGGCTGTCGATTCTCATCGAGCCGGGTGTTAGCCTAGTCACACGACATGCCGTTGGAATTGGGATTCCAGGCCAATGCTGGGCCTTTGACTCAGATCAGCATCCAGCTTCTCAGTATGGAGACAGCCTATCATCTCGCGGTCAGTACCATAGGCTGGTGGAAAGCACGTCGAAAGGCCGATACGCTCAATGCTATACTCGATGCTCGAATGGCATCTCTCGCACCGATAGCGACCTTTAATATGCGGAACTACACCATCATGAGACGGAAGCATCCTATGTTTGGAGTAGCGCGGCAACCCAAAGGTGCCCTGGTATCCGTGGAGCTTCCGGCCGCTAGTAGTAGCGATTATGGGACCACTGGTCTCTGCTGTCTCTACGCACTTGTAACAGCACTACTCTGCTTCTACGACCAGAAGTCCGTTGTATCAATTCTCATGGAGCTTCTTCCCGACCATCTACTCCACTACGATCAAGACGACGTTCGGCTGTCAAAAGAACCCGGTCCCTTATACACCGCTGTACGAGCCTTTGTCGTGGAAGTGGCGAAAGAAGAGGCGAATGGCAAGGCTACTCGCACTCTTCAACGGGCTGTTGATGATCTCAGACTGATTCTTGGAGAGACACCACGCGTTTGCTATGACAGCCTAAAAAACAGCGATTGCCGCGAAGTGATGGCCTTCTTGGAGTGGCTGGCCGTGCCTTATTCGAAACGCCAATGTCATCTGTATCCTACTCGGAGCTTTCTAGTCTGGGCTCTCGCGGAGGTGCTCTCGATCCTGGGTTTCGAACTGCACGTCTCCAAGATCGTCATCACTTCACCAGAGCAGTATCTCGCCACCTTTGAGAGGGACAATAATATCGATGAAATGGGAATTTACTTCGTCCCAGTATCTGTTGGGCGCACAGATCCCTTCCTCGCCGGTCAAATTTCCTCGAAGGAGATTATTCCAACATCTACGGTGCGAATCATTGCCATCCATGCCATTCCGCGAATGGAGTTGGGGCAATTCTTAATGCACGACTCCAAACAGATGGATACGCTGATTGAGGCCTGGATATTTACGTTCAATCATTTTCAGGATCAGAGCACAGATAAGTTCACCGTTGATCTTAGTCAACATCAGAAGGCGGCGCTGGAGCCTTTCAATCATAAGGATCTGGAATTCGGATTGGTTTCGCTTGTATACCAGTCCCTCAAACGTCCTGTCGCAAAGTTCGTCCAGGCGACGTGTCCTGACTGCCCACCTCTTCGACGGGATTCGTTCATGGAAGAACACTGTTCAAGATCTTGCTGGCTTGAAGAAGGTCGCCACAATGAAGAGGGAAGGCTGATGCTGAGAATCATTTACATGGCAGCAGCATACTCACTAGCCTGTCGGTATGTAAAGGACACCAACGGCCGTGCTGACCTCAATATCGAAGTCGGATACGAACCATCAAAGTCCGAAAGTATTGGCGAATTCCTCGCTATGAAGCCAACTTGGCATGATTGGTTTATGAACCACTATCATATCTTCCGGCCTTACTCCTGCGACAGCGACGAGCTATTGTTTAAATTGGCTTACGCGATGTGCGGATCGCCTGTATCCCGGCAGCATTCGACAAAGCCCATAGAATACTATGGATGCCATGTCAACGGCCTGACTCTGTTATCCAAATTTCCGCAGGCTCCTGTCAACAGTCGCTCGCCTTACACCTTCCACCTTCGCTTCGGCCAACCTCTGGATCTACCCGTGCAAGACAATCTCATTATAAGTCGCGACAAGGCGACACGTCTGAAAGGGAAGACCATCCAAATGCCTCCCTCAGACCCGGAGGAGCTTTTGGAGCCAGACTGCAACGATCTGGTCCGTTGGGACGTTGAACCTGACTGGGAAGATTCGGAATTGGATATCCACTACCAGTGCCGTACACAAGGCATCAGAAAGCTTTCCGTCCCCCTTCCGCTGATGAAGACGTCACTCAAAGCCATGCAGGATACCATTTGTGAGCATCCATGCCAGGACCCTATTTCACAGCACGCGCATCAACTGGATCGTAACGCCATCCTTGCGAGGCACGAACAGTCCCTCTCCTGCCACATCGTCCGCTACAAAAGCATCCGCCAACAAGGCTACTCCCGGATTCTTCTGGAGCCACGCAAACTGCTCGGCTGTGTGAATCAGAAACCCACGGTGGTCATCTTAGAAACGTTTAGCGACCCAGTTGAGCACTGGCTAGCGCTCAACACGGAGTGCCAGGCTACGTCTGAGATCCCGTTTCCGAATGTGCGGCGGATTATATCGGATTGCTTGCAGTGCGGGTTGGATGCTGCGGGGAGGATTCCGAGGGTTATGCTGGACACGGTTGTCATTCTTGTTGTGACGCCTCGAGGTTGTGTCTTGAGCGGTTAAAGTTCTCTTCGCCAAGCATGTGCTCGTATTCTCTGCATGGAAGAGAGTAATTCTGCGCTTACTAATTCCGCTATGGGTAAGGCGACTAGCGTTCGACGTAGCGGCCATCTGATGGGTTATCGACTGAACAGAGCCGGCTTATTCAGAACGCGGTTTTAGAGCCGCGTAGTTGGGATATGCTGACATATACTAGTAGTAGATTACTCCACAATTAGGATTGTGCTGCTAGCCTACCCAAACAGCTTATTCAAGATTCTACGCCATACAGGGAGACGCGAGGAACGGAGGAAATCTGAGGTCCCTAACGACAGAGGTTATATCGAACGCGAGGAGTAAATGCAGTGTACTCCGATTGGTCGATTTCCACTGCTCAACTCAACACTAGTGTTCACGATAAATTTAGACTCTCGTACGGCCGTATACTGCACGAGGCTGGTAACCTTGGTCATCCCCCAGGTAAAGGCTGCAAGTTTGATACGACTGGATACTTATTAATGGGACGGAAACGAGCCGCTACATGCCGCAACAGTACAGTATACGTCTAGCGCGTGGAACATTCGAGCACCGCACAACGATGGACCTATTGCTGAGCAAGACGAAACGCCTCTTTCCGCGATGCTGAGATATCGAGCTCGGCTAAAGCAAACCATAAGCTGGTGGACGTTGTTACGATCTCGATGCGCGTCTATATAAGATGACGATGTTGCTGGAGAGGATGGCGCATCATCACCACATAGTCGCGTCTCTCTAGCTTCGCATATATCAAGCACTGCCGCCTCTGCCAGCGGCAACGAATCTCCCTACGAATCTCCCTCACGCACGCCCATTGCGATATTCGCTCAGTTTTGCAAGTCGTTATACTCTACGCACCAGCAAAATGTCTTCTTCCGAAGTCAAAAACGTCATCCTCGTCGGTGTAGGTCACCTGCCATGGATCTCCCATACCATTCACTCCAATGCGAGATAACTTCCCTCGTTTAATCATGCGCCTTGACTGAATCCATCGCCATCAGGCCTCGGGCAACCTCGGCCCCATCATCGTCAAGACCTTTGCCCGCCACGCGCCGCATTTCAACTTCTCGATCCTCACCCGTCACGACTCCAATTCCACCTCCACCTTCCCCGCCAACATCCCCGTCCTCCGCGCCGACTACTCCTCCCTGGACTCCCTCACCGCAGCCTTCAAGGACCAAGACGCCGTTGTATCCCTCGTTGGCCCAGCGTTCCTCGCGAAACAGACCATCCTCGTCGACGCGGCCATTGCAGCGGGCGTGAAGTTGTTCCTGCCGAGCGAGTATGGGTCCGACACGGCGGATGAGAGGTTGAGGGAGGTGGTGCCCATGTTCGAGGTCAAGAAGAATATCGTCGATTATCTGAAGCAGAGGGAGGATAAGATTAGTTGGAGTGCGGTTATTGTGGGTGGATTCTTCGATTGGGTAAGTCGACTGCATAGATGGCCTCGAACCTTATCAACCAGCTCTCGATCTTCCTTAAATTTCCAAACGCTTCAAATAGACAAACCAATCAACTAACTGATTAATTTCTCAGGGCATCACATCCACCTTCCTCGGCTTCAACGCCTCGACCAAGACCGCCACCCTCGTCGACAACGGCACCGTCCCCTTCACCACCACAAACACCACCACCATCGCCCGCGCGCTCATTGCCATCCTATCCAACCCGTCCGTCGCACGCAACCAATACGTCTACATCTCGTCCTTCACCCCGACGGGCGCCGATATCCTCGCCGCCGCGGAGCGCATCACGGGCGCCCAATGGACCGTCAAACACGTTTCTAGCGACGACTTGGTGAAAGATGGGAAGGAGAAGGTGGCGAAGGGGGATCGCATGGGGGTGGTGTCGTTGTTGTTGGCGGGGCTGTTGGGGAAGGAAGGGTTGGGGGATAATCGGAAGAAGGGGAGTGAGGAGTGGAATCAGCGGTTGGGGTTGGAGGGGGAGGATTTTGAGGGTAGTGTGAGGGCTGGGTTGGAGGGGAGGGTTTGGGGGTTGGATGAGGAGTAGGTTGCTTGGTAGGGGGTGGATTCTGTGGGTAGGGTGGGGGTTTGTTACTTGATACTGCACTAGGTAGGGTAGTACATGCCAGTGGTTGATGAATGATAGAAATACGACCAGATAGAACCTCACTTGCGTACTTGAGAGCGCGCTTCACGGATTCAGGACATGAGACGAGAAGACTACAGCCTGTGACACATGGTATTGATGAAGAAAGTCATTCATTCTTGACTAGTTACTTTCTTCCACATGGACTCGCTCGCCCTCCTTGACAACGTCCTCCCTTTGCACACACCAAGGTTCCCCAACATATCCAGGACACACCAGCAACCCAGCAACCAACCCTACATCCTACGTAAAGGACGAGGATCCCTTCCTAGCACAGTACACAGCACATCTCTTTCAACGCTGTAACCTCAAGCCCTACATACAAGGCTTCGAGGGGAAACGGGAATCATAGCAGCACTCCCCACTCGCAATCCCCACACCCTCACAATCCGCCAGCCTCAGGCGGGTCCGTAGATACATCCATCCAGGGCCTGACAATAGATACAAGAGCGGGAGGGGAAGGTAAGGGAGGCGCGCAGAAAACCCAAAAAGACAAAAAGAACGATCATACCCAAATGCCCGGTTCATGCACCACCACCCACTTCCCTTCCCTCTCTCGCGCCCTCAACGCACGCATACCCTCAACACCACGCATCCGCCGTCCAAAATCCCGCGCGTGCGCTCACTCGCATGGGGATCGTCGGCGCGGGAGGAAGGAGCGGAGAGGGTGTAGTGAGTAAGGGGGAGAGCAAGCGAGTGGGAGGGGAGGAAAACGGGGGAAGGGAGAGGAACGGGGTGGAGGGGCCTCGGGGAGACAAACCACTGGGGGATATCAAATGACGCAATGGAAGATGCGAATGGTGAATGATATAAAGCCCAACGCCGGAAACAAAGACGCAGTGCATAACTCAGACACATGAAACAGAAAATCGTTCTCTTCAAGAAAAGAATGAAGAAAGAAATGGCACCATTTCAACCCGGGAGAAGCAGAGCTCCATCAACCGAGCTGCCGCAGGAAAGAAGAGGGCGGAGAGCAAAGCATCATCCATGACCCTTCTTCTTCCTTATCGGGGACCTCAGGGAACCAAGATACGTAACTTGAGCAATTACGGCTCATCACATCTGTCGAACAATCGCGGTTCCTCGACTCAGAGCACCCCTAGGGGTGGAAAGGTCAAGGAAGCCACGACGCGTTTGTGAACTTGTCGACGGAAATCAACCCGCAAACGGATTCCAACCACTCTTCTCCCCATTCCGATTGTCGAACGGATTCCGCTTCTCTTCCAGAGGCGAAGGGTCCGCAACCGTCCCGTGGCTACTAGCCCGCAAATGTCCCGGCCTGGCCACCTCGCTAACGACATGCGAATCCACACGTCCGACCGTCTCGGTAGGACCGAAGGTAGGGAACGGGCGGGGTTGGATGGTATACGGCGCAGCTTTGTTGACGGGGTATTCGTATGGCGGGGCGGCCGTGTCAGGATACTCTTGATTCCCAGTTGCTTTCTCCGCGTTGGCATTGTCGGGGACGAAGGCCGGATTGATGATGTACGGGTCGTGATTCACGTAGACGTTCTTGGAGCGGGAGAGCTGAACGCAGGCGTATACGATGCCGCCGATAGCGAAGAGAAGCCAGACGATGATGATCACCGTGGAGATGAGGGATTCCAATTGAATGCCGGAGAGCAGCTTATCGATGACACGGTCGACCGCTTCGGTGATCTCGTCCTTGGCTTTGCCGTTGGGATCGGCGAGCAGTTCGACTGCGGACGAGGAGTCGCTGACCTGGGCGAGGGCGCCGAGGGAGAAGGTGTCGTTCTTGACTCCCGGGAAATTGACGTGCGCGTGTTCTTGGACCCAGGTCAGGCCCTTCTGGAAGGATTCGATCTTGAGGCCGATCAAGCAGTTGAGCACGTCCTTGATGGGGTCATGCAGAGGCGTGTTGCCAAAGGCATCGTCAAGCGCCTGGCTCATCTTTTCCACAAAGGCGTTGAGCGTGCCGTTGATGGCGCCGGTGGTGCTGTTGACCCAGCCGAAGATGTCCTCGTTGATTTCGGAGTCGAGCTTGTCGATGGCGCTGTTGACGCCCTCGGACCAGGACATGGACGCATTGTTGAGGGAGAAGACGACCTTCTCGGCGAAATCAGCCACTTGGTCGGTGAGCTCGGGGACCTTGGCCTGGACGCCTTTCAGAAGGAGATATTGGCAGAAGCAGGAGAAGAGGCCTGCAAGACCCAGCGACAGGAGGAACAGCATGGGAGTAGAGGTAGCATAGGCCCATGCAAAGCGGATTGCATTTTGGCGGTTGACCGAGCCGAAGCGTTGACCGAACCACAAGCCCCAGGCGGACGAGTGAGGACGCGAGGCGAGGTAGACGACATCCATGGCATCGTGGCCCTTTTCGAAGAGGCGGGAATTCTCCTCCATCTTTCGGTAGCGGCGCATCTCGTTCCAGGCCATCGGAACCATGACGAGGATCGCCGCAACGATGAGGACAGCGAGGGCAATCTTTCTGGCTTCGAAGGCCATCTTAATGAGGTCGTCGAAGAAGCTGTTGATGGAATTGCCTTCGGAACAGAAGTTCAGCTGCTCCTTCTGCGGGACTGGCAGGAGCGTGCGGTCAAAGTTGAAGGTGTTCATGCCCCGGATTAGCTCCTTGACCTCCTCGAACGGGATGCGAATGACACTGTCGGTGAAGTTCTGGACCTCTTCGAAGGTCGGGATGGACTGATTGAGCTTCTGAAGATCCTCCTGGACCTTGGGAGGGACCTGGAGAGCCTTGAGCTTGTTGATTTGCTCGTCCAGGTTGATTTGCGGTACTTCGAATCCAGGAGTAAAAGGGATGTCGGGCATCTTCGAAAAGACGCTGTTGATGGCGTCGGTCACCTTCTTCGTAGCATCACCGATGTCGCCGGTCACTTCGTCCACGGTCTTGTTGAGAGCTTGAGCCATTTCTGTCCCAATCTCTACGGCAGCACCGACGCTGCCGCGGATGGCCAAGGTGATGAGGCAGAGATAGGTGCTTGTCATCATGTGGATCACGAAGAGGACAATCTCCTCGACGCCGGTGACGCTCATTTCCAGCATGTGCATGAGACCGCTTACCGCTTTTTCGACGCCGGACGCCGTCATGTCGTTGACGCCCTGGGCCATGTAGTGGGGCATGGAGGCCATGGAGCTTCCGATGTTTTCGACTTGGGTGCATGCGCTCAGGGCTTCGCGGCGGGCGGAAGCCAGGCTGTCCTCAGTGTTCGCGACAGCGAAGAGCAGGCGGACGAGGACGAGGAGGAGAAGGATGGTCCAGCGGTTGATGAGGATCTGTGAGAGCCTAGCTCGAAAGCCGAGGTATGGAGTGAGGTATGGTGTCTGGTTCATGGTAGGTCGTGGTGCATCTTGTTGGGCGTAGTAGTCTCGCAACTCATGATCGCCAGCGGAAAGAGATGGAGGTACGGCCTGGAAGGGTTGCTGTTGGTTGGGTGTGGAAGCCATGTTGGAGGATGGCTGCGGACGCGAGGTCTGGGTAGGAGGTATTAGATGGGTCTAGATGTTGGACGGCAGCCAGCAGCCGTGTATGCAAATGCAAATGCGAAAAGGGATGTAATGAAAGGGCGTAGTAATATGGACAAGAATATCTGCCAGAGATATAGCAAGAGAAGTTTGCGGTTATGGAGAAAGAGAGAGAAAGAGGGAGAGGGCGAAAGATTAAGCGATTAGAAAGAAGGTGGCCATGCACCGACAATAGGACAACAATAGGAAACCCCCCGCCAACGCGCGAACAATGCAACAATGAATCTTAAGGAGAAAATCTTGGAGCGGTGAAGGTGGAGGTGAATAGACTTGGGGGTCACTTGACCTTTGTATGGAGTGGCTCGCATTCAATGAACTGTGCACGACAACAAGTGAAACGGCAGCCGCGTGTACGTACCGCAAGGAATCTGGGGACCCATCTTCAGGCCGCATGCAAGGTACCGATTGGATGCCAAACATTGAGGCTCTCGACGGGGGCGTGTCAGCAGATGAGGCTCTATGCTGGGGATAGGCGAGGGGAGTAGGACGAGCAGGCCCAAGTAGGCGCCCGCCTGGTGGAACGCGGCTGCTGACGGCCAGTCGTTTTGCTTGCACCAGAAAAAGGGCCACGAAAGGCGCCCAGGTGGATTTCTTAGCGGTTTCTGGGCCGGCATTCTATTTTTCGGTACTCTTTGACTCTCTTTTTGCCTCGAGTGGCCGTCGCAGCTTCTTTTCTGTCGGAGCTGGGGGGCTGTCCTTTGTTCCACGGCTTGCGCTCGGTTTGGCTCATGGCGGCTGCTGCGGAGCCACACAAGAGTGAGTGAGCGGTAGTGTTGTCAAAGCGAGCGCAAGGGAGCACCTCCAGACTGGCGCCGTGAGGGAAGAGGGAGATGCTCAAAGGAGCGTCAAGGGCAGAGGGGAGTTGACTGTTTTGTAGTAGGTCGGAGAGCGGGATGATGATGCATGACAGCGGCGTGGTGTGGCGCAGATTCCTTGTTTCTCCACCGACGTCATCTATACAATCAGTTGCAACCACATCCGTCAAACATGAATACTTGTGTACACTGTTGTCGACGGAATGTGATTCTTCTCCATTAACCTTTCCAACAATGTCTTCAGAGTTTTGCTGATTCCTTACTAATGCTCTCTACTATCCTTTCGACGCGCCGGCCAAAATAGCAGCGGGCGGCATCCGTTCACTGATTCACTGCGCTTCCAACCCGCCAAGGGATGGCTTGTGCGCGGAACTCTCCTGTCCAATCACCATGGTCCAAACAGTGAACTTGAAACATCTTCGACCTGTTCACAGGCTGGCCGTAACCATGAGGAGTGATGGGGGTTGTCGAAGTAAACGTTTGTACGTTATAAACTTAACAAGTTCCTAACGTGTTTATATAGGATACTGTTAGTAAAAACTATAACAAACACGGCTGTTAAGGCAAGTCTAGTCTTAATTAGTACAAATATAACAGGTGCAGGCGGCCGTGCGTGTATTTAAAGAAGAAGGAGCAATAGCTAAGACCAGAAAGCTTAGCGCAATATTTTACGCTAGCTGTATACAGTTAGCGTTAAAGACAGTTTTGTACGTCATAAACGGTTAGGGTTAAAGAACGGCTGAGAACGGATTTCAACGTTCAAAACCCACCACTAACCATGAGTTACAGTTTACATGGCCCTGCGCCTATTCTTGTACTGTACTTACAAGTAGTAGGCTTGATACCAAGTCACTGGTGGAGCCGGAGGTTTCCTCCCTCCACCCCTTCTGCCTATTCAACTCCACCCGAACCTGCCTCGCTGGTGCTATACTATGTACAATCCCGCCTTCTTTGCCCACCATTACTACTTTACACATCACCGACTGTCCACCTTTGACTCCCTGTCACCCCTGCATGCCTCCCTCCCCACCCTCCTGATGCCCATGATGATGATGGTGTCCCAGTCCATTGAGATGCAACATCCTCTTCACCGAATCCACCCCCTTCTTCACATGCGGGTGATGGCTGAGAAACTGTCCCTCACCCGCAACCCCTTCTCCCTTGCCTGCTCCCGTTCCTCCTCTTGAAGAACTACCCGCTGCCCCAACTCCGGCCTTCCTACGGCCGCCAGGCAGCGGATCGATTGGATTCGCCTTTGGAGGCCACTCTCCCGCTCCCTTCCAGCCCTGTACTAATGCCCGCGTCATGTCCGAGAGGTTTACCGGCACGCTGGGCGGCCGCCCGCGCACTACAATGTTGGCGTAGATGTCCTGATAGACCGAAGGCCTGATAGAGGTGCGAATCGGATTGTCGGCGAGGAGACGTGGCGCCAGAGGAGCGAGCGAGACGACGGATTCGTCTGAGGTATCATCCCCAGTATGGTGCTGGCCTTGGCTCCCATCCAGCGAAGCTGAACCATCAGGCGGACCCGGACCCCCCGTAGATTGTGCTCCTTCGTGCGGAAGCTGCGCATCATCGTCGTCGTCGTAGTCGGTGCTATCCAGCTCCATATCTGCCCTCTCCTCGGCATACTTCGCCCTCCGCATCCTCCCTACACGCCTTTGCACCCTGGCCCGGTGTCTCCGCACCGTTGCCGCTCCCGTCCAGACCTCCTGTCTCTCAATGAACACCTTCATGCCCTCGTTCCAAGCCATCTCTTCCTGCTGCCTGACTCGCAGTTTCCGTCTCCGCGCCCGCCGCCGCCGCTCCACCGCATCGCCTACGCTCTCGGGAGACTCGAATTTATATGGATTCGCATGCGGCAAAGGGGCCAAGAAGGTCGCACTGCTGGGGCCCGCCGTCACACTTCCACGTGCTTCCCCTACGCCTATGCGCCCTGTTGGTATCCGCGACTCCTCTCCAGCTTCCACCTCCTCCGAAGACTCGGATGCGGAGCTCCCGTAGTACCGTTCGCGGAACTCCTCCACATCCCGGATTTCTTCGTCGGAGCCGGATCGCGGCGGCGGTACGTCGGGGTACGACCAGTCGCTGCGGACGTGCGAGTCCAGGAAGCGGCGCGCCTCTCGCGCCGCCTTTTGGTTGTTCTGCATGTACGAGGGGTATGACGTGGGATGTGGGAAGAGTCCGAGGTGGAGGAGAGGTGGATTAAAATGCTACTTCTGCGATCAAAGGGGGAGGAGAAGAAAGTTATAGCGTGCGAGGTATAATGGAGGAGAATATTTCGGCGCCACAAGAGTATTTCGCGCGGGGCGGGGAGCAAGTCGAAGCCTAAGCTCTGTGGATGGCCATTCCAGTGCGGCCAGGAGAATATGTGTATGCAAGGCCAAATGAAGCGCAGAATATGTATGTCATGCTTAAGGGAAAGCTGCCAGCAGCGACTAGCAGTGGAGCGGAGAACGTCTCGAGGAGAAGCTGCATGTGGTGGAGAGTGGACTGATGCCGCGCATGACGTGCATTAGCGGCCCGTGCCACAGCAGGCAGGGGTCTCCTCAACCTCATCTCAACCTCGCGCCTTGCACAAGATCTCCTCACCTTATTTTCCCAGTGCTCAAACAGCGATGCTGGCTGCCTTTTGAAGACAATGTAAGTTTCGAATCCGTCTTCGATGTCAGCGACAAGATCGCCGCCTTCAAGAGACTGTGCAAGCCGCTCCGCCTCCGGTACACGCACGCGATACAGATCAGTGATCAATCCCTTCTTTACGGGCCCCTCTGACTGTGGCTTTTGGGAAAGGAACCAGCAATACTAGACGATACCTCTATCCTTTTTCTAGATTGCTAACAGCCCTGTGGCTAGATTTCGGGAACCGAACATGTCCTTTTCACTTTGCGTCTTCCCTTGCATACCCGACATCTTGTATATCGAATATATATCTTCGTCTTCGTCAAAACAAAGGTTCCAAACTGTCAGAATCATGACTGCTTGAATTTTCTTCGGCTTTCGCGTTTGCCTCAGTTCCCTCATCGACCTACCAGTCAAAACACTCGCCACTCAGCATCCAGGAGTTGACAGACTTTGTACCAGTCAGGGTGCGTCGGACCTGGGACGCCATATTCGCCATCAATGGCAGGAACGCTCTTAGTTGGTAGATTGCTGTTCCATAGGCACGGTGAACCTCGCACTGAGAGCAAACACCCTTCGTCTCCGTCCACATCCAACCTATCCCTAGGCCTGTCATGCATGCTAACAGTAGAACAGGCCATGGAGCTCAGCAGATGTCTATTATGATAATGTCCTACGTATCGACATCTGCGTCTTCTTGTCGCAACAGTGGGTATGGCACGTAGCCCTGGTGGTTGCTTGTGGTGTACCAGTGTCCCACCGACCGGGCGTCTTCGAACCCGTAGCTCCTTTCACCACCCGGTGTATTTCCGCCGAGAGGGCTCGGTTCCCTGCCTGGTCATAACGATGTTGTCCTTGCCCGCAGTTCACTGGCCCCTTCAACAGAGCACTGTATCATCACGCTGTGTGTCATAGCCCCGCTTCCCACCCTGTGTGCTTAAAAGTCTTTTTTTGGCGGACCGCCTCCTCAACCTCTTCTCCACAACCACAGCGCACCGCACCTCCCGCTTTCCGCAACTTTGTCCCATTTGCAGCTCCGTCAACGCTAGTTTCGCCGCTCCTCCTGTGATTGAAGGAGTTGCTACTGTTATAGGATAGCTGGGTATTGAAGCGTTCCGTTGGCGCGCCGCTGGGATTAAATTCGCTTTACCGCTCAGTAGGTTGGCCGGCTCACTAGGTTGGCCTACCTCTCACTCCCGCACCTGATCTCTTCACGCGCTATCTCAACCCGCCAAGGCGTCTGGCAGTATTATTCCTTGCGAACACCGCTTCGACAATCGGAATCTCTATTGACCCAAGGCAGCAGCAATTTCGGATAGTTTAGAGCTACAAAAAGCTATCTAACCACCTTCTGGTCTGGCAGCTTTTCCCTCCCACCACTCACCTGAAACATCTCCAAGAAGACCGGCCTTTCATCTTCACAAGAGCTTCAAGCAATAACAAACCGCCTCACACTCTCACCCCAAGTACTATCTTCACGACCAAACTTGATCAAACCTACATCCCGGAGCCTCCTGGCAATTCCGCGCATTTCAGCACATCCGTTGAGTGCACAGCACGGTTTGCACCGACCACCGATATCGCCTTCTCACGGCATTTTCCGTCAATCACCTCGAATAAGGTACGTGCTCTATGAACCCGTGGTTACACTTCAGGAAGTCTGGTCTGTGCGCTTGGTCGGTCGGTTCACTTGGGTTCCTGGCCAGCAGAGGCGGGCGGTGAGAGTGATGGATGATGATTAGCGAGGCATGCTAGGACCGAATGCGGGCAGACTGCTTCTTGAAAGCCGACCTCTTCGTTTGCTGAGATAGCTGCACAGCTTCGCTGGAACGAAACTGACGCAACTAGTAGGACAGTTTAACGAACAATAGCACTCATTCCGAGTGAGCCCCCTCACTCTTGGTGACAGTTCAGCACGAAGCGAAATCCAGCCTCTGCTACTTCATCAACACCTTTACAAGCGCTCCTCTCCTCCTACATCCGAACACACTGCGCTCCCAAGACCCAATCGACAGATTAGCTTCACTGTATACCGGCCTCAACCAACAAGTCAAGAGATCGTCAGACTTTCAGGGGTCACACAGAACTGAAGTCATGGCACAATCCCGAGAATGGATGAGGAGGCTCGATGAGAGCTTTCACTCCCTCGCGCTTGCTTCATCCCCTCCAACCACGGCAGAAGAGCTCGCTTCAACAACACATCCTGCAACACCTAACGCTCAATCGCTCGAGGTTCAACCGCCCGACAGCCACACAGCATCCCTGCGGCCCCTTTCAGAGGAAGGCTCGTACAATAGCACCGGCCACATAAGAGGCGACTCCGGACATGGCCATGGAAGGTACCGACCGCGATACACGACCGGCCCGACGCCGCACCATCGTGCGGGCTTCCGAAATTCACACACATGGGTTTCTGATGACACCAAACTCATGCAGGACTGGTTAGTCATTCGGAACGCTATGAGGCGACTCTTTCGCCATTCGGAAGTTGCCAAGTGGAAGTACACGGACTACATTGCACATAGGGAGGCAATGATTGCATCCGCCAAAGCCCGTCTGGACAAGAAGTTGCGAGTAAAGGAAGAAGAGCGCCAGCGACGTCTTGCCCTTACAGAGCAGGACTATGCATACGCAGAAGGTCTGGGCTACAGTGTCTCCGGGTGCCTCAACTGGGGCGGCAATCGGTCGCTCGTGCTTGGTGAGAAGACGATTTGGTGCCTGGATTGGCAGAACGGGAAAGAGGAGATTGCCCCATGGCCGACATTGGCGGAGATGAAGTGGGAGGGTGATGACCGGGCAAAGACGAACGTCGGACGCTTCCTCCCCCTGCCTCGCGAGATTGGCGCTCCTGGAATCGCGTGGTCGCAACTCCAGGTTGTGGAGCAGTATCCCCTGGACCAAGTGCAGAAGGTACCAACGCTCGAGGACATTCTGCTTCCCGTCGACGAGATCGATGATGAGGTCAAGTATGACCTGATCACCAAGGACCTTGAGGATGCCATGGATGAGTACCTGGAGTCATAGGACCATGGTTTGCCTCCTTCGACTTGCCCAGACCCGATTGATGACCCATTTACGCCAACGCAACTCCTTCTACATAGCCTACAGAGACATCTGTCAAGTTGCTGACTCGTGTTTTGTCGGGATGACGGACGGTTCCCTTGGTCTCATGACTGGTTTCATAGTCGCCATCTGCCTGGATGCTAGTCCCCCACTTCAGTGTATTTGTCGCCCAATTTCTGGATACTGTTAGTGCTTTTTGCTGCGGCTTTTCTTCCTCTTCTACAAGCAAGACTTCTTTTTGGCTTCGACCTCGGATTCAGCACCTCGATCTCCTCTTTGTCTCTGATGGGTCATGGACTCCAGGAGCCGGACGACATGGTTCTCGAGTCAGCTTCCGAGAACGGTCTCCCCGGTTCTTTCATAACTTCTTCTCGAATACCCTCCCCCTTTGGACACATCAAGACATATTCTCGACACGAACCCAGGGAGGGTTACCGAGGAAAGGGTGTGGTGCATGCATGGCTGGCGACGGCGCGAGGCGAGGCGGATGTTTTGAAGGGGGATGAGTTCTTGATTCTTGCACATACTTTCAGCTTCACGGGGCCATGCACGTGGCATTCTGAGCCCTTTTTCTTTTCTTTCTTTTCTTTCTTTTCTTCTTTTCTTCTTCTCTTCTAGTGTGAGGACTTATTAGTTTCCTCTAATTTTCACTTCTTTCGTGCATCTTCTGATTCTGTCTTCTTCATTCGATTCATTCGATCTGCATAGGCGGATATAACCTTGCGGCTTTGCACAGCAGGTTAGGAGGCGCAAGTAAGGGTCTAAGGAATCGAGGGAAGTAGTATCAAAAAGGGCAAACTAGGAATCTTGGATTCGACACTTTTGCTAGCGTGACTCCTCCCTTGACTCCCTTAACTACCTCGACTCTATCGACTTACCCTCTTTACTCTTGTCTGTCTGCCTTTTGCCTTTGCTTCTATTCTCTACTTTAAGCTTGTCTTCCTTCTCTCTCGTCTCTCTTTTTTTTTCTTTTTTTTTTTTTTTTTTCTCGATTCTTTTCGACACAAGTAAATTGCGATACCTCCTTCTCTTAACTCCTTAGCGGGTTGAACGAGTGTACTATCTGCAAATCTCGAATCCTAGATATCGATTAATACGTACGTGTGCGTGTGCATATACTTAGGCGTAAACATAATATCCTGCTGCGAAGTTTCAAGTCGATGTGCTTAGATTATGTGTACATTATGCTTGTGTTGTATTCGCATTTAGCTTAGAATTCCTAGAAGCTATAATAATTGTAGAGCCTCTGCGTAGGCGTAGCGCAGGTAATTGTGTTGCTAGATTGAAGGGGTAGGCGTGTCTTGCAGGTGCGTATACAGGACTAGGAGGGGAGAGTGTACTGTAAGATCTACTATAGAGAATGTTAGCAGAGATGTGCATAACTAGGCCTAGTAAGGAGGGAGCAAGGAGGGAATGCAGAAGTAATGTGTTAAGTGTGTTTACTGCGCTGTAACACACGGGTCTAAGAGGTCTGTTAGACAATATCTTGCAATTTGCATGTCTAAGATTCGAGGTTAGTAACTTCAAGGGATTCGAGGGATTTCAAGGGCCTAGTTTGCATAGAGAGTAAGGATGTCTAAGTTTAATTTAGTAGTTTTGTAGACGGTAAGATATACAAGTATGTTTTCTCTTTTCGTTCCTTTTAGTCTCTACTAAATAGCTAGGTATTGCGTAGACGGAGAAGTTAGACTACGACTAGATTCTAGGAATTAGGAGTTAGTTAGCTAAGGTTGCGGGTACGATTTAGCTAGTTAAGTTAAATTATAAGACTAATCAAGTATATATATTAAGGGGGTTATATAGGTAGACTTAGGAGTGCAAACATGTATAGTTCTAGACGGAAGGTAGAGTTTATGTTAGGGAGGTAAGGGATTAGGGAGGAGCAGGCTAAGAAAACTAGGTAGGGGGTTTAATACGGTAAGGATAGTGTTAAATAGGTTTAGAGTAGATAGAGAGATAATGCTATAACTTTAGGCATGCGTTTAGGGTAACTAAGTTGTTAAAGAGGAGAGGGTTAGAAAGATAGGATGCATGAATTATCCGTCGAGAGCAGGAGATGTAAGTTCGCTAGGTTTTGTTGTGCGTGCATCTGTGTACAGGTACTTAACAAAAGGGAGGAGGTTATTAGGGATGCAGTAGACGGTAGAACAGATAGCTAGAGTTTATAGTGCGCAACGGCAATAGATAAAAGGTAGGAAGACTAGGAAGAGGTCTGTTTAGCTGTTTGGGGTTTGGGCGAAGTTGGAATTAGCGGTAGGGAATAGATAGGTTGTTGAGCTTTGACAACGGACGGGTGAACTTCACTATTCCACGCGGCTAATGTCAGAGTTGCGGGTTACTGTTGTTACTTGTAGATGTACCGTATATAATAAGCTGAATGTTATATTCAGGTAGCTTAAAAAGCCAGTGGTTATACATTCCAGATCCTCTTGCCAGAGATGTTATCTATCTATCCAATGCCATCCAATCAACCGGAACTAGGGTATCTAGCCGCCGTGTCGCCGTCACCAAACAAGCCCAAAACCTAGCATACCCAAACGAAAACAGGATAAAGTCCTTATCACTCGACACGTCCATCTACAATCACGGTACTCCAAAACCTGTCACTTGCCTCCTCGAACACAAACATTACTTCTCCATCTTCGAGTTCTCCGTGAGCACACTCCCGATTCCCATCCCCTCCAAACTCTCCATCAATTCCTCCTCCTTCATCCTCCCGAGGACCCTCTCTTTCTCTTCCACTCTCTGCTTCGTGATTCTTCCCCCCAGCAAACGGTCGAAGCTTCGGGCCTTTCCTCCCCTACCCCTTCCCGCCTGCACGTGGTTTCGGCCCTTGTTAGAAGGCCTCGACGGTGTCGTTCCGTCCTTTAGCCTCCTAACCAGGGTTTGGTCCTCCTCATTGCGGATAGGGATGATCACATGCCATGGATCCCTCCGGTAATGGTACACGGGCACTGATGGCCTGTGCCCCTCAACGCGGCACTCCTGACACCCGAAATCTCCCCCTACTAAATCCAAGCGATCATTAAGCTGGTGTTTGAAATTGACCCGGTTCAGAATGGCAAGGTGAGCATTCGCGCGAGCAACAGCTTGTAGTTGATCGTCAAGTGGTATATCTTCCCGCACCCCGAGGAAGGTTACCGCGTATTGCCGCAGGGCGAGGACGTTGTTCTCGTAGATCTCATTTGGTGAGGAGCGGGGTTCGCTATATCCTTCGGCTTCGCTGGAGGGAGACGGTGTGGAGGTGTGAAGGCGGATTAGGTCCGGCATCATCTGTTGTTAAAGCGTTAGCGGTTTGTTGTTCCCCAGCAAGTGCTAGCAACAGGGAAGATAGATGGAACTTACGGCCGAAGACCCTACGCAGTTCTGAGCGCACTGCTCAGCTTCCCTGGCAACAGCGACCAAGTGTCCGCACCGCAGTTTGTGGACTCTGCTTATCGAGCAGTGGCACGGACGTGTTTCTTTCTCCTGATGGGAGGGCAGAGGCGACCATGCTGCGAAGGGTTGCGGCATGGTGGTGATGGACCAGTATCGTCCGGAACGCTTGCCCTCCTGGAGTTGACGGCGGAGATGCTCACCCATTTGTGTGTCTGGTGAGGAGCCACTGGGTGCGGGACATGTGGGGGGTTTGCTTCCGCTCGCCATGGCAACCGGTGTTCGAAATATAGAAAGAGGACAAGAGTTTTCAGGGGCATATAAAGGTCAAATAGTGTGAACACGACGGTTTTAGTTTGAAGATTTTGATTGTAGGCGGAAGGTTGCGATGTTAAAGTGGAGAGGAAGCTCCACAGCAAGTTGAACATTTACATACTCCAAGAGCCACCTTCAGCCCACGCCAAGTCCCCTGGCTTTCATCATGCCTAACCTAGGCGGACGTGAAAATAGGCCCAATAGTGCTGCATTAGCCTAGCCAGGGACATGCAGTGGCGAATTTATGGGCGGTCAAATGAAAGCGATGCAGAGTCCCGCATGTGCGGGCTACTCGTGGCTACCCTAATGAGGTAGAGGACCAGAGGGACAGGCTGCGTGATCGAATCGGCGGTATCACAAATCATCATGTTCTCGATCATGTTTTTCAAAGTTCAGAGCATGACCTATGTGCTTCGGAAGTTGGAGCATACCACGGCGTGGTGAGCAAGGGGTTTAAATAAATCCTAGGAGTTGGCAAACTACAGTGGGCAGTGGACAGTTTGGTACACCACAAACCGGCCGTTTCAGCTGGGAGGGCAAAGAACGAAGAGAAATTGCTGTTTTAGAAGGATCTGGCACCACTGTTTGCCTCAAGTCCAATACAGCTCAATCATTACCATTCTGACGGCTGTTCTCGGTGCTCTCCCAAGTATCTCGTCATATGTCATAGCCCCCTACTTTCCGGTTACGTTCTGCCTTTCCCTGCTCCAGATGTCCTACGACTCCTCTCCAATCCTCCGCAGCTAACAAATACTACCCCCATGCCGCATGCACCTAACCAAACTCAAATCATGCGTTTCCTTGCTCTTCGCTCAGAAATTATTCTTCTTTGAGATGTGTATAAAACCGATTGCGCAGGGGCGTGATTTTAGGGCCGGAATACGGAGAGCAACTTGGGGTGGAGAGGTTTTTTTTTGGGGAGGGGGGCGGGAGGGGGTGGACGGAAGGGAGGAGTCAAGCGGGAAGTGGTGCAGAGAGACATTGCGGAAGCCAAGCTACGTCTGGCTTTTAAGATGTCTCTCGCTATCTCCTTCCTCGCTCCCTCCAGCTTTGTAAGCCTGGGAACGCGAAGTGCATAGATTTGAAAGTGCTTGAGATATTTGAAGAGAGCAGACGACCGGCGTTGGAAGAGGAGTTTGTGACAGGATAGGAAATGCGTGCTAGGCTAAGGATATGAACCTCGACATCGAGGAAATGGGCATAGATACGGTTCAAAATTGATTTTGGAACGGTGGTGAGCGTTGGTTTCGGGCCAGACTGAGCAGTTACGTAGTACAGGCAAATGCTCGATCCTGTACTATTCCACTCGCCCTTGGGGAGTGTCAAAAGAATATATGCTACCATGATGATAGGACTTACGAAGAGACTCCTCTTTTGTAAACCTTAAGGAGAAATTCTTGGCTTCCTCAGAATGTGGCTGTTCACCACCTTGCCTTGTGTAACCTTCGCGCTAAACCTTATTTGGTCAACAACTCGTCTCACTCGTTGCAGCAATGTTGAAGAAAACAACATCCATCCAACCTGACGTCCGACCTCTCAGCATCTCAGCCAAAATGCATTCCCGTGGCCTACCTCTCGAGATATTCCAAGAGATTCTAGCCTTGTCAATCGAGGCTCGCGGACTGGAGCGCGGCCTGCGACTGAGGCTCGTTAGCAGTGGGTACACTCCAGGCGGCAATGCAAATGTCCAAATCTCAATTGTGGATAACAGAACTTTTTGCTCGCGAAGTGACGCCCATACTAATCAGAAAAAAGATGTTGGATGAGCACCTTCACCGTTGGGCCATGGGGCGTGGACCGCCGAAACACAAAATCCCAGCTTTCATGGCATCGTACATGGAGGCGCGTGTTCTCAACGAGCCGATGGACGGGATTCCGGGCCTGGTTCGTGTCCGGAAGATCGCACGTGAGCTCTGCGGGCAGCTCGACTCCGAATCACATGAGCTTGGAGATGACGAGGCGAGTTTTCGTGAACGGATTCGGGACCTGGTACAATTGATCAGTGGGGACGCCGTCCGTATAGGACGCCTGTTCAGCCCTTCGGCTCCCTCGAACAGCTATGAAACGGACCTGTTTGTTACTGCCATTCGATTCGATCTAGTCGAGACTGTGCGTACGCTCCCCCAAACAGGAAAGGTGGACGTAATAGCGTTAAGCTTCTTTCCCTGCCATTTGAGCGTGGCGGTCAGGTACGGCAGTGAAGAAATCCTCAGACTCCTCTTATCGAATGACAAAGGTTACGCCTCTTCTAATTACCGAGCGAGTGCACTTGCTCAGGCCTCAGGCGCAGGACGAGTGGACCTGGCCCAGTTTATTCTCCGTCTCAGGGCGGAACAAAGGACATGCGACGGAGGAGAGCCCAAAGCTAACGCTGGAAGAGAAGCCCTCGCCATCCATTCTGATGCTTTCTGTACCCCGAGCATAGAGCTGTGGGACCTGTTGATGGAACACGCGAAAATTAGGGTACACAAAGCGAACCAGGCGTTTCAAAAGTGGCTCCAGCAAGAGTGTCTCTACGCCAGCGCCTGCGAAGGCTGGCTTGAGATGGCGGAGAAATTGCTATCCTTGGGCGCGAACCCTAACGGCAATGATTATTCTTTCAAAAAACCGTTACAAGCGGCTTGTCGAGAGGGTCACTTGAATGTCGTTCGCGCATTGTTGCACCATGGTGCCGAAACCCGCGAAGTAATGGCCGAGGCCGCGTCCAATGGCCATACTGAGATTGTCCGACTCCTTCTGCAACATGGAGCAGAGACCGCGGGTGCCCTCTCGCTCGCCGCAAAAAGAGGCTACATGGACATCGTGCGACTATTACTTCAACACGGTGTCGATCCGAATGGTGAGCGGGCGAGTCCGCTGGTGACAGCCATCGGATTGGAGCACGTCGCTATGTTTCGACTGCTTATACAATATGGAGCAAGTTTCTCTCTTGATGTCAAGAACAAGTGTGTTCAAAGAGCTCAGGAACAGGGGCTGGATTCCATGCTTCGTTTCTTGGAGTCTTATGAATTTACACCTAGTGGTCCCTAGGAAAAGGCGGCCGTGGTGCGCAAGGAGGCGGTTAAAAGAATGTCTTCTCACAGTTAGAAAGATGATATCAAGATGTTCTCTTTTCCTATCAAGAGAAATGAGGCTACGAGGAGGCGGCTAAAAGAAGGACTCCTCACACTTAGAAAGATGATACCAAGATGTTCTCTTTTCCTATTTCAGAAGAGAAATGAGGCTACAACGAGGCGCATGTGCCATTGAGACCTTTGAAGGATTTAAAGGGGCAACGTGGCATTCATGACTACATAATACCTGATAGAGTCTGATACCAGGATATATATCCGCAACTCTATTTCTTCCGAGTATTTCCTTGCCAGTGCTTACGAATCTGGTTGGAAGCAATCCAAGCACGACACCTGCGTGATATCGTCCATTCATCATTGCTTGTTACTCTAGGAGGAGATAACGTTCATGTAATGTCCGTGTCCAACATCGTCCAATGGAATCGGATAATTGGCTTCTCTTCATATCAACATCATGCAACACTTTCTTTCCCGTTCCCCTCTGATCATAACGTTACTTATTTGACGAACGTATTCACAGGCAATCTATACACATCGATAGTCCAATACGGCCTTCGCGTCCCCTCCCACTGATCACTTCCATGCAGACCGGCCGGGACGGCGATGTCTTCCCACTCGGTATCGAAGCCGGCTTCGTGAAGATCCATTTCAGCGACCTGCAATTGCATTAGCATTTCTTCCTAATCCCTCACTTGCCACGGCAATCTTCAGGAGGAGTCACCTTAGTATAGACGTCATAACAAATCTGCCTATCCGCACCAAGGCCGTTATACCACCCAAATCTCCCATCCGGCGCAAGTAACTGGATCACATATTCGCTAAAGAACTCCTTCAGCGCCTTGTAATCCTCCGCAAACGTGTCGTAGTAGATTGCATCCAGCACTACTCCCTGCTCCACCAACTTCGGCAACACATCTTGCCACCTCCCTTCGTGAATGTGCACATTGGGTTTGTCGTACCAGCCCGTTTCGCGGAGCCGTTGGTGCACCTGCGGATGCGCTTCAATGATGTGGTGTTCGGAGGGGTTATGGCTAAGAATGGCGGTATCCACAATGCCCATGCCGTGTCCAACGTTCATGGTGCGGAGGCCGGGGCGCGGAATCAGAGTTTCGGCGTGGCGCTGCATGATTTGCGTTTCCCAGTCCATCATGACGGCATTGTCGGATTCGTCGAGGAGGATGCCCGGTTTGTATCTGAGTTGGGACTTTAGGTAGGCGTGGTTGTCGAGGGAGACATCGTCGAGGAGCGCTTGTTCTCGAGCGGAAGGCTGTCCGTTCTTGACTTCAGCAGCTCCGTCGTCTGTCTTCTGTTTTTTGGGGGCGGGTTGCTCCTCCGCCTCCTTCAAGGTTTCCTCAGCATCGTCGATTTCGATGTCTCCACCTCCAACGACGCCGCCTCCTACCAAACCCAGCTCCTCCATCCGCGCAAACAGTATCTCCGCCCTGACCCCCGCCTCAACCATCATATCGTACAACTTCTTCTGCCCCAACCTCAATGCCACACACCCAGGCGTCTCGTCCTTATTATTCAAATCGTTCCAGATAGCGCCATTCTGCAGCAACAACTCGACCGTCTTCATCGCCTCCTCACCTGCCTCCTTCCCCCCCTCTTTTACATTCTCGCAAGCTGCAATGGCCGCGTGGAGAGGAGAAGTCGCGACATCGGCGGTCGGGTCTTGCACGTTTGCGCTGCCGCCTTCGTTGAGGAGGATGGTGAGCGCGGGGACGTCGTGGCGGGCGGCGGCGGAGATTATGCGCTTGGCAAGAAGAATGTCTTGCTCGGAGGCTTGGAGGTCGGCCATTTTAGGGAAGTGGGATGGGCAATTGAAAGGTTTTGGTGGGATGTCGTGTTATGGATATTTTTTGAAGAGAGACAGGGATGTGGTTATCGATAAGATTTGGTGGGGTGTTGGTGCAGGGCCTGGTCAGACAAACTTGTGATTGGCTGAGAGGTTTAAGGTACGAGAGTTATAGTGATTGGTGTAGGTAAAATAGTGCACTGTGTATAGAATAGTCTAAAACAATAGAGCCTCTAACGGATAGACGAGAAGCTAGTCCTTCCTCCAGTACAATGCAGCAAGACCGAGCAACCTATACACAGCAGTGATTCCCAGGAGAATTCCAACCCATCTACCCTCCCGACCCAGCGGGTACCCATACGCAGACAGGACTGCCGTACCGGGGATCTGACACTGCAAATCCCCTGTTGGATAACTGCACCGGCAGTCTGACGAACAGTCGTACGTCCTGTCCTTGAACTCATGGACCATCATGCCTTGAAAGACATAGGCTTGATAATCAATATAGTGGAAGACGTATTTCCAGAAGGGATTGAGCAGGGGTATCGGATGCAGAAAGCCTCCAACGGACATCCACAACCCATTGGCAAATGCGACGATAGCAAGTGAGATGACAAAGTTGGGGACTAGGTTGGAAACGAATACAACCAAGGATTCGGCGGCTACAAGATCAAGGAAGAGCCACATGATCCATATAAAGAACGCTTGTGCGTCGGGCCTGAAGTTGGAGAGCCAGTATGCTATGACGGAGAAAAGCACAGAGATACCGACTATGGCATCGGTTAGCTTGGTTATCGTTGGTTCTAGCTGGGATCCGGAAACACTTACACAGGTAGGGTAGGCCCACGATTATGTTCGAAAGCATGAAAGCAATTGGACCGTACAGCCCATTAGCTCGCTCTTTGACAAACACTACCCTGTCCTCGATATATGCAGGGACGTAAGCGACTGCCATGAACGACATGAACGCTGAGCCAAAGAACTAGTGGGAATCAGTGAACTGTATAAACGGTGTGTCGGCGTATGAACTCCCTACAATAGCGTTGATGAAGGATTGTATATACTCCTGTTCCGTTTTCAGCCGGAGCCAGACTGTCCCCATCATGATGGCCAGACCCGTGTACATGGCGTATCGAACACCATACGCTAGCACATCTCTGTAGCTCTTCATGATTGACCGTTTGAGAAGCGGAATGAGCACCGTGGAATTGCTTAGGTTGGAGGGTCTTTTAACCTCTAGACGAGTAGGTGCGTTGGATCGCGATGGCGCTCTGAGTGCAGGCATATGCTGACCGCTCGCCCATGCGTCTTGAATTGATGCCGGAACCGCATTATCTGTACCCTCAAAATCGGCGTTCACAAGGTCCAGCAAGTACTCGGCTGGATTTGTGTGCGAAGGGATAGGATGTCCAATTGACTCGAAGTAGGTGGGTACCTGATCTACCTTTCCAAAGTAGCAGAGTTTCCCGGCAGACAACAGGGCAAGCTTATCGAAGAGATTGAAAGTGTCGGTTGACGGCTGGTGGATACTTGCAATGACGATGATCTGAGACAACAAGGTCAGTCTCCCAGGAGCTAGTAAGTGACGCCAGAACAACCTTTGGGAAGCCACTGACCTTAAGCTCTTTGGCTGTCTTGCGAACGAAGGACATCACTTCACGGCTGGCGGTGGAGTCGAGGCCAGAAGTAGGTTCGTCGAGGAATAGAATTTTAGGTCCAGTCACAAGTTGACTTGCAACACTGACCCTGCGCTTCTGGCCGCCGCTAATGCCCTTCCGGATGGGTGTTCCAACCAGAGTATCAGAGCATGAATTCAGACCGAAGGCTGTCAGGAGGTACGCTGTAAGAGCATTGCGCTGAGCTTTCGATGACCTTTATCGGTCAATTAGCCAAGGTTGTAAACATATAAGAAAGGATCGACTGCTAACCTAGGGCGCGATAAGTGTGCCGCTATTTCAATCGTCTCCCGTGCAGTGAGCGACCCAATCAATGCATCATCCTGTTCGACAAAGGAAGCAATAGAGCGGAACGCAGCCGGAGACAAAGCATCGTCGTCCACCAGAAGCTCTCCAGAGACTTTCGCCTTACTAGTAGATGTCCGATGGGCGAGAACATTCAACAGTGTTGTCTTCCCAGAGCCTGATGGCCCCATAAGCGCAAGTACTTCGCCTGTATATGTATAATGGCCGGTTAGTTGACAGCTTTCCGTGAGATCCCCTCGCAAGATTACTTGCCAGCTTTGGCAATGCCAGAGACATTGTCGAGGATGCGCTTCGGCTTGCCTGTCGCACGATCCTTCACTTCGACGGTGCAAGCATCCCAGCTGTAAGAGTCAACGGAATTGTTGTGGAGCACGTTCAGTTGAGCGCTCTCGCTGTCCGAAAGCAATAGGGCCGGTTTCTCGGTGTGTGGATTCATTCTTGCCCGAATCAAATCTGGAAGGCTATGCAATTACGCCTTATTCACCGCCGTCAACTCGAAGACAGTGATTCGAAGGAGGCAGGTTCTCGTCGGCCGCAACAACTTGATAACTGGATTATCATTCCAGAAAGGCGCAAAGGGAGTCGCCGTTCATTCCGCTTGATACCGGATTTGGAGTGTTCTACTGGACCCCGTTCATCTGAAAAATGGAACTTCACGATTCACGGACTTAAGACGGCTAGCGGGAGCATAGCCGCTCAACGGGGCGTAAGCCGCCACGGCGAGGTGAAGAGCCTACCGCATAATTTCGAACGAAGGGGTGTAGACGCACAGCAGCTGACAAGAGAGCCGATTATTGCAGCTTATCTAAGCCCTAACTTGGAGTAGATACGGCCGCAACGGGTGAAAACAGGGGCCGTTGGAAACCCCAGTTCACTCACTCTGACGTAGTCCATTCGGGGTTCTGAGATGCTGTACTCGGTGCAATAACGCGAATTCATGCATGGGAGGTCCTAAATAGGGACAGAGGTTCGCTACATTCCCAATTACAAATCGAAGCGGCCAGGGTTCCGGTTGAGAGAGTGCAAATTCTCCCGTCACGCACAATCTAGCGTAGTAATTGTTCCTACGGCTCTCCCGTGGCTGTTGCGGAATCTCCTTTCTGATGTCACCTCCCCTCACTCACATATCCCAATACGGAACTCTTCGCCGACGGAAAGGAGTATTTGAAATGTTATTATCCATAAAACGTGTGCGCGTGCACAATACTCAGCTTCTGCGAGTCTAGACTCTCTGGTCCACAGGCTTTCATTCATTGAGACATCTGCGAGTTGAGGCCCGTAAACCTACTGCTACAGTCCTACGTTAAGCCCCAACTCTAACTGTTCATGTTAGAACCACATTTACTCCAGAGGCAAGGCAGTTCACGGGAGCCTTACTCTCTTTCTTGCGGTGCATGAAAATGTTCCATGTAATTCTGTGATTTTAAGGACCAAGAGTGTGTCATAGTAGATTTTGCTTCAAACCCAGCTAGCTCATCGTGTCCACTGGGGTCTTCAAAGTGGCAGCAGTACTTATACAGCTAATATTCACTAGCTATACTTCAGCCTCTCTTGTCCGCACAGCTTCCTCTTGTTGAGAATGACATGGATACCCTTCGGATTCCGGAAGTCGGCGACTTGTAATAATAGGCCCGTTCCTACCTACCATCCACGGCGCTACAGCGAGAAATTACCCCTTTGACTAAACTCACCGTTAAGTTGTTGACTTCGTACTCTCGATCTGTCTGTTAACGCCGCAACTCACTTGCACTATGCGACTTATTTACGCCGAGGAATTCACTGGAGAGCAACAGGTGAAATGGGGATATAGATACAGTCACATTTATGCATTATGCATCGAATAGCCGGAAAAAAAAGGAGGATTCGTTGAGAGAGATATAGCGATATACATTAAAAAAACAGTTTAACTACTTCCCACGAGCTCGCTCACGTATGCCCACATAGATTTCTCCAAGGCCGAGAATGTAAAATCTATTCCAACTCCTAACACGCCAGAAGCCAGAAGCCCTTGAAAGAACAGGACGACTCGGCATACCCAATCTTGTTTGTACTCTCGTACATGTGCCCAAGGGACCAGCCCAGCCAGGACCTTCAACCACATCTCCCAAGTCGACATACTCCCTACATCCTCAACGCCTCCAACACCATCCGATCCAAACTCTCAAACCCATTTTCAACAAAATACCTCCTCCCAGACCCCTCACGATCCCTAGAAGCCTCATCATCCGCGTCCTCACCGTCCTGCTCCGCCCCCGCCACCGCTTGCTCATCCGCCCCATCCACCCCAGCCAAAAGCTCTTCGAGCTCCACGCTTCTCTCTTCCTCAGTTTCCTCAGCAATAACTCGCATCCTCCCCTCCACCACCGCCCCCGCCACAGCACTCACCCCCGGTGGTAAAAACGGCCTCAGCATCATCTCGCCAACCCTAAGCCCTTCCATCGCCTCCCACAACCTCTCCCTATCCACTCCCGCATCGAGCCGTTCAGTCCGCTCAAACAGCCCTTCAACACCCCACAGCCAATGCAACACGCGGAACTCATCCCTCGTCTCACAACGCAGTGCGCGACTCTTCCGCAACCGCGCCGGCAGAGAAGGGTGCTTGAACTTCGCCTCCACGCGCCGGCAAAAGGCCACGAGGTGGCGGAGCAGGAGGCGGATCCAGGGTTCGGCGAAGGGGAGGTAGCGCAGGGCCCAGAGGTCGGCGATGTCTTGGAGGGCTAGCTCGTCGGCCATTTCGGCTCGGATGTGCGCGTCCAACGACCTCATGATGTGTTTCTCGGGGCCATTGCCCAGGAAGGCGAGGGCTTGGTGCACGGCGATTAGCGTTGCGAGGTCGGCCTCGAAGGCTGCGTGTGGGTGCAGCAGTTGGTGTTCAGTCCAGCGGAGGATGGTGGTGAGGCCGTGGTGCGTGGTGCTGTTGTGGGGGAGGAGGGCGATGAGAGGGTTCGAGGGGAGCATCCAGATGTGGAGCGTTGGGAAGAGGAGGGATAGTTGGCGGGGGGTGAGGGTAGTGGAGATGGGGGTGTGGCCTGGAAGAGTGATGAGAGGGGTGAGGGTCAGGCTGGGGCTCGGAGATTTGCGTGCTGTGGTGCGGGCCATGTTGGATGCTTGGTTCACTGAGGATTGATGTCGGGCCGTCTTGTCTTAGAATGGGTGGTTTAGACGGCGGGTTCGGACATGAACTTGCTGATATTTCCGCCCGAGTGCGCGGAAGAAGCCCATTTACCTTTATACGTGGAGTCCTTTACAATGTGCGAGGTATACAGTGACTCTCTGCATGGTGTTGACCGGGTTGTCCTTTAACAATGTCGAAGTGTCTCAGTGGAAGTTGGGAGTCGATCTCTCCACATTGTGCAGTGCAGAGGTGAACATGCACGAGCGCTCAAGTCCACTTGGCCAGTTCGACTCGAATCGAATTGTTGAGATCGTCGAACTCGAGGATACGAGGGTTCGAGAAAATCCTCCCATTTCTCCCTCAGCGGCCCAGCCACATCCTAGCGCACCACGACCTATATCGCCCTCTCGAAAACGACCTCATATTCCTCATCCACCACCTCTCCACTCTCATCCAGTATCTTCCTCGCCCCCATCTTGCAGATCTGCACCTTACCCACCACCACGCCCTCAGCCCACACAAACTTCTTATACTCCTTAATCAGCGCCGAAGCATCGAACCGCATCCAGCCTTTTGAATCCGGTCCATGTCCCTGCGTTCGATCCTGAGCTTCTGGAAGTTCCGGTTGCGCAGGTAAGAGGGATATTCCTTCTGATTCCACGGTCGACGGGTAGGGTGGTATCGCGCTAACAGCGCTATTCACCTCCTCCTGCACCTCCTCATCAACATCAACCACTTCCTCACCTTCCCCTATCCCACTCTCCTCATCCCGTTCGAGCATCTGTTCCCTCTTCCTAACCTTCTCCCTCTCTTTCTCCCTTCCCATCCTTTCCCCTTTCTTCTTTCCTTTACCCATCCATTTTCCCCCTCCCCCTCCTCGTCCTCTCGGCATAGCATACACCGTATTCAGCACCGTAGCGTGTAACCTAAGGGGTCTTTTGTCATCAATCACCCACCCCTTCTCCATGAATGTCCTCCTAAGGGCATCGGCAAAGGGGAGGAGGCGGGAAGTAGCATCCACCGGTTCGGCGTAAAGGATACTCGTCTTCTTGGGTGATTGCATGGGATGCAAAGCTCTCAGGTCCAGCGTCAACGGCGTCGGCCTATCAGCTCCAGCATCGGAATCTATCTTCGGTGCTTCCTGTTCTGACTGTTCCCCCTGCTCTGTCCCTTCACCCTCTACACCCGCTCCACTTGCCCTTGATTCCGACAACAGCTTTCGCAAATCGAGTTCTTCACCGGACAGAAATTGCCGCACTTCCTCCAAAGCCTCCTTATCCAAACTCATGACGCCCAGCGTCAGATGCATCGTCCCGACCGGCCTAATCGCCTTCCTCGGCACCCCGATCCTCTTCTCTTCCACATCCTTTGCAAATCTATCCAACGCCTGTGCCAACTCCGATTTCGATCTCTCGTTGATGAGTGGTAGGCAGAGGAAGTGCGTCAGTGGTGGTTTCTTGGGCTTCTTCTCCCTGCCCTTTTGCTTGCCCTTTTCTTCTCTTTTCGTCTTCGCGGTGATGGCTTCCTCTTGCTCCTCTGCTTTGTCTGTGAGATTGGTTTTGGCTGGGATGCTGGAACGCGTGGGGGGTGGGGAGATGGTTCGTTGTAACGAGCTTCCTGGATCTTGCAGGGACGTTCTTATCCCGGCGTTGTCGTTTAATTTCTCACCGTCAAGGAAGGTGTTGTATTCGCTTTTCTTTTGCTTTTGCTTTCCCATAATGGTGGTGGAGTGGGCAGTACAAGTGGAGAAAGATTTACAATGAAGCAGCAAAGCGCGAAGCGATGTATCCTTGGAAAGGCAAATGTGGGATTTGATTTGGAGAAGAGAACGAGACGGATGAGGTAGAGGAGATGAATGGTTCAACAATGTTGAGAGAGCTAGGAAAGGGGACGAACGGGTCGTTGATGGTGCAGGAGCCCAGACGGGAAGGCGACAATGTACGATCCGGCGCCCTGAAAACGAGGCACACATGAACTGTCGACTTCAATTTGCTCCGATCAGAGGAAAAGGAGAAGAGAAAAGAGAAAAGAGATGAAGATAGCAGGAAGTGGTGAGGCCAATCATCCATCGATCAATTCTCGGTATAGCTACATAGCTATGGGTAGGCATAAAATCCATAACACAACTCCAGAGCTCGTGTGAGATCTCACAGCCTTGGTTGCCTGGCCCGATCGATGACGTAATCTTCCTCAGCGGGGCCACCAGTGCGGGACAGAATTCGTGCGCGCTCTCTGAGTGAGGTGTAGCTTGTGTCAGCGCGCACGAATTCTGTCCCGCGCTGGTGGGGCAGGTGAGGCGCAAATGCACCGCCACAGATTGGGCGCAACCTGGGGAAGTCTGCCACATGGAGGGGCCCAAAATGTCATCATACGCCCAAAGTTAAAGACATACCGTGTAGGGCTGGAGACTCGGGCACGTTTTTCTGACTTGCGGGCATACTATACACACGCTATGTGGGATATGCGCAGAACGGGTTCAGGTTTGCCAGTACCCTAATCAAACTCACTGGAGAAGCAGGTAGTATAATAGGAATCTTCCAACCCCGTAGCCATGCCAGAAGAAGGGTATGGGTGGAGACAAGAGAAGCGTGATCCGCAGTAACAGAAATCTAAGGTGGGAAATAGAAGCAGCAGGAGCGCAGCTTCATCGTTCGTCGAAAATGGTAGGAGTAAGCCAATCAACAAGAAAGAAACGTCAGATACAGGCACTGAATGTAGGGCAAGCGGGCGATGGAGAGGCATCTTGTCCACGTTGTACACGTTGCCGCACGGCACGAGTCCGTTTGTTCGTCCCATCATTTAGTCCTTTCGGTGCTCTCGTGCGTATTTGCTGTGAAATCGCATGGCGCCGCACATCCCTCGCCCAATCGCTCCCTTCCCCCCTCCCTTCATCACAGCCAGGAGATACCCAAGGGTGCCTCACGAACAGCGAACAGCAGCCGTCCGCGTGAACGCCTCACCTTCCCTCCTCTCCTCATGACTCGTCCTTATAGAACTTCTTCAGCACCTTCTGCACGTCGCCAAACTCCTTCTTCACCTGCGCAATCTCCGACTTCAGCTTCTCCAGCGCCTCCTCCTCGGTAATGTCCGCCGAGCCCGCCTCGTCCTTCTTGTGCCCGTAGTGCTGGATCTTCTCGCAGGAGTGCTGGACCTTTGTGAGGCCGAGCGTGGCGGATGAGCCCTTGAGGAAGTGTCCGAGTTCGGAGAGCGTCTTGAGGTCTTTTGCGTCACTGGGCGTGTGCGTCAGTCGAGCATGTCTTTGGGAATCGCGGGGACGTTTATGCGCGAGGGCAGAATTCGTGCGCGCAAAACCGCGGGGAGCCAAAGGGGCGCACTCACAGACTCGAGTCCATTTTGTCGAAGGTGCTGTCGGCCTGGGTGAAGAAGTCGTACACTATGCTCTTGCTGAAGTCGCGATCGTCGACGCTGTCGTCCATTTCCAGAATCTGCTCAAATGTCGCCTGGTCGATGCGGTCTTCTGCGCCGGGGACCTCCATGATGTTGTCGCCTACGCTACCCTGGGACGCGTGCGTGTTAGATCAAGAATGACGGAGAATGAAACTGTTGATGATGTGATTGAGGATTGGTGGGGGAGTCGCGCTGCCGAGGAGAGAGGGAGAGAGAGGACGAGGGAACAAAGTGCCGGAGGGATGCAGCGATAAGATGATATTTAGATACAGGTAATGATGAATTCGAGGCATACGCTCGTGGAGGTGTAGAATCAATCGCAAGTCGAAGAGGGCATCTCAGGAGAGCCTCTGCAGGAGGGGTGATAGATGGAGGGGTAACAAGTACTGGTAACGACATACCCTGTCGTCGTCTTTGCCCGAATCCGACCTAGCCATGTTTTTATCCGAGCCTCGCGAAAAGATGGAGCCGGAGATTCTGTGTGTGGGAAGAGGAACACCTTTGTGAATTGTACTGTAACTTTTTCTGCCCAACACGTTTTCCTCTTTTCTCGGGGGTTGCGAGAAGGCCGTGGCCGGCTATGCGATTGGTATGATTCGCTCGAGGGGTGTGGAGGGGGTAACGTGGAGGGCGGGGACGTTTGCTAAGGTTCGTGCAGAATGACAACGGCGGGGAGTCTTGCTTTTTCGAGGAATGGCAGTGAGTGACAGCTTCTTTTTCTTCACACTGCTGGCCTCTTTTGCGAAGGGTCGGTTTGGGTGTCGAGTAGTACTGTGGTAGTCGTAGGTGATGGTGGAGCACTTCGCCGTAGTTATTCGCTGGCTATGACGACACGGCGGGAGCTCGATCTGTGATGTCGGCGGTCGAGACCGTTAGTGAACAGTGACGAGGGAAATACGAACAGACTTGTCGACAAGTGTGTGAAGAAGAAGAATTCTTCTGAGTTCCTGGCAAGATATCCAGAGCAAGAAGTAGGTTATCTCCTTTCGGGGGGATCTTCTCCACTTCTCTTACGACTAATCCCACCTGGTCTGCACACCAGTCAAAGAACGAATTGTATTTCCTCGGAATGGGTGCCGAACGCGGGACTGCGCTTGAGCCCCTGTTCCGTAAGGGTCTACTGTGTTAAGAGGGCGAGCGTGGAAAGGAGGGGAGAGTGTATATTTTACACAGGCACGAAGTACAGTTATCCCAAAGAGAACCAGTCGAGCTTGCAAGTCTGGAAGTGGAAGCTCCCGTCACGGGAGCGGCATTAGGGCTCATATACTGCACAGTACCAGTGTAGCGCCAAAGGGGGGAAGGGGAGCAACGATGGGAACCCTATTGCATCACTCGCCACTGGCTGGATCCTTTGCCTTATTTACATACCTACCGTATACTGTATATACCAAGGTACCGTTTTCCCCCATCCGTATTCGGACTCTTCCTGCCGTCCCCGCGATTTTCTTACCCTGCACAGTACGGTGACAGTGACCTGAATGTGGGGTGGGTGGCCAAGGCCGTCCTTCACTGCTACCTGCCCCCTTTCGTCTAGCAGGTATCCGCTTCAGACGATCGAATATCTCCCATCTCGTTCGCTTCTTCGAGGAAAAGAGGCCCACAAGGCCTGCGCCGAACTGCGTCTTGTCGCTACTGGAGGAACACTTCAACACTCCTCCCACACCACCGCTCACTCAAGTCCCTGCCAACATCACCACCATGAACAGCCCGCTCCTCCCTGCCAAGCAAGTCCAGAACCCTCTCTCTCTTCATCCTTCCCGTCCTTCGTGCGTGAGAAAAGATTGGGAAGCAGCAGTGATCTGTCACTCTCGCAAGCGTCGGGCGGCAGTTTAATTTGTAAGGCGCGGAACAATGCTGGACCATTGACGTCGATGGCGCAGAGGGCCAGCGTCACTGTGCAGGGCGTGTGCCCTGGTCCGGGGACTTGGCTTTGGGCCCTGCGTTTGAGGGTTGTGAAGTTGTTGATCAATATCGGAGGGGCATGGATGATATACTTAGAATGGGACACATCACTCCGTACCGCAGTACTGTGTAAACTACACAGTTATCTACGCTCTTGAGATCCCCATAACCCTGGGACTACAAAATCGTCACCTATCATGTAAACAACCTTAGAGACTCCCTTCATCCCTGGGTCTCTTCTACAAGTACCACACATCGGAGAGTAGTATTCCACCTGCGGCATACCCCAGCCCAAGGCAAAGCAAACCATACAAGTAACTGCAGACATCAGATGATATCTGCATATCAACCCTCCCCAAAGTAGTCCCTGTCGTGTCGATCTCTTCTTCTCCGTCCCTCCATCGTGCTCACCGCTCCAGAAGCCAAGATACATGCATGCTCCAGTACCACGTCCCAGAGACTGCAGTTCAGTACACACAGTACACAACAGGGACGACTTTCAAATCAGGGTCTCGTACAGCGGATACGCTTGCATCGCTTGTCATTATGTACACAAGTTGTACGGTACTGTTGTAGGTGTAGATATAGTAGCTTAGTAAGCTTCCTGGGTCTGTCTGCATGCCTTGCACCTGCATGAGCGCGGGGTTCGGAGTTAAGCGCGACATCTATCGTCCGTCCGTTCCTTGGACCATGGACGTGAACGTGGGGGCGGGGTGACTTTGGGCCCTGAACTGGGAGCTTTTGAAATTTACAGATGTACAGAAGTGGCCATCGCGAGGCGATAGTGACATGTTATAAAACTGTGTGGAAACTAAATATTTGTAAAAAGGCATACCGTCAAACTGCTAGAGATTAGGACTAAAACTAAGGATATACCTTGGAGTCCTGCTCCAGATCTTCTTCACATCAGCAGGATGAGGGCTATAACTCCGTTAACTCTCAATATTATCCCTAGTTTATAAAAAATGACTTGGGGTCCGTAAAACGTTCACTTAGCTTGGCCTGTACACTACCGCTTACCCCTCACCTCTTCTAGTTCTTACACCTACCGTTGTTTTGCTATAAGTTGCCCGATACCCGCTACCGTGGAGTTCACAAGTTCCAAGGTTTGTGAGACACCCAAGGCAAAACAAGTCTTTTGTACGCATTTAGAAACATGTGAATACGTCACTTCCCTTCATAACACTCTCTCAGCCAACACCCACACCCACAAACTGCCTTGCCTGATACAGTAGATTTCCGAGCCACTCCATCCTCTCCGCGTCCCAACAGGCAAAGATCTTCCCCAAACCGACGAAACCGAAATCCCGCGAACCACGACAGACGACCAGCTACTGTAAAACATCTCAGCGGTTTCTTATTATTAACGGCAAAAGAGACTCTGCGGTTGGAGAGGTCCTGCAGACTCTTAATTCCTGCGTACTCGAGACATGGGAACAATATTCTGTTTACACCGTTGTAGAAGTTACAGTCCATTTTGTACTATGTATTGTGTACGTACCAGTATGACCTCACACTTCTAAGATTAGCCAAATTACAGTACAGTACAGTACAGCCAGCTTCGTCACGCTTGTTCCGCTATGCACACCATGCCGAAACGACGCCTCAGTGATTGCCCAAACCCAAAGTCGTTTTGACGCCCAAAGCACCAGTCCTGCACCGGCACAATTTAACCAGTAACCTTGTAGATGGCCTCGGCAAGACGCTTGACGTTGCCGGTGGTGATGCCGGCAACTGATATTCTGCCGTCCTTGGTAGCATATACAGAGTGCTGTGAGATTATGGTCAGCATGCATGCCCTCGGCTGGGAGCGGGACGACCCCTATATGCAACATGACGTACCTCTTTGGCCAGAACCTCCATCTGCTCAGGCTTCAGTCCGGTGTAGGCGAACATACCGATCTGGGAGGTGATGTGGCTCCAGTCGTGCTTGCTTCCGAGCTTTTCGAGATTCTCCTTGAGGAGGGCGCGCATGGTGATGATGCGGTTGGCCATTCCCCTGACCTCGTCAAGCCACTGCTTCTTAAGTGTAAGGTCGTTCAAGATCTCCGAGGCAATCCGAGCGCCATGGATCGGAGGGTTGGAGTAGAGCGGGCGGATAAGGATCTTGATCTGGGACTCCACGCGCTTCTTCTCCTCGGCGCTTTCGCAGACAACGGAGAAGGCACCGACACGCTCGCCATACAGACCCTAGGCACCCTGTCAACAAGTGCAATCAGAGGAAGACTGTCAATACTCACCATGTTCTTAGCGAACGACTGAGCCAGAAGGGGGCGAAGACCCTCCTGGATGAAGTGTCGGAGAGCAAAGGCGTCCTTGTTGGTGTCGCCGCTGGCGAAACCCTGGTAGGCCATGTCGAAGAAGGGCAAGTGCTCCTTCTCCTTGACGACCTCAGCAATCTTCTTCCACTGTTCCTGGGTGGGGTCAACGCCGGTGGGGTTGTGTGCGCAGGCGTGGAGAAGGACAATGCTGCCCTTGGGAATGGACTTGAGATCAGAGATCAAGCCATCGAAGTCCAGGCCAATTGTGTCCTTGTTGTAGTAACGATACTTTTCGACTTTCAAGCCGGAGTCCTTGAAGATGGCAGCGTGGTTGGCCCATGAGGGCGTGGGGATGTAGATGGTCTTGTCGCCGGGATAGAAGCGCTCGAGGAACGCACCACCAATGCGAAGGGCGCCAGTTCCGGAGATGCTCTGGGTGATGGTCACACGGCCCTCCTTGACGGGTGCAGAGTCGGGTCCGTAGGCGAGCTCAAGAGCAGCCTTGGTGAAGGAAGGACCGCCAGTGATGGCGGCATACTCCTTGTCCAAATCACCCTCGACGAGCTTCTTCTCGGCCTGCTTCACGGAGGGCAGAACGTAAGGCTTGCCCCTGTCATCACGGTATGCGCCGACGCCTGCGCTCGTTAGCGCGTGGGTTCTTCCAATTGCGTGGGCCGAGTGTACGCACCGAGGTTGATTTTCTCGGGGTTCCTGTCCGCCTTGTACGCCTCGGTGATACCTGGGAGCTGTTAGTCGGGCGCATAGATGCGTTTATCCATGTGGACTGACCGAGAATGGCCTGTAGAGGAGATGAGAGGTGAGCAGTGTATTAACAAGCGTTAATGGCGTTTACATACGTCCTAATTGCATGTCAGTACGGATCAATTGACAATTGAGGATTCACACGGGGGTTCACTCACAGGTGGGCCTTCGGGGACCTTGGCCCAAGCAGAGACAGCCCTAACTCCAGTCCTGAACGAGAGGGGCCTGGTTGCGGCCTGGCGCAGAGCAGTTCTGGAGGAGGCAAGCATGATGACTGCTGGTGGTGAAGGAGCAATGACGACGTGGAGGACGGAGGAATGGAGATGATGAGGGAATTTGCAGACGTGGGATGTCGTGAGAGGAACGGTGTGAGTCGACAGTTGCCCCAATAATAGTAGGTAATAATCCTCCACGTTGCGGTTGATTGGTTTTTGTGGAGTCAAGCGTGGGAGTTTGGAGCTTGGTACGGTTCGCGGCCTCTGCGTCGAAAAGCCTGGGCAGGGCCGCCATGCCCAGGACGGCTAAGTTCCAGCCGAGGCGAGCACTAGCGCCGGTAATTTTCTGGAACCTTTTGGCACGTCGTAGTGAATTGCTGCTGTGCATACTCCCTCACATTTCCACTATCATGAGACGAGCCCTTCGCCACGCGAAGAATGCCCTCGACCATGAGTCTCACCTTCTGCATTCTCAGATTCCGGACTTTCTGTGCCCAGCACTCCTCCGACCACCTCTGGTCTCTCCGATACGCTTTTCAAGTTCGCCGCGCCCAACGAAACCATTCTCGACTCTAGGAAGAAGAAGAAATGAAGCCGCTGTCAGTGCGAACGAGCACGCCTCTCCCGAACCTCTTCAATCCGTACCTGCGACCCCCTCCCCAATCCGGTCCCTCCCACGCGCTTGCCCTGGCTGCGGAGCCCCTTCACAAGTCTACGATAAGAAGGAAGCAGGATACTATGACATTGACCGCAAAGCTGTGAAGAGATATCTGAACTACGACCCGGAGGAACAGGAAAGGAAGCAAACTAGCAAGGAAGATGAGAACACCATCTACACCGAGTCACTGAAAGCATTAGACCCCAAGATCCGTGAGGAACTCGGTCTCCCTGCAGAGACCCCCGAAGTCGCGCCAGAGGAGCCAGAGAAGGCAACTCCTCCTGATACTCCCGTCTGCGATCGCTGCCACAACCTCATCCATCACCATATTGGGACGCCTATCCACCATCCCTCCGTCGAGGCAATCCAACAGACGATCGCCGAATCCCCCCATCGCCGCAACCACATCTACCATGTCCTCGACGCCGCAGACTTCCCACTCTCCCTTATTCCAAATCTACATTCAGCGCTGCGATTGCCCAAGCTACGAACACAGAACCGAAGAGCTAAACATAAAGGCTGGGTTGGGGAAAATAGGATTGCGCAGGTCAGCTTCATCATAACCAGGGCCGACTTGCTGGCCCCCCTGAAGGAGCAGGTTGACAAGCTGCTCCCATATATGCAAGAGGTACTCCGCGATGCTCTAGGCCGCGTCAATCGCAATGCGCGTCTCGGAAATGTGCATCTCGTCAGCGCCAAACGAGGCTGGTGGACCACCAAAGTCAAGGAAGACATCTGGGAGCGTGGCGGCGCAGGCTGGATGGTCGGCAAAGTCAATGTCGGCAAATCCAATCTCTTCGAAGTTGTCTTCCCCAAAGGCCGCGGCGCCGACTACCAACCCATTGCGCAGATCCGCAGCGCCGCCGAACGCGAACAAATGCTTGCCCGTGCAAACACCTTAGAAGAGCTCGAACGCGTACAAAGGCAACTCGCAGAGGAAGATGCCGCCATCGAGCGTAGACGAAAGCAACCCATCCTCGAGCCCGAGGAATCCCTTCCCGAAGAGGACGAAGAAGATTTCGACCCCGACGCCCTCCTGCCCCCTCGCCAACCATACACCCCTTACCCGGTCCTCCCACTCACCTCCTCCCTCCCCGGCACCACCGCTTCACCCATCCGCATCCCCTTCGGCCGCAACCGCGGCGAACTCATCGACCTCCCGGGCCTCGCCCGCACAAACCCCGATCTTACCACCTTTGTCCACCCAGACCATCACGACGACCTCGTAATGAAACACCGCGTCAGTCCTGATCGTCTCCCCATTCGACCACGCCAGTCCCTCCTTCTAGGCGGCGGCCTCATACGCATCACTCCCGTAACCGAAAACCTCGTTTTCCTCGCACACGCCTTCACCCCTATCGAGCCGCACGTCACGTCGACCGAGAAGGCAATCGGCATCCAGAATCAGACTCGCGAATCGGGCGTTCCCTCCATCCTCCTCCCCAACGTGGGCCCCAAGATGAAATCTGCAGGCACATTCCAGCTGAAATGGGACGCCACCAAGAAACTGGCGGGGCCTCTCACGTCCCCCGTGGCAGGCAAGATGAGACCCGAAAACCTGCCGTTTACGATCTGGAGCACAGATATCCTGATTGAGGGCGTTGGGTGGGTGGAACTAAGTGCGCAGGTGCGGAAACCCAAGGGTTGGCAACCCGTGGGGATGGTGAAGAAGGATCCGAATCACGCCAAGATTGAAAGGGAGAGGAGGGCGGCGGAGGAGAAGCGGAGGAAGGACGAAAAGTTTGCGGCTTTGAGGACCGAGGCTGCTGCTGAGGGGGAAGGCGATGCGTTTGATCGCGCGGGGATTACGGGCTTCTCGACCACGCAGGCGGCGCGCGAGGAGCGCGAGAAGCAGCAGCGGCGTGAGGATGCCGAGGCGTTTGTCGAGGAGATGGAGCAGCAAGAGTTTCCCGAGGTGGAGGTTTTTACGCCCCTGGGAAAGTATGTTGGTGCGAGGAGGCCCATGTGTGGCAGTGTGTTGGGCGGGAAGAAGTATGTTTCTAGTCGGGAGAGGAAGGCGAGGCCGAGGCGGGCGATGGCGCCGGTGAGGGGGAAGGCGAGTAGTGTGAAGAAGGAGGCGAGGAGGGGGACCAGTGGGTGAGTAGTCAGTCGATGCCTATTCATGTTGGAAACATCTCTAGCTATAGCTCGTTGTATGAGCGAAGAGAGATGTATCACCACACTGTACGAAAAGCGATTGTAAATTATGTCATCTAAATTTCTGTGTAGAATAATGTAGACACCCAGTGTACCTTACGATGACTCCATTACGCAGTTCTCGTAAACGCCGCATGATGGATGGCTGATAGCCAAATAATATGGCTACGTGGAAACCTCTATCCGTTCCGCCGAATCCTCCATGATGTAATCCAACCTTGATATGCGCCACTCTGCGCGCGGAGGTTAACAACACCGCACCCCTTCGCAACGTTCACCCAAATCTTTACGTCGGACTTGCGATCGGTACATATGACCTTCCCGTGGCCGTACCGTTTGTCCGACTGCAGCTTCTTCTTATCAACAGGCGCCATCATTTCAGACATTCTTCTTCTTCTGTAGCTCGTCCTTCTCATTCGGCTAATCTGAGCCGGCTGCCCTCTTTTCCAAGATATCCAGGAAATTCTTCATCTCCTCCGCACAGCTGCCTCTTTTGACACAGCCAGGGAATGTGGCGACGAGATCGCCTTCCTTATATTGCCCATTTTTCGGGTGCGCGGGGCCAGAAACGTACGAGTTGAGCATGTCCTGCGGGATCATGGCGAGTTTGGCGAGGATGGTGCCGTGCCACCTGTAGCTGTCAGTCAGCATGGCTGTACCCTATTTAGTGCACGAAATGTAAAAGCCAGACGTACTGTACTATGTGTTCCAAGGCATGTAACTCGGCCTTTTGGAAGTTGTACGAGCGGTAGATAGGGTCGAACCACGCATCAAGGAAGTACTTCGCCCACTCCCCATTCCGCACCACGAAGCTGTTCGGCTGCAAGCCTTCCTTATCCTGCGTCAAGACCAGATCGATTCTATCACCCTTCAGATTGGCAAAGGTCTTGATGACACTATCAGGGGGGACCACGGGCTCATTGACGATCATGAGTTTCTCGAGGCGGGAAGGCGCGAGTACGTGCGAAGTGATCGGGATGGAGGGGTTCATGATCAGGGAACTGCTGTCGAGGTACCAGAACCAGGTCGAGCTCGGGTGGAGGGTCATGGCATGGCGCATGGCGGGGACTTTGGCCCAGGAGGCGGGGGAGTTGCGAAGGGGATATTGGGAGTCAGTACGGAAGAAAGTAAGGTATCCTGCATGATTCCCGTTGGTATTTTCCTACGTTGTTTCCTCTAATGGAGGTACGCACCGTGTCTCTTCGCATAATCCTCTCGGTTCGCCTTGATCTTCTCCACCCACGCTGCGTCCGCCCTAGGATCGAACACGGTGACAATCACCACCGGCGGGCCCGTCCCTATTATTGCTGCCGCAGAACTGCCGCCCCTTCCCCCTATAAATCCGAAGAGCCATAGTATCGCGACAAAACCCAGGACAGCTACTATGATGGTCCGCAGCTTGTCTCTCCGCAAAAAGGCCCGTAGCGCATATGGAATCTGTATCCCGCCCCTTGATTGCCGTGCGGCATATGGAGGAGGTCGCGACGTCTTGCGCGGAGGCATAGCGAAGTGCATGTCGGGGGTGGAACCGCGGCCAGGGAGGCCAGGTAGATGCGGTTCGTTCAAACGAGCGATAGCAGTTGGAAAGCGTTGGGAACCGCTAGAGAAGCTACGAAATCATGCTTGACGGGATAGCCAGTACGCGACCGAGGCAACGAGGCTCTATGGGACGAGGGAGTAACAGAGAGCCGAATATTGCGAGTGAGGTGAGAAAGTCAAACCCGAGAATTGAATAATTACACAGTATGAAGAGGTGAGGACTTGGCAGATATAGTGGCCCGTGCATCGGTCCCTTGAACCCCTGGAATTCCTGTCCGGCGTCTGCATTCGCATCGACGCTGGAGAAAATGGGCATTTGGGTGATTATTTTCACTAGAAAGACGGTGATGTTGTTCACCGCCTCGGCTTGAGCCTGTCGCGATGGCTCGCTATCTTGTACTGAATCCCGACGGCGTTAATGTGTTGAGAGTGTACTGTGAGCCATGGACGACCTTGAACTATGACGTTGAGCGATAGTCATCACATCCCATCAGCCACACTTATATATCAACACATTCTCTTTAGCCTCACTCAATCAATTCTCTCCGTAGCGGGAATCATTGAATTTTCTATAGCCAACCACAGTTCTGCGCTTTCATTCTACACGCAAAGAACCACCTTTCCACACTCAACATGGTTGAAAAGGTACTCCAACTCAAATGCAGCTGCAATACGTACGGATGGGGAAAACAGGGCTCCAAGTCCCTCGCAGCATCATTATGCTCGAAGACTCCGGGAACAGACTTCAAGATCGACGAGAGCTCCCCATATGCTGAAATGTAGGTCTCTTCACCTTGGCTCGCATCGTCCATCTAACATGTTCATAGGTGGATGGGAACTTATCCCGAGCTCCCCTCATACGTCCTAAAGACTGGCGAGGACCTGCAAGATGTACTAGACAAGCATCCGAAAGAACTCATAGGCTCCAACGTCATCAACAAGTTCAATCATACGAAGCTCCCCTATCTCCCAAAAGTGCTCAGCATTGCAAAAGCGCTACCACTTCAACTGCACCCGGTATGTGGATCGCGTTTCCGAACGTCCGAGTATTGCTTACATGTTCGCAGAACAAAGAACTAGCAACTAAACTCCACGCCGAGGACCCTCAGAACTTCACGGACCCGAATCACAAACCCGAAATTGCCCTTGCCCTCGGCGACTTCGAAGCCTTCTGCGGCTTCAAGCCTCTCTCCACCATCCACCAGCTTCTTCAACTGGATCCCCTTAAGCAGTTTCTTCCCGATCCCCAAAGCAAAGAGTTCAACGACAAGACTTTGAAAGAAGTCGTCAGGACCATGCTCAAAGCATCCCCAGAAACCATCAAAAAGGTCAACGCCGCCCTCCTCAAGCTCCCTGAACCCTCATTCGGAAAGGACTCCTATATCCCCAAACTGATCCCCCGTCTCGCAGAGCAGTATGACGAGAGCGACAACGGCATCGTCGTAGCCCTGATCACGATGAACTACCTCCAACTCAAGGCCGGAGATAGCTTATACATCCCCGCAGACGGCATCCACGCTTACCTTTCCGGCGACATCATCGAGTGCATGGCCCGGTCAGACAATGTCCTCAACACGGGTTTCTGTCCACGTGCGAACCGAAACAGTGTAGACCTGTTCTGCGAGGTGCTCACCTTCTCACCACATGATCCCAAGGAGGCCATGTTGCCAAGTACACCATTCGAACGGAGCAAGAACGGTAAGACGAGGGTGTATGCGCCACCGCTGAGCGAGTTCAATATGTTGGCTACGGAACTGAAGGATGGCGAAAGCGAGGTTATTGCAGCTATTGATGGGCCGAGTATAATGATCGTTACAGAAGGACAGGGCTCGATGAAGGTAGATGGAAAAGACTATGAGCTCAGCGAAGGATATATTTTCTTCGTCGGACAAGGCGTCGAGCGCGAATTCCACGCGAAGAAGGGCTTGAAGATCTTCACAGCTTATGCTGAATAGTGGTACTTTGACCCGGCAGAAGGTATGCATTCTGTGTTGAGGTGCACTCAACATACATTGTACGTTAGCCCTAACAATGTATGTTCTTATAATCTTTCCCATGTTCACGGCTGTTGGCTGTACAATACACATGCGTGTCGAGCTCTACTTCCCTTGTTATTGAAGGATTTGCAACTCAAGCCCGTGACCCATAAGTATCTGCTCCTCTCCAGGCAAAGAGATGTTTAACTGGGATGCGAGCGAGGGAAGAAAGTTCTGATCAAAAGGGATGAGAAAAGTGGGCAGTCATCAGTCGTCGGACGAGACTGGGTGAATGAACTGAATATCTGCCCGGGCGAAATGTCAAGGTAAGGCTTCTACATTTTGGTTTTGCTAACGGCGTTCAGGGGTCGGCGCGCCTATGCGTGGTGGTACGCTTACTGACTATTTCTTGTGTTTTCAAAGGTAGGGGTTTGGTCGGGGACTACAAGAAGTTATCCGGCCGAATATGGACATGTTATACTACGGGAGTCTCTGGCTTGCACTTGCTGGGGGCTGGGATGAGGCTAATACATACTTTTTAGTTCGGTTATGTAGTTTTGATGCATGAGTGCCCAAGTGATGTGTGCTTTCTCGTGAGGATTAAGGGTGTGAGGGTTAAAATGCAGCAACCTACCCAACAACTTCTATGAAAAACTTTTGGACCGGGAAGATAGTTGAGAGGAGGATATGCGCGCTTTCTGATATCCCCGGTATGCGTGCGTCGCCTGCCATGATCTATATTTCACTCAACGACACAAATGGGTTCATATCAGGGTAAGAAGGTGTTTCTAAAGTGGGGTAGCAGAACCAGGTGCACTTATGTCTGCAGATCAAAATTCAAAGCCAATTCGTATTTCTGTGCGATAATATTGTGGCGTCCCCTAAAAATCTACCATCGATTTTGGAAAACGGGAGCTGTTTGCGGCGAAGCGCCTTGAGGGTTTTGTTGGTGGCATACTCCGTAGATATGTGTCGGCATGGCGGCGGCGGCGAAGTGCAAGTTCTTTGTTTCCCTCCCAAGCCGCCCTTGCAAGGTGCAACAATCGCGGGAGAAGAAGAAAGCATAATCGGTCCTCATTTGAGGGAGGGGAGATTATCTCGGGGTTGAAAATGAAGGTGAAAAGGAACCCTATTCGAGGAAAGGGCCGACTTATACATAGTGTTTTTGAAAGGCGCCGTTGTTCGCACGGATTTGATCAGTCAGGCTAGCGGTGAGCTAAAGTGCGCGTTCCTTAGATATTTAGTCTTGCAATCCTGCACATTGGATTTACCTGGTGGACGGAGAGATCCGATCTTCTTATCCCGCCACCACCTCTCACACAATGCCCCACGCGCCATAGTGCCTCTCGGCCCTCCCAAGTTCAATGAAAAACCTGAACTAAGAGGCACGCTTAGCACGTGGGGCGGGTAGCTGAAATCGTCCCGCGTTGGCCGCCGAAGCAGAGCGAAACCTGGCGGGGAATGGACTTATAATTGCACTTGCATTGACGCGGCAACTTGACGGCTGGTATGCTAAACGGACGACGTCGTCCCATACCCGTTGGTCTGGGTTTAGGGACATGCTGGACCGTAGATCAATACATCTAGACTTGGAGATCGTCCCAAGGGGCAAAGTGAACATGAATGATGGCTTTCTGCGGGAAGTTGGGCTCGAGAGTCCGCTAGTGAGGTACGATCACACATAGGAAATTGATCAGGGGACCTTCCGGCCCGTTCATAACATAAGGACTCGTCCTCCCAGATGCAGGTTTCAAGCGGGGTTGAAGCCATTTTCCACATTTGGCATTGCGGCGACGTCGTGGCTTCTCGAGCACGCTCCCGCCACGCGTCGCGTGGAAGCCCGACTGCCACAGAATCATCTTTTCTTCCACGACCGCAAACCTCCTACTCGTTGTCCAGAACATGTGATGGGAAACGCTGGCTTCTTGTTGTGATGATTGGATGTATCGGCGATGTTTTTTTGTGCTGAGGGGTGAACTCGGCTCAAGTTGTTCGAGGGATCCTGTGATGGAGTTCTTTGTTCGACGTTGGTGCAGCTTCTGACTGGTTGACTTGCCACGAGGGAGATATTGAGAGCGCAAGCCTCGCCGAGAGATTCCACTGCGTCGGAAAACAGGTCAAGTCCAGAGCTCCCTCAGCGACTGTGTGGCTCGGCCAACGTGTGTGTAACGCTGCTAAACCACGCAAGGAGATAACAACACAACCATGGATGCCACGACGATGCTGTTTCTTTGTCGTGGAGCCGTACGTTATGCGGGAAGGAGTGACGCTATAACGATTTGGTCTCAGTTACCAGATTACCTGATCGGTGTGCAATTGCAGAGGCATAAGGGATCCAGCTGTACGGACACTCGCCGCCACGGGGACCGCGGAGTGCGCTCCAGACGGTGTGGAAGAAGGGTAGAAATGAAGCTCGCCAGCAGAGAGCAGAGGCTTTGTAAATGCCATCTGCCGCCGCAGGCATTTATGATTCTTAACTGACGCCTGCCACGTCCACGGATTTCCCACCCCTCGCCGCAAGCGGAACTTCGTTACTCAGGTTTGCTACACTACTAGTAGTACACCTGCCCTTCTGGCTTCGCCTCTGGTAGCCGCCAGAGACAATGCCGCCATGGTTCAGCGCGCGCAGATTGTGCTGAGCCGGTTGGAAAGTGATAGAGGACGGCTTGAGGGCGGTGCCCTGGGTACGATGAGCAAGAGCAGCGCAAGCAGCCCGCCCAAGGCTATGCGGTCGAGTTCGACGTCAACGATCACCCGATTTCCTTCAGCAACTCCGTCCACACAGTCAGCACCGGTTGACTCTCCTCTCGAGTCGAGCGGCTCCAGGCGGCCCTCCATCATAAGCCGCCTGAAGTCGTCCATCAGCACATTTTCCACGGCCACTGGCGGTCCCCAGCGATTAGCTGTCTCACCAGAAGATTTCCTGAGTCTCCCGGAGTCTCCAGAGAAACGTTTCATAGACTCGGTGGGTATGGTCATCCCCGGGGTATGTGATAGGAAGCAGTGCTCCCACCCGCTCGCACATTTCGTCATCAACTGGAGGCTCTGCAATCCAATCGAGTATACCACGGCACTGGCTGACCATGGAATCACCTTCTCGGATTACACCCTCCTCCTTGCCGCACTGGCCAATTTTCTTGAAGACATGCCTCCCGAGCCGAAGCCAAAGAAATACAAAGTAGAATCAGGAGAGCAGTTCGGGAAGATAAAGCAGCAAGCGGCGCAGCTAGACCGACTCCTGCGGGACATCACCCACAGCTGGCGGACTCGAGGAGTGCCAGTGATGGTCTGCGTCCGATCTTTCGCTCTCTTCACTCCCAATCGCGTCTCGGAATCCCACATCCAAGTCCTCCACGTACCATTCCCTCACGAGTCCTCGCCGCGCCCTTCCGAAGAGCGCATATCCTCCGATCCCTTCGAGATCCCATCCCTAGCCCAAGAGCAAGACCAAATCAGCGTCTCGACCCCCCACCGCAAGACCGGCAGCCAACCCCAAACTCCCGTCCCAACCGGCACCGCACTCTTCCACCACCACCACGTCCAACTCAAAGACCGCACCCGCCCCTGGCCCCTCTGGCCCAACGCGATCCCCACCTCGAAACGCGGCCTCATCGACGCCCAAGCCGACCGCTACGGCCTCGACCCCTACTTCCGCGGCTACATGCGCGCCAACGTCGACTCGCGCACAAACTCGGTCAGCTACGCCAAATTCATGATTGAGCGCGAGAACAACCCCTTCATCAACTCCCGCCTCGACTACCTCGCCGCGCCCTCGCCCGCCAAACTCCTCCGCTCCATGCTCGCGCGGCCTCGCTGCCCCCGCACCATCTGGCACGAGCAGCTCAACGCCAGCCACGTCAACCGCGAGCGCTACGAGCATAATCGCCGGCTCGAGTGCCGCAGGACCGTGGAGTCGGGCTCGCGGCTGCGGATCGTTAGTTTTGCGTTTAGACACCCGCTGTATCCTCCTCACACCCCGGAAATGACTGCCTTGGGTCTCAGCAAGGACGCGTACGAGAATATACTATCGAGCATCGAGGAGATACGGAACCATGAGCGTGTCACCACGTGGAAGTGTATGCCGCACTTCATGTGCAGCTTATCCTTCCGCGGTCGTCGCAGCACCGAACAGGCGCTGGCAAAAGTCCGCGAATACATCCGCACGCTGAACAAACCGCAAGGAAAGGTGATCTGGACGATTGAGGAAATCCCCGGAGTGTATGACGGGCTGCCTTTCAGGAGCGGTAAGCAGTGGGAGATTAGCGCGTGGAATAATGAGGATCAACTTGAACTGCTGCTGCAGTTAGAGCGGTGGGGGTTAGTTGAGCAGAAGTACGGCACTGAGGATGAGGAGTAGGTTGGGGTTCGACCAACTGGATGGTGGAAATGGTAACGTGTAACGACTTCTTTTCTCTGTTACTTACCAAGGAGTCTTTGATACCCGACCACGCCTGGTGCAGTACTAGGCCGAAGCTTTGCATAAGCGTTTCAGTTTCAAGCTGGACGCCTGATAGGGGAAGGGATATTATTAATCATACCAAAAGTTCCAAATCACATGTTCCCCAACATGGAGAGGGCTACCTCCAAGTGCTCGTGCTGGCGTTCTTCCGCCCTATACTCCCTCTCATACAGCCAGAGTGCACCACACTGTTATCCGGATAAACTCGAATAGCGCTACCGCCAAATCTCTTGTGGCAAACAGCGCAATGTCTCTCTTCATCAATGACAACTCTCCTGTTTAATCCACCGGGTATCTTTTTCCCGCGTGCGTCTACCCTGCCTTCGCCCAGCAATACCGCCGTCTCGACAGCCACTTTCTCCACGCCCCGCAGGCGCGCCACGATGCGTTCCTCGTTCATGACGGAGTTGGCACTACGTATACGGCCGCGGAAGTAGGACTCCAGTTCCTTAACTGGTAGAGTCGGGGGCACAAGATCCAGCGTCGTCGAAGCTGGAAGCCGAGCCCCATGCTTGCTCAGAAGATCTAGCGCTGGTGGCCAGTTGGGTTGATGTGGAGGTGGCGGAGTCAGATAAAGGGAAAGCAAGGTATGGTATATGGAGGGTTCGGCGTCTTCGGGGTCTTGGGTAGGTGGCACCTGCGATACGCCATGAGAGGTCTTTGTAGAAGACGATGGTTGATGTGCGCTCATATAGATTTGGTTGCAGTATCTGGATCTGGTCAGCAATTCAGCACAGCTTACGCCTGCGTCGCTCTTACTCCTCAGCCTTCTGATAGTCCTTAAGCTGGAAGACGTATATTTGTAAGGCTTGCTTATGATTGCCCATTTTGCTCAACACGATAGCACGTGCCTCATAATAGTCCGGTTCTGGCAAGGGGTCAGCTAATGCATGGCCCAGCAAAGCATGAGGTAATACATACCATCTGCAGGCAACTGCTTGAATACGCGTACTTTGTTGTACTGAGCGCTGCTCTTGAGAAAGCGCTGAAGTCGGTCCTGCCACTGGGCCCTCTCTTCGTCAGAGTCGAACGCATCGTGACCTGATTTCAGACGTTCAAGGAATAAATCGATGAGCCGCTGATGAAAGTCTGGTGTAAGATCATTGAGCTCCTCGATGATGTGCTCCAAGTACTGGACAGCCAGCTTCAGGTCAATCTTCTGGAGGAAGTCGAGGACTCGATGCCTGGGCAGGGTTTCTGCATTTTCCGTATCCGCCAGGAACACTTCCATACCTAGTGCAGGGTCGGTACGTAAGGGCCATTCTGCAAACTCAAGAATGAGATCGATCATCTCTGGTGGTAGTTGCTGCAGATACCCGACGGTCCTCTGAGGTCCTTGGAGAGCCGGTGTCACTTCCTCGTCGGCTTCGTTTTTACCGAACTTCGCAAGAAGCTCCAGGGCATGGCGATGCAGTTTCTTCCCGTGTAGGAAGTCGATGAGATCGGCATATCTCCCTGTCTCATATAGCTTCTCGTTCACTACGTCCGGCTCGCAGAAGTTGGGAAGACGGAAGAGGGGCCCCGCAAGGCTCGGACTCGCAAGCATGTAAGCTCTGAAAAGTGTGGTGTCGACCAATTGCGCCACATCCAGCAGTTTCCTGGCCCAGTCGATGGGCTCTGCGGGCGACTTTCGCTGTATGAAGTAATGAAAAGGAGGCTTATATTCCTCTGGCTGACTTTCGCTGGGAGGAGGGAGAGGTTCTTTGAGGTTGCCATCGATGTTGATATAACGCTTGATTTGAACTCGGCATTGTGCAAGGAAAGATTGCAATGCATGCACAGCAAGCTTCAAATCTTTCCCTTCCAGCGGTTTTTCCGGTTGAGTTGACTCCGTTGCTTTCCCCTTGGCTCCGCCACTCTCAGAACCATCGTCTTTAATTGATGATCTAATGGAGGATGCGTCCCCGTCGACCTTCTTGTGGACTCCAGTCAGTCTGCCCATCATGGAGCGGCCGATTGTAGACGCGGGTGTATGCACCGAATCCTTACTCTCATCGCCTTTCCCGTCGCTGGTTGACTCCTCAAGATCCGCCTCGCTTTCCGAAGCCTTGACGCTCTCCACAGAAGACAGATCGCCAGCTATAGACTTTGGATATAGTGCGATCACTCGCTCCGGAGGAGCTTTGGCTTCAGTAAACAGATCCATGGCCTCGCGATATTTGCGTTGTTCGAACAGACTCTGAGCCTTGAGGATCATCGTTTCGCGCACCATACCCTCTTTGTCCTGAAGCAGGGTGTCCTCCAGCATGCCGAGAAGACTGAGTGCTTCATCATACCGTCCATTCTTGACCAGCTCATCGATCTGTGACTCGTAGTTGTGGGCGCCCATCCTCCATATGCACCGATCACTGGCCACTAGGAAGCCTTTTCCGGCATGTGCTAAGCTGATATTCGGTTGCGGGACGTGCATGAAGGTTGCGTTGGGAAGTGCGATCGTCTGTAACAAGCTCATGGTGTCAGGATTCCGGACCTCGAGACCCCCTTTATGGGGTGCTTGCAATGCGAGCATGTATGGGTATGAATATGCAATGGCTTCCGGTGCGGATGGCCATGGGACCTGTCGTTTGGGAAGCGCATTCCCGTCAGTATCGATGAAGAGGCTGTTCACGTCCTTTGCGAGGAGCAGTTCTCCCTCTCCAAGGCGCGTGGCTAGAGGTTTCGGAACCCAGCTCGCCATTCCCATGTATCCCATGCCGGAGGATGACACAGCCCCGAATCTGGTCCCCCCTTGGCCACCAGTTTCCCCCAGCGGATTAGGTTTGACGATATCCTTCACTTCCTGGCTTTCAATATCCACCATAACAAACCCAGGATCCATCCCAGCTACAAGCTTCGTACCAGTAGCCCAAGTCAGGCTCTTGACAGCAGCGATCAACAGGATTTCTGTAGCCTCCCCATTGAGCTCCATATCTTGCCATGTCCACAATATGATCCTCCTCTTCGCGGCAACAGCAAGCCTGCTCACTATAGACGGTATTCCCGTGCTAGGATCCTTCACGATATTGCTAGTGACAGCAAAGGTGGTCGCTCCCTTCGTCTTCTCCAGCTTCTCCTGCAGCGCATACGTCTGGAGGTCGTGGATCGAGACATGGTTATCTGACAGAGACACCAGTATATTGGCCTCCTTGATAATGGCTAGTTGCTGAATGGGGCGCCTGGAGAACTTCTCTTCCTCGCGCAGGAGGTCCGCAGGCTTAACTCGGGGGACAGCATCGTCGGTGCGGTTCGGGGATTCGGCGTCGTGGCCATTTACTTCGCCGTCGCGGTCGCCATTCTGTTCGCTCCCCTCTTCATCGTCCGTCTCGTTGACACGGTAAATTCGCAGAGAGCCTGTGTTCAGCCCTACGAGTACACGATCGCCTGGGACCTGTTAATCGGCCGTCAACATTGGCGCCACAGCTTACGTACCGTAGGCAAGAATGGACTCGATCTTGCTCTTGTCGCGCTGCTTAAGCTCGACAATGGGCCGAGCTGTGAATGCAGATAGCATGGCGCACAATTTCCATCATATATAGCGCATGTTGCGGGTTGGGGACGCGTGCGTCTGGAAGACTGCTACAGGAGCACCACTGGCGCAGCGTCATGTCTGGCACCTGGGCCGAGGTTTCGATGGCCCGTGCGCAAAATCACGTGCATGAACATTCACCCGCCCACCTCCTATTTCACTTACGTTACTCTGAGACGAACGCTCGAAAGAAAATATACTGAGGGTGTCTCTAGCTATAGCACAGTACTAAATGTTGTATAGAATTTTTAATACGTACGCTAATGACGTTTAATGCTACAATTAGTCTAGCCCTGCAGGTCCACGGGTACTAGCTGTAGTGTAAGAGATCTACAGTAATCGTGTTCGAATACTATAGTTTTCTACAATCCTAGACCTTGGGAATCTCAGGCAAATACACCTGGGTGTCCTCGCAGCAACACACACATGATGTTTGTGTAACAGAAGTTGATCCAGTTAGACATTCACCGGCTTACCGTATACAGTTAAGCCGGAATTCTAGTACCGAGTCTCTCTCAAAGTCCACCACTCCCCACAATCATATTTCCTTATCATACCAAAGCAACCCTCCTAAAATCGCTCCTTCAAGTCATCCTCCGCCTGATACCCCTATATACACGCCTCCGCTCCTTATGAAAATCCAAGTCGTGAGAGCCACCATGCCTTACAACCCCAAAATCGGCACACCCATCACCGCCCTCGACACCCCTTCCATGGTCGTCGACCTCTCCCTCATGGAATCCAACATCGACAAACTCTTCTCCCACCTCCTCACCACGGGCATCCGTATCCGCCCGCACCTCAAAACCACCAAATCCGTCGCCCTGGCCCGCAAACTCGTTGCGGCGGGCGCAACAGGCGGCTGCGTGGCCAAACTCAGTGAAGCGGAGGTCTTCACGGATCAGGGATTTACGGATTTGCTGATTACGACGGTGGTAGTGGGGAAAGTGAAGGTCGGGAGGTTGGTCGAGTTGTGGAAGAGGAATAGGGAGGTGAGGATTGTGGTTGATAGTGAGGCGGGGATTAGGGGGATTGAGGAGGGGATGAAAGAGGCCGGGGTTCAGGAGGGTAAGATTATGACGCTGTTGGATTTGGATGTAGGGTTGCATAGAACGGGGTGTCAGCCCGGGGAGGAGGCCTTGAGGTTGGCGAGGTTGGTGAGGCAGAGTGGGTATCTGGAGTTGATTGGGGTGCAGGGTTATGAGGGACATTTGCAGCATGTTCATTCGAAGAGTGAGAGGAGGGAGAGGTGTTTGGAAGCCATGAGCATACTTACGAAAACCGCCGAGGCACTGCGCGAGGATGGTCATGCAATTCGGGTTGTGACCACGGGTGGGACGGGGACGGCGGAGTTCTGTGTTACGGTTCCTGGAGTGACAGAAGTCCAACCGGGATCGTTCTTGTTCATGGATACGGATTACCGAAATGCGGTGGGAACTCACTATTCCAACAGCCTAACCATCCTGGCGACGGTAATCAGCAAGCAAGGTCCTAAGTGCGTGACCATCGACGCGGGCTTGAAGTCTCTTACTACGGACAGCGGCCTGGCAGAATGTAAAACGCCAGGTTACACTTACGGGGTACTTGGAGATGAACACGGATCGCTGAGTTGGACTGATGCCCCGGATCTGGAGATCGGCGATAGGGTCGAGATGATCCCGAGTCATATCGATCCTACCATTAACTTGCATGACTCCTATTATGCGCACAGGGATGGAATCGTTGAAGAAATTTGGTCAGTAGATGCCAGGGGAAAGGTGCAATGATACAAGGCGCCGCCACCAAAGACTGGACAATGATTTCATGATGCCGAATTTACGCTTCCAAGGACCAGGTATGTGCGACGGTAAAAGAGCTTTACATACCAGCTATATAAGAGACTATATAACGAAAGACTCAATGCCACAAACGGTATCACTAAATATGTGCAACGAAAAACTCAATACCAGAAATGGTACCCGCAAGTCATGAGAGACCAAACATGTGCAACGAAAGGCTCAGTATCAGAAATGGGATCTGCCAGTCCATTTCTGCCTAGCCCAGAGCTTCCTGACCTTGTATGTCGAACGTGCCTGCGATGCTTAGGTTATGCACCATTAGTAGGGGTTGGTGCTGGCGTTGCTCACGCCGTACAGTCCGCAACTGTCGCTCGTGCAGGCCCAGGTTGGATGGGATTGCAACCCGGCAGCTTATCCACGGGTGACTGGTTCTCTGGAGGATATTCGGATGCCTTTGCCGAGCAAGCCACGAACTCTTCATCTTCATTCCTGTTCACATTCTCAGTTCCGAAACATTGCTCAATATCTTGTTGAGCACAACCGCAACCGCATTTGCAGTAGCCATCCGCAGCCATAGCTTTACTGAGGACGCCTTTGACCCAACCGTTGAGAAAGTCAGCGTGGAAACCCAGGCCCGTGGGGTCCCCATTCGACAGCACCCATGGGTTGTCCTCCGCAGTATAGTGGCCATCAAACGGGGAGGTGTCGTACCAAAACTCTGCCAAGATGGTGGGGAACCGTGCCGCACGATGGGTCTCAGGACACGCTTCGATGTTTTTCCCGTCCGCAGAAGGGTATGCCATATGAGCATGGGGGTTTGCGGGATCGATATCTTTGCCATTCCAGCAAGCTGGGAAGGTGAGCTCACTGAAGAGTCCTTGTGTGCAGGATGTTATCCCTTTAGGGAAACCGGCGGAGTCAACTCGAGCGAAATTCTCGCCCAAGCAGGCCCATTTCACACCTGCAGGGTTGTTGCCGTCGTCCGAACGTTTGAATGGGTCGCCAGCAATCATGGAGAAACTCTCTGGGAATTCGGTGACGTTGGCATGGTCCAGGCCGTCCATGAATTTATAATACAGCTTGACGAATCTGTCCGGGACACGATAGAAGCCAGTGTTGTTGCCGTTCCAGTACAAGGTCGGGCGCCAGTATATGCTCTTATCGGGTTTGATGCGGGCAGTTGTGCAAGAAGAGCTTTGGGCGGCACCCGGTCCCATGGAGGCAGCAAGAGCGTTTCCACCATCAAAAGAATGAAGATGAGGACTCTGAGTACCTGGATACAAGGCAGGGTCGAGGCGCTGATAACTCAGTGAAGGCCCTGCTCGGTTGTAGAAGCTGAAATAAGGTCCATGACAATCGAACTCCTGTGCGGTGACGATCGTGGCCAACGTGGCCAAAATGGCCATAATCAGAGACAGTATGATACAAATCATGGCGTGTAATTAGGTACTGGCCGGAAAGAAAACGTGAATGGAAAGACTCGGATGACTGCTCTTGTGGATGACTGATCTGCTACCACCAGCAACTAGGAATAAGTACAAAGGAGGAAAGGTAGAAAAAGAGGTGGTTATCAAGCCGTTCCAAAGGGCAGATTATATTGTTTATATTCGATGCCAAATCTGGCAGGATGCGTGAGCTGACTGAAATGCCGAGTGGGCGCTTCACGAAGGATCGGGGGCTGTAGCGGTTAGCAGCCGCAAGCAGTTCACCAGCAGAGGATATCTCTCGTCATTCACACGTGGGATGCAGGCGGCTCAAGCTGGATGACATTCGCGTCGGAGATCGCTGACAGGAGCAACACACGAAGGAGTGAAATGGATGATTTCTGAAAGTCAGACAGCCTTGAGGCAAAACTTCCCGGTCGTCAGAGGCAAGCAGCATCGGGCAGCGACCATGTTCATATACTCGACCGTGGGCGTTCTGGCCGCGGAGAATCACACTTGTCTCATACCTAAGTACGTCTTGAGCCGCAACGCGCTGCTTCTACGGCGTTTAGGCGTTGAGCAGATTGAGCAGATCGCGTGGGAGTTCGCGGAAGCGATGTTAACACTGGTCGAGAGGAAGGGGAAAGCCGCGTGTCCTCGAGTTCAGAGGGACCGCATCGGTGTGATGCACTGAGACAGAGGCTCCGACATGCACCGTGGGCGGGCGCCATCGCGGGTCTCGCTGCTGTGCTGCGGATGTTTTTCCTTCACCAATGTCCATGTTTTTGACTTGGGCGCCCGCCATGGCCAGCAACCTTTTCTGAGGATGGTAAGGCGCAGACTGAACGTTTGCTGTTCGGGGCGGGAAAACTGGCGTGTCATCATGGGCGTTGAAGAAGGCCACCTCCGAGACGGCAATCTCAGAAAGGTTGAGTGGAGGAGGATTTGTTGATGGGGCCGGAAGTCGTGTTTTGGGGCGTTCAACAACATGCTGCTTACGTCATCTGATCACATGTCATTCCCCTGCCGGGTTCCAAGGTTAGCTCCGGTTGGGAATTCATTTCTCCACCTCATCGCACACTTCTTCCCTTCTCGCAGTGCATCTCGACCTCCGATCAAAGAAATCATGGAACACGCGCCTTGCTCAACAAGAACGAGTCCTGCTGACAAGCCCATTCGGGGGAGCACTAACCAAGCCTTCCCAACACAAAGTGGCATCCAGCACGGTCATCAGAAACATGGACCCGGGCGCTGGGGTGGCACTGCTGCGGCACTGCTGTCATATGTGCCTCCTAATACGCCTCAGCGACAATCTAGGGTACGGTGCGCTTTCGGGGATTACTAGGTTTCGAAACCGATACGAGCCACACATAGTAGGTGTCCGTAACGGTGCCGCCCGCCATTACAACTCAGAGCTCGAGTGTTGATTGTTCAGTCTCTGCCAAAGACATCAACGAGGACACATATTCGAATCTTATCCGGATTTCTTCGACGACAACTGGCACAGTAGCGTCTTGAATTCCCCCAAAAACCTTTTAACTTATGAAGCAATGGCTATGCACCTCCCTACACACCCATTGGGAAGCAGAGACCCGACGTTACAACGACAGCCATTACAGGCTGTGGCTGGGTGAATCCTGCTCAAAAAAAATTCTTTCATCCGGACTGCCGAGTTGTGGGAATACTGTACCTACCAAGATGCCCGGAAGGTCTGCTCTCCAGTGACCCGATAGAGAAGTACTACGCTGAGCTCCCGCCTCTTCCAACTGTTCTGCAAAGTCATGCCGGTGAATCTGTCAACGAAACTGCAGAACCGTCTTGGACGTCCGCGGCTCATAGCTTTTCCGGGGACTTCTATGCCATTCAGGCAACATGAGGCTATGTACTTTCAGCTACGAGTGCAGGATTGTCCGATCTGGGCCTGGTCTGTCATGATCTCTCCTGCAAGTGTTTGCACACCGACACCCATGTCAGGGACCCCTGACCTGTTGACACCCTGTTCCAGCAAGCGTTTCCTTCCGATCAGTGTCCTAGGGGCCTGTTCGGTCGCAACTAGTGAGTAGGATCTTGGCTGCGGGAGAGGTGCTCGCGTAAGAGAGGGAGCTAGCTGGAACAGGAGTAGTAGAGTGAATTGAAAATAGGGGGTCTGTTCGGTCTGAGAGTGGAGTAGGCAGAGAGGCAGGCAAGGGACAGGTTCTAACTGGATCGGACAGCTGACTCAGCCCTGTGAAATGGCCTCGTGGAGGGCTACCGATCCCCTTTCCCCCTCAGTGGCAGTTTGACCTCCATTTTGGCCAAAATTCCCTGTTTTAGCCTGTTCCGGCGCTAAAAACCAGGGTTTTTCGAATGGAGGGCTTGTGCGCAGGTGCGGGCGTAGATTCTGGTCACCTTGTGGGCCCAAATTCTGTGTAGCACCGAACAGACCCCCCTATTTCAACTCGAAATCTGTGGCGCAGGCAACTTGGGTCAATTTGCGTCCATATTTGGCCTAGGAAGCTCGAGCTCGAGTTGCGACCGAACAGACCCGAGGACAGTATTGATGCCAATTGCGGCACTTATAACATCTCCAGAGTATCGAGCTTACAGTCGAAGCCAAACAAGACATGAATCGGTTATTTCGCAAATGGTCTTCGTACGCCGTCTAGCTGATATTCTGTCCCAAGGTACATATCCCTCCGAGTTCCCTTTGAACGGTGCAAAGCCATGCTGGCCACGGCAGTGCATGACCCAAGCCACTGTTCAGCGGAGCATTACCAGGATGTTGGACCAAAAGAGTTGTTGAGCATCTGCACCTGGTCCCTGGCAGCAACACGTGCGCTCCGGTGCTTGCCTTCGTGTAACACCAACACCAGCGTACACGGCGGATGAGTAGATGCCGATGCAACAAAATGCCCCTCACTTGGCAATATGATAAATAGCCGAGAGGCTCTTTGGGACGAACAACGAGCAAAGCTCTGAGAGAGCTCAGAGGAGCCGGAAGGATATCGGGGCAGCAGAAAGGAGATGGTCCGACCGAGATGGTTGGCGAACAACACCCTGCACCAACGGTTTGATCCACTCAAGCAACCTTTCAACCTTGCCCGATCGGTTTTCTGACAGATGCGGGGTGAATGCTACGCTGCGTGGGAATGCGGAGAAGCCTGCATGACCCCTGATACCACAGTATGGCTCTGTGGAGAAAAGGCAGGACGGTACGAGTAGCTTGATTCAACTGTCCGACGACGTTCGAGGGGCCTATTTTACCTACCTATTTCACCTGTCAGGAAGGTCAAAGCCTGTTTCCAATCCGGTGCAAGCCCCGCCGATCCTTGCGTGTGGCGACAGAGCCATTATTGAGCGAGACTCGGCCCAGCAAGTCATGGTAGAGCCAATTAATCTCAGCATTGTGGCCAGGGCCTTTAATGGACCCCTCTCCTCCTAGTGCGGTTCAAATAGTTTTCTCTGGGACCGCGCGGATTCCCTTGCTAATAATCCGAGCTCTCCAGAATTCGCGTTGCTTGCATCAAACCTCCCATCACGCCATGACGGTCCCTTATCTTCGCAATATCCTTCTTGCCTTGCAGCTTTTCCTGGTCTTTGTTCGTGCGGATCTCAACATCAGCGGCGAGACGATAACGACACGTTTCTGGGACTGCTGCAAACCCTCATGTTCATGGAAGGGTAAGGCCGAGGTATCGCGTCCCGTCCAGGACTGTCAATGGGACGATGCCCCAAGTACAGACATAAACGGTGGCACAGGCTGCGGTGAAGGAGGAGGAGCCTACACATGCAACAACCAACAGCCATGGGCGATTAATGACACTCTATCCTACGGGTTCGCGGGCGTCTTCATCACTGGCCATCCCGAGATTGAGTCCTTTTGGTGCTGTGCCTGCTACCAGCTGGACTTCACCAGCGAGCCGCTCAAGGGCAAGAGCATGATTGTTCAAGCATCCAACACGGCATACGATGTGAAAACTACCAACCGATTCTCCCTGGCGGTAAGCCAAAACCTTCTCGCCGACGTGTAACCACTCTGATGAGGATGCAGATACCTGGAGGCAATACCACACGATTTGACGGATGCACCAAACAGTATAATGTCAACCAAACCGTCTTTGGGAATCCCAACTCTGGAGTCGGATCCCTGGACGCCTGCAACAACCTGCCCGAGAAACTTCAAGCGGGCTGTCGCTGGCGTTTCGACTGGTTCCAAGATGCGCAGTATCCGAGGTACGGTTCACGGTAGTTTGATTACATCAAGCAAACTAACGTTTCACAGCGCAAACTTCAAACGCGTAGTCTGTCCATCCGAACTGACAGACAGAACCAAGTGTGTCCGCAAAGACGAGCAAGCTTTTGCCGAGGGACGGAGTTTCGCGACATCCAACTTCTGCCCCTCAGCTTGGTTCGCGATGCTATCCGTCATCTTCACAAGTTTCATTCTGGCATAGCCACATGGAATGCATGTCATTCGCCCCAGAGGGTCCGGGCGACGGGCTTTCCAATCTATCACAGTATGGACTTTTCACCCACACCTACCCGGCGACGTCAGGTGATGACGTCCTTCCCGTGGCATCTCCTGCATGGATACCTGACCAATATCGCCGCTTCGTCAACACCCTACCAAGGGAAGCGCTACCTCATTTCTGACCAAAACCAAGCGGCAGCACCACCCCGCTGATTGCTTCTCCACACGCATACCGTCGGCATATTGGCGATACACGCTTTAAAACTCTATTCGAAATGAAAGTACGGTTCGGATTCCCGTGGGACAAGGCAAACGGATGTACAATTACGGATATTCTGGCTTCCCTTTTCACGATTTCACGTACCCTATGGGAGATGCGACTCTGATATGTCTACATGACACGAGGGGGCGTTCTCCGGCATTGAATGACGGCGTATATGTCACCGCCGAGAATTTGCTTTTTCACCTTACCTTCGATATTTTCTCACTTGCATCGCGATGTTGCGCAGGGCGTTTCTAGGCTACATGTTGTAATGGATGGTCGTGCCTTTCTTTCAACTTCAACTCACGTTTGTCGGACAGGTAACGATGGCATGGTGGGAACCACGACGATGAAACCGTGGTGCGGTTTTCGAGTTTATTGTTGGTTTCCGTGTCGGCGTCACTTTGCATTTCTCGATACCTTTCATCATTGTCCACACCTTCAGCTCGAAGGACCGTTGTCGTGTCGCAGCGGCACGCACGAAATCCGAATCACGAAGAGTTCGAATTCCACGCCTCGCCTCGCTTCCCAGCGTAACTTTGCCGTCTCCTTTTCCTCACTCCCATCGCTACCGTGGTATTATCCAATGCTCCCCCACCACCACCGAGGACCGGAGCAACGCCACCGTCCCATGCATTGGAATTGCATGACCCTTGAACCAATATTTTGGAGCCGGAGTCGCCTCCTTCAACAGGCTTACCACTCCCTCCCCCAGAGTAATAATGAATGGCCCAGACGCCCCACCTCCTCCTTGATCTGGTGATGAACTTTGTAATTTAGGCGGGGTGGAAAAAAACTTGCTGGAGTGGCTGGCTGGCTGGGGACGTGACTGGGGGAAAAGGGACTCCATTTTATCCAAAATTCATCCGAGGGGGATATGGTGCAGTTGACCCCCCTGTCTCGTCTGCCGTTGCCCAACTTGCTGAGGGTGGGAGACTCTCCACCCCTCCTTTTCGCTTTTTGGAGGATTCGAAAGGCGGAGCTGTTCGACCCTGTACGATCGTCACGGAGAGGCGTAATCGTGACGGGAGTGGGATACGCCGCCTCGCATTTTGGAATCCATCATCGTGATTCCGTTCACGCATGGACCATCAGCCTGATATCTCCTCCACAACTTACCGAGACCAGTCAGAAGCACTGACAATCTGGGGTCGTCCGGACCCGCACATGTCACATGCAGAAGCGAGGGGCTCTCCAGGGCTTTTGCTTGAGCGAATCGACGACTTGAACATCCAAAGAAGCCAGGAATCCGGTCGTCGACAAAGTTTCTGCGGGGTGCTCCAGGTTTTCCCAGACGGCGGTCGACAGTCGACGCTGCTGTGCTCATTATTTTTCCGGAGAACGAGAGTCTAGCACCGAGATGTTAAGGGGATGCCCGGGCTATAGCTGCATCTTTGCGTCTAACCGACGATAACTGCGCAAATCAACGTGGTAATGGACCCATTATGAGTGAAGGGTACGCGGCTTTGGCGAGTCAAATGCACTATCATCTAGAGAGAATTCTTTTTTGGGGTCGGACGATTTATCCGCACTTGCAAGCCGAGTCACTGTTCCGCGGACGAAGGCCACAATGTGGGAATGATCTGCTCGCCTGTTGCGAAACAGGTGTCTCTCGCGAGTCGCGGAAGGGAAGGGTAAACGGCGCTCGTGCTCGCCACAGGAAAGGAGGTTTCGATGCGAGTCTCACGAAGCCAGGAAGACCCTGTGCCGAGCGATGGGGTCTGAGCGTTGTTCTCCGTGCTACGAGGACTGTGCTGCCATATGCGTGCTGATGTTTGCTGCTGGGAATCGGGTACCTGGAATCTGGGGTACATGGCGCGATGGGATGGGTTCCTCAAGTGAATGCATTTTTCTGCATATGTGCAGAGGCGATCGTTGGAATACAGACTCTGTGACCAAAAATATATTCGTGGCTGGCAGTAGATCAAGACACCACTACTGCAAGAACAAACGGCAAGAGGGGCAATTCGCGTTCTCGAAGATTTGCTCCACTCCACCAGCGCTAGAAGAACGCTAGAAACAGGCAACTCACAATAGCAGAAGCTCAAAAAAGAAAACGGTGCGCATCACTAATGTAAGTACCGCTGCCATGATAGCTTCAAATTCATAACTTCATACTGTGGTGGTGGTATTGTGTGGCTCCCATGCGATTGATCCCAACCCGCTATGCTATAAAAAAAAAAATCAAACTTGCAACTGGTCGCGTCCGAAACACCTCAAAACCCAATAAACTCAAGGAAAGGGGTATATTTCGTCGTCGTCATCCTCCTGCTCCTCCTCCTTCAGCAAACACGGCCTCAACGGACTGATGGGGCTGAGCGTCGGACTCGATGGCCGCCGCCCACCACTAATTGGACTGAGCGTCGGGCTGGACGGCCGCCGCGCGTTGTTGTGCGGACACAGCGTGGTGCTCGACGTGCGGCGCAGGGGATTGATGGGACTGAGCGTCGTACTCGACGGGCGCCGCGGACTCGCAACGAGCGTCGTCGGGCTCACGGGCTCGCCGAAACTCACGCGCTTCCAATCGATGATACCACCATCCCTCGTCTCGACGAGCGTGGGCGCGGAGCCCAGACTCCCCACGCTGCGCACCGTTTCTAACATGTCGCCCTTCTCGCAGCTGGACGAGGATTCGTAGCACCGGTCCGTGCTGTTCCGGCGAGACTTCTTTCCCTTGAGCAGGCCGCTGCGGTTGTTCTTGCGGTAGTCGGCCGTGGTGATGATTCGAGCTGGGAAGTCTGGCGCGTTGTTGTTCTTGCATATGCTGTCCCTGAGGTCGCGGGAGCGGGCGAGCGAGGATGAGAAGGAAAAGTCCTCTTGGACGCACGGCAGGAGCTTCCGCGCGATACGATGCTTTCGCCCCACGCGCGTGACGGTGGACGAATTCGTCGATGAGTTCCATTGCCATTCGCTGCGAAACTCGCGCTCGCGCTCGATGGGCGTCGCCTTGGTGCGGAAGTTGAAGACCCAGCGCGTGACGAGGCCGCGCAGGATGGGCACGTTGGCGACGATGATGGCGACGTTGTTCTCGATGTGGCTGATGCAGAAGTCGATGGGGTAGGTCCAGTCGGGTTGGAAGAGCGAGTAGAGCCGGTCGCGGTAGGAGAGGTAGATTTTGGCGGCGCCGATGGCTGTGACGCTGGGGATCTGTCAGTTCAAGATTTTGGACGCCGCTCGAAGCGGAGTAAGCTTCTCTTACGCTAGGCTCGAGGTGAAGACGGCAAGCACCACCAAACGGGATCGCAAACGAGCGCTCATCATCCTTCGGACGATGATGAAGGGAATCGGGAAGATGAGCAAGTCGGTAAGAAGATTGGCGCAGGTGACCCAGATAAGCATCTCTCCCATTTTATGTCGTCCCATGCAGTGCAGATTGCCAAAGGTTCTCGGCTTCCACGTGTTTCCGGTTTGCGGCGGGCAAGTGAAGATGTAGAGGAACCAAGGAATCAGGGCGCTGCCGACGGTGAAGACGAGGATGCCGTAAAGGGCCTTTTTTAGCCACTCAATGACCGAGCCTGCCCGTAGAAGAAGGAATATGATGGACGCCTTGACGAGTGGTAATATCGGTATGTTGAGAAGGTTGAAGGCCATCGACACCTGGATCTGATTAGTGTCCAGTTGGTAAGGACCTGTCGCAGGCACATACTGCGTAGTATTCGTCGTAATCCGGCTCGATCTCGTTCGGATCGACGTCCCATATGTGTATACCGACATGCCACATCTTGACATCTGTACAATCGTTAACATCGAAACTAAGTCAATCCGTGTCCGAAGCGTACGTCTGAAGGAGGGTCCTATCAAAGCTATCGAGAGGAGGAGTGGTAATATGATCAACCAGTCATCTGTAGGTTGCGCCGTCAGCCGGATGCTCGCAAGCGGATGGAAGAAAGAACGCACCCAAGCCCAGCCGCAAGTTCAATTTCCGTCTGGTGTATAGTCTCAGGGCGACGAAGATGGCCGCCAGCACCGGTGTGCCAGCTATCACCGCCAGGCAGGTGACTTGGAGCGGGTAGGCAGGCATCTCGAAGACGACCCAAATGGCAGTCCTGGGGAACCCGAAACCGCGAAAACCACACCGCGCGCTATCGCGGGTGGGAAGCTTGATATATGATGGTCTACCCACTAGCTAGCTGGGCGCCATCGACTGCGGCAAGCCACCCAAAAAATACCCTGGTCCCCTTCTTCATCAACAGGACACGGCCAGTCGGACCTGGTCGCCCCGCAATCTGTTTAAGCACTCTCGGTTCAAATAACGAACCCAACGGTTGCACGGATGATCAGCCCGGTTAGCCAGCCAGAAACGACTCACGTGTGTCTGGTGACACACTATACTGCCAGTGTAATATCTGCAACCATTTTGGACAAAAGCCATCCGTTGCCCTAGACTAATAACTGTGACTGGGGCGACTCATCAACCGTCCACACTGCCTTGGTACCTGGGAAGGGTGGGGTTGTCGTCTCCCCGTCTCAGACTCTACGCGCCGCAGCTAGAAACGTGGCGGTTTGGAATCGACGCCTATCAATTTAACTCATCAGTCGACAGGTGAATACCCCAGTAGCGTCTAAGTTACAGATGGGACGTATTCCGTCCGCTAGTAGGGCGTGGGTGAAGAAGGGTGGGCATTGCTGCACCCCGACACTTTGCAGCTGTGGCCATACAGCCCTTTTCTGCCGATCCCTGTGCAGATTCGACTTTTGACGCGGCTTAATAAATGAATCCCTCGAACAGACAATATGCAGAAAGGCATAGAGAATAATGCGTGAGAGACGGAATTGAAGCTGCAATCAAGTCGATTCATCGGGTAGCCGCTCTCTTGATATCCACCCTGGGGGCATTAAATAGAATCGAGAAACCAGTAAGTATCGCCGTTGGAGGGTAACTTTAGATACCGTAATGCGCAGCGCGAAGTAACTCAGTCTAGAAGCCAGAACAATTCCTCTACTGACAATGTGGCGAAGGCATCCATGTCGCCGTGCCCAGATTCAGGCCATTCGTGTGCTGTAGCAGCGGGCAGGGTGTCTCGTGCCCCTGACCTCTTTTACTACCCTAGGTATTCACGGCCAGAACCCCAACTACACAGCGACTATCCAATGCTGTAATGCAACCGTCTATCGATCGTCTACCATCTAAGGCAGTACTCTATTCGGATCGCGTGGGAATAATGAAGTCATCCGAATGTTAGGAAGACCGAGATAGAATTGTACAATCCGCTCCAAGCCAATTCCGCCTCCTCCATTGGGAGGACATCTATACCTGAAGCCCTCAACGTAATCGCGCAGACCATCCGCGTCTGGGCTCATTCCCTGTTCTCGGATCCTCTCGACGAGGAGCTCGTGGATATAGATACGTTGCGCGCCAGAGAGAATCTCTTGTCCACGCATAAACATATCGTAGGAGTTGGCGTAGTTCTTGTTCTTCTTGGAAGGCATGGTATAGAAAGGACGCACAGCAGTGGGAAACTGGTCCAGAGTATAGAAGTCGGAACCATACTAGCCGTTTGTTAGCTGGACAGTCTATGTGTCGTATTTGTATAGAGTTTATTTACCTTCTCAAGAATAAGTTGACCCAGTTTCTTCTCCTGAGGAGTGGTGAGGTCGTCATAGTCACCCACGCTTTCACCAACCTCCCGCAGCATCATGACACCCTCAGAAAACTCGATTCGGGGAATATTCGAGATTGCTGGAAGCTTGAACGGTTCCACGGCGTAGACCTTCCGTATGAGCTTGGTTTCCTTGCCTTACCTCTCGTTTAAGCCGTTGAATATAAAAAGCATAAGCTTCTTAAGCAAGTCAACGACTTTATAAGAATCTTCTAGGATTTGCATTTCTATGTCGAGGCTGATAAACTCTGTTACTCAGTCAGTTTGGATCCTCGCGGCCTCGTCGACGTGTTAATAAAGCTTCTTCTAAGCATCAGCGCACAATGCTTACCAGTTAAATGTCTAACTGTGTTGGAGTTCTCCGCGCGAAAGACCAGACCTATCTCTATCACCCTCGGGAACCAACTCTGGATAGCCATCTGCTTAGCCAGTTGCGGACTCTGAGCAAGATAAGCACTTCTATAGAAATAGTCGAGACGGAACACGCTGCTTCCCCCTAGCTAAGTGTCTAGTTTACAAGCGGAGAGCTTACCTTTAGTCGGCGCGCCTATTATCTTGGGGGTATAGATCTAGATAAAGCCATAAGAGCGGAGGAATTCTTAAAATAAGCAATCAACGCTATCTTTAATAAGGAAGATACAGTAGTTAAGCTTGGCTCGCAAGTCGAGTACACGATAGTTTAGTCTCGTATTTAGTGACACTAGAGGTCTGGCTTAGCTGACTTCATAAGTAGCATCCTTGTCTTCTGAAGGCAGCGGGCCTTCTGAGTCCGCGGGCTGTAATGGTAGCGGCAACTGTGCCTTAGAAACGGTGGAGATCCTCCTCGCGTGAAGTTCGAAATCTTGAATTGTTGTACTCTGAATCTTTTCGCTCGTTCTCTTGACGACGCCAACAACAGTACAGATTAACTCAGGGGGAATATTGACGGCAAATTTGATCATTGGCGTGGACACGTATCCAGGAGCCTCAGCAACAACCATCTAAATGGACTCCAGGCCTTGACTCAGTGTAAGAAATGCAAGCTTTGCGGATTGTGAGCGGGTGTTGGACACAGCAACCCGGAAGACGCACTCTCGGTCTTCGTGCTCTTCGATATTGCGGAGCGGGATCCATTTCTCGACAGCAGTTTGCGGATAGAGATTGTCTCCTTCACCGTAGTTTCTAGCAGCAAAATCATCTTCTACTTGTTGTTGGAGCTCAAGTTTTTGCTGCTCTAGAAGGGCACTTCTCTCAGCTTTCTTCTTGGCTTTTTCGGCTTCCTTTGCGGCGTTTTTAAGCGCGTTTTTGCTTGGTTTTGAAGAAGGTTCCGACTCAGCCATGTTCGAGCTGCGTCTCACTAACAAAGTGTTGGGGTTGGGATGTTGAAGGTGCCCAGGTGAAGTACTGAAGGTGAGCCAACCATGTGGAAATCTCGGTGGGTGGCGGGGTAGTCACGTGACTGTGGCAAACAAACACTTGAGCCAATTAGGCACCTTGGCAGAACCAGCCGGTCGCTTATCAAACATCCACGCGTCAACCCGACTTCGTTGCGTCTTTCGCGTATTTCCAACAAAACGCACTTGTGATCTATCAATCTTGCATATCTCATCATTATGGCTCTTCAAACAACCCACCGAATGCTCAGGCCCCGGTTTCCGCGAAGTACCGAGCGTATTGTAAAAGACAGCTTCTTCGAGCCGAAGCGCTTTCCCATAAACAGACCTGTGAATTCATATTCTGTGCCAGGTGTGGCATAAGTATTCGATCGAGATAGGGAGCTACTTTCGCATATTTGCGTACGAGGATCATGCAGACGCCGCTGCAAAAGTATTCCCATCCCCTAGACGACTACGATTACCATCAAGCTACATGTTCGTACCTTCAGTGCTCGAGGTGTTATGCTCCAATGCTGCTTGCCGCATTGACCGATCACAAACCTACTCTAGGGTACTTGTGCCGGTCCAAAATACCTTTCTACAGCTAAATATGAACCGGACAGTTATGCGACAGCCTTGAGAGCGATCTTTCACCCCAAACAGCCGTTCCCGCTGACATCATCAGCCCTTCATGTTATGAAAGCGTGGACCAAAAGCCCATACACGACGATTATTGTCGACTTCGAGTATGCAATACCCTAAAGCCGTTTCCCAAATGGCCAATGGCTGCCACCTTGCCTCCCACACCTAGACATGGTTGAGACGCAAGCTACACTTTAATAGGCCATACACGTGATACCAATTGATCTATAGATGTTTGCATGCCGGAGTAAATCGATGCAATCAACACAGCCACATATCTCGGAGGAGCCGCAAACTATGCGATCCTTCAGAGCGGTGTCGTCATCGAAAGTCCACTGCATAAGGCTACGGTCCCAATGTTCCACCGGACCGCTGCCCGGCCAGGGGAGAAGGTATTTAGTACAAGTACTTATAAGGCGAGCAGATAGGACTATGTTTATCAGTGTAATCATGAGGGTGGCTGGTGTCTGTTCTCTCCTAGCGAAGAGCTCGCCGGCAGCAGTCTAGGCTGAGACTCACAATGGTAGAGCAGGACATTCATAAGCGTTTATTGGAACATGTTAGCCCAGTGTCTCTCCAACGGCATCTTTTATTCACAAGAGATAACACTCCTACTTTGATCATAAAGATGCCCAGTAAGAATCCAGCACACTGCAATCAGAGCCTACGTGATGTTTGCTCAGCCATCTGAAGGCAGTTCTAGATTGCTAGGCTTCCGCGCCTTTCATTATCTCATTTATTCCGTGAGAAGTTAGGAGACAGACGTGTTGCCTTACCCTGAAATTATAAGCTGTAGATGGCCATGTTTGTCCCAGTTCCCACTCGCTCGCGTAATCCACTGGCTCGACTGACTACTGGGGGAAATGCTGGGATTTCTTGATTAGTTGCCAGGTTGTAAGCGTTATAAGATGTGTATCTACGGATTACAATTCTCTCATATCTTGGGGTTACTGAAGTCCGTTGAGATGAAGAATCTTTGCTGAGACATTCGCTCTTAAGATATCTTCGTCGCGGACCGAGCAAAAGCACAAAACAAGGAGCGATCGAGATGTCCTGTCCCTAACACTCTAGGGAAACGGGATGGTTCAAATAGTTGTAAGACGTTGTTAATCTAGTCAGCAGAAAGGGCTTGCAAACAGATAAGTGATTGTCACCTCCTCTAGACCGATAGGTTTAGATATAAATCTCCCGTCTTATCTAGCATTTCTTAGGTAGTTTGACCGTGCCGCGATAGTGAACTACCTAGTTATTGAAGACTTCGACACTATTGAGGAATCATTAAAGCCTTTTCCAGACGTAGACAGGACCTAAGAAGAGTACAAATTACGGTCATGAGCGCAAATGCTCTAACTAGTCAATAGGAAAGGTCTAGACTCCTCGAGTTATATGTATATCCTGGTCTAGATAGCAACAGTCTTTCAGGCAAAATCTGCGTACTGTTTAAGAGCAAGAGTGTAGCGCTCGAGCACAGAGAGTGTGAATGAACGAGACGATAATAGGTTGATACCATGCTGACATCCTGTTTCCCACCAGCGACAAGGCCAAGGACGGACGATTCTCCACAGTTCATGAGGTAAATCGCACTCAAGAAGAAAGGCACTAGCACGGTTAGACATTGAGCAAGAAGGTCGCAGCTGCATAGAATCAGCATTGCAAAGGAAGACGAAGCACTTTATATATACAGGTGCTCCTCGAACTAACAAGTCTCAGAACTCCAGAACCCGCCCCCAACCCCTCTCTTCATGTCTTTCCATCTGCTACCCCGTTGATTTCCGTTTCATCGCCGTCCTTGATCATGTGCACGATTCTAATCACTTCGCCGTTTGGCAAATTTACCTGCTCCCTTTTCCCGCTTTTTACATATCCACATTTTTCATACAACGCAACCCCGCTCAACGTACTACCCATTTCCAGTCTGTGGAACCCGCCCTCTCTTGCCTTCATCTCACAGTACCTCATCATCATTGTCCCAAGTCCTTTCCTTGCCCAGTCGGGATGTGTGAATATTGCACGAATGCTCGCTCTTTCTTTGGTTGGATCTCTCGCCTCTGGCATGCGACCAGGTGCTGTGTCGGCGCCATATAACGTGCGCCGAAAAGACCATCCACCACATGCGCATATTGTCGATGGAGAGTCAATAGGGTGCAGGATGAAGTACGTTTGGTCGTGGATGAGTAGCGTGTCAGGACCAAAAAGATATCCAATGGAGCCATCGAGCTCAGCATTCGTATAGTGCTGAGTTGCCAGACCGCGCAGAGACGTTGCAATCATGGTTTCCAACGCAGGGATGTCGGATGGTGTCGCAAGACGGAAAGCGAAGTTGTGAGTCGCTTCCTGCGCTTTTGCGCTTGTAATCGGATCATGATTCGCCATGAAAGACTGAGCACTTCGGGTTGTATTTTGGCCTTCTTTTCGCAACGTCTATTATTTCTCACGCTTCAAATATATGGCGCTTGCGGTTGAGATGTTGACGTAGCCTCCTTAAACGGTGGTAGGTACGAATGGGAAAGCCAGGACTAGCCCCAATGATAAGGGGCTCGGATGCATTCTCCGACGGAAAGCACCCTTGACTATTAATAGCTTCTGGAAAGCTATATTCAAGCCGTCAAGAACTACTTTTATCTCTGCTAGGGTGCGCAACATATATAAAAACGTGCTCTCCAATGGTGCGAATATGTTACATGCAGAGGAAGGCCTACCAGTGACATACAATTTTTGGTTGTCTAAATACATAGCTAGGTAGGTATCGGAAAGCGACGGAAAACTTCATCATGTGGATGGAATATTCGGCGGCTCACTCTTGATGGTGAAAATCTACTGAACATTTGAAGCTATCTTAAACTGAACATGGAGGGGTTGATATGCAGCTGCCGAGGTGTGCAGCTTGTATAGCTCGCCAACACGTGACTCCCAGTGAGATTTCTGGTTCCCGTGATATATGCTCTTGATATGAGTACGTCTAACTGTGTAGAGTCTATAGTAGGAAAGGATCAGAGTAAGGCAAGTATTAAGTAATACAGCCTTAATCGTGGTTTTATCTGTCGAAGCGCGCGTCGCTCGAGAACTATCGGTATTGTATTCTCTTCACCGATCGACAGCTCCCCTTCTGCGCTGGTGCCTTTATGCATTGGCTGCACTAAACCCATAAATAGTGCCATAGCGCCCAACATAGTTGGCACACTTGCTTCTCTAACATTCACGGAGGCCTCTCAAGCGGCACGTACTGCAGTTCACTCACGCGGTCTTCCGAGGTCCGTCGACATGGTGTTACGCGCCAAACATACAGTGTGCAAGCTGACTCTATCATGGCTTGAGATCTTGCAATGCCCATACTCAACAATCATTTACTTGTATAGGGGAACTGATACGCTCCCAATCTTTGGGCCGCAGACGCAGGTGCGAACTGCGGATTGATAGCCTATCCAGGTCATGAAGTGGAGCATAGCAAGTTTGATAACTTTCGCGCTGTCTGATACCATCGTTGCTTCTAAGTAATTGAGCCACGCTGTAAAGGGTAAGAAGAAGATTCAACGTCAGACATCGCCGATGCATCCCAGTGATATGGTGGCTATCGAGCATTGAGCCGTGGCCACGTCAGTGATATCTGGTACCTAGAGACCTGGCGAAGCAAAGTTTATCTTGATCTATTCTCGAAGACTAGAGGTTTCGTGAAGTGGAGGATCTGACTTGCGTAGTGCCGCTAGTGTGATTCTTCTGGTTAACCTTCGTATGCGTGCCAACTTGCACACAGCATGCCTCTTCTGAAGGCTATAGACCACACTCGGACGCATATACAAACACTAGAAATATTCTAATCAAAGTAGGGACTGCAGCGACGACAAGTGATCATGTACGTCAGTGAAGTGTTACCCTATGGGAAGCAACAACTCAGCGCTGAAGCTTTTGCTTTCTAGTCCCGCTACCCTCTAGGTTACCCTAAGCGTATCGACCTTGCACATCTAAGCTAGAGTACATATATAGCTGCCCCGTCTCAATTACCAAACCTGGGAAAATAACCGGTGCTAGACTAAGGCTGTTTATCTATTTTACGCTATACCGCATCACTGTCTCAGCAGAATAGATCTAATCTTTTTTGCTTGGTCTCTATCCACACTAGCTACCCTAGGGTAACGATTAGTCCTGCCCTTGAGGACGGCTTAGAAGCTGATGGCATGCACGTACTCATCCTCGAGGATGAAGTTCACGTATACTCGCGCTGGATAAGCACAACGACAACGAACAGAAGTCTCTAAATTTGTTACAAAGCCGGATATGATGAGTCCATTTGAAGTACCTACGTAGTTTTGAAGGTCGAACATACCCAGGCAACCTAACGTCAAATTAAGCATCGTGGTTGCCTCTTTCGGACCTAGCGCCAAGCCCTTAATTTGACTGAGAAAAACTTTCTACTACAGTAACCTCCCATTTATGATTGACATCTTCTCTTGACTCTATTCGTCCTCTGTATCGGTGTTATCCATGTTTGATGTCCCCAAATGGCTGTATATCTGGCGCAGATGACTCCGAATACACCGTGCTGCTTTCGGACGGCGATCCTGACGGCGGACGCACACCGATCCAGAGCCTCACATCCACGCTCAAAACAGAACGGGGCAACTCTCCTCTGAATGAAACAACTTCCCTCTCTTCGAACCCAGCTTGTACAGCAATAGATGCTCCCATAGGCGCAGCTGAGATCCCGATGGGCGCAGCCTCAGCGTCTATGTTGATCAGTAGGAGATCCAGCTCTACTTTGATCATGCTAGAACATTACCAGCAAGTCTCATACACCAACTAACAAGTCGAGTAGCATGCCCGCGGCGCCAATAAGCTGGATGAACGGCTAATGTGGAAAGTCTCATCAGACCGGCCAAATGTCTGCACGATAAAATTTACGTATGATGCGGCACACTGGCGAAGAAACTCACCTCTTCTTTGCTGAGCCGGTCGCATCCTCATATTGTTTAACTGCTCTGGCACTCTGATCTCTGCTTAACTTCCTAGGCATCGCTGGAGATTGCATCTGGGCTTTCAGCATGTCAGGGCTTGTGAGGAGCCGTGGTGTCGTGTGCTTACGCCAGGCTCTTTCCTCATTCAAGCGCCCTATGAAAGGGGAGCCTGGCCTCAAGTTGATACTGCAAACACCCACGACCACCTTGACCTGCTCATTCTTTCCTTGCTTGTGCAGAGAGCACTTTCTTAAAGCATCGTACACGCTTTCGTCCTCATGGGGGTCGAAGACATCTTCCGCTACAAGCACAATGCTTGCCGGATCAACAATCTCTTCGTGATATTCGAACCCTATGCGCATCAGGTAATCAATTCCTTGACCAGCCGCATCTCGCAACGATCCCGAAGTGGAAGTGTCCGGGCGAGGACCACAATGTTGGTGCTTTCAACATGGGATTCATTTAAAGCGAGGGGCTACCTACAATATGAAGAGATAGTGTCTTCGGGAAAGTCGGCGTGATAAGGTCGTTGGAACTGAAAAGTTGGAGACCAGAAGAAGCCTGCCGCCGCAACTGACGCTATTCGGGGCAGATCAACCAAAGTCGCGGCGCGGATATTCTCGAAAGGCGGCAGCTCTGGGTCTCTCGACATTGCTTCAGGAAAAGTATGCGCACTTGGTTTCAAGATGGAAAGCTCTCCTGAACTGAGCTCTCGGGGCTTATATGTATTTCACGTTTCCTGCATGGCCTGCCCAACCGACACAGTCATATTGCATTATACAGGACACCATCGATGTGGCCGGAGGTTGGGCTGCCGACGTGGCAGCAGAGAAGACGAGCAGAAGCTGTTACCCGAGCGAACGGGTGGTTTCGACGATTACCACACCAGTGTATGCATGCCACTCTCGCGGAAGGCGGCAGAAGGAGCCATTGCCTTCAACGTATGTGGTGTCGCGCAGCGAGGGGGTCCGGGGGTCATAATGTGTATGCATATTGGAGCTGCGAGCGGTGAGAAGAGATATGCAATAGGCAATGTTTAGGGGCCGACGGTTGAGGGTGGAGATGCAGTGCTTGTTGATTGTCTTCGGCTCCTTCAGTTCGGCACCGGAACGAACGAGCGCTCGGCTCGGCATCCGTAGGGGATCTCTCACTCCCTTGCAGCCCTACCGCAATGAAAGTGTCCGTGCTTGGCCCCGACTTGTTGTGGCACAGCTGACTTGAACGAGGGGTTGGCCAGGCTGCTCGACGAGGACCTGTCACCTTTCGCGTTTGTCATGTTGGTAACGCCTGTGACACCTGAGAGCACACCGCTGCTGACATCTGACATCCGTTCTGCTGGGCTCACGGCTCACCTCTCCTTCTACAACCCCCACTCATCTCTGTTTACTCCGTACTCCGGATAGCCCTGGCGACTCTTCTTTCGGTCGATGACACAGCGCGACCCGTTGACCAAGAACCTCCAGTTGGTACAGGGTCAGCTGCGCGAAGCTTCAGCCTCAATGGCCACCGTTTGGCACGACAGCGGCGTCCACCGCCGCACATATGACCTTCGAAACGATCTAGCAAACCCCGAGCCATATTGGACTTATAGTCAACAAGGCTATTCGCCTGCGCAATGCCCCTTGCCGACCACTGTACGACACCCACAGCATCAAATCTCCATAAATGATCAGCCCGCTTCCCGGTTCCGCGCATATGCTGAAGAGCAGTCAAGCAATCACAACCCCTCTACGGCTCCTTCCAATGGGTTGATCATCTCCACTCGACTAACACCGTTAGCGTCCCCTCGCCCTCCACATTCCGGATATGCAATTGATCCCTCTGTTAGTGGTTCCTTTTGTCCTACGTACGCAGAGGGACGGGCTCCAGGGATAGACGATGCCTTCCCTGTTCGGCAACAGGCAAGTGGTCATTCAAGTCAGGCACCAGAAATATGATGAACTAATGTGTATTGCAGATATATGATGGGACGCTCGTCAGCCCAACATTAGTACCTCCTCTGCAGTGTTCGGCTCCAGTGGCTACCGTGCTGAATCCCGCACACGGTTTTATCGCTTCTTCAAGCCATGTCCAAGGCGGCGATAGAGAGACACATCTGCATTGGCCCACCACTATGAGTCCGCTAGCTGTACGACAAATCATCCATGAACCTACCACGACTAACGATACTCCTCCTTCCTCTGCGCGCATTCATTCAAGCTCGATGATATGGAGATTGGGCGAAGTCCAACAGGCGGAGCAGGCGGGACAGGCCGCTAGGGCGTCTGGATCTACCTCGGCCATTCTCGCTCCGTTCCACATGGTGGCGACTGGCGCTTCTGGCCCAGGTCTCCAGGATGGACAGCAATATTGCTTGAGCGCAGCATATCTCCCCGAAGATACACATCATGCAGGTTTGGTGATATCATCAGGTCGGAGGCAGTCCGCTAGCCGAAAGGCCGCCCCTCGGGTTCCCGCTACTTTCAAGCCAAGGCAGAAAAAAACCAAGGTAGTCAAAAGGTCAGGTCCGCTATCGGAGAATAACAGACAAAAAACACACAGGATGCGATCTGGCGCCAAGATGGGCAAAGGGAACTGCATCCGTTGTAGGTTCTACAAAGCCCGTGTAGGTATTCTGCGCTTCGGACGGTATTGAATGATCATAGGAACACTAACTTAGGTTCGCAGTGTGACGAGAATGAAATCTGCCTGCCTTGTTTGAAGATTATGCGTGCCGCTCGGGTTTGTCCACCTATATGCAACCGAGGACGCATTGAGCTCGCAAGCATAGCTCGCAGGTGTAGGTTTGCTGAGCATGTGTTCCACAAGCAACTAACTTGGTTATAGGCAATGGCCGATTTGCGCAACCCGAAGCGGACTTCCTGCAGTACCCCTGGAAGAGCGCGAAGGAGTACATCATTGAGTTTGTTTGGAACCTTCCGGGATTTGGGCCCGTACCTGGAGCAAGACTGAGCATAACCTGTCGCGAATATGAACCAGAGGGCTCTATCAGAGACGCGACAAAGTCGGAGTGGGAGACTGAGAACGGCATAGTGGTCTCTGTCCAGCAGCCCGCTTACGCTGTTTCCGATACCTTACGATTGCAGACTGACGTTGAAGCCCTCTTCGTGCAGCACCTTCCACAGCATCTTCCTAAATTCAAAGAGTGGATTCTCGATCGAACGAGGTACAATCCTTTGTCGCACATTACTTTCCAGGAAGCTTTCCGACTGCAAGAGAGGGGAGGGCCGGGAAGTGAGCTAGTTGTAGCGGCTTTACGAGTCCAGTGGCTGTCAATATTATCACAAGGCTACGGCTCAATCCGCTCCACCGATATTCCGGGATTGAATCAATATGATTACAGGGCGATGGGCCGTAGCACGTATGAAGCGTACAATCGCAACTCAAGCGATCGGCCGCTACCAGAACCCGTAACGCACGCATGCGATGTGTCCATCCTCAAGCTGCTCAAACAGGCTGAGGCGAGGTGCGTAAAATTGCTTGGGAAGGCCATTTTTACCTCTGGCGTAAAACCATGGTATTGGCTGCTTCTCAGCTTTAGCGTCATAACCTGGAATATGGAGTATATTCACAGCGGTGCCGAAGGATACATCCGGTCAAAGGTCCACACGGTATGTGGTTGAAATTTCCGTATCTTGAGAATGCTCTAACATTATCAGCATGTTGAAAGGCAAGTCAGTGCGGTTGTCAGCGAGCAAATGCGCAAATGGGAGACCTCTTTCCAGAATATCTTGGACCACTGGAGAATAAGCCTTCGAGATTTCAGGCCATTCGTGGTAGCCAGGAACAACCCGGAAGACTTATGGAGGAGTGGACAGTTACCCGACTACGGGGCCCTCGAGTATATGAAAAAGATGGCTGCAATGCTTGATAACCCGAGTTCAGGTATGCTGAGGCCTCGCACAATGCTACCATAACGATTTCTCATTCAAACAGGCCAATACGCACCTCCTATGATTGGACCTTCCGCATTGACGAACCTTCTGGGAAGCAGATGGATGATTAAATTGATGGAGGAAGCTGGCAGGTCGGCAACCCATGCGGCGGCATGACTCTAGGAGAAAAACGATGTTAAGCGTGTGCGACTCACTTCTGCTGACATATTTCCGATCGCTTACTTGCTCAGATATGGGTACTAATGAGATTGGCTTGAGTCGTTTCATTCACAGTCTGGATATCATACAATCTCCTTGTGAAACCCCCAGAGCGCCATTTGAAACTGGTCATGCCGAAGTCTTGACCCGTCCGTCCCAATCTATATGCACAAGGAGAAAGGAAAGATTCGCCCTGCCTGCACCTAAAGAACCAAACGAAGGGAGAAGGAAGAAAAAGAAATGAAATTAGGAAAGATGGGAAACATTCACTGGACAATACTCCCCCTTCTAACCGTGACTATCGCGCCCGCTGATACCGCGGTGCGGGTCAGTGTCTCGAATGGGAATGTTCTGCGGTCGTCCAGGAGTGAATGGATCGTCAAACTTGTGCAACCAGCTCGCCGGCTTTTCCCATGCATTCTCGGGATCGCGAAGGAACATGCGAAGCAGATGTCGGGTGCTTGGCTTACTGTTCGTTCCATGGTATGCAGCGCGCGCGTGCATGATGCTCAAGTTGTTGATAAATTGGATGTCCCCTTGCTGGCGGTCAAGTTTCGTCGAGAACTGTCGAGCTAGGCTCTCCACAGCCTCAAGAGCGTGCATTTGCTTGTCTGTAAGAGCCGGCATGTTGGGTTCCCGCGGAATATGGGGTGTGCCTAGAAGCGGGGCTTTGACGAGCTGGACCATCGGCTTGCCCTTGGAGAAGAATAGAGTTGGCCCCAACTCGAGGTATGGAGCTGAATCCCTTTCACCTGTCAGTAAATGCTTGCTTGTGGGCGCCATCGACTCACTTCTGCTTCAGCTCGAATGGCCAATCCGCACTAGCCATCGTTTCCAATACTTCTGGCTCGGTCTCCAGCAGAGCATTGTAGATTCTCCAAAAGCTGGCAACGTATTGCTCTCCGCCACAACCACTACCGCCGTCGTTACGAACGTGCAGAGCCAGTACATCGCCCGAAAACCGGTCACTATGGAAATCCTGTGGCTCTTGTCAACTCAATTCCACGCAACTATCCTATTAACATACCATCGCAACGTTGACCTTTGAGCCGGCGAGTCCTATGCCCTCGGCGCCCGCGGGAGCTTTGACCTGAGTGGCATCCCAGACATGGCTCAAAGTCTGATTCGCATAAGAGTCCGTCGCACGAAGAGGACAGACATGCGCTGAGATTCCTGCGAAGGCTATTGTTGCTTCCTTGTCGTTGAACCTGGCCACCTGATCATTTCCGTCATTCTGCACATGAACCCCCGACGCTCCGAGACCTCGCAAAACGACGATCCCGCATCCGCGATGGGCCTCCTTGCTCACGGCAGCTAGCTTGCTAGCCAAAAAAGGTGGAAGTGGAAAGTTAGACCGATCAAGGCACTCGATAGGAGATCCGGAAACTCGCGGAATTTAGTAACAGATTCGTTGAGGTTTGTGTGGCAATAGTGACTTACGTCGGAACGAAAGGACTGCGGCCTCAATAGCTTCGATTTCGGAAGGTGTAAAGTGAACGACGTAGTCTTTGAGTTCGCTCCCTTCCCATACCATCGGACCCGATACGGCCGGCGGCAGCGTATCCGGTACCGAGATGTCTGATAGGGCAGGGGAGCTGCATCGAAGACTTTCCACCGATGAGCCTGCATTCAAGCTTTCCAACGATGACCTTGCGCTCAGACTCGGGACAGACATCTTGAAGCTTCGGGGAGGTTTTGTAGCTGATCGATCTAGATAAGGTGCTCGAAGGCAGAGTTGCTGATTATGTGGGCTAGTGGGCCTCAAGTTCTGGATATATAAGTAAGTGTGTTCTGCATTCTGTGTGAGAGAGAAGTTGGCTCGCTTTTAAATATGCGCGGAGTCATGATGCACGAGGCCTTTTAAGAGCAAGGATACCGGTCAGACATAGAAACATGGATTGTCAAACTAATGTATAGCTGACTGAGCCCAGATATCGAACAGTCCCGATTACTCAGGAGGCCGTTGACTGTCCCGGAGCATTGTTTGCTGTGCCCTCTGAATGGCCTCGCGTATTCAGTCACTGGTAGCCATTCATTACGCCGTGCTTACCGGCATCAGGTACGGCTTCATCATACGGTCACATTCACACGTTGGCCATGCGGCGGGGAGCTGGCTGAGCATGGCCAAAACTCAAGCCTTTGCCACACGGTTGCACAAGCTCGAGGCTCCATCACACCTACGCCGTCTCAACAGCCCCTACCCTGCCATGGCTGTTACGAATAGTATGCAACCAATCGAGTACCAACGTTCCCTTCTACCTTCTTCCAAGCCATGTTGCGTAGGCCAATGCGTACGGCACACGGACAACAACTGGAAGCGCTCGCTTCAATCGAGGCGAAGTCTTCCAGGGCAGGCCGTTAATCAGTTATAGCAACTCATGGTGGCTTCGCTAGACGGCGGGTTTTCAAGTCATGGAGAGGGATCGTGCCGATCTTGGAGGATTGGGCGATCTTCCCTTGCATCAGCTCTATACGCCATGTGGTATGAGCCATCTGCTCTTCGGAGCACCCAACAGAAGTGTCATACCACCCATCCGCATGCACCGCTGAGTAACTATCTTGGTGCTGGCTCATTTGACAGGATCGCGAAGCTGTCTTCTGCTTGGTAGCCTTCCTGCACAGTGAGGACGCCGGCAGCTGGCCCAGGGGGTGTAAAGGAGCGGTGGGCGTCCGGAGTGCATATTGAGCCCAAATTCAGCGCCTATTGCATGCACTCGCGGGCATGGCGCCTTGCGGGTGGTTTCGATGCATCTTCTCTACCTTCGACGTCCCCATAAGCGTGGGGGTCCCTTCCCCTCCCTGGCATTCTAAAGCAGAGGCAAAAGCATAGCGGGCGAACATCTTATCTCATCCGTTAAGGGTACTTCCATATGTAGCCACTCCGCCATCACAGCTAAATTCAAGCAACGTTGAAGCCTTGCTCCCCAGCTAGCGTCCGCTAGGATGTAGGACATGGGTGTTCTAGAGTTAAACGCAAATGGATACGAATATGGGGTTGAGCCTGTCATCCGCATTGCTGACCAGACGTCCAGGCCTCTGCGCATACATGATCAATGGTGGGCGGCTGGCTTGCCAGCGACGATCGTTTTCACTTGCATGTGCCCCTGTTGGGAAGCTACCCGGATTTTCATGCGTATTTGCGTTGGAGATAAACGCTGAATACCTTCCATACCTAAAAGGCAGCATTCGTTTGGCGCCTCAAGCGCTAGCTGCACCAATAGGCCTCTGCGTTCGTCTCACATTCATCAAGCTCAGGGAACCTTCAGTGAAAGACCACCCTCCGCCCCATCTACAAGGTATGCAAAACAGCAAGGTACATGAGGCACGGAACGGTACGCAGCGCGAACTTCTGTCGAGCGGGTTCTATGACGAATCAAGCTGCAAGTCGCTCAGTTGAGGGATAACAGTCTTACAGTACACGCCCCGTCTCTCCGGAATCCCCGTCTCTTCGCCCGAGCCCAGGCCAGGGTGAACCCGCCTCTAGCAGACTGGCGCGATCTTGGTGATCTGGTCAGCCGTTATCACTGCAGCCGATATTGCTCCACATGGTGCAGGAACGAATCAGTCGATGAGGGCAACACCCAGCTGATGTTGTACATTAGTGGGTTTGCCTGTTTTGAATCTCCGTATTCTGCGCTCCCTTCAACCCAGAATTCAGTTCCTCGATGCACCCTTTGGAAGCGTCTTTGTTCAAGAAGCCGAGCAGATGGACCATTCCGTGCTGGACGCGCAGGCGGCACCAGGATCCAAGGTTTGAATTGACGGGATGACGAGTGCAGGTTTTGGCGAAGTTCAGCACGCGTCCGGTCTTCAACCAGTGAGATTTCGAGTGGCTGAAAGTATAAGCTGGGGAGCGGACCTGTAAACGAACAAGTGATGTGTTGCAGTCCGCACTTGATAAAGCACACCCTTGCTCTCTTCATGGAAGAGAACACCCATAGACGCTTGTCCTCAGCACTCACCTCCAAACTCTACTGGACCAAGAGTAGTATACGCTCGCTGATATTAGCGCCAAGCGACTGCCATATGCACGAAATCGAGGGTACAGGCGCCTTGTCAGCTTTCCTGCACCGTTGAATGTGCCCAGTCACCTTTGCTCGAACAAGACAGGGGAACAACTGAAGTCACCACACATGGCTGTGCCGCGAACATCGACCACGGCGTCGATTCTATGAAATTGGAAACCCTCAGTTGGCATTCAGTGCCTTTACGGCACAGCAACTTTTGGCGCGCGGCATCGGAGAGATATCGCTTATGACGTGCTATTTTCGTGTGCTGCCATGATACTGGACCATCTACGGCGGAGACGGCTTCATCTGATGCCTTCCTTTGAAATATCAAATGCGCTGGAGGCATGATCTCGTGTATCCACAAGGCTATTCAGCACTTGGACCACCACCCTCGACCAGAAGGCCATCCTCCACCGCAGATGTATGCAACTCAGCACCACGTGATATAATCATGCTGCGGAGGTCTTTGCGCGCTCGCGTGTAATCAGTCGGACAATTAATAACGAGAGAGTATATGCCAAGAATTATGGGGGATCCACGAGTGCCTGGGGCAGGGTGGGCACTGTTGTTGGTTGCTTTGACCAGAGCCTGTTTCATCCTCCTCTCAACAAGTCTTTCTGGCGTCTGTTGGATTTCTGCCCTTCCACATATTTTCACATAGGACCTCGGCGTCACACCAACGCGGGAGGGTTCCCGTCGCCTCGACAGCGATGGGGGCACCGCTCTGTCGTCACACCCAACGGAGAATTGCATGCATACTCTGGTAGTCTGTAAGTAAGGCCCTTTGGACACGGAGTAATCACCCAGTCCAGCCGTAGATGTCTGTACTATGCAGTAGCTCATTCGCAATCCGAGCTATGAGCATGATATCCAGATCATGCCATCTTATCTGCATTACGGCCGAGCCCTGAGCTCACTCTTTCACCGCCAGAACCGTCACGTTGTGTCCATATATAACTCAGAGAGGATATCGACATACCTGCAAAATACCAGCCTGACCGGTATTTTACGTGAATAGCCCGGCCTTGTTTCTTCGCCCCATGCAGCCTGTGCTCTGATCGGTGAGCAAGCCGCTTCTAGCTTGTTAATCCCAGCGCACTCTGCCATGCAGCACCAAGGTCCTTGCCTCCGCGTCCCGTCCCCAGTCCTTCCTGACCCTCCATCAGAGAAACCGACCGCCAGTGGCGGCTGGCATACCCCGGGCTCCAGGTTCAATATCACCTCCACTCCAGCTCGAAGCGAAAAGCATACCTCTCGTCCTATCGCTCTGTTCTTCGTCGTCTCGCCGCTCGCGTTTCCACTAGCCTACCGTCACATTTCAGACCTGACAGTGTGGCACAGCTTCCTACTTGCCTCTCGTTCTCTGTTGACGTAGGTGGGCATGGGAACTTACCTTCCCGAGACCTCATTTCGGCGACTAGAACTCTCTATGTGGAAAATTCCGCGATGGCTGTGGAGGTAGGCGCTTAAAACCAACATTCACCAACTTGTACCACCCGAGAGGATATCTCTACGCGGAAAATGGTCCAGGCACTCTTATTGCGTGCGGCACACAAGGCCTCGAACAGATCGACAAGTATGGGTTCTTTGACAACACAGTTGAGGAGGCACAGGTTGTTGGGAGCGTGTAGCCGCTCGCCACTTCGCAGCCATTAGCCATCAGGATGCTTCCACCACCCAACCACTCAAGGATTTGGCCATGCGTTCTGAATATTTCCTGGTCTCCTATCAAGCGTTTGCCAGAAGGGCACGCGGAGAAACGACATTCGAGATTGTGAAGACTTTCCGACCCTGTACGAATCCCTGGCCATCGCAAGGCCTGGGCTCTTCCGCGGACACGAGGGATTCGCCAATGCAAATTGACCAATACGAGGACTACGCAAGCGCAGTTCTCGTTTTGAATTCGGACAAGTTGCAAATCGGGTGGTGTGAGGGGTAGACAGAGGGCACTCACTGCTCTACTTCGCCGACGTCGAGTTTGGCGATTACGCTCAACTATGGAGCTGTTCGAACACTATTTTGCCTTCCATGCAGCGCAAATTAAATGACCTCTCATACGGATTGCGAGTCTAGAATCCTGGTCCTGTGGCTGCAGAATCATCGAAGGATATATGCTGGGAATACTGCCTGCTGCAGTGCATTTGCAACCCCGCATCAGCCTAACCTGCAGAGATCCTACTCCACAATCCTGTGGGAAAGTTGCACAAGATATAACGGCTGGTTTATATCTACTCAAGCTAGAGACCGTATTTCACCTAGTCACATGACAATTACTTCTTTGGAGCATCTAAAACGAAAGAGAAGCAGAGGAACCCTTCAGTGCGCTCATGGTACTAAAGTTGCCTTAACCATAGTATATTTGTACTGAGCTTCAAACATAGCATGATTGTAATCACTCAATACACTGTTCTACTATCATTCCGACATCAACCGCCGGCTGCTACTAGACTACGCTGTCCAGGCATGTTGCGGTCTCAAACCCCAAGATGTGCGTTCAGGATAGAGAGACACATATGTTGTTTTGGAATCACCGCCAATTATATAGATTGGTATCAACATTCCGAACATCAAGGCCATAGCGGAGCCCTAATAAGCAGTGTCTATTCCCACGTCCACTCAACCGCATGTAGGGCTTTTGCAGAAGAGACAGCTCCGTGAGTAACTACACACGCCTTGCAATTCATGGAAATTCCCTATTATAAACAGTCTATTAGCATGTTTATCTGATAATACGGACTGCCACTCTCACTCTACAGAAGCACTAACCCAAAGCGTGCCCTCAGGGGGAGCGTGCAACCACGCAATACGTTACAGGCGCAGGACGTCATCTAGTCTCCACAAAGCTCAAGCAATATCTTTACGGACAAGCAATGCTGTATTATTAAGTAGATGAAGGTAGAGAAAGAGCCGCACAAAATGCAGACCCATCTCTCAATATCTAAATCTGTGTCGTTGGCTTGTCCCTACCTCTAGACCGTCACTTTTATTCAATCGTACGAGCTTATAGATACTCCGATTATAATTGACAATCACTTGTAGCCCATCCTATTCCGCTTCCCCGTTCACCTCTCACGAAGACAGAGCTTGAAGACGGAGATCAAATTCGTACCACCCAGGTACTGGCACCTTTAGCATAACACCACGGGCGTCAAGTCCAAGGCCACAGGTCTTCTAAGTCGTCTCCACCCGCTTTGCTGTTAACTTGCTTCTATCTGCGGTCAAGGTCATCGCCTGAGATGCCTGAGTGCGGCCAAAGAAAGTTCTGTGGAGCGCAGATGATGCTATAACAGCATTTATATCTGGATTCTTGTTAGAATTTTGTATTTTATCACTCAGTAGGGGAAGCAGTAGCTTACGATGAGTGACAGACACATTCTTGTTCCTGACCAAATGATGTAAGCCTAAAGATTAGGAAGGGCAATCTGACCAAGTTTGCTGCAATTTGCGTTAGTACTTGATGCACTTGATCTAAAGCACGTTTCGATGCGCTCGCTAACAAAGAACTTGCTGAATGAGCGTGGCGTTTGTGGACATTCCGAATCGAGTTGGCGGACAGCTGTTATCATATAGCCGCCTGATGGTAAGATGCTACTTGGCGCAGTATGTGTTCTGAATCACTGCGGGAATGAATAATATCAAAGAGGATGTTGCCGAGGACGGGGACGATAAGAGAAACGCGTGGAATGCTCCACGTATTATTGTCGTTCCGTTTCTGGACCACGTACATACCTTGGGGTAGTCTGGTTGCTGGCGGCATCCTTAGGGTGGACTGCTGTTTCTCCTTGCGAGGATAGGCCCTCGACCCAGGTTGCTCAAACTCCCCTACTTCATGAAACCAGGGATGTGTATCATTGGCGCGAACAAACTCAACGCTCTCGACAGTAAGGAACGGAGTAAATTTCAGCTAACTACTATGTTGTACGGAGGAGGGGGCCTGTACTTCCTGATGGAGCGTTTCTAATTAGCCGTCTGTACCTTTTAGTACAGGAACAGAGGTCCTAAGTAGGCTGTACGTCGTAAAACTGACGTAAACGGACAGTAACATAACTGTTTTAGGCAATTAAAGTCTAGCTGCTAGTAAATTGCTTATCTATCTCTTCTGTTTTAAGCTAGGGTTGTGTTAAACCTGTAAGGATGTAGGTTTAGATTGGACGATCCTGTAGCGGAGGAAAACTCTGCTACCGTAAGGCTAAATTTGCGCCTTCCTATTAGCTAGAAACGCTAAGGACAGCCCCTATAATAATACTATATATCTACAAATATACCTTAGGAAAAGTACTCCCTACCCCTAAAAAAATCTCTACTTGGTTACATAAGATCTGCTATTTACACGAATCTCCCTAAAAACTACCGTATACGGAAAGAAACTAGTCGTTACTGTCCTGTACTGTACGGAGGGAGGTGGCGGTACTTACTGACGGAGCCCTTCACCATGTACGGACCGTACGTACGGTCGGGTGTACTTACTAACGAGAGCGTTGAGCAAACTCGGTGAACTGGAAAGTGCCACCGGTCTTCAAAGTGTCGAAATCAGCCTTGAAGGTGATAACGTGATTAGGGGCAGTGCTGAGTACCTTTCTGGCCGGCATGGGGTCAGCCCAGAGCCTGACAGATGTTATAACTCCCGAACGTAAAAGAAGCTCAGGGATGAATCCTTGCACATAGCTGTGCTTGAACACGGCGTTTGTCGGATGGGTCACAACTTGAGTCGCGAACCAGACCCCTGAAGCAGGTCCCTGATTGCTGTGTGCTCGTCGTCACTCAAGGGACTCCAGACTTTTCCGAGAAGCCTTGGTAGACGGAACCTCTGCTACTGGGCAGGACCCAGGGTCAGTTTTCGACTTACTCTCATGTCGTCTGTCGAGAAGTTCACGCAGGACGACCATATCGTGAGCCAAGATGGGGAAGTGCGGCGGGCAAAACTACAGAGGCCTAAGAAAGCCAAAGAGAAACAAGGAACCGCAATTCAAGAACAATTGAAAGCCCATGGGCATTGTATAAAGAGTGTCTGTATCGATTATATAAAAAGAATTTCCAGAGCCAGAGCCGGCGATCTCTTGATTTAACGGATGGCCGGAACATTGTAGCGCATCCAAAGAGATTGATAAACCTAGAAAAGGAGGGGACAATTGAGAGACGGAATGCAAAGTTGAAGTTCGTACAAGCGTACTCCATGGCTCTATCGAAGCCCCAGGCGAGAGATCCCCGTAGTTGTGTGGTGGCCTGTCTGAATCCATGTGTGCAGTGCACCTTTCCAGATTAGAACATTGCTGAATTACCGAATATCGCCATTCAGGCCTGCAGGGAGACGGTATAGAATCGAATTAAGTGCAAGTATCTGAATGATACGTCTCGGTGATGGACGAAGCGCAACGCACCAAGAAAGTATCGCCTGTGAACTCAGATAGGAGTTTACACGTCCGCCACCTTTTTGGGTTCATGAAGCTTGAAGTTTGGCCTTATCACCCCTAGCATGTTCTCAGACGTGGTTGACAGTGGGGTCGCAGTGGTCGCTTCTCTCTCTTGTAACTGGTCACACTATTCCATCTAACCCTAACCCTAAAAAACACTATTCCGTCAGCGACGAAAACCCCAGCAAAGCAGGACGTGAAGTGAAAGCCCAGATGATGGATTTGACGTATCAGACTCCGTGATGGATGGTCCTCGGGACATTTGGATATACCATTGCGTCGGGGAGGACATCGGTCACGGCACGGCATTGCTGTTAATTAAAGTCGTCTTACTCGAAGATAGCTCTTAAGTTTCGTCATGAATGACAAAACCTCCTTTTCTCTCCTATCCTGGCAGCCCGTATCTTCACAAGCAGGGAAACACCGGGGCTATTGCACCATAGCTCAACCAGGCCTCCATTTTCCAAAAGAACCCGCTACAGATGGAAATTGAGCGTGTGTTTGATGAGGGTGATTGGCAAATCGTGGGTACAATAGGACAGCTTCAGTACCTATCTTCCATAGTGTCGAGTTCCTCCAACACAAACTACACCATGTAGAGGGTTTAGATTTAACGTAAGGACAGTGAGAATTAACACTATTGAGGTGTTGGGGTTAGTAGGAGATGCCAGTAGATAGGAGTAAGTTGGCGGAGTTGCCTTGGCGAGCACGGACCTCAGGACAAAATCACGGATAAACAAGCTACCGAGGCGCCGATTACTAACACGAAGCAAGTTCTGATCACCACTCCGTACGTGGCCGACCTGGCAGTCCATCTGGTCTCTCTTGATGCTCCAGAAGGAAATCATTGTCAAAATCGGTCCTACTAAATATTGGAAAGGTCATGGACCTGAGACCAACATCAACGCCACGATGAAAAACCTCTTCACATTGAGGACCTATTCGCTATAAATCTTTCGACTCAACTTCGGTGGTCTGCTGTACTTACACATCTGCCCACAGCCACACATTGCCTCATTTCACGCCGACTTGGCATTTCTCGCTGGCATTCTCGCAGACCACAAATTCTGATTGCCGCTCTTTCATGAGGGGTGTTGTAGATTAGGTTGCAGAGACTGCCGTCAAAAGGCGAACTTGAGACTTGTCTACACGGGGACTGTTTCTTCCGCATCCGAGGAGCAAAGTACAGCAGCAAGCGTAAACGACGTTACACGGCAGATACTCCAGAGCACAGTGCAGGACGCTGCGAACCATCAGTGCCCCTGAACCAAGCGACAAGAAAAAGCCAGCTGCCTTTATTAGATTCAAAAGCAGCTAGAGGCCAGCTTTACCAGGACAGGAGTTGATTGTCAATTCGGTAAAGCGGGAGCGCCTTATCCGAGCCGATCTGAAGTTTCACCATGAGATGAACATGCCCCGCGGCATGCAGCTCAACCGTCGCTGCATTGTACAAAGCGCAAGTATTGCTCGGATTCGGATTCTAGACATGATAATGCAGCATCTACTCTTTGGATCCTGTACACCGTACTTGGCATTCGCTCGTGGAAGGCCGCACGACCGAAAAAGCCCGTCCCTTTTCCCAAGGGTTTTCCCAAGGGTTCGCATTTGATTGCTCCCCCGCTCTTAGCCCACCATGAGCATCGATCAGCAACGAGACATCGAGCACGCGTTACCAGCGCGTTTGTGCGCAAGTATTATCCATGTACTCCGTACTCCGTATGTAGCTCGAGACTCAGCCCTTTAATATCGATAAGCGGAGGGTCCATAAGACGAGCACCAATTGCACTCCCGGTTTAGCCAGTAATGCGGAGAAGCGAGCAAGACCTTCCGTTGCCCTGGATGCATCCTGCACAAGGGAGTGAGACCTGCGCCTGGTTGGATTGCTGGTATTATTTCGTGCGATAGAGGGCACTTGGACCGCTCAGAGCATATATTTCACCCGAGTCCCGCTTTCTGTTGGATCTCTCCTTTTCCTCTGATTCTTTTCCATCCTCCCTTTCTATCCCCCTGTGTTCACCATGGAGCTGCAATCCCTGACTGGCGCTGCGCATACGCTCCAGACTTTTGGTATTGCGTCTGTCGTCTTCGTGTTACTATGGTTTCTTCCTCGAATCCGATTGGAGGCTCGGCTTCGCAAGCTTCCTGCCTATGTCTATGAGGACAGCGGCAAGAAGACGGCTACTACGTACATGACATCGGCGAAGAGGATCTACATTGCGGGCTACAATAAGGTCAGAATAGCCGTGTTTTCATATTGATGGTTCCCTTCTAACGCGCTATTAGTTCAAAAACCATGTTTTCCGCATTTCCACCAACGAATGTACCACATCCACGATCTCCCCGTCACCAGGCCTCGGCTGACTACCTGAATTAACAGCAATCGACACCGTCGTAGTCCCTGTGAAATTCCTCCCAGAGCTTAGAAAACTGCCGGACTCGGTTCTCAGTTTCCCGGAGGCCGTGGCGGACGTGAGCGAAACCTGGAGCCCCACAGATAGCTAGCTATTGACGCCTCTCCAAGCTTCTCCACACCAAGTACACAAAGATCAGCACCGACGAGCCCATCTCTGCTCACGTGGCCAAAGCTGACTTGACCCCCGCTCTCGGTACCACCACCTGTAATCGAACTTTGGCAATGACAGCTGGCTGACAAGTCACAGCACGTCTTAATCCCATCATCGATGAAGAAGTTGAACAGGCAATGGCGGAGGAAATGCCTCCTTGCGAAGACTGGACCGAAGTCTACATCTACATGAAGCTCGTCAACGCCGTAGCCAAAGTCTCTGGTCGTGTCTTCGTCGGTCCCGAGCTCTGCCGCAACAAGGAATACCTCGATGCCGCCGCAAACTACACCCTGGATTTGATATCCGCGCAGCGCAAAATCTCCGAAATAAAACCCTGGCAGCGTCCGTTCCTGGCTCCCCGGCTCAAGGAAGTGAAGCAATTGCGCATAAGAGAAGAGAAGGCAAAGGAAATCCTGGAACCGGTCGTGAACGCACGAAGGGAAGCCGAGAAGAATGATCCAACCTATAAGAAGCCGGACGACATGTTGCAGTGGCTTATGAATCGGGGGTCAGATTATGGCAGGGACTCGATTGAGAGCTTGGCAAAGGTGCAGCTGGGGCTCATTTTTGCGGCCATTCATACGACGACGCTGACAGCTACCAACATGTACGTGCGCTGGGCGTAATCCTCGGTGAAACTGATGGTATTGATGTGTTATGTGCTTACGTGGGACAGCTTGTACACAATGGCGGAGCGAACCGAGTACATCCAGCCCATCCGCGAAGAAATCCGTCAAGCGATGGCCGATAACGACGGCGTGATGACGTATCGAGCATTGCAGCAGATGGAGAAGCTAGACAGCTTCATGAAGGAAACAATGCGTTTCTACCCTCCGGGATTCAGTACGTCGCAGCTTTGCCTGTCTTGCTAGCGTAACCTGGACTCACTCCTTTTAGCCTCGTTCAACCGCAAAGTCCTCCGCGGCTTCACCCTCTCGAATGGACAATATATTCCCGCAGGCGTAACCATTGAAGTGCCCTCCCACGCCGTCTACCAGGATTCGTCCAACTACCCCGACGGCGATGTTTTCGACGGTTACCGCTTCTACAAGCTGCGCCAACAAGGTGGCGCGCAGAACCACGCTCGCAACCAATTCGTCACGACGAACGAGACGAATCTTGCATTCGGGTATGGCAGACATGCTTGCCCGGGACGGTTTTTCGCGAGCAACGAGATTAAGATGATGTTGGCGAGAACCCTGTTAGAGTATGATTTTAAACTACCCGAGGGAGTAACGGAGAGATACCCTAATCAGGAGTTTGGGAGATCAGTAAGTCAATTACGGCTTCTACTTTTCAAGTCTTGCAGAAGATGATGGAAATCTTCGAAGTGCTCATGGCTAACGTGTGGTTGTAGACTTCACCCGATGCGGCGAAACCGTTGCTGTTCAAGAAAGTGAAGGCCTGAGTGGAATTTGTAGTTTGCGTCGCTGGCTTTACGGAGTGAAAGTAATCGCATGTCTTGACAGTGTGCCGTTTGCAACTTGCGCCTCTATCTCACACCCAAATCGCCAATTCCCCGAAGTTTGGACTCTTCATAACCAGGGATGAATGATAATTGAAACCATAAACATCGTGTAGAACAGCTAGTGTGGTGCTCCGCAGCCTAAGCGTATTGGGTCGACAACTTAGCTCTCCCGCCATCCTTCCGGTTACGATCCGGTCAAACAGTAACCCAAATTAGGTAAATGGAAAGAGTGTTATCGGAGGAGCCGAGGTCAGAAGCAGAGAAACATTCTGCAACGATATCGCGATGGCTTCGTTATCAAGACATTATTTATTCGTTTATTCATTCATCATCGCAACTACATATCCCCTCTCACTATATTAAGCGTTCCTTTGGAACACCCCCGGAATCCAACATGGGCGATTTCGCAATCTACGTCTTCAACATATTCGCCGCCACCAAAATCGCATTCGCCGTCTTACCCACCCACTCCTGCGCCCTCTTCCAATCCTTCGCAAACGTAATACTCTCCGTGATACCCGGGTACGTAACAGGCGCATAACCTGTGTCCAGTCCCGGAGCAAAGATCAAGTTCTGGAAGAACTCTCTGCCAGGGAGCCCACCCTGGGATGTGAAGCCGCGGGAGAAGTCGCGGGCCTTGTGGTTCTGCACGGTGATGAGTTCGGTGTTGTTGGTGGTGATTGCAAACTCGCGGAGGGAGATGAATTGCTGGGCGTACGTCTCGAACGTGTCGATGGCGGAGGAGAGCGCGGAAAGATCAAGAGTGCCATTGCCGGAAGACACGACCTCCTCTAGGTCCTTGTAATATGCACGCAGTTCTGAAGTGTAGCCCGCGGGGTTCAGGGGAAGGACTTCGTCGCTCGAAAGGTGATAGAGCAAGAGTGTAAGATACTGGCCAATGGCCTTGTGGTGAACGAAACCCGGATCACCAAATGTGCTCATCCAATGGTACGAATCGTAGTTCGAGTGGTATGGGTAGATGGGGTCCCCCTTTTCGACGGATCCTCCAGCCCCCAAGTCAATGCAAGCAATGCCACGGTGGAGGAAGCCGGTGTAGTCGCTTCCACTGCCAAGGACACCAAACTCGCCGCCGGCTTCGGTCTGCCAGACATCGTACAGAGTGCGGTCAGTGGTGTTGCGGTACGGCCAGATGACCTTCTTCTGGATCTGAGCTGCAATCTCATGAAAATCGGGGGTGGCAGAGAAATCAGGGACAGGACCAGAAACAGCGACGTCAATGTTCAGGTAGGAGACGGCTGCCGTCTTCAGCCAAGGCAGGTATTCCTCCAACCATTCCGTGGAGCCCACCAGACCGTACTCCTCGGCGTCCCAGCTTGCAAGCACGATAGTACGCTTAGGCCTCCATCCTGTCTCTTGCAGCTTGCCAAAGGCTTTAGCCAGTTCAATCAGGACAGCGGATCCCGAGTTAGGATCAGCTGCTCCGCCAACAATCCAGGCATCACGATGATTACCAACGACAATGACTTCGTCTTGGTTGGTGCCGTTGATGATGCCGATGGCGTTCCAGATGGCAGTGTAGTTTGCTTCCATGACGTTGCTCAATGACAGAGTCGCACCAGATCCCTCGCCAGTGCTATAAGTCACGCCTGGAATGGCGCCAACCCAATTCGTACGGTTAACATCTTTTCCATTGGTACCAAATCCGTTCAAAGCCTGGAGTATGGGTTGGGCATCACGCCATGAGATTGGGATGGAAGGAATCCTGGGAACACTGCCGCTTGGGTCTGCTCTTGGCGAATCTTCCTTCGAAGGATAACCTGGAGTGGTAGGGTCTCCAGGGTAGGTGCTAAGAAACATGACAGAGCCGCGCTGAACACTGGTCGGGTTGCGTGCAGGACCATTGGGATAGGCGGCTACACCCTTCGCTTCGGTGACGTTGCCATCATCGCCAGGGTCACTGAAAATGATAGCACCGATCATGCCATGGTCTTGCGCATTCTTAACCTTCAGGCCTCGGAACGGGCCGCCATATCTGGCAACAGCAATCTTGCCTTCCAATTGTACTCCGAGAGCTTGAAGTCGGTCAAAATCGACCTGTTGCCCTCTTCCCACGTAGACGTATTCTGCAGATGCGTCACCCGTAGCGGAGTAACCGTGGAAGACGGGAATTCGGTTGGGGTAGCTATGTTCACAGTTAGGCAAAATTCACTAGACTCAATAGTGCACGATTAGTCACGTACCTGGACGTATCATCTTCCTCGAGTACTTCCTCCTCAAGGGAAGCATTGAAAACTGTTCCATTGGGCAAGGTAAGTTGTAAGGATTGCGATACAGGATAATTCAGATACACGACTCAGATATTGTCAGCTCATAGTATAAAGTATTCATCATCCTAAAAGTCGTACAGTATTCATCCAGCCGGCTGGTCCAGCCGTACTCGGCCCATTTGTCTGCTGTCCACTGAGCCTGTGTCTTGTTCCGGCCAGCAACATGAGCACCGTGTGCTGGAAGCCATTAGTCCTTGATATGTTCCAAGTGGCCGCCAGTTGGGGTTCACTGCTCACTGTAGTAGTAGGACCATGTGGATATGGAGGTAGCGTCGAAGGAATCCAACAATAACTGCTCATTGGCGTCCAATGGTGCTCGAGATGTGTCGTGGTCCTGTCGTTTCGCATGGGAGTGACTGTGGAAGTTGCGCTCACGCTGACAGGCTTCTGCGCCAATTGCTGCCGCCCATACCAAAAGCGTGGACCTCATGTTGGCGAGGTATTGGGAATGAAATCACACACATGAAAGTGACAGGAAGGGTGGTACTTTAAGGTTTAAGTAGGCAAAGGAACCCCGCAGAGGAGCGACGGTCACCTGGAGGTACAACAACAGCAACAGTTCGAAGGATCCTTGGAATGATGCTGGAACATCCTGGAAATAACGCAATAGAATACCAAAAGAGCTCGTAGAGGCGGTATAGCTCCAAGCTTGATGCTGATTTAGGCAGGTGAATAAGATAACGGCACACTGCCAGCCGTCGCCTGGCCGGGCGAGCCATGATGGTGACGATATTGGTGGGGTGCCTGAGAGGTTGGTAATCGTCGCTCCCAAATATTGGACCGTTCACTCCGGGGCTGTTCACCCCGAAGCCGAGGTCCCGAAGGGTTAACAGACGTCATATAACTAGCAAGGCCGTATTTCGCACTGCATGTATCTAAGCGGTGTAGTTCGTTGACATCGCTGGAATAGCTGGGTAATATAGAGGGGCGATCCAGGTGGCTGGGCCTGCCTGGTCCTCCCACTTGCTCAATTCAATATCTCTTGTCAGCGGCCGAAGCCTAGATGGACACTCAGAATGGGAGGTTTTCATAGTGAAGACGAGTCAAGAAGGCAGGGGGAATCGCGATTTGTACATTATTGAGTGCGGAGTACTCGGCAGAGTGGTGGGACCTTGGTGTTGAGGCGGACGGCGGGATAGTTCCTGTGGGACACCGTAACGCCACGACGCCACATCCTGCGCCCCAAGTTGGGCGGACCAAGCCATCCCCGTTTAGGCTATATGTGTATCTCCAGAGTAATAGTAATCGGTGCGTTGTGCCAGCGTCACTCAACATGAAGCAAAACAAACCACCACGCCAGACAAAGGGGAGAGACGCGACATTGCTCCGACAGTCACCTAGGTAAGTCACTCGTTTACTAGTAACCAAGACATACAGCACAGCAAGCGGTCCCTCCTCCTAGTTTGCCGCATCGCTCCTCCAAAGTCAGCACATATGTACGCGGCCCATCACCACGCTCTTTCGCCGTCATGTCCGCCGTTTCGAGCCCACACCGCTTTCTCCCTCCCCTATCTCCGTATCTTAAAGCTCCGTCCCCCACCATGCCACCCATAGGCCGTCGAGGGCGCCCTACAGCCAGCTCCGAGGAGTCCCGTCTCCGCGACCTGTCACCCAGTGATACTCTCCGTGCCTTTACCGAGCAACCTATGCCATTCGATACCAGTCTCGAGGAATACAGCGTTTTCCGCTGTATTGATAGCTTAACACCTGCTGAGAAGAACCTGGGCGCAAGGGTTGCCAAAGCCGCACAGCGGTTACAGAGCTGGTGCCAGGAGATAGAGCAATGGCGCTGGACAGGAAGCTTTGAGCCTCCCAGCGAGGAGATTCTTGACAAGCGACGGAAGGAGATTGAAGATTGCGTACGGGAGCATGTCCAGGGCCCAATGGATGTTGATAGCATGGGGCGACTCGAATACCTTGGGTCATTGCTTGCTGTGGAAGTGGAAGCGCACGAAGCGCGTCTCGACGAGATCAGCGAGGAGCTGCAGACTCTGGAATATGATGACCTCAAGGAGCATCTCAGAGACATCTACGGGCCCAACAGGTCAAGACCGCCCTCTGCGGGGTATGGGGCAGGGCAATCCAGATATGTTCCTTTGGATGACTTCTCCATGTTGATTACGCAGACCCTGGTGGCTTCTCTTCCTCATTACGTCCAACTCCAAGAACGACTCAATACATGGACGGCACGGCTTACTATCCTTCGGGAAGTTCCTCGATACGTCAACGGCCTGCAGACCATTCAGAAAGCCATGGCATTAGGGTGGGACGCTCTACAGCCGCCCAAGGACACTTCCGATAGGGCTTTCGCCAAGTGGGAGGAAGCAGTAAATACAATCTACGGTGTGCTGCAGGACAAGATCAGCGACCTGGGCCGATGTCTCGACGGAATGCTCGACGCCTTGGAGGGGCGTGATGATTGCTTGCCAGACAAGTGGATTGATGATTTCGAGAGCGTCGAAGGCGATTTCAAGCGTTGGGTAGCTGAATCGCGCAAAAGATTGATAGAATTCGACTTGCTCAGGAAAACGGAGCAAGGTGTCCAGGTCTTGACCTTAAGGGGTGGGGCAGGTTCCGATACAGAGTCACCGCATCCGGCTCCGGTTGTACCAGCGGTCTCTCTTCAAACAGGCATCGACAGCGAGGACGGCTGCTCAACAGAAAATACACCACAAGCAACCAACATGGACTCTCGACCTAGAGCTGTCACTGCCATCAAAGTGGGCGACTTGCATTCATCCAGCAATCCGAACCCGTCGCCTACCGAGGCCGCCAAGGAGGATATGTCTCACGAGGCGGATACAGTAACTACTGACTCGGAATACGAAGAAGGCGACACGGTAGTACACCATGAAATCGAAGACGTTGAAGGTAGCTTCTGCGGCGATCCCGAACTCATCGACCCCCATGACTCCAAATCCCCGCTGGTCGTCACAGTTCAAGATAGTGATGATATTCACCATCTGATACATCGCCCCACCACTCCGCGCTCGCGACGCAATAGCAATGTCTCCGTTACTTCAGGCTTTTCCTTATCCTCCAGCCCACGCAGCCTGATTGAAGACTCCCCTTCAACTCGCGGAGCCAACAATCGACGCGCAAAAGCACCTCGACCCCAGTTGAACGCCGCAATTGGCAAACGTCGCCCACTGAAGATAATGGACGACTCCGCGCTCGACGACATACCTCCATGGCCTCCCACCCAATTCTCCCAGCAGATCTCTCCCAACGGCAGCACCGAAGAGCTCGACCGCAAAATCTCCGACATTCTGACCACGATCCCTGGCAACATCCGCCTTACTTCGCAATCCACCCGCGACGAAGCCAGATCCACCCGCGGAAAGCTCAGCAGTAAGCCTAGTAGAGGCTATCTCCGCTCCACGCGCTCAATGAACACCCTCAGGAACCCGCCGATTACGCTCTCCGCTGCCAAATCCTCGAACCCCGAAACGGGCGCCAATGGCTCCACAGGTCGAAGATCCGCGGCGTCGGTGCGACCAGACAATGACATCAAACTGTACCACCTCACGCATCCGGGGAAAGAAAAACCCCTGAAACTCTTCATCCGTCGCGTAGGGGAGAATGGCGAAAGAGTCATGGTCAGGGTTGGGGGCGGATGGGCTGATTTGGGAGAGTATCTGAGACAGTACATTGAGCATCATGGACGGCGGACGATTAGTGAGGGGCGTTTTGAGATCCATGGGCTTGAAGGAAAGAAGGTGCTTGATAAGGAGAACCAGGGAGAGAAGGCAGACACTACGCCTGGTAGGCCGCAGAGCGCTATGAGCTCCGTGAAAAGGGATCGACGCTTCAGCGGCGGCAGCACATCCACCACGACGCCGAAGCGCGTACCACTAGCTCCGCGCGCAGCGACGAGTCTATCAAATACACCCGGCAGCGCGGTTCTCCCCGAAGACGAGGTAACAGCGACGCCGTCGACGGATGCATCCCTTCGCTCGTGGCGGGGAGACGAAGTCGGGCTTGCGGGACCCAAGGCTAAGAAACTGGATCTCAGCGGCGAGAAGCTCGAATGGCTCGAGGGAATGATGAAGCAGGCGAGGAGTGTCAGTAGTGGGAATTTGCTGCCGCCGGGCGGGAAGCCGGAAGGAGTGGGCCGCGAGGGAGTGAGTAGTCGGTCGGAGAGTAGAAATGAGAATAGGAATGGTAGACCGAGGACGGCAGGCGCGGGTGCGGCAGGACCGACGGCGCCGGCGTTTGCGGATCTGGGCAAGGTGGGGAGGACGAAGAGGGTGTTCTTGAGGAGTGGTGCCGGGATGGGTTGAAAAAATGGGAGGTGTTGTTCAGCGTTCCCGGGTTGCGGATCTGTTTTCAAAAAAGTTGAGGTGGATCTGGGGTTGTGATTTGAGGCTTTGGAAATGATGGCTTGTAATGACCTTCTGATATTGATACCCCATGATAGAACTTCATTTTCTTTCTTCTCCTTGGATTTCCTTCCCTCTTTTCCCCCTTGCTTTCGAGGGCTGAAGTGAGAACCCTTGCGTTTCCAAACACCCGTTTGTTTCCTTCCTCAGCTAGAAGAAAAGCAAAAAGGACGAGAAAACGAGGCACCATGGGGAATCGAACCTGAGGGCAAAAAAGTACCAAACCCCACTTGAATAGACCGACTGCATTAGAAGAAGCGCATCTTTTGATTCCGACGCAGGACCCTAACCGCCTAGACTATCGCATGGTGTTCAGTGATAGTAGTAGCAAAGTAAGAATATTATATAGTAGAATACCGTGTCTACACATACTACAAGGGTAGTGTGGCGAAGGTGTGGCGGGTATAGGGTTGGAGAAGATAGGCTCCTGTACACGTGGATGGAGCCAGTGGCATTGGTCGTGGGTGCAGAGAGGATCGGGTAGGTGAAAGAATGTGAAGCTAGCCGAAAGACCTAGCTTCTTCGAAATATTTCACCGCATAGAGAGTGGAGGTTCTAGAACCTTTCTAAACGCTAAGATTGGCGAATCTAAGTAGAGTACTTAGTAGAGCTTGATTTAAAGTCTCTAAGCTCTTGTTACTGTATTTAGCTAGGATCGTGTATATAGAGAGTTTCCTCTCCCTTAATATATGGGCAACGGGGCGATTGTTCCACTGCGAGCTCTCATCGATCGTTCGATATATAGAGTCTGTCTACTTATGGTGTATAGTTACTCAATCAACAAGTTGGAGTATTTCTGCATGGGAGATGCCACAGTTACCGTGCTTTTCTACGTTTGTTGCTTCCAACGACTTCACTTCTCTACTTCCTTGATGGAATCTCAAAAGTCATATGAGCAGGAGCAAACCGTACATCCATGTGCTGCTTTCCCCGGACGATTCTAAGGCTGGAAGATGTTATTCATCATCACAATGCTGAGTCGGAAGGCTTCGTCAGGCCAATATGTAGAACTAGGCGCTTATGCCGTTGTCAAGACAAATATTGTTGCAACTAGCGACGTTAGAATCGGTGAAGCCTAGATACAAAATCATGGAGCCATCACTTCCTTGTTCGGACTATGACAATATAAGGCCTATGAGGTCAACACAACAATGAGAGCACTCTGGCTAGTGGCTAATATTCAGACCGAAGCAGTGCTTATCTGAAAAGCTACATTTCTCTGTTACGTAGATGTACCGGTAGAAAAAGAAAATCTTCCTAGCATAGTCTGCAATTACCGTTGTCCGTGATTATAGCGCCTTCGTGATCTCAATGCTCTTTAACCTCTACGCTTTGTGGACTCGATTCAGTATAGAGCTTTCCAGTCTCTCCCTCTATATACATGTCGGCATAATCGAAAGGGAGCATAGTTCGGAAACTTTCCGGACCCTTCCTGCGAAGCACCTTGCATGCATAATTGTTGCACATAGGCAAGGGTAAAGCACTAGAGAGCCTAGATTAGCTACAGGAGGAATTAGAGGGGTTGGAGAATCTAGAGTAGAAGCATCAGTCTGTCACCAGTGTGATGATCAATTCCGAAGGATGAACGAGTATGACGGGATGAATACATCTCCCTTCAATGATAACACTTGCCACCTCACGCCAAACCTTTGCGCCTGGAACACGAAACGGGAAAGCAAAAGTCATCCCAAATAGTCGACCTCCTCTTCATAGAAAGGAACTGACCTTGCCACCAGCAGTGCACATTTCGGGTCCACCTTATAGAAGCCCAAGCTTTAATAAAGGCGTGGGCGGCACCGTGCTCGAACCCGATCCCGGTCCTCAGCTTCGAATGTCGAACAACGGGCGGTATGCCGCTTCCGCGCGAGACATTCCGGGTACCCTACCTAGGCAAACCGTTAACCGTACCGGTAGATGGACCCGATGTTGGCCCGCTGGGACTGCGCAAATAACATGGGCCGGGTGCGGAATAGGTACCTTGCATGTCGACACCCCGGTCCCTATAAACGTGGTCCTGGGACGTGAGCGTGTTGGGACCCCGAATGGCTGGGCAACAGGTAGCGTACGGAATACCTCACGAATTGACAACGAGTCAGAGGCGGGAAGTTGCATGTTCATTGTTTTGTTGGGAGTTGTTGGTTTGCCCTCGTGAGAAGGGACTGCCAGATTCCCATTTCCGTGGACTGATACTTGCATGGCATTATGTGCAGTAGGACCGTCTGCAGGACAAAGTGGAGCAACCGACACGGACCTTGAAAAGGGGATAAGATAACCTGGATGGTTGAATACCAGGGAAGATCTGGCCAAGTATCAGGGGCGCAGACTTGCAATCTCGGAAGATCAGGTTGCTGGGGAACACGATTAAGGAAGTGGTGGGGCGAAAGTGAACTTTTGTGAACATCTTTTCCAGCTTGCGTAACTATACCCTATGAGCATAAGCATGGCTCATAGTGTATGTGTCAGAAACAAGTACTAACTGAATATCTGGGGAGCTTGACCAGGTAGGACTCAGAAGCATGAGCAAAGCCGTTCCTGTGCCACAGTTAGTCCTCTAAAATGAATTTAGAATGACTCAAGGCCATATTCGGGAACGCAAGTATGGATGCTTTATCCCAATCCAAGCACTGTATCCCCTAGCAATAGATACAGATAACAAGTGAGTCCAAAGGGCAACTGGCACGGTGTCCGCGTGCATGTTGGTGGTCAGACACACTATTGATTGCGAATGGAGAAGGCATGAATGGAACGGAAGACCGTGCAAGGAGACGCGAAAGGGGCCGTTACGGGACAACCCTGACCCTGGTTGCACAGGTTGGCTGCCGAATATGGAGACGTTATGTCGTTAAGAACATGGCCCGCAGCGAAGGCCGCCGTTGACTACTGATATGCGAACCCTGCCTGAAAGGATAGGCAGAAAGGAGGAACGGTGTTAGGATGGAGGCATATACTTTCCGCTCACTAGACTACCGACATACCGGTATGTTGGCTCCGCCCAACAGCCCGCATCAGTCTCCAATGTGACACCAGAGTTCCGGAGGGGGTTGGTTAATCGCACGAACCTAAGAATAGGCCCGTCTTGCCCTAACACCCCACGCAGCATGTCCTGTAACCCCAATACTGTGGCTGTGGTGTAGGCCGCTATGGTCTCTTCGTCATACCATCCGTATGTACATATCATGGTCGTGAACGCTAAATCGAGTGAGATTTTCGTAAGAGCTACTGGATGGGTGCCAGATTAGGCCGTATTGAGTGGAGGGTGACACAAATGAATGGGATCAGGCCCAACGGGGTAGGTGGGTTTAAACCACGGATGCTTTTGATATGTGAAGCCCCCATTCCCCCCTACGATGATGACGGTGTCATAGATTGCATGACCTATCGCCTGTCATTTCACTGAACAATCTGTATGCAGGGAGTAGAGATTGCATCACTCTCTGCATAAGTGCCCCCTCCCGAGCAGATCGGATCGGTCGAAGCATGTGGGGATTGCGAATGTACTTCGAACTTAGGCATTTGCTTGGAGAGTGGGCCTACGCCGTCTAGAAAGTCGATACAGCATCGACTCATTGATCTTACCATGCCACGGAGCGGTAAGGTACTGTTAGGAACTGATGACGAATGCGCTGAAACATGCAGAAGGTGGCGTTCCAGAGAAAGGGATCCAGGGTGAGCCATGTTCAGGGTCCCTTGGAATAGTGGAACACTTTGTTCATGAATGTAGTGGAACACGGGAACCATAGGCATGCCCGGGCATCCGAGAAACAATAAAACACAAGCCGAGATGATCCGTGAAACGCATGCCACGCGGTGTTGGTCTGGCGTAAGCCTATAAGCCTGGAAAAGGTAAGATGGACAATGGTGATATGAAGCCTGGATGAGAGAATATGTCATGCGAGATATCCAACTGAGACATCTGTCCAAAATGCCAGAGTTCATGCAACACGATGCACGCCTGATTCCAGTTTCACCACCATGAACGGTGGGGAGGTTGATAGGCATAAGACGTCGGGCAGCGTCCAGATGATAGTGGTGGATCCAGATTGGAGTGAGAACGATCGATCGCCCGAAAGCCTTCCCGCTCCAGTACTGGGTTCCTAAATGCTTGTGTTTTTTAGCACCAAGCGATAGAGGAAAACGTCTGATGAAACATTGATGAAAGCTTATCTTCATCAGATATGGACACTAGTGGCGCAAACACGGCGTTCGAGGTAAGCGTCAGGTGCGGCTTGAGCATGATCCATGTGTACGTTTTCCAGTGAGCACGGGTTCCGACTTTTTAAAAGGCCAAACCGTGATAACAAGAAAGGTTGCACCGGCAGCGGAGCCTAGATTAGGATCGCATACTTATTGTGTACTGGGACTGAGGGTTCAGGACTTCATGCCAACGGTTGGCGATCTTCACACTCCGTGCACAGTGCACAGGCGTGGCCTGGTTGGCACGAGTTGCGAAAGCTTGCTCGACAACCAGAAGAGGACGACGAACGGGTTCACAACGATATGAGTATGACACGAGAAATAACGTCCGGCATGAAATGCATGGACAGAGCAATAAAGGGGAGGAAACTGAAGCTCTCACCTCCACGAATCCCCGCCAATGATCACGGCCCGGCACAGCGCACAAGCCCTTCCGCCACTGTTCCGATTCCTGCAGGCCCGGGCAGCGTCAGTGTCACTCACATCAGCCTCAGCAAAACAAAATAACGCCAAGTTTTATGTGGCGGGCGGGGAGAGAAGCTGTGTCCTAAAACTGACCGCTGTTCAGGACTTCAGAAGTCGGTTGACCACCAGTTTGCAACTCGGAATCCGCTAGGCTATGGTACATGATGAGTATCCGAATAAACGCTACTGTGAACGAAGCCCGGAGTGCAGCGGGGCACAGCAAGGAACAATGGGACAGGTTCTATGTGAGTGTACGAGTCTGTAGGGCCTGTGAACTGAATAGACTGACCCAAGAAGTTTATTACCAAGGAGGAAGCCAGGAAAATGGCAGAAGCTCACCCGGAATGGAACCGATGGATCCTGATACCCGCCAACGAGAAGGACAGTATGCTGGCTCGAATCAACGTACGGTTGATGTCCGAGGGCATCCCTCCGGTTGAGATGATTATTTTGAAGTGGAGAGTCTCACAATTGCTGCGGGATATCCAGAGAAAATACAGTATGTAAAGAACGCTCGTCTTTATCTCATTTACCCTGGCGAGTTAGCAAACGCACCTCCATGCAAAGAGCGCTAATTATATTGACTTAGCCGAAGGTAGCATTGGCGGCCTGTTGATGGGAGCAGGAGGTCCACCACATTCGCCAACGCATACCCCGACGCATCCAGAAGCGGGCCGCAGCATGCAGCAGTCGACGCAGAATCAACGATCTGGATATTCACCGAGCGACACACGGCCGTACGACCCAATCAGGGATGTGTAGCCCGAACGATGAAAAGAGAGCCTTCTGGGCCGAGGTGTCATAGAAGGATAGCATCGATTGCGACAACATGGACTTCCCACTCTGTATTCAACAATCAAGTCGCTGAATTTGGAGGCCGGAAGTCGTACACCCAGTACGCTAATCGTATATTGCGGAAGTAGGCGATTCCATCATCGCCTCGGTCGCTTCTGTAATATGGGCGACAGAGACGATCAGCATCCGTCGAAGGAACGAAAGTTTCTGCTCGTAGATGGTGCCTAGATATACGGTCACACTCCACCTTCTGCGATGACTGATAAAGACATCAGTTTGATTCCACAGTCCACCAAAGGTTACACTGGCGCATTATGCCGAACAGCTTACGAGATCGAAGTTCGCCACATGGGGTACGAATCTTCCTAAGGATACAGCTGGCTTGGCGGTGTAACTGCACATTGTGCCCATGGTAGTGGTGGGACGCTGGGAATCCTTGGGAGCGGAAGTTATTGTCGTACTCCACACTTGATGATAAGTCAGGTCTCCGCTTCGCGTCCTGTGCAGTTTGTACGCCGCCTTTTCGGTGGGGAGGCAACTTCAAAAAGGAGGATATCTGGTGCCGGATTGAAGATTGTCAGCAAAGCGGATAAGGAAGAAGCATGTTGACGTTACATGCAGTGAAAGATTGTCGGCGGCAGGAGGGCTTTTCAACGTGCATCCCAACCTCTCCTCTCCTCCGCAACTCGGTCGATATAGATTACCATATCACGTCGGGAGGACAGGGGGACGGGAATCAAGGATGGCCAGAGGAAGATTACCCTTTCGGGACTGAGTGTTGAAGAATGGATAGTGTAAGAGCGAGGATGCCCGGGTGGACGTCTGTTTAAGGTGCAAGCTAGTCCATTAGCTCCTGCCCTATCTTCAACCGTTGATCCCAGTTCTGAAGGGCATCGATGCGCCACAGTAATATGCATGTGTAACCACATACATCAAGTCATGCTTTTCAGGGCTTCAAGACAAAGAGCAGACATGATGCTTTCAGCCGATAGCACCTCTTGATATATGAATTGGATTCTGCATCTCAAGGCGACCATCGATAAAGGTTTTACGATCACCTGCTCTCTATATAGCTTAGCTTGAGTCGTGCTAACAAAACCGCCGGCACCTAGATGCAAGTGCTTAGCCATGGACCTCTCCTCCGTTCAGGTCGACTCTCTTATGACACTTAATGTGTAATCACTTCTGTCCAAATGCGCCCTGAACTGTCCTGGTATAGTGGAGGCACGCTTGTCCTGCCTCGTACGTCTCCACCACGTAGATGGAAACCCCCCATCTATCTTTTCTGGCGGTAACTATGCAAACATGGTGGGCTGGGGACGGAACAAGGCGTCTGTTCACCCCTGCATCCCTTGGTTCGGCTCCATCCCAGCCCGTTTCAACGCCTTCGCTATCCGCGCATCTGACAATGCCTTTTTCGCCTTCTGCTCAGCCACGAGAGCTCGTACAACTTCCGCAGGAACAAATCTGAGGCCTACAGGATCGTCCTCCCGGTCAAGGTCTACCGTGGCGCATATCGTCACGTTCTCGCCGCGTATTGTCATGACGCCAGGACATTCAACGTCGCACGCAAGCCATTTTGGGACAGTGGGGTCAGCTTCAGCGTCGGGGTTTCGAGCAGCGATCCGTTCGAAGCACTCGGTGAGCACCAGATTCGCTAGATTTGGTCAACATGGCGAGGCGATTGTCCGCGAGGGTGACTGTACCGAACTGATCGTATGAACGCAGGATACCAATATACTCCTTCTCATCGCGCAGTAGCACGTCCACTTTCTCTGCAGAATGTCAACCGTAGCCGCAAACGCGCACCTGCAGCTGTGGGTACATACTGTCCACCATATCCAGGAGCATCGAAGAGGTCAGGAAGGCTTGAGGGGGAAGATCGCCGGGTAGTACAGTCGACGGAGGGGGAGGCCTTCCAAGCGTATTGGGAGCGAACGGTGCAGAGCCCGGTCCTTGGAGTGGGCCGAAGCCTGGTGCTTGCGCATTCTGAATGGCGCCGGCTGCGATGCTCGTTAGAATGGAAGTGGCTAACTGGGCCAATTGAGAAGGGCACGTACGAAGGCCTTGAGACTGTGGCACTGGATATCCTTGTTCCTGAGCAGACCGCTGCAACATGGCGTTGAAGTTCATGGGTACGTTTTGTGCAGGACCCGCGGGGCCGCCGAGGGTTTGGTGGTGCGGAAAGGACATCGATGTCTTTTGCCCGAGAGCTGCTTCGAAACTGCTTTGGTGGAGTTTCAACTACGTCGCCGGGGAGGCATCGAGAATTGCGCTAGATGAGGCGGGACTGAGTGTTATGTTAGCCGTGTTCCCGCCAGCTTCCAGAAGCTCGATGCGATCGCGTTGATTCTTCTGGAGTGGGAAGCTCGGTGGCTTGATTTCTTGGCATAAATCTGATGCGCCACACTTAGATGCGACGACATCTTCCAGCTCACCATGTCTCTCTTCCTCAATTCTCACATCATGTCCTTAAGAGGACTCCAAATCGTTCGGGATTCCGCTTGCCCCAAGTGGCCCTCGGCCGAGTCCTGCGAGCGGCTGTTTACTCTAAAAGGTGCTGACCTTTCCACCTAAAGTTGTCCGGTCGTAAGCTCTTATAGCTCTCCGCACCAATAACGGAGGTGTCTGATACTTTGTCTCGGAGATAGTGGGCAATGGAGCTGGGATAGGGGCGCATAGAAGTATATATAGAGACGGTATTCGGTATAACGGAGCTGCCGTGTCCTGCAATACTGTCTTCTCTTCAGCATACGTGCTCCCCTTCTCAGAACCCTGTTATCCGCTTCCCTACTTCGCTATGGCGATGTTCATCACGATGCTGAAACACAAATGGATGTACTCTTTCAAGGATCCCACCGAGTCCTTCGAAGGTCGAAATGTCATTGTCACAGGAGCCACCAACGGCGTCGGCCTGGAAGCCGCTGTCAAGTTTGTCAACCTAGGTGCTTCCAAGGTCGTCATAGCCGCACGAGATGTCGGCAGGGGCGAAAGGGTGAAAAGTGATATAGAAGCTCGAACAGGCAAAAAAGGACAGCTGGAAGTTTGGGAATTGGACATGGACTCATATGAGAGTGTCGTCGCGTTTGCCGAACGAGCCAAAACACTGGACCATCTCGACATCGTCTTACTGAATGCCGGCGTACGCCGAAACCCCTTCGTTCAGTCGAAGCATGGCTGGGAGAATGATCTGCAAGTCAATACTCTTTCAACTGCTCTCCTCGCCATACTACTCCTGCCGAAGCTGAAGGAATCGAAGCAACACACCGGGAAGACTCCGGTTCTCGAATTCACAAACTCCGGCCTCCACCAGTTTGCGAAAATTGCGCCTGACGCGCTTCAGAGCCCCAATATCATTCAAGCGTACAACACAAAGGAACGATTCACGGCAGACAGCCAATACAGAGTCTCAAAGCTGTTCGTCATGTACGTTGCCAATAAGCTTGCCGAAGAAACACCTTCCTCGGATGTCATCGTAGTGTCGGTATGTCCGGGCGTGGTCAAGACTGGCCTGGCCCGGGATATCAAGTTTCCCGGTTCCAAGGCCGCGATAGCCGTAATCGGCTCTATGGTGATGAAATCCGCAGAGGAGGGAGCAAGGACCTTGGTCAGTGGAACTACACTAGGCGAGAAGGCACACGGGAGGTTTTGGAAGCTGGACGAAATCCAGCCAGTGGCAGCTACAATCGCAGGGGAGGAGAACAAGAGGATTGCGGAGCGAGTTTGGAATGAGATTGTCGAGGCATTGGAGAAGGATGTGCCGAGCGTGAAGGATACGCTCAAGATGATCGTGAAGGGCTCAAACAGTTAGTGTCGTGTCGCCATATTTACTTGAGAGATACCAACCGCAATCCCACCAAACTTTTCATACTCGTTACAAAGCCCCATTGTGTACATAAGTACAAGTGCACACTGTTTAATACTCTGTAAACATACCAACTGCTGTATGGTCCGTGCGCAAATGACGTCTGATCGGGTCCGAACGTCCAAGCCCAGGTTACCAGTAGGCGACCCCGAAGACAGGAGAATTGGGCCAATCTAATACGCCTCACACTACAACGAAAGAAGCGTCTTGAAGGTCGAGGCTGGATGCCCGTGCCTCGTTTCCGTCCGAAGGCTCGATCTCACGGCACCTCCTCCCTCCTCCGCTACCTCTTCCCGCACACCAGGCAGCGGGCACGCGCGCACCTCTACAAGTTCCGTCACGAGAAACTCCCCTCGCTCAAACATCGCGCACAATCGAGAATATACAAGTACATTCTTAACAGGCAAGCACAGAAGCTCAAGGGGAAGCAAGGTATCCTACAGCGACTTCGTGGACACACCAGGAGACTGCTAGGCTCTAATTACCTCGAAAATGAGGCATATCGGCGACGTCGGCAGTTGACCAGCACGGAAGGACAGAAGAAATCAGATAAGAGCACGATGAGTTACCAGGAAAGCTACACAGCGCGCGAACCTGGCGCTCGGAGGCGCAAGTTGGCAGGATATCTGAAAGCCGCCAATGACCTGAGGCAGACGTACCAGCAGCAGTATGCGCCGGGATGGAGCAAGGGGGGAGCTTCGTATGATTTCCATGCTGATACCCAAGATCCAACGGAGACATCTATTATTAGGAATGGGGACGAAGAGATGATACTGTTCCCGAGCTATGCTAGAAAACATATTAGGAGAAAGGTGAGTGGGATCAAGCTCTAGACGTTGGTCTTTTCTAACAATGCGCAGCCCGAGGCGGAACCCGGAACGATACAACAAGTCCCAGGGGAGGGTCGCGATGCAAGAGACACAACCGGCGCAGGAGACGCAGAGTTTTGGAGACAGCGTTGGGACGAGTACGAGGACGATAATGCCATAGTAGATGTGGACGTTCGAGGCTGGGTATACTCGCCGCACAAAGGACAAATGTCACGGAAGCAAAGACTATTCATTAGTCTGGCACGTCAACTGGTTGGGATACAAGCGCCTCCAGCTGGAAGTTTGCCTGCGAGCTCATCGCCAAGCCCAGTCAGCAGCAGAGACCCAAGCCCCAGGCAAGGAGCTTCTGGGGAGTGGCGACATCCGCGTCGAGCGGACAGGTATGAGATTCTCACAGCCAAGGAAGCGGAAAGAATCTACAGAAGGGGAGAAAGAGAGGCCGAGAGGGCCGCCCAAGGTGCTTATAGCGAGACACCTGGTACGGGCTCTGACGGTACCTCTGTGCACCGTACGCACAGCAGTGCTAGTCTTCGTACAGAGCACTCGGATATGGCGACACCGATGAGGAAGAAGGCGTCTTGGAATCAACCTGCAGACATGAGCCCCGCTGAACTCGCCGAGGCAAATGCCCGTCTCATGGCTCGACTTCGACATTTCTTAGCTATACCAATGGCAAACTCTCCCATCAGCATATTCTTCTATAACGACAAGGTCTCGAAGCAACGGACAGTATACACGAATCCTTCAGGGCACTTCGGCATCTGCGCCGCGCTGGACTTTATACCGACGCATGTGCGCGTTCTCGCTTCCGACAAGCTCTCTGCGACAGAGGAGATCCTTGTAACCGAGTCTCATGGTGTGAGTGTGATCAGCGATATTGACGACACCATCAAGCATTCGGCAATCAGCAGTGGTGCCAGAGAGATCTTTCGCAACGCATTCATTCGGGACCTTGGCGATCTCACCATCCAGGGAGTCAAGGAGTGGTACAACAGGATGGCAGCACTGGGGGTGAAGTTTCACTACGTCTCCAACTCCCCATGGCAATTGTTCCCAGTCCTCTCGAAGTATTTCAGAATGGCAGGGCTTCCTCCAGGATCTTTTCACCTAAAACAATACAGTGGGATGCTTCAGGGCATTTTCGAACCCGTTGCTGAGCGCAAGAAGGGAACGTTGGACAAGATCGCACGAGATTTCCCTGAAAGACGTTTCATTCTTATTGGCGACAGCGGGGAAGCAGACTTAGAAGTTTACACGGACTTCGTGTTGGAGAATCCCGGGCGAGTCATTGCGGTTTTCATTCGCGATATAACGACTGCGGAAGAAACGGGCTTTTTCGATCCCTCTGTCGGCCCTACAGGATATGTCTCGTCATCCGCGCCCGCCAAAGAGAGTTCAGGTAATTCTAGCGGACTTACTTCCGCGGCAAGTCATCTGGAAGACGACGATCCGCAGTTACAGGCGGCTATACAGGCCTCGCTCCGTGACATGGAGGAGGTCAACTTGAGGCGGTCGACGCTCAAGTTTCCCTCAAATGAGGACGATCATCCGCAGTTGAGGCCAAAACTACCTCCAAGAACAACCTCGGAGGATAAGAGTTCCCTAGCAGTGGGAAACCTAATAGACTTGTCGCCAGGGGAGGAACCGGCCAACGTGCAAGAGAAAGGCCGACGCGCCGTTAGCGATACTTTGGTAGAACTAGAGAGTCGGGGTCCCAAAGCATCACCTAAAGAAGCACCTCCGCCTCCAAAGAAACCTTTGTCTCTTCGTAGTGGATCTGGCGACTCTGCATCGCCTCCTTTACCTTCATCATCGTCGGCTTGCAGAGCCCCTCCGCCACCCAAACCTCGCCGGCCTTCAACAGCAGTACACCAACCTAGCCCTCTAGCTCAACGGCCCTCTACGCAAGCCTCCAACCCGAATTCGACCGCTTCATCCGCCACGCCTACCCAACCCACCTACACCAGCAAAGCCCTCAGTGGGCTCACCACAGTATACAACAACCTACCGGCAATCCGCAGCACTAATGCTCCCACACAAGAAAACCAAAACTCCGCCGCTTCAAGTCTACAAGTCGATCCCCCCACCAAAAAACCAGCACCCCCTCCTCCGCCCCCAAGAAGAGGTGTAACCGCATACCCGGCAGCGGCCGCTTCCTTCGTCGGTACCAAAGCCGCCAGTGCATGGCAGAATGCACCCACCATCCCGCATCCTCTATCTCGCTCTACCCTGTATCCTTCCTCTACACAACATGCCAGCACTTTCTCCACAACTGCATCGGGGCAACAACGCAGTGATGGAGATGGTCCAGGTAGCGCTGGATTCGGAAGCGGAAATGGCAATATAGGAACGGATTATGCGGCCTATGCGCAGGCCGGAATGAGTAAAAGGGAGATTATGTGGAGGCACAGGTGGGCGAGGGCTGAGCAGGTGATGGGTGAGAAGGGAGTGAAGCTGCGGAGTTGGAGGGTGGGGAGTGACGTTGTAGATGAGGCGGAGAGGTTGATTAAGGAGGCAGCGAAAAGCGACAGTGAGACAGGGGAGCGGGTTGACAAGGGACGTGAGGACACTGGCGATGGTGCCGGGTCCCGGAATGAAACGAGGAATGGGAATAAGGAAACATAGTCTGGGGCCCAATAGTCGTGTGTTGGATGTTTGGCAGCCGTTTCAAGACATGTGAAAGCGGGCAGTGTTCTGTCCGGAAAACACTTTTGTCCAGAAGTTGCAGAATGTTAGGTGTACGGAGTAGGCAGCAAACCTTTCCCTTGATTATGCATCTGCCAAGTCTAAAATATTACATGGAAATCGGCTGACGCGTTAGTAACCTTTCGAGTTTAGCTCCTCTGTCAGCTCCCTCGCGCCTACTACTCTTCAACCACAATTGCGCAAAACTGTTTTGCTGTTTCTCGATCCTCCTGAGTGAACCTGGCTGGTTTGGACCCAATCAGGAGTTTGTTCTACGAGCAATTCCGTCGCACACGGGAACTATTTATCACCATTTGAAAACTTATCGAACGCAACTCTGAGGTGGATAATCTAAAGCCTGGACCTCGATAAATATCAAAACAACTGACAGCAGACAGAAGAGAACTCAGTATATTTCGGGATCATGACTGACGAACGCAGTTCTCTCCGATATGCCAGTAAGTCAATAAATGAATCACCATAACTCTCCTTTGCTAACGAGGGACGTAGGTCCAAATGAGCAGCGAACCATCAGCAGAGAAGATCTGGGTTTCTACCATGCCGTCATAATAGGAGTTGCATACGAGATTCCGAGCAGCATTGATGTCCATTCGCCCAGGTCCTTCTATTCTCCGCTGAAGAGTTGTATTGGCAAACACCCTTGCTTATCCGTTGTGGTAGAGGACGCGGATAAAGACAAATCCAGCTACCATCATGTGCCTCGCATCAATCTGGAAGAGCATATTGTCATTTTGGACGGTAAAGCCGCCTCAGAACCTTTGAAAGAGATAGAGCAAGCTCTCGCAGCAAACCTCGACACACCATTCCCCCCTAAAATCCCGCCTTGGAAGATCGCGGTCCTCCCTTTACCAAAAGGCTGCCTCATTGCCTTCTGCTTCTCCCACACTATCGGCGACGGCATAACTGGCGTCGCCTTCCACCGCACATTGCTCCGCGCTTGGAGAAGAACTCCTTCAGACAATGCCACCCCATCTACAATCCAAGTTCCGCATCGATCACTACCACCCGCCTTCGACACGCCAGCCAACCTCCCAATCTCCTGGTCCTACCTTCTCGCCCCCCTCATCTCCCTCTTCATCCCCTCCTTCCTCGCCAAAGCCCTCGGTCTCCGCCCCTCCGCCTCCGCAATCAGCGCAGGAACATGGACAGGCGCCCACATCCCCGACTCCCCAACTCCACCCCCAAGCAAAATCCTCCTGCGAAGAGTCGACGCACCGATCCTAACCTCCGCCCTCCACGCCGCAAGGAAGCACAACGTCAAACTCACCGGCCTATTCCTGCACCTCGCCGCCCGCGCCCTCAGCTCCGTCCTCCCCGCCGACCCCAACATCACCGACTTTGTATCGCAGACTGCGATAAACATGCGCAAGGAGGTGGGCATATCGAATGAGCAGGGCGGAAACTTTGCTTCGGGGTGCTACATTGTGCACGCGCGCCAGCCATCTCCCTCATCCACCTCCTCACCCTTCACGGAAGACGACTGGCTAGCCGCCCAATCCGCCACGCAAAACCTCGCCCTAGCAGCATCGACACTGCAAGACCAACCCATCGGTCTCCTGCGCTACCTATCCAGTATGCGCAAATGGATGCTCGGGAAATTGGGTCAGCGACGCGACTGCTCGTTCGAAGTGAGTAACGTCGGGGTCTTCCCCGGCATCTCCGACACCGACGGCGAGCAATCAGATGGTGGAGATTTCAGGATCGCGGAAATGGTGTTCGCGCAGCCGGGACAGGCGCTGGGTGCGCCGTTGGCTTTCAATCTCGCCAGCGTGAAGGATGGGGCGCTGGTTTATAGTGTTACGTGGAGGGCAGGGGCGTTGGAGGTTGGGAAAGGGGAGGAGGAGGGGGAGTTTGTGCGGAGGGTGTGTGAGGGCATTGAAAGGGGGTTGGCGGGGCTGGAGTGATTGAGGCATCTGAAAGCATTTCTTTCATTCTACGAGAAAAAAGGGGTTTGAAGAGTCGTGGTGGTTTGAAGAGGCAATACGAGCCTTTCCGTTCTACTGGGATCAAAGGTTCTAGCTCTAGTATGGTAGAGCTAGGTTATAATGTTAATAAAGTATGAATCAAAGCAGTCAGCGGATTAGACATTCATGGCCCAATCGAACACCTTGCGCGTGGCGCGTGCTGACATCCTCCATATTTTTGTGAGCTTTCAAGATGGGAGATAGGCTTCTCACACTGAGTCTCATTAGCTCAGTTCCTACCATCATATTCACTTAGACAGTCAGAAGAGAAAGAAGGACCCAGAAATCCAATTCTGTATCTCACTCAAGTTACATAAGTGATCAAACAATGTCTCCAAGTACAAAATCAAAGTCCAGTTTAGAAACGTGAAGTGCCGTACCACCTTTTCCAACACCGAGAAACGAAAGCCAGAAGCAACCACCGGGACCACTCGCCTGCGAAAAGCTCACCAACCATCAAGATCCCACAAGCCAGCCGCCTTCACCCAAACAACCCTCAGCCAATCCCCAGTCCGTCACTTCCTCCAAAACGGCAGCATCCGCCTCAGCTCCCAGGAACTACAGCTCCCCTTCATACCCCCCTACTTCCTCCTCGCAAGCTATAAGCTAATGAGCCTTTACTCATCCTCAGAGAAGTGACTGTATTCTTCTTCCTCGGGAGGAGTGTCGAATCGGGGGTCGAACAAGTCGCATTCGCTAGAGGAGGACGAACGGACGTCGTCCATGTCGCAGGTAGAACTCTGTAGCGTGGCAGCGTCCACCATTTCGCAGTCTTCAACTTGCCGGTCATCAATGGGACCTGTCGCATCCTCAAAACTGCATTGACCGGAGGCGGCGTCCAACACCGGAGAGGCTGGTAGGAGTTGACATTGCGCGTCTACGGGGTGTGAACTCTCAGTAGAGCTGGTTCCATTCTCCAAATTCCAGTAGCCAAAGTCTCCCGCGCTGGAGGAGCTATTTGCTAGATGGTGTTCCGGGTGTGCATGCTGCCAACCTCCCCCTTCAAGAAGCTCCTCGTTTGTGACTTCCATCGGAAAATCGACACATGCATGCTGGGATTCGTCCGAGGATGTTGAAGGTGCTGGGAGAGGAGAAGCCGGCTCCCACGTTCTTCGCTGGTCCGTGACTTTCTCGTCCTCGCCGTCCTGCGCCAGATTGCCGATATATAGAGGGTCTTCCGGAGTCGGCGGGCGCACTTGAAACGGAATGAAATGCTGGCACGCCTTCGAATCGTTCCCAATCCCATTGACTCCCAGAGTAGCCAACAAAGCATCCACACCCATATCACCCGCCGGATCCTCCACCCTCCAGAAAGCCGGATTCCCGGGATCCTCAGCATAAGCCTTGTGCAAACTGGTAAAGGCGAATCTCGTCGTGCACATATTGATATCGACGACCCAAACATGATCGCCGATGAACTCTATGACGGCCTCGGGCTCCGTTCTGATTAGGTTCGATAGCGTCTCCAACTGCCACTTCTGTGAATGTTTGTTCCATTTCCTCCAGACGACTTCCTGGAAGAAGAAGGGGAACGTGTCGTCGGCCTCGACGTACTCGAATGTGATCATGGAGCCGTCGCTGGTGGTGCCGACGACGAGGCGGAACGGGTGGTCCAGGACTTTGCAGACGGGAGGAGCCGTATTGGGTGTCAAGCACGCCGTGTCATCGGTGATGGATAGTGGGCTGGTATTCATTGTAGGGGATTGTATGTGAGACTATACACGCGGAGAAGTGAAAGTACGTTAAATAATATATGTTGTTGAATAGTGGTGATGGGAGTGTTGATGTTGTGAGCAGGAACGGAAGGCTGCCTTGCGGGGTCAATAAAGATGCCGATGTGTGGAAGGGACTGTCAATAGTTAATGCTCACAAGCAGCTTTGAGTCTTGTAGTGGAAATAACCATGCATTGGACGGAAGTGGCCAGGTCTGTCAGTGCAGGTGCGAGTGGGCAGACAACCAGGCTTAATTCGTTTCAACATACGTCTGTCTGCACGTCACTTAGACCCAACCTGCTAAGGAGATTTATACTGCATCCTATCCCGACCAGCCGTCTGTACGCTTCCCCTGAAGCCCCTTTCAGAAAGAATAATGTCATGTTTCCAATACATGCTTATAGCCGGTACCGAGACGCAAATGCTAGAGCGAGAGTGTGGTATAGAGAAATAATGCGATATACAGCAGTTAACTTTCACCAATTCTCATCTATGAGATAGTTCTACAAAACAATAGCCCCCTTCTACTTTCATACCTGATACATGTACTTCTTGAAATCGATACTGCCCGCCATTTCCAACCCACCACGGCTCGACACAGGCACCCAACGTAAGTACTCCACTTCAGCACCGCCTCAATTCGCACCTCCTCTTCCACCAACCCGCTTCATCGCCTCCTTTACATCCTCATTTATATCCAACGTCGGCAACTCTCTCTCCCCTTTGCCCTCGGGTGCCGGCATGAAACCCAAGGCGATTAAGTATGACAGATACACGCCAACCGTGTCCTCCGTGACCGCGCCTCCGGCACTCCAATCCTGGCCCGTCCACTGCGTATCCTGCTTTAGCGCCTCGGCTGCGTTCCTGTCGTCCAGTTCAGGGGCCTTGGTGTCGCCGGGAAGATCGCCTGTGACGAAGTGGTAGAGAGGGAGGAGAGCGTGGGGCTCTCTGTCTTTTTGGAGAGCGAAGGGTCCGGTACCAGCGACGTACGACTCCATCGTGGCTTTCCACTCAGCGTAGGGCACCTGTGGCACGTCGTAGCCGTACTTAGACAGGGAGCCGAGGAATTCGTTGAAGGTAATGCGTGGATGGCTGGTGATCTGCGCGACCCCGAGGGGTGCAACCGGAGGATTAAAGGATGAGGCGACGACGACGCGGGAAACGTGGGTTACTGGGACCATGTTGATGGTGTTGGTTATGTCGGGACGTGACCGCAACTGGATACAACCCTTGAGGATGCGAACAAGAAAGTCGTCCGTGATCGTGCTTCCAGATTGAGGGTCACCTGTAACATAGCCAGGACGGATGACGCAACCATTGAGACCTCTTCTACCAGCTTGACGAGTGAGGTATTCGGCAGCCCACTTGCTCTGACCGTATCCAGTGCCCAAACCTTTGCGTGAGCCTTCGAGGTCATCGCTTTCAGGGACGCCGGTGCCACCAGACGCAAGCGAGTCTTCAGAGATCTTGACATAGTGTTCCGTGTCAAGGACAGAGGTTGAGCTTACGAGGCCGAAGTTCTTCGCCTTGCCAACTGCGCAGAGCGAGAGAGCAGTGACGGTACTGAGGACATTCGGCGCGCGAAGCCTTGAGTAGGGCAGGACCCAATGCACCAACGCGCCGTTGTGTATCACCACGTCGACTGAGTCCGCGAGAGCGTTCCATGTGTCTGCCGGCAGACCAAAATCGGGCTTCTCTAGATCACCCACGACAGCGTCGATGCGCGATGTCCACTCTTCATTCCAAATACCGTAAGCCTGGCAAGTATTTCGAAGTCTTGACAGAGCTGCATCTGCATCTTTTGCTCTGACCAAGGCGGTGACTTTGCCAGGTCTGGACAGCAGATCTTTCAAAACGTATGCCCCAAGGAAACCGGTACCGCCTGTTAGGAAAGTGTGCACTTCTTGGCCGGGCTTCAAGGGCTCCCTTGTCTTGAAGTCAGTCAAGTGTCTCGACAATTCGCGAGCGTCGGCAGAATAGTCCTCATCTTCCGGTTCTTCTTCGATTGCTTCTGCACTATCCAAGCGCAACCCAATGGGGTCCAAACTTTGATCGATGTTCGCGGAGAACGCTCTTAACGTGGGATACTGGAAGATAATGCTCATGGGAATGTCTATGTCTTTCCATTGCTGCCGCACCTTCAAGAGCAGTTGCTGTGCGATGATACTGTGACCTCCGAGGTCAAAGAAGCTGTCGCTCCCGCTGATGCTGTCAGCCGTTACACCGCGATCGCTCAAGAGATCTGCCCATATCTTGGCAACAGCTTTCTCTGTTTCAGTGAGGGCCTTTCCAAGCTGGGAGGGTCGACGGGCTCCAGCAGCTGCGAGTTGCTGAGGTTCGGGGAAGGGAAGAGCTGGCCGGTCGATTTTGCCGTTCGGGTTCAAAGGAAATCGAATGAGGGGAACAATGACTGAAGGCACCGCATATCCAGGAAGCTTCTTCTTCAAGTGCTCGCGGACGTCATCTCGAAGGTATTTGAAGCGCTTGAGCAGGCCGACCATACTCTCATCTGTCGAGTGGTCTTGTGCGCCACGCTCCTCCAACCACTGGTAGTATCGCTTCATCTCTGGGACAATATAGCTGACTAGGGTAGGCTCCTCATACGCATCACGCTTGAGCAGAGTGACGTTCTCACGTACTAGAGGGTGCGCGGCCAAGTGAGAATCGATCTCTCCAAGCTCGATACGGAAGCCACGGATCTTGACTTGCGAATCGACTCTGCCGGTACAATGCACGTTTCCATCAGGTCCATAGTGTCCCAGATCGCCAGAGCGATACATCCTGTCCCTGGGCCCTTTGTAGAATTCGCGCCACGGCTCTGCCGCTCCTTGTGCTTCGACCCTCCTCCTGTCTTCCTGAACCCATTTCTTGGGATCTACGAACCAGTTTTCGACGAATTTGGTGGCAGTAAGTTCCGGAAGTCCAAGATACTCTTCAGCAAGGCCAGCAGCGCGTACATATATCTCGCCGCTCTGCCCAGGAGGGCATATTTTGGTTCTGTCCTCGCGGTCCACCACAAGCAGCTGGACGTTGTTCATTCCCCGCCCTGCGGGAATGACTTCCCCCAGACTGTCCAGGAAATCCGGTGCCTCGGAACGACTTGGTACTTCGTAGTAGCTCACGGCTCTCTGCGTCTCGGTCGTACCGTACATGTTGACTATCCTAACGTTGGGAGCCAGGTCTTGCAACCTTCTGCAGTCTCGCTTGATAAGCAGGTCGCCAACAAAGAAAGAGTGGTGAAGGCTCGGGAAGATCGCAGAAGCACCTCCTACAAGAATCTGGCCCATGGCTGGTGTAAGATGGGTCACTGTCGCACCATACCTCCTCATCCACTCTGCCAGTTTCTCGTGCTGGATGTCTTCCTTACTGGGGACAAGGAGCTGCGCGCCCAAAAACAGCGGCGTGAAAATATCTCTTTGAATGGGATCGTGCGCAATACCAGAGAGCATTGTAAACTTGTCATTCTCCGACAGGCCGAAGGTCTCCGCCATCCATGGGAAATAGTGGGTCAGCGAAAAGTGGCGTCCTTTGACACCCTTGGGCTTGCCCTCAGAGCCAGATGTGAAGGATAGCGTAGGAGTAGAGTCTGGTCCGACCAACACACCGGGGAGTTCAGTCTTGAAATTTTGCTGTTCGTCAAGTGCGTCCTTGCCATCCTTGAGACCGCCAACAATTGTCCCGTCATCCTTGAGCTGCAAAGCCGGTACTTCTGTTTTCAAGTTCAGATTCTGCGAGATATAACTGCGCACTTGTTCGGACAGTTCGCCGGCTTCTTGGGTTGCCTTGTCGATGACGACGAGCGCACGGGGTTGGGAGACCTCGAGGTAGATACATTGACGGTCCGGAGGGTATCTGAGATCATATTAGACTACTGCTTTCGCCATTGGAGCGATTGACTCACAGGGGATCGAGAACTGAGAAAGTGGCGCCCGCAGCCAAAACCGCCATGATGGCTACAACCAGATCCACGCCACGATGAGCGAAGATCATAACTACATCGCCTCTCTCTATTCCATTTTGAACGAAATGATGTGCTAGGACCGATGTTGCTTCGAATATCTGCTTGTATGTGAAGCGGCGCTCGGGAGTCTTGCTCGTTGCCGTCTCAACCACACATGGCCGGTCTGGATGTCTCCGTGCATTTGCGGCAAATATCTCGTGGATTGCACCCTTGAAGTCTGACCAGTGGAGATCAGCTGTAGGGTCGGGAATATCAGCCCTCGAAGCTGGTGCCATTGTCAGGGGAGTGGTGTGAATGATGGTAGTGAACGATCAATGGAGGGGTGTGGAAGTTAGGTAGAATAGGAGAGGTACTGAAATTGTAAAGAGATGAGTTTGGTGTGAATTGACATCAGAGACCCGCATCCATTGAAGGTATTGAAGCCCCAGGTGAGTAGAATGGAGCTTCAATATTTAATGACGCAGAGCGCGAAAAGATGCGAGATCGGAGTCACAAACATTTCCGAACGGAATGGCGGGGGTTGAAGAGTGTTTCTTGCCTGTTATGGTAATTGTGGCGCAGTGTGGCTGGGAGCGCTTCAAGCCCAATCTTGCCTAGCTGGAATTCAGTCAAGGGGGACAACTTTCTGAACGAGACTCGAACCGCATTATTATTGCTCCATAGGAGTCAAACGCCGCCGCCCAAAGACTCACTCCGGACGATTTCAAGAGGATGTGAACCCACATCTCTCTGTTTTCTATCCTGCCTAATATCTCACCTTGTCTCTTCCTGAGACAAGCGCCTCGTGGCTATCATCATGCCAGTGCAGTACACTCTTTTGGGGCGGCCCATCCGGCTGCATATGCCTCCACGACGATTCCAATTCCTCCTGGCTGTCCTCTTTCTCCTTACCACGACGCTCTTTTTATTTGGACCTCCGACTTCCGCCGATTTGCCTAGCTATGACCAGGTCGCTGATGCCGTTAAGCATCCGAAGATGCCTAGTCTGGAGAACCTACCTTCGCTCGAGGACCTCCCCTCCCCTCCAAGACCTTTCGGTCCTCCCGTCCATAAGCCGCCAGTGCAGCCGGATAGCAATAGCACGAGCTCATATGGGCTGATCCAATGGTTCCGCAACTACAAGTGGCACATCCCCTTCTCGTCTGCAGTGACATTCGATGAAAACACCGCCGTCCTCCCTCCGCTGAACGAGAGACCTCCTATCTACACATATTATGAAGCACGCGACAAGCAGAGCAAGGAGGTGACCGAGGCGGAGAATAGATTGGTCCTGGCCTGGCGGAGAGCATGGTGGGCACAGGGGTTTAAGCCGCATGTCTTATCCAGAGACGAAGCTAAGCAGCACCCGCTATACCAGATGGTACAGCGTCTGAAACTGGAGAAGGTGGATCCCGAAGTCGAGGTCGAGATTATGCGGTGGCTTGCATGGGGCCATATGCAAGGCGGCATTCTCGCGAACTGGCTCGCTCTGCCCATGGCCGAGTACGATAATCCTATGCTGGGCCTTCTGCGTAGGAAGCAGTACCCCCAGTTGTCGCGCATTGACGGCCTTGAGAATGGCATATTCTTCGGCGAAGCGGGTGCGGTCGACGCCGCCATCAAGAAGGCTATAGAGAACCCTCTGTTCACGAACGTCACGCAGAACCATGACAAGATCGTCGATCTGAAGAAAGGTGCGGGAGCAATGGCCAATCTACTGGGAAAGGACATCAAGGCGGAGTCAAAATCTAATGGCATCGCCTACTATTCTGCAGCCACCTTGGCTAATGTCTATAAATCCGTCGCCGACAAGTTTACGAACACCACCCAGTTGGAGGGACTGGACCTCCTTGCAAATCTCATCAACTCGCACCTGCACCTCACCTTCCAGAATATCTTCTCTGAGGGGATCGCAGTCATCAAGCCGCTCCCAGAGCATACCACGGCCCTGATGTACGAAGTCATTGATATCGCACGCAACCTGACACAGTGCCCTACCTCGCCAGTGCCAAAGTCCTGTCCCCCGAATCGGTCAAAATGTACGCCGTGCAACCCTGCGAAACCAATGAAATTGGAACTCCATATAGCTCTCAAGGATACTACGAAGCAGTATCAAATTGGCACTGTACCGCACCCCTATACGCTGGGCTTGCTCCATTACACTCGCGACACGCTTGACGCCAACTTCCTGCACAGCACAGGCCGCGATCAATGGCTGGCCGCTCTCATGGCAGACATTCTCAAGGAGCACAGTTCTAGCGACCAGGTCGTGCGCTTCAAGGAAGTCGTGGCCTCGCCTCAGTCTGCCCCGACCTCGCTGTGGTTGACTGCAGAGCGCATATCCCAGGCGGACCTGGACTGGATTTTCGGCTTCAACCTTCCACAAATCGCTTCCCCCAATAAGGACCCCAGCTCACCCAGTGAGGACTCAGAGCTTGTCATCTTCCCCCGTCCCGACGAACCAGCGCCCATAGAAGGCGTGCAGGAGCAGGACGCAGAGTTCATCAAACATGAGGAAGAACGGCTTCAGAAGGCTCGGGATGCCATCAAGAGCACCGATAAGCATTGGAAGGAGGTCATCAACATGGTCGAGCAGTGGAACCAGGCGGACGCGGAGGCATGGAGATTCGCGAGAGCGTTCTCTGCGAGGCGGAGGCAGGAGAGGAAGAAGTGGGAGGAGGAAGAGAAGAAGTTCACTGGCTCGGAACAAAAGTCTGGGGTGCATACTGGCGGTGGAGGAGGGCGATGGATTGACAAGTTCTAAGAAATTTGTTGTCATTCATACCATTTTTTTCAAGCATTTCTCGGCGTTGGGGTTGGATACAGGTCAATCATTTAATCCGATTTTGGGTCTGAGGCATACTCTATGTGAATACGCATAAAACCAGCAGGATGTGGAACATGTCGATGGCGTAGAACCAACCATTGAACACACTGCCTGCCGATTATGTACCTGATAAGGAGCAGTGCCTACGTCAGGTCCCTTATTCTCCGGAGCAGGCACTATCTGTAGGGCTCCCGCTTTCCTCTTCTGTACTAGCCTTTTCCGCGTCCATATCCTCCTCCTCCGCAGCCCTACAGAACATTTCCTCGCCCGCGCACGCAACGAAGATGGACCGTATACCGGACTCGTTGCTGAATCTTGCCGGCCTAACCGTCGTTCCCGTGGCGTTTATCCTTGTCATACATTTCTTCTTCTACACTGACCCTGAAGCCGCTGTTCCGTACAATGTTGCTGCCCCGGAACAGGTGCGACAGGGGTGGAAGGGGGAGGTGTTGAGGGAGCCGTCGCTGAAGGCACGTATTGAGCTTCCCAAGCTAGTGTTTGGGTCGGATTCGAGTTGAAGTTGCTAACTAATCCTTATATTGCAGGTTTCAGGCTCGAAGCTAATCCAATGCTACTGTCCTGCTACTGGCGAATCCCTCGGACGGGTGAATCCCTCTTCCGCAGACGGAGTTGATCGAGCGATTGCAAAGGCGACGAAGGCGCAGGTAGAATGGGCGAAGACGACGTTCGCTCAGAGGAGGAGGGTGCTGAAGACTATGTTGAAGTACAATATCCCGAGGCTCTCAATGATTGTCGGAGAGGCTAAAATGGAGGCAGGTTCGTGTTGGAGAACCAAGAGACGATTGCTCGCGTCGCATGCCTCGACTCCGGGAAGACGATGGTGGATGCCAGCTTGGGAGAAATATTGGTGACTGCTGAGAAGCTGAAATGGACAATTGATCATGGAGAGGACGCGTTGCGTCCAGAGCGGAGACCGACGAATTTCCTCATGATGTATAAGAAGAATGAGGTCATATGGGAGCCATTGGGCGTGGTGGCTGCATGCGTTAGCTGGAAGTAAGTGGAAACGATTTCCTTATCTCGGCTAGGATTGTGCTAACATTGACAGTTATCCTGTAAGTATACGCTTGTGGATGTTGACGGGACTGTGAATACTAAACAATGCAGTTCCACAACCTCATCTCCCCGATAATAGCGTCCATATTCGCGGGAAATGCAATTATCGTCAAGGGCTCGGAAGCTACCGCATGGTCAAGCACATACTTCACCTCCATTGCTACCTCCGCCCTCGTAGCTTGCGGCCATTCCCCCGACATTGTCCAATCCATTGTATGCTGGCCAGATGTCGCGGAGCACTTGACCTCACACCCTGGGATTGCCCACATCACCTTCATTGGATCTCGAACAGTAGCACACCATGTCTGTGCCTCAGCCGCGAAGCGTCTCACACCAGTCTGTGTCGAACTAGGAGGAAAGGATCCCGCTATTGTCCTCGACGACCTCAGCAACAGCGAGTTCAAACGCGTAGCTAGCATCCTCATGCGAGGCACATTCCAATCCGCCGGTCAGAACTGCATCGGTATTGAACGGGTAATCGTGCTCCCACGCCTTTACGACCGCTTCATTGCACATCTCACGCCCCTGATCTCCGCGCTCAAGCCGGGCTCCATCTTAAACGCCGACTCCGACCACCCCATCGACATCGGAGCGTCCATCGCCCCGGCCAACTTTTCTACACTAGAATCCTTTATCCAAGACGCCGTCTCCCAAGGAGCCCGCCTCCTCGTCGGCGGAAAACGCTACACTCATCCAGACCACCCCCAAGGCCACTACTTTTCCCCCACGCTTATCGTCGACGTGACGCCGGAAATGAAAATCGCGCAGACCGAGCTCTTCGCCCCTGTGTTCCTGATGATGCGCGCCAAAGACGTCTCCCACGCCATCGAACTCGCCAATTCTTCACCGTACGCCCTCGGCGCCTCTGTTTACGGTGCTCACAAACCCTCGCTCGAGCGCGTGGTGCGCGAAGTCAAAGCCGGGATGGTGGCCGTCAACGACTTTGCCGTCACGTACATGGTGCAGCTGCCCTTCGGCGGTGTCAAGGGTAGCGGGTATGGGCGATTTGCTGGCAAGGAGGGGCTCAGGGGTGTATGTAATCAGAAGGCTGTTACGAGGGATAGGTGGCCGGGGGTTAAGACGAGTATCCCTCCGCCGATGGATTTGCCGTTGAGTGCGAAGGGAAAAGGGGCGGCGGAACGGGCGTGGAATTTCGCGATGGGGATTGTGTGGTTGGGGTATGGGGATTGGAGGGGGAAGGTTAGGGGTATCAGGGGGTTAATTGGGGTATAAAAGGAACAGAGCAGCGGGCCCAAAGAGGGTATCTGGCGCCGTTGACGTCTTCTCCGCTATCGCCACAGGACAAAACACAATAGTAATCATGTCAAGACCGACCAGACCAGCTCAAAATATCGCCATACAACCTCCCTCGTCACACCGTCTCGATATATCTTCTCACTTCCCAATCCGTCACGGCCTCATCCCAGAGTCGAATCTCATGCTGCCTGGTGCCGCCAAAATGCTCGACAAACTCATCCCCAAACACCTCCCTGGCCACGCTCTCCTTCCTCATGAACCGATCTGTCGCCTCCTTCAGGCTCTTGGCCAACCGTACCCCCCGATCCGTCTCTCCGCCTACGTCCTCCCCTTTACCCAGCGGGGGGATGTTGATGGCCATTTTCCTCTCGATCCCGCGCCAGCCAAGAGCGAGAATCGCAGCGAGGACGAAGTGTGGATTCGTATCTGCGCCTGGGACGCGCACCTCGAAGCGCGTCCCCTTGGGGCTACTGGTCGGCGGACTGATGATCCGTATGCTCGCAGCCCTGTGTTCCAGTCCCCAGGACACGGTCACGGGCGCCCAGAAGTTCTCGACGAGGCGCTTGTAGGAGTTTACGTTGGGCGCGAGGATGGGCATGATGTCCGGGAGACCGTCGAGCAGGCCAGCGAGGAAGTGCCTGCCTAGGTCCGACAGCCAGCGGATATCTTGCCATTCGCAGTCCCGATCTTTTTCCTCGCGGAAGAAGAGGTTTTTACCGCTGTTCTTGTCCACGATGGAGACGTGCATGTGGCCCGAATTCCCCGGTAAACCCTCACGAGGCTTCGCCATGAAGCACGGTGTGATGCCGAATTTGGAGCCGAGGCTCTTGACGACGAGTTTGAAGAGGCTGGCTTTGTCTGCCATTTGGGTGATTTCGCCGAATTCGAGGGCGGCTTCGAAGACGCCCGGCCCGGATTCCGTGTGCCACCCTTCGATGCCACAGTTGAATCGTCGGCACGTCCTGAAGATGCTGTAGTAGTATTCTTGGTTGTGGACGGGCCGCGTGAGGCTGTAGCCGAACATGCCTTCTGTGAGGGGGGGAAGGGCGGAGACGGGGTGGTCGCGGAGGAAGGTTGCGGTGGAGGAGGAGTTGCGTTCGGAGCCGGAGTGGGAGGACGGGGGTACTCTGAATTGGTAGAATTCGTATTCCGCTGTGGGGGAGAGGGTGTGGTTAGCATTGATCCCGTGCGTGTGTGCGCGCCTCAACCTGTCCAAATTGCTTTAGACGGTGCTGGGAGTTTTGAGAAAGGAAGAGTCGGCGTACCTCCTGCCATTGCGCCATAGCCATGGGAGGCAAGCTTATCCACCGTCCGCTTCAATAAACTCCTTGGGCAAGCGCTCAAGCTGGTATTCGTATCCGGGTCGTAAAAGCTAACCAAGAAGAACGGCACATTATTCTCCCACGGTATTCTCCTAAAGGAGCTTAAATCCGGAACCGCGATCACGTCCCTATACCCATTCTCCTTGTTGCTGATTGCCAGTTCTCGGAAGTAGGTCTGGTCGTGCATGTCCCAGCCGAAGATGACGCTGCAGAAACCGAAGCCTTCGCGGGCTATGGAGAGGAATTTGGACTTGGCCATGAGTTTTCCACGGAGGATGCCGTCGACGTCTATGCCGGCCACTTTCACGGCGGTGTCATTCTTCAGGAGGTCCGGCAGGGACTCGACGGTTATGGTGGAGGGGTCGATGTCCGGGTATGATGGCATGGTGTTGATAGCGTCGTTGCTCGTTGATTTCTGCTTCTTGTGATTAGGGTTTGGTGCTCTGATTAAATTGAGGAGAGCTTTACCAAACTATCAGGTCTTATGAGAAGACGTCACAGTCATAACATGAAGCTGGTGGGTTATTGTTTGAAGGTTGGGAAAGCAGGGCAGATGGGAGGTCGCAGCGACGCGTCTAGGCCAATTAAGGTTAGACTTGGCACGTTTGTCTTAGCGTGGAACCGAGATCAGATACCTAGGTAGTGTGCGCATGGTGTTCCATTTGGTGAAGATGCTGATACTGGACAATTGAATACATTCCAAAACTGATTGGTCGATGCTTCTCTATATGTATTCCTGACCAAAAATGTTCTATTTCGAACACCGAGTTGGTTGACGGGAGTCTCCATCTCCGCCCTCTCAACTGGAAACAATGCCAGCACCCCGCTATTCTCCAAGGCGGGGCAGCTTTCGGAATGTCTCCCAAAGTAGAGCTCGTCTCGTCAACCACATGGGCCACATAGCAATGTCTTGGTGAAAGCTACGTGGACCTAATAAACACTCTCTGACTAGTAGAATACCCAGGTAGGTACCACCATGACCAGTCCGCTCCCTCGTGGCCCTTATCTAGTCTTAAATCTTGAACTCCATCGGTTGGACTTCCGATGTTCGGAATTCCCGACGCTACCCGTATCTGGCGGGACTATCCTTCTTCCACACCCACCACCCGTGGACCATTTCTGAACCAACACACCAACACCACCTTTCCACCCTATAACCGTCACACTACCTTGTAGGCCGTATCTTTCTGCTCTGGTAAGCACTTCTCATAGAACTCTCCTCTCCAAACATCCCAACGCGGCCTGCACCTCGGCATCCTTATCAAGCTTTCCTTAGTTGATCTTAGTCATTCTCCCTTTCCAAACCTGACTGCTTAAACATGTCACCAATATCGCTTCAACATTCACACTACTTACTCTAACACACAGTATACCCCTTCATTCCCTCGTATATCTCGAAACCGGTCCTATTCAACATGGGCCGCTTGGAAGGGAAGAACTGCATTGTTACCGGAGGCGCTGGGTAAGTTGAAGGGATTTGGGCTCTCATATACCTAGTCACCCTTTCTATATTCCCTTCTTCCTATGATCCTCTCTTCAGCCTTTCCTTCTTTTTGCATTTCTCCTTCCCACTGAACTTTCAAATCAACTCATTCCATCCTTCGTCAATTCCTCCTTCTTCCGCACCTCCCCGTCAATCGATCAATCCCGCATCCAACGCACTCTACTAACCAACCCCAGCGGAATCGGTCTCGAAACCGCCATCCTCTTCGCCCGCGAAGGCGCCAACGTCCTCCTCTCCGACATCTCCGGCCCGGCTCTGGACCGCGCCGTCGCCAAAGTCAAAGAGCTCGTGCCCGACGCCAAGAAGATCGAAGGCAAAATCACCGACGTCTCCAAAGAAGCCGATGTCGAGGCCATGGTCGCCCATCTGGACCCCTGGGGCGGCGTCGATGTCATGTTCAACAACGCAGGCATCATGCACGCCGACGACGCCGACGCCATCGACACCCCCGAGAAGATCTGGGACCTGACGCAGGCCATCAACGTCAAGGGCGTGTGGTTCGGGTGTAAGCATGCGGTGCTGAGTTTCCGCAAGCACGGCAAGAAGAGGGCCAGCGTGATCAATACGGCGAGCGTGGTGGCGCTCGTGGGAGCCGCGACGCCGCAGCTCGCGTACACGGCGAGCAAGGGCGCGGTGCTGGCCATGACGAGGGAGTTGGCCATGGTGCATGCGAGGGAGGGGTTCCGGTTCAATGCGCTGTGTCCGGCGCCTTTGAAGTATGCATATCCTTCTCGGGACGTGATCAATTGCTTACTGTGACAGCACTCCCCTTCTCCAGGACTGGCTCGGCGACGATCAAGCCAAGCGCCACCGCCGCGAGATTCACTTCCCGACCGGCCGGTTCGGCGAGGCGATTGAGCAGGCCCACGCCGTGGTTTTCCTGGCCAGCGACGAGAGCAGCTTCGTCAACGGTACCGACTTTGTCGTCGATGGTGGAATGACAAAGTGCTATGTTACCCCTGAAGGGCCGCCTACCGAGGCTCCGAAGAACTTGGCCAGGTAGAGTCTTAGTATGGAACGGTATGTGACAGATTTCCAAGGGAATGCATATGGTTACCGGAGCAGGTGGTAATTATAGATCGATGCTTGACAGTGGTATGATGTTTCCACCTACTGATTACTAGACACAGAGGTTAGATAGAGTGGGAAATGCATCCAAGACAAATCCTAACCGATCCCTCTCTTGGACAGCTTTGTGCCAGCTTCTTATCGTTCCCGGCATAGCTTCGAACCATCAAATGGAAACGATGCATATTAAACGATTCTTGAACGCTCATACGCACTCTCCGCAGATGATGGCCCTAGCGAAGGTTTCTTAAACGACGGAACCTCTGGGACGACAGCCATGCAGTTCGTTCCTGCATATAATATCGACTGCAGACGCAGTTGATATCAGGTTCCAGCGTACCGGGAAAGTGGTGTGTGGGGTGCACGATTAACACACGTGATTCTTGTGGGGCCTTCGTGTCCAGATTGTTGACAGGTGCCAGCGATGTCTATTCAGTAGAATGCAGAAGGTATTCGAATATTAGATGGTGGATGCCTGTTTTTTGCTTTGGCGGGATGAAGAAGTAGAACTGGGGAGGCGGTTTGCTAGAGCGTTTTGGAGTAAGATCTGGGATTAGGATGAGAGGAAGGAAAGGTTATATTAGTCTAGCAAAAGGTTGGTGGCATACTCATCTCGCACTCCCACAGAATATCCCCCTCCACCTTGTCTTTTGAAAGAGAGATCTAGCGGATCTTGCTATTCGGCACACCAGGCAACGACTCGATCCCTATAACGACATCAGTCCACATCACCACGCAGGGAAAAAAAAGAGATAAATACTTACATCCACCATCCCCAATATCCTCATCCACCTTCCTCCCCACCGAGCAAGCATTCATGGCCGAAATGGGCTGCGTCTTCATCGTCTGGCAATTGACATAGCACTCCTCGTCCATGATCTTCTGGAGCGAGTCGTTCTTCCAGCCGAAGAGGTAGTCGCCGTGGTTGCCGTAGCCGGTCCTACAAGGTAACAATAGTCAGCATGGGTAGATTCCATAATTCTACAATCCCCCTCTTGGTTTCCGATCAATTATGACTTGGAAGTCGACATGTGCGGCTTTCTGGTGGGGACTTACCTGTCACCGAAGCTCCACACAAACGGTTGGCTTCCGTCGGCGGGCCAGTCGGCTTTGTTGTTGAACGCTTTGGTCTCGAAGATGACTTCGTACATGAGCTGGGGTACGCGCACGGGGTGCGAGGCCGGGCACGGCCCTTGCGATTCGAAGGTTCCGTTGGCTGGGTACGACATGTGGGAGATGTGGTCGGGGGAGTCGACGTTGACGCCGTCCCAGCATCTGGATGGAGGTGTTAGTGAAGGAACGATGAAGAACGGAGGAAATAAGGGACATCGACGATTAGGAACTTACGTGGGGAATCGCAAGTTCACCATGATACCCGCAGGACAAGGCTTCTTCGGGAAGTCCTTCGTCTCGGGGAACCGCGTGTTCATATCTTGCAAGCACGTATACGTGAGTTGCGGGTACTTGTCCGCTTCCTCCTTTGTGCTCGCAGTGGGGCTACCAATCAACATCCGGAATCCCTACAAAAATCATCTTCAGTCCACAACTCTCACATACCCAGTACTTGATTCCCTCCTGAAACTTACCGGTTTAAACGCCGTGACTTTCGACTTTTGCTGGAAATCTCCAAGGTGGTTCTGCATGTAGTAGACCGTCATTCCACCCTTTTGGCCTTCGAACCCGACATTCCCCTTCTGAGGGACTCGCTTGTATGTGCCGTTCCTGGCGCGGAAGAACAGGGCTGCGGTCCAGTAGTTGGAGAAGTCGTCAGAGGGTTGGCAGGTTGTGCAGGTTGAGAGGGCGGCGAGGTCGTGTTCGCCGGGTTTCATGCTCGGTTGGAAGGAATTCTGTGGTTGTTAGTCGGGAGGGTGCTGGAAATGATTTTTGGTCGAGCGTACTCCGCCTATAATCTGGTGGAGATGTGGTGAGGGAGTAAGGCCGGGGTTGACTAGGGGATCTAGGCGGTCGACGACGAGTTGGGAGCAGCCGAAACGGATCAGGGCGTGGCTGGGTGCGACGAGCGCGAGGGCGACGAGGGAGTTCCACTGCATCTCGATTGAGGAAGTTTGTGAGAAACTGGGATCGTTGCAAAGGACACAGCCTGGTACTCTAAGTAGTGAGGGAAAACGACTTATATGTCATTCGGCCTCATTCAAGCGAATGTGGACATTGAACTGCCGAGCCACAGGCCAAAAGGGGCTTGATAAGCAAAGGTACCGCTCTGGCCATTGAATTGGGATGCCCGAGGACGTCGATCTGGCGAGCGTCAACGCATTCAATTTGTTGGTGTAACAGGATACCATGGGAAACGATGCATAGCGTGCCAATACGAAGAGAGCGAATGGGAACCGAGGATTGTTCCAGATGTACTCAGGTTTAGCGGAATCAATATCAGTTGATGTGCATTACACCAGAAGTAATATAAGGATCCTTGGCCCACGCTGCGGGTAGATTAGCGGGGAAATCAATCGGGAGGAACGGATCCTCAACAACATAGTACAGTGTCTATGCATTTTAATCGGTTAAGTACTTTGGCTTTGAAGTTATCTCCTGTGCGGAGATTGAATGTAGGATCCAGCTTACCCTCGGAGGTACAACGGGTCTTGAAAGAGCGTTGAAAACATAAGCAGGGAGCTTGGATGAGAACTTAGTCAGAAAGCATCCTCCTTTCAATGATGAGGATACCCATGGAGTCAAACTAATACCGCGAATTCATATGTCCAGCGATCGCTCCCCAAGGGTTCCTGGGCGTTGCCACGTGTAAACGCCTGGGAATCATGTATCCTGTGTATGTAAACCCTGTCTTTGTGGGCAAGAGCCATTCTGCACATCCTATCGCAATCCCCTCGGCGTTACGATGTGTGCCTGTGGCTCCTGCGAATAGTTATGAGGCAGAACGGATCGATTGTGGTCAGGCGTATCCATAGAGATTGTGACGCTGGGAAGCAGCACAGTGCAGAAGAGAAGAGGTTTGAGCGTCAGAGATATAGATATAGTCCGTACTTGCAGTTGGGAAGCCTCAATTTTGAGGTTCGTGAGGTTGGTCGAAGGAAGGAGGACGTCGACGTCGGGGTTTGAGAGATATGCTGATGAGTAGTCATGCTTCGACCATAAAGAAACAAGGTCAATTCATGACGAATATGTTCGCGAGTAGATACTGCCACTCGCGAGTTTGCTCTTACAGTATGGTTGAGGAACTGACTGTTGATGGTACTGAAGACCGTTATAACAAGAGGAACGGCGCTGTAAAACTGGACTCATGGTCTATATTTCATGGTACGAGGTTGTTTCACCGGCCGGACGCTTCAGTGGCTGATGATGCCAGCGCCTAGAGGTATTCTGAGAAGAGACAATGTGATTGCTGCACACGCAGTCAGACAAGAAAACCTGCCTCTTCTCGGTTGCTCTTGCTTGCTCCTGTGGTGGGCGTCGCGCTTGCCTCTTCACGGATTGCCAACTGTGTAGGTCTCTAGAGAAAGCACACCAGTTTGCACTCAAACACATCAGCCACACACTCATTCATTATTATTTTGATAGTCCAGGCTCAAACAATAACTTTGACACTGCGAACACAATCGCATATATTTCCCAACATTCATTATGTCACCGTTTATCAACCGTTATGCAAGGAAGCATTGCACAGAAGTTATCCATGAACATCAACGGAAAATAGAGGCAGAAATAGAGCACTCAGGGTTAGCATTTTGGTCTGCTATGGTCCATCAACCTTGCGAACATGCAGGACGCATCAAACAAACTAAGTACACACAGATTCGGCAGTGACCTATCGGTGACAGACCGTACTGATTAGATACAGGACAGCACGTCTCGCTACGAGAACGAAGAATTACCGACGACGTCTGTCTCACCCTGGATGTGAAAAAGGGTGCGTTGTCAAGTTGCCGCCGATGCCTGATCCTCGTCGAACCTCCACGCAATATGCGCGTCGGGAGCTGGACATTTGGAAAGAAGAGTTGGATCCGGAGTGGGCTCAGACAAAGCCCCATTTTATGACTTGTGACTTCTTAAACTTGAGAGATCCCCGGACTCCTTGTACAGATCGAAAGCAGCGCGTTTGGAAGGACGAGCTTGAGTTGGAGCGGGCGCAGACGAGATCGCACCTTGAAAGACCCGATGTTCCTGGTTTAAGAGTGGCCTGGGCTGCCTCCGAAGACCAAGAGCAGCGCATTTGGAAGGAGGAAATAGACCCTGACTGGTGCCAAACAAGGCCAACGTTTCTGAAACATGCGTTTGGAGACCTAAGTGTACCCCTTGATCAAGGGGGAGATGAATGGAAAGTCTGGAAGGAGGAAGAAGATGCAGAGTGGTCTCAGACAAAGACAGAGCTGTTTGCACACAAGACTTTGGAGCTGGGCTCGCCTTTCCCTCAATATCAAAGTCAAGAAACTTGTGTCTTGAAGGCGGGGCAAGACTCAGAGCAGTATCCAGAACCAAACGTGCCTCTCATATACACCAAGCCTCCTGTAGGACGCCTAAAAGTATAGAGACGGAAAACTCCCTTAACCAGTTGGGAGGACTTGAGAAGTCTAACATAAGTTTAAATTACTGGAATTATATGGCGCGTCTAATTCATCTCCCCAATTCTGAAAATGATTGCACCTATGATTATTGGAGGTAGCGCAAGAAGTAAGGCTCCAAGCCCGGACCCTCCTTGTACATCTCCCATGAACAATGACCAGAAGATACACAACAAAACACTACAAAAGGAGATAATGATGATCATCCAGAAAAGTAAAACACCATTTAGTCCTTCTCTGATGTAGACACCCCAGCCGTAGGAAGGAATATTGCAATCGATGATGCGCTTATTGATCCGTTTCGGTAATCGCGGGACCCATACATAACTGCTGGGGTTAGCGTCGTGGTAGTCGTGTTTGAGGTAGTGTATGAATATTTCCGGTGGCACAGGCGGAAGTGGCGCCATTGGTCTTGGTGAAAACTCGTAATCAACATCTTGCACCGGCGGGATACACTCTGGTCGGCCACATATTGAAACGTATCCTTGTCGAAGATTCCAAACGGTAAACTACAGCGGCGAAATATAGGTCAGCATCGGGTTACCAACAGAGAAGAGTCGTGGGTAGTTCAAGAAATTGGGGCTGCACCTGTACGAATTCAACAGTGATAGGCTTGAAAAATATCCTCCAGCGTTTCCTTAATTTTTGATTATCCTGATAGATGGTTTTGATTGCTAGGAAGAATTCGGCGTCTGATTTGATCTTTGACACATCGATCTCGGTCAAAACCTTGTAGATGCCGCCCGTGGAAACGCATGTGGCTAAGTATTTTGAGCTAGCAAGTCCCTCAGTTTGAGATTGATCTACGCGGAGATTGAGTGCAGCACGCGGAGGCCCAGCGTCCTCAGAAGCGAGAGAAGGCATCAATCTTGATGAGGCTTGCGACGTTGACTTGTCCTGATTGCGACTCGACCCTCGATCTGCATGAGGTACGCTGGTCGATGTTGAACGGTCGTGCGAGTCTGGTGAAGATGTCAGCCCCTGCAGGGCTTTTTCGAGATGTTCTAAGGCGGCTGGATCATCATCCTTAAAGTCAGCATACAGCCGCCTCCCACAATCCTACGCTTGAGAATTAGATGGCGCTTGTTTAGAAGAATAGAGCCTACTAACGCAGTTCCATTCTATCCGACGGAACCCGGGCTTGACGGGCCGGTTGAGTATCCATCGCGCTGATTCCTGAATTCTGTGCAGTAACACCGCCAAACCCAAGGGGAATATTCGACTAATACCCGCTCCTCGGGATTGCGTCTCCAAGTTTTCGCTTCTTCGTAGCATCTGGTTGTGCTGCGAATTCTTGATTGCCTCACGAAAGTCAAGTAAACCTTCTCGAAATTCTTCGAGCGCTTCACTCTTGCGGAAAAAGCCTTTAGCCTTCTCCAACTCCGTATTCAGATGATCTAAGTGGAGCTCAAATAGACCACCTTCGCTTCCTTCTTCATCTGAGCCTGCTCTCTCCGAGTTGGCTGCGTCGGTGGCGACGTCAGTCGATATTTCAGGGGTTACTGAAGAATCGGAAAGGAACTGTTCCATAATATAGCTTTGTGAGACCGGAATACTTCCTAGGGGAAGGTGCGTGCTGTCCAAAGAGCCTGGAATTGCTAAGCGCTTCATACGACTGGCTACTTTCCTTGAATGTTGCTTGAGTGTCCGAGCGACCAAGAGCTCTGCTGGAGTGGACGCTTCCGATTGAAGATAGACAGCGAGGATCTTTAGCAGCCGATGAACATTCCTCTCCGTTCGAGCGCTGTCATCCATGGTAAAACAGGCTTGTGCAAGATCCTTGACATCTTTAGACTCGAAGATGAACCTTGCCAACCGTTCTTCAACACTGTCCATTGGACCAAAGGAGGTATTTGATGAGATCGATGCTACGTTCTGGGAGCCAATGTCATAGCTGTCGATTGAAGAGACTGAAGAGTCATCCAATAGAGCATTTCCGGAAGCTATTCTCAAATGCTGGCCGTCCGCAGACGGTAGTAGTCTTGAATCGGAAACAGCCTCGTTGTTGTCTGTTAGGGGGAAAGGTGGAAGCGCAATAGAATGTGGATCAGTATGGATTGCATACGACATTCCGCGGTGCACCTCGGCCGTATTGTTGCCACTGTACGTGGAAAGAAGACTCTTGGATCCATAAACATGGCTGCTTATGCCACCCCGTCCAGCGCTGTTTGGTCCTTCACTTTTATAGTGGCTTGGGCTGCGGCCGCGGACGACGAGTGGACAGCTAGAACGCCGCGCGACCATGACCCACATGGGGTCATTAGCACCTTTTTGACGAATGTCGACGTAGAGCTCAACATTAACACGGTAGTACTGCTGCTGAGCACGTCTCTTGCCGTTGTTCGCTGTCGCACTCTTGAACTGGACTCGCTCGAATGTGTGAGTGGTGTTGCTTTGATTGTGCACGCTCGTGGAAGATGAATAGCCGGCTGAGCTCGAAGGGCTGCTGGTCGAAGTGTCTGTAGGAGGGAGTTGGTTGGAGTCGGGTGCTCCTTGAAGTGGGAGGCGAGGACTGCTCATCGGCTGAGGATGCTGCGGCCCATAACCGCCAGCGCTCAATGGGTATGCCGTGTCCGTAAGATGGGGATGCTTCGACCCAGGTGGGGTAGGCCAGAGCTTTGTAATGGGGATAGTGGTTTGTAGTCCCTTATCACGCTTTGGCGTATGTTGGACAAGATCAACCGTCTTCCCAGGCATACCATCTACTACAGCACTAAGCGACACTGCGAAGGCCTGAATCTGTTCTAGTTGCCCTTTTCTGTCTGGCCGTTGAAGGTATAGCGGCCGGTGTGACGTATGCGGGTCAAGCTCGTACGAGCATTGCACCCAGAAGTAATTTCTCCGATAACAAGTCCAGAGATTGCCGCTGAGAAAGAAGCCTTTCTCAATTTTTGCGTGAATGTTTGGCCGAACAAAAGAGTGATCGTTGGTCTTGATCTCATGAATATTCTCTTGTTCCTGGAATGGAGGAGTTTCTACGGACAATCGGTCGCTCTGGTTGAAGAGAACGTTGGAATACATGCTGTGAGCTGGAGGTGGTCAGGAAGCGCGATGTGTCAGTAAACCTTTCTGTGGGAAGACTGCGCGTGGTATGTAGTTGGCAAGCAGTACGATGTCTTTTCCAGCATCGTCACAGACCTCGAAGAGAGTCAGCTGCCTCTGTGCAATTCGAAGCTAGGGACACTGGCCAAAAAAGGAGCGCTGGCGTACGTAAAGGTGTAGTTTAAGTCAATCTGGCACAAAGACGGGGGGATGGGTGATCCCTACTTAACACATCGCGGCGCAGCGGTGAGCATGGCGCAGCAGAGCATTGATGCCTTGGACCAATCAATATGAATCTTTGTTGCAACTCAGGTCAAGAGCGCAGCAGCGGGGCAGGTGCAGCACTGCCCGATGGAGTTGCATGCTTCCAAGGTTGTTAGTTAACTCGACACACGTGAATTTCAAGCCTCAGTCAGTAACATACTAGGTGCCTTCCGTACCAGGCTAAGCGGTACTGTACGGGAAAGTCAGAGTTAATTACCGCTTCACTCCTAAAATGTGCTAACACGGACTTGGCAGCTCCCTTTAAGAAAAACCGTGCGCTGAGAACAAATCGAAGTGCAAAACCGGAAACCGATTCTGCTCGCGACTGTACAGCTGAGTCCAGATTTTGAGAAGAGGCAAGAAGTTCCTGGCTAGAATCGGGATAGACCGCAATTGCGATGCTTTCAGAGTAAATGTCTGTTTTGCACGAATTCATCAAGAACGACTCCCCACACGAACCACTCGCTAGGGGAAGAGTTTCTGAGGATTTCCAGCTGCGCCTGATTACTCCAGATTTACATCATGCTGAGCAGTTCTGCACGCGAGAAAGCCCAGACGTTTGTGTTCCGTAAAAGCCGCACATGCGCAATGCGGACTGAGCCTGGTGTACGATAACCAACATCACAAACGAATCACTGGTTGCGCCGCCTTTGCTGCTCGCGTATTGCATCGGCTAAGTTGTTGTATAAAGATATAAATTGCGTTCGAGTTCGATTTCGCCAATTTAGATGGTTTATCACCGCAGAGGGTGTTATGACATGCCAGGCATTCATAAAATACTCGTCAGGATCTTCGCATTTAATGCCAATGCCAGGTTGATATAGCGTGCGAGAGAGGTTGTCGTAGACATGATATAAATCGATATAATGTTCATTGGCTCTGAATTAGTAAGGCTAGAAGATTTCTTGCAGTTGTTCTATAGCAGAAAATCGTAGATTAGCCGAGCGTTGGTCATAACTGAAGCTGAAAATTGCAGTAACTAATCTAAATAACACGACACACAGAAAAGTCGGCTTAACGTCACAAAGCTAAATGCGCGCGGAGGGGCAGATTCCAGGCAAAAGAGCGGCTCAGTCACTTAAAAGCCTACTATACTACCTAAATTTAGTTAGGCAGAGCCTGTTCTATACTGTTCTAAGCTAGCGTACAGGGTTCCTGATCACCCAGGGTTCCTGATCACTTCCCAAATCGCGCACCCCTCAGAGAAATCATGATTATTTCAATCAACCTAGTTACAATTGCCACTCTGTACACATAGATTGCAGAGTTTTTGCAGCTGTTTCAGCTGCAACTCTCTCTGCTTCTTTTTCTCTAGGATTACTACTGTTTTGCTCTTGTAGAAGAGCAGATGCCCGTACTGCTATCATAATAGTATCTACATCTGCAAAGCGTTGATTTGGATCCATGCGAACTTTCTTTCGTGGCTGTTGAGGCTTAAGAGCCTCGAGTTGACTCTGCAATCTTTTGTTCTCTGCTTCTAACTCTGCTGCTCGTGTATTTGCAGTTGCAATTGCCTTGCCTGCTTTCTCAAAGAGCTGGTGAACCTTGCGGCCTATACTCTGCTCTCTGTGAAGTGCTCG